GGGACCTTGCGTGGCACACGGCCATATTGGATCAGGTGTGGTAAGGAGCTTGAAGCTATCGTACAATGGATCGGGTCCCCGCATATCTTTTTGACGCTGTCGGCCGCTGATTATCACTGGGATGATCTACAGCGTCATTTACCTCAATATGAGGAGTGGCGTAATGGAACCCCAGCGGAGCGGATCGCAATTTCTCGCCGCAATCTCCGCGACTATCCCCACATCGCCGCCTTCATCTTCCATCACCGTCGGGAAGCTCTGTACAAGACTGTGCTGAGCCCGAAGTTCAACCTCCGCGATCAATGGGGCCGATACGAATGGCAGGGTCGCGGCTCGTCGCACTCACACTTCCTCATCTGGCTTGACCGTGCCTGCCCCAACAGCGAGCTGGATCGTATCCCTGTGGAGGATCTCCCTGCCGCCCTTGAGACATTTGCACGGTTCTGGGGCGGTCATATCACGGCGGTGAACCCCGAACCTTCCCGTCGTGTACGACCAGAGGATGAGCGGAGTGCTATCGCGTTAAGTCCCGATACGCAGGAGAATTCTCTAGCGCATCTATCAGCCATCATCAATCGCGTACAGAAACACCATTGCACTAATGCGTATTGCCTCCGCAAAAACAAACGCACTAACCGGGAGGAGTGCCGCTTTTACGCCCCGTGGCCGATTCGGGATGAGCCTGTTGTTACGAAGGCGGAAGGTAACCCTAGGTTCTTTAACTACCGCGGTATCCGGAATGATGATCGGTTGAACCACTTCTGCCCCGCTCTTATCACCGCATGGCTTGCTAATATAGATATCACGCCCTGCACGGGGAGCCGAGCAGTATTAGCCTACTTAGGAAAGTACTGCTCAAAGCCGGAGAAGAAGACGACCACCTTCCACGATATCCTTAGACATCTCCTAACGGTCGTTCCTGAACATACGCGGCGGCCATTCCTTTCGCTCGTTACGAAGATCATGAATCGTCTAATTGGTGAGCGCGATTGGTCGGCGCAAGAGGTTTCCCATATCCTTCTTGATCTCCCCCTCAAGGTCTCTTCACGTATGGTGATTTCCGTCGATTGTCGCCCGGAGGTGGAGCAGTCCCAGGGAATCGAGATCCGGGATGATGGTTCTATTCAGAGCGGCCTCTCCTCTCTTCAGAAGTATAAGCAGCGGCCTGATGCCTTCGACGACGTTCCCTATCTTGAGTTTCTACGTTGTTATGACTTCGCCAAGGTTAGTTCTATCCGGAAGAGGGGGGAAGGGAAAGAGCGGGCGTTGAATTACTTCCCACGATATTCAGCGGTCGGCGATACCCGCGAAGACTGGCATCGCGTTAAACTAATGCTACATCACCCCTTCCGCAGTATGGATAACCTCCTCCAACCTGATCCACGTGGTCCCCTCTATACATCGTATTCTGATGCATATTCCGCGTCTTGTGGAGATGGTCGGCATGACCATCCGGTCGATCATTACGACCCTATTATTCTTGGGGACGAGGATGAGTTCGAAGAGGGAGCCAACGAGGAGGAGCATCACCAGGGGAGCTGGGATGAGCTCGCCGGTCAGCTTCCTGGTCGCGATAGAACCGTTCTGGAGGATCCGGATGCCCTCGGTCAACGACCTCTCGACCGTGAGTACGATTGGGCGTCTCACATCGGTAAGCACGCGTATACGAAGGAGTGGTGGGCTACTGCGAAGGCCGACTATCCCCACGTCAATGAAGCTGTTCTATTCGCACCTGACACCGTTGAAAAGCTGAACGCGAAGCAACGTATAGCATATGATATCCTGACGACCCATTTCGCACGCTATGTCGCGACATACACTGATGGGCCTCAGGTCCTGATTAACGTCGATGGCGAGGCAGGCACAGGGAAGTCTTTTATTATTCAGCTCATCTCCTCGCATCTCCAGGAGGAGGCATCACGGCATGGATTACCGAATCCAGTTCTTCGTGCCGCGCCTACGGGCGTCGCAGCTCATAGTCTCTCCGCGTCGACCCTACATACTCTTTTTCGTCTTCCTGTTCAAGATGTTGGGTCTCTCGATCCCCTCCGGCCGGCAGCTCTTCAAGCCGCTCAGGCCACCTTCCGGGGCGTACGGTATCTGATTATCGACGAAAAGTCTATGATCGGCCTTCGCCAGCTCTCCTATATTGACCGTCGTTGCCGCGAGATCTTTCCTGGCGTAAACCAGTCTTTCGGTGGTCTTAGTATTCTCCTCTGTGGCGACTTCTTCCAGCTTCCTCCAGTCTTAGCAACTGCTCTTTACACCCAGAAGAGAGCGCTAAATCTAGATGAGCAGCATGGGCATAATATCTACCACCAATTCGACCGAACGATCAAGCTTGATGAAGTCGTTCGGCAGCAGGGCAATGACGTTGAGTCGATTCAGTTCCGCCAGGCCCTCGACCACTTACGGATGGGCTCTACAACTCGTGACGACTGGACATTACTTAGTACACGAGTGCAGGCTATGCTTCTGTCTGAAGAGGTAGATTCGTTCCGGGACGCTATCCGTATCTTCGGTAAGAAGGCGCCAGTCGCTATGTTTAACTACATTCGTTTACGCGATCTCCGTTCTCCTGTCATGATATGTCGAGCAATTCACGAAGGAGGGTCGAAGGCAGAGAAAGCTCCGACCAACGAGGCAGGAAACCTCCATTCTGAGATTCCGATGGCGTTGGGAACGCGTGTCATGTTGACAGAGAATCTCTGGACCGAACGGGGTCTGGTGAACGGTGCGATGGGCACAGTACGTGATATTAGCTGGCGGGCTGGTACTGATATCCAGAAGGATCCCCCGTCTACACTCCTCGTTCAATTTGATCGATATAATGGACCGACGGTAGATGTAGGCGGCCTGGCTTTGGTCCCAATCTTCCCATCACGCCGCGAGTTCTATATGGGGAATAATTCGTGCTCACGTATACAGTTCCCACTGACTCTTGCCTATGCCATCACAACACATAAGTCGCAGGGAATGACCCTAGCACGGGCTGTGCTGGATATTTCGGAGCGGGAGTTCGCGCCTGGCCTAACGTACGTTGCGGTCTCCCGTGTCAAATCTCTCAAAGGGATTATGTTTGAAGCTCCATTCGACTTCCACGATTTGACACCCCGGAAGGAGAGCGAGACGATGGCGTTCCGGAAGCGGGATGTGCAGAGGAGGGAGAGTCAGCATATCACGGCAGAGGTTTGTTTATATGATTAGAATCAATCGCGCGGTATTGACATAGTACAGGATCTCCGACGGGTGATCGGATCGTCATCCTTGGGTGTGGAGGAGTTCCCGGAAGGCGGAGACTGAGTACTATGAGCAAGGATGTTGTATGGCGTAGGATTAGGATCAAAATATCACGAGATAGATCGGTCAGACGATCAGACGATCAGACGAGAAGAGGGGATCGTTTTACTTCCTACTTGGGAAGTGTGCACTGGTTACGAAGATGCTGTTTTTAAGCGATTTAGCGATTTCTAAAAATCAATGAAAAAGTAGAAAAGTAAACGCCCTGGTCGGGATTCGATGATCTGTGCTCTAGGAAGGCAGAGGTCACGTGCCTACGCTCGTGATGATTTGGGGCAGAAAGCTGACTTTATGCACCACAGTACTATTTTATTAAGACACGATATTACTACCAGTGCGATCGATTCAGAAAGTATCAGTCAAGAGCAAGGATTCTGAACACAAGCACGCGCGCAACAGGATGTCCCTTTAAGCTTGTTATCTTCAAGATAAAGCAATTAGACGATACCGACAAGTAGAGGCTAGAGGTTCAACATAAGCATCATAACCACTCTCGATCACTCGACCCTAGTACGCACAATGTCTATCGTAGACGTACACCGGCTCAAAAAGACCTAATCGAATCAATGACAAATGCTGGGTCCCGGCCGATACAGATATTGAATGCAATTCAAAAGGAGGATCCGGAAACTCGAGTCTCTGCTACCGATATTCGTAACGAGAGAAAGGCAATCAGAGTGCAGCACTTGAATAGGAGGAGTCCGATTAAGACGTCACTAGATAACCTGTCTACGTTGACCCCTACACCTGCCCCTATATCTTCCCCTATTCTATCTTATTCGTCTTTACCAGTCTCTGTTACTGTGCCTATTCCTATGGCTCGATCCCCTCTACAGCCTACTTGGCAACCTCCGTCGTTAGAAGAGTTCTTTACTAATATCGAACGTCGACGGCTTCAGCCTGTTCTATATAACTGTAGTAACTTTGGCATAGTGATCAATTTTTTGGCAGAGACGGGGCAGGAAAATGACCCGATAGAACTGATAGAAGCACGGAATATGGCTCTCGCTATAAGGGGAGTGTATACTTCCTGCACTCCAACAATGGCATAGAATTATCACTTTGGAGATATGAATGATTTCTACGCCGAAAGATTTGCACAAGTCGGTGCTCAAAATTTTATTTCTAGGTCTCAGGATGTGCGCAGACAGCGTCCGAAGAGGGCTGCAGTAGAGAGGGCTTCAAATGCTTAGAAAGGACTTAGCCCGCACAAGAGACAGCGACGTCAGTAGAATATATACTTTGACTCATAAATTGGACAAGACATCGAGATACGCTTCAAACTTCAGTCGAAGGAGCTAACAATAGTGATATATTAAATCTTAGTATAGGATTTGTTGATGAAGCTCAACTGACCTCCGAATTTGGTTAGATGAACTTTCTAGGTGATGAAATGGGTCACGTGAGGTCAGCCGAACCTTTTTCGAGGTCAGCCGAACTGTAGTCACGCTCACTACAGTAGGAGAGCGCTAGTGCCATAAACCGACCCCTGATGGTAACGCTGAATATAAGCGATGCTTTGTGACAGACTTGGGCTTCGCCCAGTCTGTGTGTTGTGGCCTTGCGGCTTAAGGCAGAAGGGATGGGTAGACCGTTTGCCCACAGATGTAAATATCAGATCGCAGTGAGAGAGATCTTCTCCTTCTCTCTTTAGCAATTCAACAGCGTTACCAGCTTACCAAATCCTTCGTGATTTGGGCCCATGACAGAAACATTGATTATTGAAATAGAAGACTAATTGACTTTTCTTGTGACTGCAAATGCTCTTTTAATAAGAATATCCACCTTCGTTTGCTCTGATGCCCGTCAATGAGCAGCGTGACACTGTCTTCTGTCACTCTTCAGCGCGATAGTTCCAGCCTTGAGCCGGAGAGGAGCAGCCTGCCTAAGAGGACTGCGAACAGCGGTCAAGTCACCGTATTAGTTGTCTTCGCTATCCAAACCCAAGTCTCCGCTCCGCCATGAGATGCCACCATGGCCGCCACCGCCGAGGCCATTGTTTGATCTCCATGGCCCTTGATGGCCTCCGTAGATGTATGATCCTCCACTCGGTGGGTGCATGATAGTGCCTGGTCGAAGCGGTGCCCACTCTCCGTTTGGTCCCGCCGAGTCACCCGCAGGATTCCAACTTCCGTCTGTCTCCTGGTACCATGGGCCAGTGTAAACACCAGTCAGCGATCCATTGACGTTGGCGCCACTACCAGCCGAAGGATACCTTCCAGGCAATCCACCAACTCCACCACCGCCCCAGCCAATGTTGGACGAAGGGAAGGTCCCGCTTGATCCAATACCCCAGCTATTGCTCGGATAGGGAGGTTGATTCTGTACCCCCCAACCGCCATCAACACCAGGATTCGAGGAAGGATAGTTGCCCCCCATTCCACTGCCCCAGCCACCATTACTTGGGTAATTTGAGCCCATGCCGCCAGTATAATATCCTCCGCCCGATGGATATAGGCCGCCGCCTCCGGTCATGATTCGAACCCCTGGGTTGGGTCCTCCAGAATTCTCGGGGGCAGTAGTGGAGGAAAAATCATCTGTTGCGTTGCCGGCGTTGGAGTTATCGGTGCCGTTGACTGTCATGGCGATCGATCTCTTTGACAAACTTACTAAGTTTAAGAATAAGGAATTGAAGTTGAGTTATCTCTACGCTAAGGACACATTGAAACAAAGCAGAATCGAAAGGAGTATAAGTAAAGCATTTCAGCATTTCAGCCGTTATGTACAGGGGGCGAACGAAAATACTAGAACAGTTTTTTAAAACCCTTGCATCCCAGGGTTCTCATTCGATTAAAGCGTTCCGCACAGTCCTTTCTTCTTCCTTCTTCTAAACGTATACCGTCTTTTCAAACCCCTTGCATCCCAGGGTTCTCATTCGATCAAAGCGTTCCACATAGTTCTCTTCTTCTTCCTTCCTCTAAACGTATGTTGTGATATAGTATTGTGATGGATCAGAGGTCTATCGACCTGGATGCCTTGTGGCCTTGTGGCCCGTTTGCTCTGTAAACACCAGAACAGATAAACGCCTCGCACACCTTAGATAGATTCCTCCTTCATAGCAACAATTCAATGTTTGCCTCACGATTGGAGATTCCCGACAGTGAGACTCTTACACCTCCGATTCGCCCGGGATTTCGTTGGATTCGACTTTTGCCGGGCCCACGCCACCGACGAGATCTCCTACGAGAGGGGGACGGGTGGTAAGCAAGTTTGGGTATGGCGCCTGTATCACGAGGCGTACGAACCGAAGATGGTCGAGCCTAGGACCACTGGCAAGACCATTTCACGGATGATCTGGGGCTCAATCTCGCGTGACGGGAGGTCAGATCTAGTGATCATGGAGCGCGACGAAGACTCTCCAAGGCAGGGCTATTCCGCAAAATCCTACATCGCCGCGTTGGAGGAGGGGCTCCTCCCTACGTACGAACCCCGGGATATTGTTATCCAGGATAACGCAAAGATCCACACGGCAAAAATCACCCAGGAATGGCTGGAGAATCACGGCATCTGGGTGTTTGATTGGCCAGCCAATTCTCCGGACCTTAACACTATAGAACACATGTGGCATCTATTGAAAACGATGATCAAGGAGCTCCACCCCGAACTGATGCAGATGGGGGCATCGGACGAGGCACGGGAGGCGATGAATAGGGCCTTGAAGGAGGCGTGGTGGGCGATCCCCCAGGAAACGATTCGCCAGCTAATCGACTCAATTCCGCAACGTTTACAAGCGGTGATCAAGGCAAAGGGCTGGCATACGAAATACTAGGCTACTCGCAATTAGACAATAAAAAAAGTATATACTAATCGCTTTCTCTGCGAATTTGAGCGTATCTCACAATGGGGTTGGTCGTGGTAGTGAAATCACGTGGTTGACGACCCTGCACAGACTTCTGTCCTGTTAATTAGTGTAGATTTGAATCATCAATCATCATCATAATACGAACAAATCAGAACCAAACCATAGCAATTACGCGAATTAAAAAGAGTTCTAGGTTGTACACTTCAACGACGACGACGACGACGAAGAGGATATCCTCTGACATGGTTGCCCTATCAACTGCTTCGAATTGCTTGAAGTTCACATTTGAGAGCATGTTTCTCTGTACTTCTATCCTCTTCACAACGTGATTGCCCATATCTTCAGGCGCGTTCGCTGTGTGTTTCGGCGTCATGCGGCTTGCCCATATTCATCTGGCGGGATTGACGCGATATACTTGTGCCGCGGAGCTCCAGACACGACTTCTAGATCGATTCCACGCTCACAAAGCCGACCCATCGAAGTACCCGCTACCAGACGCGACCATCCTCACCGCCGAATTCCATCCAGTATACACCTGCGGTCGTCGAGAGATTGGAAAGGTCAGGCCGGAGCAGATGGAGTATCTCAAAGCTGGAGGGAAAGCAGAGTTCCGTGAGGCTTCAAGAGGAGGTCAGACCACATTCCATGGACCTGGACAGCTAGTTGCTTATCCTATCCTGGATTTGAAGTCCCATGGAAAAGGCACGAGTCCCCGAGATTATGTCTGTAAATTGGAAGGGGTTATCATCAAGACCTGTCGAAATTTTGGAATCGAAACCGAAAGAACCGAGCACACCGGAGTTTGGACAAAAGGTCATTCGCGGACCGAAGGGACCGTTGGACAAAAGAAAATTGCTGCCTTGGGGGTCCATATGCGCCGAAACATTACTAGCCATGGCATTGGCTTGAATGTCAATACGGATTTATGGTGGTTTCGACGAATCGTCGCATGTGGACTCGATGGAAGGCTTACTACCAGTTTTGCCACGGAAGGGGTGGAGCACATCACCGTTTCGGAAGCTGCTGAAGTATTTGTTCGGCAAATGGCGGAGACGCTTGATGTCAAAGACATTTATAAACCATACAAGGACTCCGTCAAGGGCAGCGTTGCGCACGAGCGCATCTAGAGCTCAGTCCAGCAGGATCTGCCTCAAATAATGGGGCTACAACTCTGTTGGCTGTCAGATCACCTACTAGTAAGAAGTCCTTTCCATTCTCGAATTTAGTTCATAGTTCAATTGTGTCCAATGGGTTGTCTACTGCAGGTACGAATACAGATCAAGGACGGCAATTGACTCAAATAGAACGAGATCGGGCTTGGCTATTACCATGTCGTCCGCAACCCAGAGTCCTCGGCTTCTAGCTTTGAACCCAATCAAGCGCTTGTCATCGGACTCAAAAACCACTTTCCCCCATCTAACTCGAGTCGATATCAACCAGGCTATGAGCCGTGCTGTAGGCGAAGTTTCTACTTAGCTCTGGTCATCCCTCATCAATTGCCGCTGATCTGGAAAACAGAAACTCCGTTCAGCCGCATGGTTAGATCCCTTGCTGGGGCCAAACACCATCTCACTTTGTCGTCAGTCCTGCAAGTTGCGGCATATCGTACATTGAATCAGGATCTATCATTCTGTTAGGACGTATCCCTGTGCGTAGGTTGACTCCTTACCTTTCCCATGTTCGAGAAGGAAATCCTTCGCTTCCTTCACTCTGTCCTTGATGTACTTCAAATGTTTCGCCAAGTCCAGCTTCACCTTTTCATTAGTTTTGGCACCGCCTTCAAGCGCGTAACGCGCCACATCATATCTGCTGACATTGTTGAGAAGCAGCATGTCGAATGGAGTCGTCGTACTCCCTTCTTCTCGATAACTCTCGATCGTAACTCGATCCAACCGAGACCTGCCGAACAACAATCCTCGAAGTTCCACAGCGTATCCGTGATAGTTGATATGTACCGGCCGGTTCGGTGGAAACAAAGCGTCGAAGACTTCATTCGTGAGGGAGTGCGGGTGGACACCTTCCGTTCCAAGCACCATGAGGTCGGTAACATTGACAACGCGTACCCGAAGACTTGGCTCGAGATCTCGAAGCAATTCGGCGGCCTTGACAACTTCGAATGTGACCTCCGTTCCAATACCAACCAGAATGACGTCAGGGTTGAGTCCGTCATCGGTGCTCGCAAATTTCCAGACTCCTGCTCCGATGCGACAATGTTCGTCCGCTTCATCGGGTGTCAGGAAGACGGGTGACGGCTGCTTCGATCCCACCATCAGATTGACGTAGTTCTTAGACCGGAGGCAGTAACGCAAAGTGCTCAGGAAACAATTCGCATCCGGTGGAAGAAATACTCGGGCAGCACTGGGCTTCAGGTTCAGTACGGCACCAATGAAGGAAGGGTTCTGATGAGAAAACCCATTGTGTTCCTGCCTAGTCCACGTACTGGTCTCGATGTAATTAATGGAGTGGACATCCCCACGCCATTCCACCTCTTGAGCGATCTTGATGAATTTGGCATACTGCACCATCATGGTGTGAACAATCCCGAGAAAACTTTCATATGAAGCAAAAATTCCGCAACGTCCCGTCAATGTATAGCCCTGGAGAAAACCCTGGCAGTTGTGTTCCGAAAGGACTTCAATGACTCGACCCCCTCGGTTATTCGAGAACTGATCCCACTGGAAGTTTCGGTTCGTAACGTCAAAGACGGGAGTGATTTTGTTGCTTTCAAGTTCGTCAGGACAAAGAAGCCGGATCGAGTGTGGATTCGCTTGGAAGATTCGACTCATATACTGTCCCACAGCCTGCATGGCACTCATCTCGCTCCCTTTCTCACTGCCATCGTCTCTCCAATCTGGCACCTTAAGCTCCTCCAAACTGTTGAAGGACTCCTTGACCTGGCCTAACTTTTTGCTATCTTCCGGGATGATGCGGAGAATGCTGTCCGATGGCTTGCCTTCAGGCAATTTCTGATGTACATCGTAGCTGGAAAGCCAATCTTTCAGAGTCTGGAGATGCCCTTCATCCGTCTTGGCTTTTGCAAGAGGCACTTGATGGGAGTGGAATGACCCTTCGATGATTTTTCCATCCACTTCTTTTGGGCCTGACCACCCTTTCGGTGTTCGCATGATGAGGAGGGGCCACCTGGGTTTAGTGATGGGTTTGTCATTGCGTGCCGCCGACTGGATCTTTCGAATCTCGGTCAACGCCCATTCCATGGAAGCCGCCATGTCTTCGTCGATGCGGTCGAGATTCTCAACGAATCGAACCTGGTAACCGTACCCGGAGAAAAGTGCGGCCAGCTCTTTCTTGTCCATGCAACCAAAGATGGTACGCTCACTGATTTTGAAACCATTGACATGAAGGATAGGAAGGACTGCTCCGGACTCTTTTGGGTCGATATACTTGTAGCCATGCCATGCCGTTGCAGTCGGTCCTGTTTCGGCTTCTCCATCCCCAATCACGCACGCAACGATGAGGTCGGGCTTGTCCATGACTGCTCCAAAAGAAACCGACAAAGCATACCCCAGCTCTCCTCCTTCATGAATCGCGCCCGGTGTTTCTGCATTGATATGGCTGGGAAATCCTCCAGTGACTGAAAATCGAGAAATAAGATTGTGCAGACCTCTCTTGTCTAGACTGTATTCTGGATAGAACCTTGATATTGACCCTTCAAGCCACAGGGTAGCAAGCATGGCCGGCGCACCATGTCCTGGACCGACCACATAGATCATTTGAAGATCATGTTTTCGAATGAGGAAGTTCAAATGAGCGTGAACAAGAATCAGTCCTGGACATGTTCCCCAATGCCCTAGAAGGCGTGGTTTGACGTGGTCGAATTGTAGTTCTTGTTCTAGGAGCACATTATCCTTCAGAAATATCATAGCAGCCGCAATGAAACAAGCGGCCGCTCGGAAGTTCTCCAGTCCGACTCTTGCATCTTCGGGCAGGTCTGGTTTCTCGATTATGATAGCAAGTTCCTGGACGCCCTCAGGGAGATGAGATGGTAGCGGCTCAGGATTTGGACGTTTAACAACCTCCACAGGCATGGTTTCTTCTTCACAACAGTCGATGTTTTGTAGTTTAGTGTTGAATATGACTCAAGAGAATTTCTCTAAGCATGAACAAACTCTGACTTTGAATGGAGGTGAAATCGAAATAATTTGGCCTCGGATGCCAGGTTCTGAAACTTGGTGAGTTGTTGATATCACAATGAAATGTGGATCATTCTCAACACACGGTTCGTTGACAAATGTCCAGCTTTTGAAATGCAGGTAATAGGGTATAAAGGTCACAGTGGAGTCTTGTCAAATTGTGATAGTGGAATCTAAAGCTCATTTTGAGTCCTGGTATGCAGGTTCGCGTTTGACGTCATAGTATGGTCATAGGTGGACAAGCTTATGCAGAGCCTAGGTGTTTACCTTGCACGATTTGGCAACGCAAGTGGGATCTACCGACCTGTAACTCTATGAACTTGTATCTGGAATGTCCGGATGGTCTTCTCAAGCCTTGCACACATATCAGCTATCTTACTACCAGACTTCGCTGTTTCCTCAGTTATATCCTATTCATTCAAGTTTTCGCGAACCGATTTGGAGTAATTTCCGAGCCCGTAGCATGGAACAAGGTCTGAGACCATTCTGGAAATCCTCAGTTTCTGGCGGCGCAGTTCTGAAAGTTTGGAAGAGCATGTCAACCGGGTTGGAATCAGCTAGATTCTCTATGAAGATACTGTAATTCGAATCTGGCCCTGCTATAACGCCCCTCTCAATCTCCTAGTGGATATGCATGTAGCACCTGGCCATAATAGAGTTCGGCGTCCTTGCTGGCCAAAAAGACGAAGCTCGGAGCGATCTCGCTTGGTTGTCCCGGTCGACCAATACGGGATTCCTCCCCAAATCCTTCCATTTGTTCGGCAGGACGGGAGGCGACTTGGATTGGGGTGTGTACTGGACCCGGAGCCACACAATTGACCCGAATGCCCTTTTTGACTAGCTGTACTGCTAAAGCCCGAGTGAACGAGACAATCGCGCCCTTAGTGGCAGCATAGTCAACCATAGAAGCAGTTCCACGAAAGGCAACAGTGGAGCTTGTGTTGATGATGCTAATATTGATTAGCGGAGGGTTTGAGTGAATGAATCTCGCCAATGTGGACATGATAGATGAACCGAACGATTTAAGTGCCACAGTCGCTGAATCCAGCCGCAGAGAAGAATAGGACGACTGAAAATCGACGAGTGCTTTCCAAAGCATCGCGAATACTGACTGGCTCATACTGGTAAAAGAGTCGAACGTACCTGGAGCCTTTTGGCATATGAGGAAGAGCATACTTCGTTATCGCGAACATTTGGAGGATGTTGCTTCGGAATGTGCTCTCGACATTGTCCAAATCGATATCAGCAAAATCAGGGCACATGATCTGCTTTGATGCATTGTTCACAAGAACATGGAGCTTGCCAAATCTGAGATGAAGTTAGCGTCTTTCGTGGAATCTTCCTAAATTCCAAAAGGATTTGGATGGCCCACTTATCAACATGCTTCTGCACGGCTTCTTTGCAGGTAGCATTGTCCATCAGGTTCCCTGGAACAAGTAGACATTCCCTTCCTTCCTTTTCCACCAGCTTCTTGGTCTCTTGAGCATCATCCTTTTCCTCAGGGAGGAATACAATCGTGACATCCGATCCCTCCCGAGCAAACAATACTGCAACGGAACGACCAATTCCAGAACTGCGAGTATAAGCCATGATTCAATTGCAACGATAAAACACTCACTCTCCACCAGTGATCAATATCTTGTTTCCCTTGAGCTTTCCCGCAGCAGCGTACTCAACAAAGCCGCCCTCACCTTCAAGAGCAGTAGGTTCACTTTTCGGCTGCATGTGGGTCTCCTTTCTGGGAGAGGTTAGAGAGTTGGACTGCATCGGATCAGGACATACCCAGGTTGATCCTGAGCTTGAGCCTTGGCGATAGGCTCGAATTTGCCTTGCTGGCCAGCTTGAGATGACATGATGAATTGAAAAGTGCCCGCCAAAGTTATGAATGAAATCGACAAATGTTTGACAGAGAATTTACAACTACGGAAGTAAGTTATGTAGAAGTCTGACTGATAACTTTCTATGGTGATCCCGCATCACAACTACGTCACTCCAAGCAATGATCACATTAGCTCTATGGAATTGTAACCAGCCGCAGTAAAGTAATTCCTCAAATAATAGTGTTTTCCATGGTACTCAGTATGACTGCCAATTAGCTAGGGCTTGATCCTGTCCTCGTTATGTTCGCCATCATCGAGCGCCTCCACGGAGCAGATAGTCTCACCACTCTATATCCCAAAGATGCTGGGTATACTCAGGGAATTACTCACCCAGCATATCTTTTGCCGCAGCCATTTCGATTGAAAGAGTGTAGATCATCAGACCGTGTCTCCCTCGCGATAAATGTACCATTCAGAGGGTCCTTGTAATATGAAATGGGCTACTATAGTAGAGTTTGGAGAAAACGACCGGGGTGGAAGCCCACGGCAAGATACATTTTACTTCAACTTTATCGTATTGGGACTGGGTGCGGGCGCTGTCCAACCAGCAAGTGCCAAGTCCTCCTGGGACCTACTTGGTCCTGGATATTGGGCAACCAGGGAGACGCGGTTGTTCTAGTTGTACCCGGCGGACGCCCTTTGAGAGGAACGGGCAGCCCAGCCGGTAAGTAGTGTCTTGTTGAATGTTGATCGTTTTGGTGTGTCAATCAATCACGGAAACAATAGGATACCTGTTCAGAGGCAGTGAGATGCTTGTATTCGGTCAGAAGTACATAGTTTACCTTGACGGCCTGACGGGTATATATACCCAGGCTTATGCAATCTTATGTAATTTACAAGGTGCAGTGACTAAGTAATAGCCGCGGATTTCCGACATGTCTGCTCCGGGCCCATACATTTCGCAAGGGAAGCATGGGATCGGAAATCAATGACAACATATTCTCGGGTGAGTTTGAAAGGGATCCTGATGGTAACATTTTTAATGCTGCCGGCCATCGAACGGAATCTGATGCTCAGCCGCTCAGGTACGTGGGTGATTGTACCTGTCACATGGAGGTCACCTGACTTCAGTGTGTGTTTGGTCACGTGGTTTGTGTTTGCTCGGAGATATCTATTGTTTACCTCAGCAAGCTCAGGCCATTTGTGGTCGTGCCAAGGCACCGGAGTGGGACTATACCTAATCGGTAAGTCACATGCACTCCTCGAACAAATAGTTTACCTCAGCAAGCTCAGGCTATTTGTGGTCGTGCCTGAGGCAACAAACCACACTATACCTAATCGGTCAATGCAGTTCTCGAACAAATAGCCTGAGGATTCTGTCAATGGTTCACACTGACTGTTCGATAATTTTCATGTGTTTTTCACGATTTTGGAAACCTCACTTTTGCATATTCTTCAATAACAACACAAGGACTTATTATAATTGCCCTTAAATTCACTGGGCTGTGCAGCAAGATATACTTTATCTAGAATTTGAATTTTTTCCACTCCGGATGCTTGTGGCTTGCAAAAAATGCTGATATGTAAGGAACCAAATTGCATCAGAATCGTCAACCAACCACCGCAGTTCGAGTACCAGTTCGTAGCTATTCTCTGCTCTCTGGAGACGTTGGGTTCAGTCGTACGCTGCGCCGAGAGGAGGTTCGATCTGAAATCGTCCAAGTTTCACTGGGTTGTCAAGAAACGATAGAGGATTCGATTGAACGTGTCAATTTTACTGTGTGATAGCTCGTTGTGGAGGAAAACGAGGTTGAAGTGATTAAATTGCTCTCATACAAACGATCTCGACTCAGGCCGAAAATCAATGACAGGATCCTCAGGCTATTTGGTAGAGGACCATACCAATTAGGTATAGCGCGGTTCGTTGCCTCAGGCACTACCACGATGGCCTGAGCTTGCTGAGGTAAATAAACCTTGAGTCACTTCCTCCGGGGGGGACGAAATTGAGTTACGTTTCTTGGCATTCCCCTATGCACAGTTCCCACGATCTTAACCAGAACGCGGCGGAGAATTCACCAAAACAGACCTCTAGTAGTTGCTTAGTTAGGAAAAGAGTATACTTTTTGGTATTATGCTGTTTTTGAGCGAATTGGGCCTGCCTGTGATGGTGGTGATGGTTGGGGGAATGCCAAGAAACGTAACTCAATTTCGTCCCCCCCGGAGGCTTCGTTCCTTAAGGCACCTTGAGTTCCTAAAGGCAAAGCGGCGGCATAGACCTTGAGTTCCTCAAGGCATGAAAGTGGTTCTCGCAACTTCTGCGATCAAACCGCCTCAGGGGGAGGCAGAAAACTTTGACAATACAGAATTAGGACGACTAAAGATTCATAATCATAGAAATCTTGTAGGAAAAGCCAGAAAGAAGACTAGCATCCAGTTTACATATCCGATTTAACGGCGCCCGACAAGTCAACGATCGCCTAAAATCAAACATGTTTTTTGGACTTGTTGGGGATTGGGTCAGTCTAATGAATTCCCCTCCAGTGGAACATCAATTTGGTGGCTTTCAGAACTGCTAGGGGTCAGTAAATAAGCGTCGTGGATAGAGTGTGACGTTTAGAACAGCTGCTGTAATTAATAGGAGGAGTGGAGGGTTAGAAACTCAGATTTGCATAGTTGTCCCATCCATGTCCTTGGGTTCCGCGGAGCAAGTGCTTGTTACAACAGCATTAACTAGGCTTCTGCGGGGAAATATTTAATTACCCAGTGGTTGCATCGTTAGTGGGAGACCCGGATCCCCGAGGTACCCTCCACTATTTTTAGCCCATGTTATCTCAGCCACGTATGCTAATTGCTAATGGCTTATAAATATCAATGGCTTGAAGGCTTTTACGGTGAAGCCATGTAGTAACCCCATGTTGGCCGACTGCTATTTACTGTCATGAGACCCTCCCCAAATTCCGCGACGGTGTCAATCTCTCCTTGGTTTCGTTTAGAATCTCATATGCGAGTCCCATGATTTTACATGTTTCGTTCAGTTGGTTTGGCTATCAATGGCTTTCTTTGGCCTTTCCTCCCGGGTTAATCTTGTCTTTATTGCTACGGCCGTATGCATTGTCTCGAATATCGGGCTTCGACTGAACAATGGCTTCGAAACCGAAATGTACTCCGAGTTCTTCTGCTGGACTCTATTATCGGTCTTGTGGCAGTCCAGAAGATTCGTGGAGATACCAGTCGCAGATTTTGATTTGCGACTATCTCCCGCGGAAGCAACGGCGCTGGCGACAGGTATCAGTGCCAGTTCCCTCTTCCGTGGTATTGAGGATGTTGGCTGGATAAGTGTATGAATCCTCTACAGAGTGAGACGTTGTTCTGACGCATTGCTTTCGTCGTAGCCACTTTTAACCCTTTCGTTAATGGGTTACCGTCTGTTTCTGAACGACTCTGGCCTCCCCTCATGGACCAATGTATCGACTTCATGGCTTTCTTCTCTTAGAAACATATCGAACTTGTTCCGGTCATTCTGGACTGCGACTCCGATTGCCATCGTCTCCTCCTTCAGCTTGTTGCGCGATCCCTCAGGTCCCAAGCTTATCCTGTCTATGTCCTTTCTTGCATCCCAGCTTGCAATATACATACCCATCACGAGGTCCATAGACGCCCTAAAAAAAAACTCAGGGAAGGAACGGCTATCAGGTGGCATTAGACATGTAGGATTGCGTGTACTGTTGATTGCGCCTGTGCTTGCACTTTCAGTCGTTATTGGGTCAAGAGGTGCAATAGAGTTGGACCGGCCTGTCGTTGATATAGTTGAGGCCAGTGTTCTAAAAGTTTTGTCGTGGGCTTCTCTGCTCTACATTGTACGTCTGCGGTTTGACTTTTGTCCATGATTCGTCTGAGTACTGAAGCTTTCCAGGTAAATAAGGAGGTCTTGGTCGAGGCCGCTACAATAATTTCCACTGTTTCCTTTTGCGCTGCTTACTATCCTCTTTTTAATGGAATTCAAGCGTTGTATCCTGTAGTTCCGGCAGTACTGGCGCTTTATCAAATTGTTCATTTCGCGACAAAGTCATTTAACGCGCGGCATGCGGTTTTCATATTCGTTCTCTTACTTTGTCTAGGCGCTACTCCATATATCACGCATGTCCTAAAATCCCCTTTGCAAGTCAGCGAGCATCCGATCGAGATTCTCATCCAAAAGTTCACAGAAGACTTCAGCTCAGTCTTAACGCGCCAGTCTTCTACCGTGGAGGAGGCTCGTCAGAATTACCGAGCTCGATATGGAAGATCTCCCCCGGAAGGGTTTGATGGGTGGGTCACATTTGCCCTCGAACGCCTCTCACCCCTAATTGACGACTTCGACTCGATTGATGAGTCTCTTCGACCATATTGGAAGTTCAGTGGGGCTCAATTGAGGACCAATCTTCAGGACGCGTTAACCAATCCGGATTCCAGACTCATGACCTTCTCTTTCAAAGAAGGCTTGACTGGTCTCGGCAACAGTGGATGGATTGGAAATGAACTCGATTCCATGCTAAGAGGTGCCGGGCTTCCCGATTTACAAATGACAATCAATCAACTCGATGAGCCCCGAGTGTTGCTTTCTCGTGAGCCTGAGGTCGAACACGACGTTCAATTCTTTGACTCCAGTCGAACATCGAACTGGGACCTCATGGTTGAGTCATGCGAAGGGGTATATTCACCATCTCATCCTCGAACCCCACTTGACACATTTGGGTTGCCATTTGTCCAGCATGCAGATCACGAGACGGATCTCTGTCGGCATCCCGAATTCAAGTCTCTCCATGGATTCCTTGATTCACCAGAGACTTTCATATATACAAACTCGGCTGTCCCGGTGTTCTCCCAAGCGAAGCCTTCTACCTTTTCTGATATACTCTATCCGAGTCCATTCTACAGTGCTTTATATAGCCAGGGACATTACAATGAAAACGATGATCCTCCCTGGTCAGACAAAAAAAATCGACTGTACTGGGCAGGCTCCACTACCGGCAGCCACCAAGCTAGTACATGGAAATCCCATCATCGACAGCGGTTCATCGCATTGGTTAATAGCCTTGATAACTCCACACATACGTTCCTAATCGAGAGCAAACCTGGGAATTGGGTCCCGACAATGTCCCATGAGATCTTCTCTCAACTCTATGACGCCAAATTCACCGACGTCATCCAATGCGAAGGGGCAACTTGTGATGAAGAGAAGGGGTTTTTCCACCTAGAAGAGCGTGAAGGATATGGTACAGCCTTCAAAAATCATTTTCTCTTTGACCTGGACGGGAACTCGTTCTCTGGACGGTACTATACACTGTTGCGGTCCCGGTCAGCTGTACTCAAACAAACCATCTTCCGGGAGTGGCATGATGACCGGCTTGTACCATGGGTACACTATATTCCAATAAGCCTCAGTCTACATGAGTTGCCTGAGGTAATGCGATATTTCGCTTTAACAGATGTCGGAATAGAAGCAGCAAGGAAGATTGCAGAGCAAGGCAGGGAGTGGCAGCACAAGGCCTTACGATTACAGGATATGAGTGTCTATTTATATCGGCTATTGTTAGAATACGCCAGACTGCTGGATACGTTAAGACCAGCTGGAGAATATGATAAAATTGAGTAGCTGTTGAGATTTGAAGATCTGAAGTTCATCAGATTCAGCTAGACCGGTAGTGAGAGCTTTCCCACGCCCAATGCTATTTGGAATTCGATCAATTCCCTTTCTTCAACGTCATATTCAAAGCCGGTATATCCAGCCCAATCGCCATCCCTTTCTCATCCAATTCAAAAACAAACTCATCCAAACTAACCCCATTATACACAAACTTATCCAGACTGTCCATCCACGTAATACAAGTCGGCGTGCCAGCATCAATTGGAGCGGCTATATCTTGCAACACAGCTCTAAAGGCTTTTCTGCTACTTTGCGCCGTCTGATCCACGAGATTCGTCGCATACAACCTAAAGTCAAGAGTGTCTGATGGAATGGAGTATAACTCAGCAAATGCAGCTCTGAGATCTTTGGAACCGCTGGTCCAATTCGTGAGTGAGAGTCCGGATAGTCCATCGATGGTAATGAGTAGCTTCGAATCGCCGAAGTTGTAGGTACCAGCGTAATTCAGAAAAGCTTGTTGGATGGCTGACTTTTCCAATGCTGGGAGCAGGTATGTCGAGATGAGGTCAGCATGTGCGTTGAGATCAGCGGGGGCAGCCGTATCAGCCGATAAGATGGCAAAGCCCACACCCCAATCAGGTGCAAGACCAAAGTAAGATGAATAAAGGCCTTGAGCGCCAAACTGAGTGTAAATGGGTACAAGTGCGCCGGTGGATTTTCCAGTGAGGGTTGCCCGATAGATACTGAAAGGTGCTCCGATATCATCGGCGGCATTCGAGGTCTGTGAGACGGGTTTTAGCCAGCGGTTTGTGGAAACTTGGCTGAGAAGCTCTGAGCGGAGAATTGCGCGGCCAGCTTTGGACAGATCGGTTACTGTTGAGTACATAAAGTTTGCTGCTAAGGCTCTGTTTCCAGCATAAGACTTTAACCCGAATAATTCAAGCATATGGAAGACCTACGTGCTTTCATCGATTCTTCCATCCGCCCAACCACTAACTGTTTCGTTGGTCGGAATAACAGCGTTCTTGGTATTGTTTGGTGCACCAAGTGTGCTCGAACGCATGTTGAGAGGTTGTAAAAAACTCTGGTCGAAGGTAGTGTTGAAAGGTTTTCTGTTGATGTTTTCTACTGCTAGAGCAAGAAGCTGGAAGGCTGCATTTGAATAGGTTGGGGTGCTTGATGGGAGATTGACGGGTCTTCGTTTTGCCATGAGCTTGAGGAAATCTCGGTGATTTTTGGAAAATGTAGAAATGAGTTGTTGGTTTTTGGTGGGCAAGATCGAGGCAAGAGCTTTCGGGACCGACTTGTTCGAAAGACTATCGAGGGTCGCTGTGGTGATTGTTAGTACGCGGGAAACATTCTCTGGGGTGCGCAGAATCTTACCATCTCTTCCTATGCCAGCCATATTACTCGCTAGATCAATGAGTCGTACATCTTCCCACTTCACACTCTCCACAGGCTGGCTTCCTTCGGATGCAGCAAGTTCGGGGACATGTTTGGTTATCGGATCAAGCCAATGAGTGTCTCCAGCGGCGACAAGGAATGCATAGACAGTAAAGACTGAGGTAATGCGGGCGACATTGTAGACACTATCAGCGTTCACCTCTCGTACGCCAATTGGGCCGGCAGTTGAGTTGGAAGCAGTGTGATGATATTGATAAAAGAAAGGAGAAGAGGCGTTTGATAAAGGGTCCGAGGAGAACAGGGCTACGCTGAATGATGTGGTATTTGTCGTTGCTGTGAAGTCGTGGCTGTCGCCAGTGGACAACGCGTCAAGCGCAGCTGTGAGATTCATAAGAGCAGCCTGTAGAGGTTTAGATGTAGGTAAACCGGTTGGTAGAGGGAATCTGGGACCAAGTAAGGGACATGGCTGATATGAATCCAGAGACCGGACTGACGGTACGGCAGAGAAAAGAAAGACCAAGGGAGTGAGGAAATGCATATTGGAAGTAACAAGTGAGGCAGAAGAGTGGAAGTGAAGTATACAAATGACGGTGGATATTTATTATATTTATACTAGCTTGAATCATCGTTCTTTTATTTTACCTTGACTTTGCACTGAATGGACTGAATTGATCTACCCCAGGAGGCCCGACTTGATCCCTGCATGTGAAGACCGAGATAGCGCCTTGGCATCAATCAGGGGTTATCACTCATCAGGAAGCATCCGATCTGCAGGGAAAGCAATTGGAAAATGTGGCGTTGGAATTTGTCAAGGCTGACGTTGTTGTCTCCATTACACTCTACCCCAATATGTATCCTGTCGGGCCAAATTCGATCCGCTTTTGCCAGTGTTCCCACACTTTCGGATCCAAAGAATGACGTGCGTCTACCGATAAGGCTTTGAAGTGCGCTGACGAGGGAAGCAACGCGTCCACAACAGCAGCAGGCTGAAGACGACGGATGATTTTCATCGTTGTACTGCCATATGCTGAAGACGGCCACAGCCTTCCGTCGTTCTCTCCATTGTCGTCCATGGCAAAGCATAAACTGACCATTGATTTCTCAGAGGGAATCTGATCGGGAGTTGATTCTTCAATTTCCATGCATCGTTCAGCTAATGCAGCGGACATGGCACCATTCCACGGACCTTCGATTCCTGCCTGGCGAAGGCAGTTGATCGCTCTTCGCCTCCATGCCGAGTTCCGATGTTTGAGTGCAGCAAGATATAGCGGAGGGATGATCCCTAGTTGAGGCACGAACCTGATTTCCTGACGTCCACGAGTGCTACGGCTCTCAAGATTACTTGAGGCCAGCAGCTCCTCCGCAGAAGTGATGATATGCTCGAATTTCATGCTCTCCAAGGTCCATGCCTCCTCGTATAAACAGAAAAGGTTTGCGAGAAGAGCGGAGAGAGCTAGACAAAAGCTCCTTAGGATTCTCCGACTTGTGTATCGTGGGAGTGATGCTTTATCAAGTAACAAAGAGTCGAGGAGGGAATTTCCCTGCTGCAACATGTTGAGCAGGCGATTTTTATCTTGAACCAACTTTCCTGCGGAAGTACCAGCTGCATTACGAGCAGTTTCCGCAACGAAAGCATACGAAGCGTGAATGACATGTATGATATCTCCCTCGGCCAACAAATCGACATCCTGCGCTAATATGTACCGTTCGAGAGCATCTAATGGGCATACTTCCATTGATGCCAACCGAGTGCCGTTTGTGTATGAGAGTATCTGAATGTCAATGACGTGAAGTAGAAGATGGAAATCTGAAGCGATTTCAGGGTGTAACTTCATCGCATCGGGGTAGGGGTTGGTATCTGTTGACGGCGAGGATAAGAAGTGGCACTCTGTGTAAACCATCTGAAACACTGCGTTGATATGCTTCAGAGCATTCTGCCTTCGACGAAATAGCAGTTCAACGGAGCACAGTACCAGACAAGTGGTAAAAACCGATGGGAGGCGTGTAGCAAGATCCTCCACATCATTTCGTAGCAGCGACACAGCCGACCCGTAGTACTGGGAGTATATGTCTTCGAGATGAGACAGTACGTCATGCGACAGGACTTGCAGCTCTTTTGCCGCGCCATACACTATGCAGGCAGCTTTTGCGCCAGGAGAAGCGTTGGCATAACGTTCAAGTACATGCTTCCATGCTTTTTGACCAACAGGACAAAAAGCGTCATCAAACTCCAGAAGACTGTTCAATCCGATATGAGATAGTAAGGCTGGATCAAGATGGGCTTTGAACGCTGTTGAATTATTTGGGTCTTGGGATGAAGCAGCCAAAACAGCGCCAGAAGTATTGATGTTGTTATCGCCTGGCAGCATGCCCTTTGGTGAATAGCCTCCGCATTGTATCCGGGATTGAAAGCACCGAAGGCATTGTGGTTTAATTTCGTCGCATTTGACTTTGCGGGATCTACTCTAATCCATAAGTATGCAAGTCTGTAGTCATTAATAGATTAGACTCACTTGCACGTAACACAGCCACCACTTGACTGGCCTTTGGTCAGGACTCGAGTGCGCGCTTTCATCATAACCAATTCGATGTGGAGTCCTTCATGCAACCAGCTCGGACTTTAGCTCACAAGAAGTCGTTGTATAAAGCCGAGTGCGCCGCGAACATCCGGTTCGAAGCGGAGCAGGAGTAAAATTTGACGCCAAGGTCTAACACCGAGATAGCTTCAATGCCCCTTTAACCCATTAGTCGCTCAATAAAGGAGGTTTGACGCTCCGCGTTAATGATAGGATCCGTGGATTCGTTGGCTGTAGACGCGGGCTCAAGATGTGAAGTTGGTTATATGGATAATGGTGAGAAATGGAGCCTTGACGAATTGCTCGATACCATATCCATACATATCGGACATGACAGGGATGTCAGCGATTATGGTTTCTTACGATATATCTCTCACTCGGCAAGTCAGTTTGAGCAGAGAGAGGTCACAAAATTACATCTAGAGACCATAAAAGCCGATCATTTTTTATTGTACATCCACACTCCATTTGATTGCGTGCCACCTTCCTCCGAGTTGTGCTGTGGAATTCACATCCGGCGTATTCTTCATAGCACCTAAATCTGCCTCGCCATCACCAAGTGAACAACGCCAAGGACAATGCTAATTAGACGAATGGCGGTACCATTCAAAGGTTCCTCACACCTGGAGACGGTAACCATATCGATCCATATCCCATACTCAGCACACTTCCCTTCAAACTGTACCGTCCCGCTCACGCTGGCGAAAGAGGTCCTTCCCACGCCGACAAAACAAGCCCCTTCCAAAACGCCTCTTCATGAGCTTCCATATTTATGAGGTGCATAATCTGGCTCACGCCTCTTCTATAGTGACTTCGACCGTCTTTTCAATATACACGTGCATGTCTGGTGAGTTCGAATCCGATAACCTTGACAATCTTGGTGTGGTCGAGCGTGCCTGAGAAGGCTGTGTGATGCCCGAATTAGTATCACATGCCGTATGGTTCTCCGCGCCACCAGTAATGACAGTTGTCCGAGCGGGGACATTATGCGGAAGGGCATTTGCATGATGGCCGGACGAAGAAGCTCCTAGATCGGTGGATAACCCCGTCACAAAGGAAACCCTCCTAGAGTCATGACACTGTGTTGTGAACATCTGCTGGTGATTCACAGACGAAGTAGGCGGAAGGAAATCTGCATTATGACTGGACGGAGAAGCGGCGAGATCGGCGGATGACCCCGTCACAAATGAAACCCCCCTGGAGTCGGGATTGTGCGTCGTGGGTATCGCCTGGTGGTTCACGGACGAAGAACCAACATCTGATGACGACTCCCGGCCGTCGATGGAGGAGTGGGAATGATTGGAGAGGGGTATAAGAGGGACGTCAGGTGTGCGAGGAGTTGGTGGGAGGGTCGCCACTCCTGAACCCGATGACGGTTTGGATCGCGAGGCTGAATTCGTATCTCGGCGCCACGGACGGCTGTCGAATCGAACTAGGTGCCGTGTCCACCCATACAGGATCGCATCTACCCAGCCAATTGATGTAAGGCAACAGCCGGCGAATATATATAATCCAGTAGGCGCTGTGGATCCTGACATAGCAACCATGCGGACGACAGCCACAGGAATCGTGAGACCACAGTAAAAGACTGGATAAAGAGCCATGTTCCGTGCGATTCGGCTAGCGAGATCGGTGGTATGAAGGAAGTTGTTCCTATCGTTGGACACCCGGAATAGTCGGATGAGGACAATGCTATAGACGAGGATGAGGCCGAATTGGAAGATGAATACCCAGAGATAATGAAGGGTCAGTCTACTGGTGTCATATCGATCGGAAATCCAACACTAATTCCTGGTCAGCGTAGCTCTAAAGGTGACAAGCAAATGTAACATACCCAAGCCCCAGCCCGTGCAAAAAAGGAATGCTCATGAGTCACAGGCCCAATCACGGTCAGAATGATCGACACTATCCAAGTGAAGGCAATTCCAACCACAAACCACCGACCGGAAAGGGTTCTTGCCCTCCCCATCACCGGAAGGCAATACAAGGTGTGAAGGGCAATGGCCACTGAGAACCCTCCTGACGAAATATCCCCGAGCTGGATAAAGACGGCTTGGAAAACACATGTTCGACTGGGAGAGAGAACAGCGCCAATCCTAAGCCAATGCCACGAGACGGCAAAAGCGGCTCCTTGGAAAAAGTCTGCGAGCAGAAGATTCAGCACGAGGGAGGCCGACTGACTGTAACCGGCCAACGTACCGACCCTGTAAAAGTGGTGGAGCATTCCCTTGCACATGTAGGCAATGAGAAGGAAAGTGGCCACAAGTGACAGGGTTCCAAAGACTGAGAGAGCAATAACCCCACGTGCGATAATGTTGTCCTGGCTTAAGAACAGTGTTTGATCGGCCATCGACACATTGGACACGATGCCAGCAACGGCCGGTAATGCGGCAATCCCATAGTCAAGGTTGAACGCGGATTCAATATCGGGGTGAAATTCCGGCGGTATCATGGCTCTAGTGTTCATGAGGTCGTCTGGGTCTCGTAGACAGCCACGATCGAATGTTTTAGAAGGTTTGACGTGAGAGGTTGTTTGCGAAGTTGGTAGGGATCAGACAAGCGTGATGAGGAGGATAAACGATAAGCATGAGTATATGGTGCCGGTAAACTAGGCGCAAGTATACGATGTACGAAAACGAAATGTGAGCAGAGGATGTAGGTAAACGAATCGTCAGTGTAGGGTAGGTAAACGAATCGTGAGTGTAGGATGTAGGTAAACAAAGGGTAAGAGTGAATTTCGACGTCGCGTGTGATCTATATCAATTACAGTCCCCGCTATCATCGCGATTCCAAATGAGGATTCCATGGAAAAGCGATTATGCCCAAGGGCGCCTTCACACGAAATCCTCCACTTTGTCTAAGGAGGTCAAGCTTCTTCACCAGGCTGATCGAGGAATCAGTGACTCAGAAGGATCAGAATGCGAATGTGAAGGATATTCAGGTCGTCAAGGAGAATGAATTCGACATGGTGAATCGCCAAGGTAACAAGAGAGCTAAAGCTGTGCAACCAAGTGAATGGTTAATCTTCAATCTAGTAGAATTTTCAGCACATGGCTCAGGACAATCGCATGTAAAACGCCGAGAACACATGAAGGCCAACAAAGGATTAAGAATGATGAACTTCATGGAACAAGATAATCAAAGCATGAGAAGAACGAGGGCCACTCGGCTGTCAGAGCGACAAGGTGCAGTCCATTTGCCCATGGACGTTCATGTTTTGGCATTGGATTAAGGCTAGCTTGCGCCACCGTCGACGTGGTCTGGAACTTGCATATGTTTACTAGGTGGAAAAGAATATTGGTCTGGGATGGAACGTGGGGAATTTGGTGTTTGAATCGCGTGGTTGAGGAGCAGGGCTTCTGAATCGTCATGTCCAGTATCCGAGCCAGCATCACCATTTTTCTGGGGGTAACAGATGGCACATGTTCAATATTTCCCGGACGGAAAATGCCAATCAGCACCAATGGCTGGGGACATGAGAGCTGATGACCAAACCAAAATGGCATTGTTCCTGAACGAAGATGTTTGCCTTCGGTAAAGGGGACAGAAGGATAGTGACAGATGGATATGCCTCAGGGATGCATTGTGTGCTGGAAGTTACTCCGTACATACGGAACTTTGTCAGATCCGGGCATTTAGATATTAGCATCTGGATGTCAACATCTAGATGAGGTCTGGCTAGCATTTGGAAGCGTCGGGAGTCGGTTCGGATGGAAGCGAACCGTCAAACGTGGTGCGAATCTGATGAGAAAGTCAGAAAACATTGTGGACAAGATCTGGAAGCAGAGCAGGATGTCACCAAATCTTCCCTTTCCCCGCAAGCGCGTCGCGCCGGCACGCCACTGGACTTAACCCTGGCAGCCTGACTCCGGTACTGTGGAGATTTGGACGGGGCGACGGGCTCATCCGCTTCTCTGGAGACTAACATCCCGAGTCAGCTTGTACATGCAGACGGCTGCGGACGAAATATTTCCGTTTTCTGTACCATCGATTTTTAGTACTGCGCCATCGAACTTTGGTGAAATGTTAAGTGTACGGGAGCGAATCCAAGCAGCTGTCAAACCTCCCGAGGAAAAGTGGAATCGCTGCATCTGAGGGAGGAATGCGGAGCATAGATTCATCGAGCCGGGACAGATACTTAGCATGTCGGGCAGCCCATCATCCCTTCGAATACTCTGGTATTCATCGATTAAGTCTGGCAAAGAAGGATTTCCCTGACTCGTAATCCATAGAGCTGGAAAAAGCGGCCAGACAACCCCCTGAAATCATGATTCCTCCGATCTAATAGATTGCACCAGACTCGTGGGGTGTCTATCGTAAAGTGAAGCCGGGCTGACTGCTGGACTCGGTGACATACAGAGTACAGAATGCATCCTTTCAACGGTAATAGCTTGGCTCAACAACTACGCGGGGTCCGCGAAGAACACATGTCCACATTGATATCGTATACATCGTAAATCATGGCTAGAGGCTAGAGTACCCTGTACCAGGGAGATGGAAGGACATATTCACCCGTCGATACACCACCCACAATGAACAGCTTCGCCCAGAAAGCGAGGATGTTATCTACCAGTAGTAAAACATACACAAGTGGGTAGATCGGGACTTCGGTGGATAAGGAGCTGGCCATACCTCACCCTCGATGTTATGTAACCTCCAAGGAGGCCAATGAATAGCAGCATCCAATGTAAATCAACATCGGGGGCTGGAAAATATTGCATAATAGTATTGTGTGGAAGAGAATTGATCATAGCTAACAAGAACTTTCATCTTTTCTGCGCCATACGCTTGTAACATTTTAGCTCAGCGCACATACGAGGTTACGAGATTAGTACAGAACAAAGGCTTGATTCGCATTTGACCCTGAGAGAGTCCAAATTGAAGACCAATCCCCCGCAAAGGGGAAAGCATAATGGTAGGCAAGATTTGTTGAAGGGTGCAAATGGAAGGGAAATCAAAGGTACCAAGGCACAAGGTAATCTGACGGTAATTATATGATGACCACTGGTCCTACTCCTCCCCCACCCCCTCGCCCTGTCATCGTTAAATGATGTGTCTGCGATCCTTATCTTCTCACCTTATCGCCTTGTCGCCTGAGGACTGAGGCAGAGACAGGCTGGCAGACCCAGGCTGGGTGGCTGGCAGACCGCAGGCCGCAGGGGCCAGGCCGCCAGGGCATCATGATAGCGCACGGACATCAGCTTCTCCACTGAACGAGGAGTTCCTACAGTTCGACCAGCTGCATCGATCGTCATCAAAACATCAAACCTCACCTTGACTTCCTCCCTCCATTTTTCTGTTTCATTTGGCTTGACTTGGTTCTCACGCTAAGGAGGCCCTCCTGTCTTCGGGCGTCTAAGTTAGCCTTTGTGACTCCCTCTTCTTTATAGATTGGTCGAACTTCTCTTATGGATGAATGATCTCCCACCACTTCCCCGCTCTGCCGTATATAACCTCCCAAACCGAAAGACTTCGAACAGTCCAAGCATTCCGTTCTTTTGATGGTTTATGGAATACCAGATGATATGGGTTATAGTACCCTTGATGATGATCCTTGAATCGGTGTCTCCCCTATGAGCATCATGACTCCTTTACGACTTCTTTTGACCCTCTGTGGCCTGATCATATCGATCGTCCTTCTGATCAACGTTCGTCTCCCCTCCCGGTTCGAGTCCGATACGTCTCCTTTCGGCGATTCAGGTTGGCAACCAGGGTATGGCGGACCTAACCGCTCAGGAAGCTTGCGCTCGCTCTTCTCCTTCCACACCCCACTCTTTGCGCCTTCGGCGATCATCAGCCTCACAAACGACAATTCGACCTTTTTCTTGGCCAGACCTGCGGCGTTTGGACCTCTATTGCCCTCAACGGGTTTGAATGGACAGTTATGGATTGCTCCTGGGTTTACGGACGACAGTCCATTACGGAGAAAAAGTCGGGACGGCAGCACCCTACCTAACGGAGAACTTGGATGTACGGATATTCCGGGGTGGAGTGAAAAGCTTGGAAGGGTCTCCGACTCCGAAGACTGGCAGAACGAAAGGAGTTCTGGCGATCGACAAATGGAAGGATTATCCAAAGGAACGACCAACTCCAAGAGTCAGCTCACGGAGGGGGAAACCGTGGATCCGACAATCAGCCCTTCAAACGTGAAGCCTACAGTAGGCGGAGCCCATCGGAATAGGGTTGGCCCCAGGAGAGATGTTCGATTTTTGCAAGAGTCAGGAGAGATATTCGGAAAAGTGGTCCTCATTTCCAGGGGTGGATGCAGCTTCTTTGACAAGACAATGTGGGCTCAACGTCGAGGAGCTGTTGCGCTCATGGTTGGCGACCATGTTCCTGGAGGACCACTCGTGACCATGTACGCCAACGGCGATACCTCGAATGTGTCCATACCGGCCATATTCACGAGCTATACGACTGCTCATCTGCTCTCAACTTTGACTCCGGTAGTGATGCCGATGGATGGTATACTTCCAAGCCACGATGGAGTCGACGCTCGCTGGGCACCGTCTAACCGTGCCTCTGATGTCCCAGAGCAAGATGGAAGTCATCCTACATCTCGGTCAGGAGTTTCTGCATATCCACCGAATTCCCAATTGCGAGGTCGCCAATCTCCATCCCTCACCCAGTGGCTCTATGGGTTGTTCATTCGTAGAGCACCCCTTCCAGGCCGGACACGGTCGGGCTTATCAGCGAAATCGATGGAGGAATCCAACATTCCAACTGATTTCGGTGATTCGAACCGGCTGTCCACTAGTCGGTTGGAGGAAACAAGCAATGGACGCTCTGGCATAAAACCGAGAGTTGGTAAATCGCCTGGATCATCGTCAGTGACATTGGACCAAGATTCAAACGGGTTCATGGATGGGGTTCGTAATTGGCGTAACCTTCACCCGTTTCCTGATGCCGTGGAGTCAGAAGAACCGGGAAATCGAAATGGATTCAATGACGATCTCCGTCAAAAAGAGCCTTCCAACATTGTTCAGGGGAAGTCGATCCGACCAAGCGAATGCGTCATTACTCCTGAAAGTGGAGAATACAAAGGGGTCTCTTGTGTGACCAACGGTGCTGCACTTAGAAGTGCCGTCCCAACCACGAACAAAGGGCATTCGTTTACTTCATGGTTGGGTATACACGTTTCAGGGTCCGGCCCAAACGATTTGCCGTCCTCCCCCAACGACGACATTCCCCCCACGCAATTTTCTCGTCAATACATCCATCCTCACAAAGATTCGAAAACGAACCAATCACAACAAAACCTTCAGCTAGGAGTCTGGGTCACTTTAACCCCGACTTCTATCTCATCATCCCCCTTTCTTGACACTCTGTTAGTTCTAGTGGTATCTCCATTAATCACTCTCACAGTTGTCTATGGATTACTTGTACTGCGTAATCGTATTCGCCGGAGGCATTGGCGGGCACCTAAGAAGATCGTTGAACAACTACCAGTTCGTGTATACCGCGAACATCAACCATCTCAATCCAGAGAATACGCGCCTCCTGTGCAAACACCTTCCCCTCTTGAACCGTCAACTTCACAAGTCGACGAACGCACACCGCTTCTATCAAGGTTTCATCAGGTAAGTCCATACCCTCGCTCCACCGCCATAACTAATAAGAGTAACAGAATCCGGACATATTCGGATTTGGCGCAATGGATCCGGGACCATCCTCATCGGCACCCGATGAACAGTACTTGTATCCAGCTTGGCGGCCTTCTTCGGGAGTTCGCGATGGAGCAGCGGGGCCGAGCCTTCGAGGCAAAGGCCCAGCGCAAGCGCAAGCGCAAGCCGGACCGCAAGCCGGACCGCAAGCCCGACCTCAAACCCGACCGCAAGCCCGACCACGAGGCCGGCAGCTACACGCTGATCCATCCAAGCGGGTCAGCTGGAGCGAAACACCTGGTCGAGCGCTTGATTGGCTTAAGGGGCAGCAAGCCGACCAAGACGCAGAAGCAGCGAGAAACCCCTGGATCCCGAGCAAGCGAACGCCTGTCTGGTCATTCCAAGCTAGACAATCAGTCCAATTCCAACCTCTCCACTCCAGACGACCAGTCTGGAAACGCGTCCTCCGTCGAATAGTCCCGTGGGCACATTGGCCTAGTGATGCTAGCGACGTGAGCGACTTTAGCCAGGAGACGTTCTACCCCGAGTCCATTCCGGAATGGCTTCAGAATTATGAGGAGCCAGATGACTTTAATTCCCGTTTTCCTATTCCTCATTATCCACAGAAAACCTGCCCGGTTTGTTGCGAGGACTACGTTGAAGGCATCTGTCTGGTCATGACTCTTCCATGTGGCCATGAGTTCCATAAGGATTGCGTGTAAGTCTTTCCTATCATCCTTACGAGGACCGTACTGACTAACTGATAGGACGGAATGGCTCGTTTCGAGGCGTGGAGTCTGCCCCATTTGTCGGGATGACGTAGCCGAAGGCGTTCGTCATAGTACCGACCAACAGGATGGTTCTGAAGCTTGATCATCGGCCACGGGTTCGATGAGTGCACGGAAGCTTTTCCTGTCATGCTGCAAGGATTCAATAAGGACGAATGTTATGGAACGGAATACCTCCATTCGAGGCATGGAATACCCTGGTGGTCGGGAAGTCGTTGAAGGCACTTATGGGAGTGCTCTTCTGGCTTCAAAGGACACCTTTCGAAGATTGATCGGGTTCACGATTGCATGGATTTGTACGAATATGATGATAGCGATGAACATTAATAGTCCATTGACTCCCCTATACCATATTGGTCTTTCCTTGTGATGTGCCTGTCGCCATAATTGGGTAGAGCTATATCGGCCTTAGATTGCTCTTTATTCTCGAAATGTCCTCTGGTTGAAGCCCGAGCATCTTCTCGCAATAGCCCTCTGCAGAACCCCATCGGTTCTCCACCAATTCTACGAACGCAAACATGGTCTGCGGATGTACCGATCCAATCGCTAGGGTCCCCGGGCGTTCAACGGACACACCCGTGCCGCTTTTGGAGAGCATTGCTAGAAGACGAGTCCGGGCGGGCTCGATTCCGATTCGCGTCACCGTGTAGTCTGCTGCAATATTAGTCGGTGGGACCGCTGCTAGCATCTGTAGAAGTGCAGCAAGGACGCCAGTTCGGTCTTTTCCAGCTACGACAAAGTCAATAATCGCTCAAAATAAGTCTCCAAAGAAAGTCGCGAGGTTGTCTAACCAGAGCAATGGAACAGTAACCCGTCTTCTGGGCGATCTCTCACGTGTTCCATCACTGCCCGAAAACTGGGAGTGTGGACCTCCAATATGCCTTCATACAGTTTCAGAAATCCTCTCGTCATCCCATCGTAGACGTGGCTGTCTTCGTTAGACACGCCGGATACGTTTCTCTCCCCGAATAGCGTCGGATCCACCGTCATCATCGGCGCCGTACTTGGTAGCCAAACATTTTCCACGCCGTCGATATGTGGATCCGGAAATTTGGCGCGGTCCTCCACACCGCGCAGGTCAAAGATTCGTTTGATGTTATGCCGTTCAAGGTCAGCAGCCTGAAGTATATTCGGATCTAGGAGACCCGTCCGGTACAGTAGCCTCGGTCTAAGATGTTGACCACACAGTGAAGCTACATCACGAGGATTCAACGCCCCGGGGAGGTTGAGAAAAGGGGCCGAATTGAGGGCCGATTCCAGTTCCTCCCCGATGATTGGTTCCATCAGAGGAGTCATGGAAAGAGAGAGCAATGCTGGGTCGAGCGGAAGAGAATCTAGAGTCGGTGGAGCCATCTTGAATATGGAAAGGATAGACTGAGTTTCGTGGTTTCTTCCTGAACTGGGCCCCTATGGTTCTTCAAGGCAATCGAAATGCTGCTGCCTGGTGACTTGGATCAAATCCAACCATGGTGTTCGAGCAAGCGAGTCAGCAGGGAATAGGGATTGATAGGGGGACAAAGGAGCGATGAAGAACACATTAACAGTGGAGGTTCTGGACGTAGCAAGTTTATTTCTATGACTTGCTCAAATGGTATCGACGACAGTTGGCCAAGCCAGTTACAGGCACAATCGGCTTCATATATTGGATTTCTCTCATTCTACATCATGGCTGGAGTCGGTCAACTTCGGTTATTGGGCGTTTCTGACGCCAACTGATCCCGCATGAGTGGTCTCCGAAGAATCTCACGAGAGCCATGTGGAGAACTAGGATAAGGGCATATATGAGAAATCAACAATAGAACATCCCAGTTGACTCTCGGGATAATAATGTTTGACGGTTCGGAGGCAGTGGGTGGGAACTCTGACACCGGAAAGAACCAAGACGGCACTCAACGGGAGGCCCAAACGCCGTTGGTCATCGATTCAGACCATCATGCCGCATAGTCGGCGTGCTTGATGGTCATAAATGATAAATGCCATAGACGCAGATGAGGAAATTGTAGTGTCATCGCCCAGATAGAATAGGAGGCGGATGAGCGAACTGAACTACACGCTAGCATAGTAAGGCACTAAGGTACCAACCAAGTCTTCATCTGTGGCGCCTGTGGCGCAGCATGGGCTTGGCTGGATGAACTTCATCAGATTCATCGAATGCTCCAATTCAAATGTTAAGGAGCACTTAGTTGCGGGTACCTTCAATTATGAGACGACAAAGGCCCTTCTACCTTTAGTCCATTACTTGACCCTAGTGACTCCTTGCGAACGCTTGAAATGCCGCCTTCAATACCTGTTTCCACCGCATCGCGGTTCTCCCGCCGACCATTCCGTTCAACTTCCATTCGATATTTCAGCCATGGACCGAGTCTACGAGCAATGGCGCAAATGGCGCAGCTGGACGTAAAGATGCCGGCGGATAAATCACCAACGGTCCAAAGAAAGTCGGCAATGCGAGCAGGCCATGGCTTGGAGAACAAAGATTTTGGGTTGATCTCAGGTATGGCTCCTTCTCGTCACTTCACTGCTCACACTGACAGTGGGATCAAGGGACCTTTATTCCACCTACAGGCCATAACCGACCGGTTTGGTCTCGCGAACTGAAAGTTTGGGCCAAAATGCAATGGCTTCGAACCTGGAGCAGTGTGGAGGGCTGGGGCCGGTAGGTGTCGAACGGGTGTTCCTCAACGAACTCGATGCTGACAACCGAAGGCTCAAATTCATGACATGGTTTGGGGCTGCTAAGCATCTGAAACCCAAATTGGACAGTCGTAAACGAAAACTCAAAGTGATCGCTCGAGATCTTCATCATTTCATGCATGTTGCATTTGCAGAGTAAGACAAATCACCATCCATCGCACCTCCCACGGTGATACTGACAGGGCATAGGGGGAATAAGCCTGCGATTGAGAAATATACAACCGAAGCTCTTCGATTATCTCTCAACACGCGCCTGGGCAATCGCAAGCCGACCGAGATCCTCCACTGGAATTCCGACTACAAGCGCCTCCAAGTTATATCCGACAAGGTGGCCGAGATACCGCATTTCATCAAAACTGGGAATAAAACCCGGGATGTCAATTTGGTCCGTCAGGTCATTGTTCGAATCGAATCACGTCAGAAACTATATCGCGGGACGCCTGGGCCGTCCAGCAAACGGTACGTCGACACGACAAGTCCGATATGGGAGAAGCCTCGAGTCCGAGATCAGAACGAATATGTGGTCATCCAACAGATGGTCCTACATGGGAAAATCCATCCATGGAGATTATGGGGAATGGTGGAGGAGTCAAATCCGGATGGGACGAATACATTCACGCCCAAGAAGGGGGCACAGCTGAGGAGAAGATAGGTCGCCTCCGATCCAGTATTGAGGGAGGCAAGCGAGATATCCATACGGGGCGGTTCGCTTTTGGAATTGCAATACATCGCGGGGGTGTAACACGGGTTTTCCTAGGGACATGTGACGATCTAGACGTCAAACACGGCGGCTCTAAACTTGGCACGGCCAATTCAGCTGTAAGGCGATTTGTACAATAGAATATCAGTCTCATTTTCGCTATTGCGCATGTACTGTCGTCCCGAGATGTGTGTGTGTATTGAAGCTATAGAATACATGTTCCAACGCGTGCAAATGCTTGGTACGATTTCACGACGTGCTCATTTTCATTCTCCTCCATGTGACCAACCTAGCGGTCCATAAGGACGATTAATACGGGCTTGCGGCCTGTTGGCAAGCCTTGAGTTGGTCGAGATACCATCCGCAAACCGTCAAGTCACCCTGGAGATGTCAGCATGTCGAACAGATCCAGCCGACTGGAGGGACATACCTTATTCTGATCCATGCAAGACCGGAAGCTCTTCGCATCATTCTCACAGGATCCAGCGGCCCCCCATGATTGTTCTTGCTGGGTTGCGTTGGTGTTGTAGGGATCGGCTGGGGAAGTCTGCGCCGCCTCGGGTGCCGCTTGGGAGGAACCGCCACCGAAAAACCCGCCAACTGCGTGACCGATTGAGGATCCAACGGCAACACCACTAATAATCAGGGTAGGTCAGTATCGCTCAAATGAATGCCTTGCCATTCCCGTCTCAGGTGGGTGTCGATGGGCGGACTGCCGTGGGGAGGGATGGTGCAAAGACGTACGCTGCGGTCGAGGCCATCTGACCGAAGAGACCAGGACCGGCGGATTGAGCTGGTGGTGCAGCTTGCTGTTGAACAGCAGTCGGAGCCTTAGCAGCCGGAGGATGAGCCACAGTGGAAGCAGATCGCTGTTGGGGGCGCTGCGGAGGAGCAGCCGGTCGTGCTGGAGCAGCAGTCGGGCGCCGAGGAGGGGCGGAACCACGAGATTGACGAGGCATGTTGAATAGGAAGGGTGAGGTTGATGGAACGGATGGAGTTATGAGGAAAGAGATCTGAGTTGAAGATAACAGCAGAGGTTCGATGGCAAATGGACTCTGGAATTATTCGGATTGAAGTTCTGCCGATGAAGTTCTGAAGCCCAAAGAACCCGAAATCGCGGAATTAGCCGTCGGCATCGGCTTAAGTCCTGGTGGCGGACCAGCACAGAATAGCTACGAGTCCACGAAAGGATCCACGATCAAGTATTACAGCACTGTTGCACTGTCATAGTACCGTATGAGCTAGTTACAAGTAATTAATTTATGTCATGATCCCAATTCTACGGAAAATCCTCTTCGCATCGAGCCAGTACAGCCCATACAGACCCTCTTGAACATCTCAGCCTACCAAGGGGATCCCTTGATTGATCTCTTGGAGGATCATATTCTGTTTCGCCTCCACAAGAGCCTTGACGAAATACTGGATGACACATTGGATCCCCAGTTCCTCACCTCTTTTGACAAGATACCCGTTAATATAGGGAGTCTCCGGATTTCTGCCTGCCCTGACATCGACCAACATCGAGCTCATGTTCTCTTTCGTCCGATCGGCAACTGCCACAACCATAGTCTCCAATCGTTCGGCGGAAAACCGTGAGGCAATGTCGGGAATACCTTGAAGTTCCGGTAAAGCACGAATGACCACGCACGCTTCAGCGATCAAGAGCCGCATTGCCCGAGTGACATCAAAGTTATGCTTCAAAGCACCGTTCCGACAGTCCAATAAGGCCGTCATCGGGTTGATTACCGAGTTAACGACGAGTTTCTCGAGTTGGATTTGCAGGAGCTCGGTGGGACTTGAAGCGACCGCTGCGAGTACCGGGGCCCGAAGAAAGGTTCGAATGAGATATTTGGCAGTCGGTGGGTATGACCGATCGCCGTCATCGCGCTTGACCAGGCCGAGCACCGTAGTTCCGTAACCGGCATGCGTAACAGTCCAATCGCCTTCAGCGCGAACGCCATGGGACGTGATTCCGAGGACGAAATGAGGTCGAGATTCAGGGTCAGGGAACACGCGTTCCTTCACTTCTTCAACAATGCCCATACCGTTTTGAAGAAACAGAATGGTAGATTCTCTTCTCAAACGATGCTTGACCGACATCAAAGCGGAAAAGGTGCTGTTCGCCTTGACCGTCAGCACCAGGTTGTCGATCCATTCGGAGTCGCTCTCTTCATCTTGGTGCGCAACCACCTGTCCGTGGCTTACCACAGGCGGTACCGCCAGCTCAATATCGAAACCACGCCGTGATTCGGTGGTACCTCGCGTGGTTACGTTGATGGCTTCTCCTTGCGCCTTCCAACTTTCGATTAAACCACGTCGATGTAGGAGCAAGGAGATCGGGGGAGGAGAGGGTAGACCGCGGAGTGTATGCGCAACCAGTTTGCCTATGGATCCAATTCCAAGTATATGAATGCGCTTATTTGTGACCTCCTCCTCGCCATATTGCTGTGCTATGCGTGCATGCTCCTCTATATGCTCCTCTTCCGGTGATGTGTCCGGCTCGTTCCTGGACGCAAAGGATCGAGACATTCTGCGTCGATTAGTCTTGTATGTAAGACTTCGAGGATATAGACAGTACCGGTATGGGAAAGGCCACGCTGCCCTCTCATAGACAGAGGCCGCGTATCTCTGGCCCAATATTTGCCTTGGTCTTTGACAAGTGTGACCACGAACCAGGTTGGCCAACAGCCACCATGGCGGCGGACAACCACGAGCGTGGAGCGGCAGGTTGACTGATGGTTCAAGATACTTTGGAAATCATGGATGACGCAACGGAATTCAGCTTCATAAAGACCCCACGTTGAATGGAGCCAATAACAGTAGTGAAAAGATTGAAGGACGGAGGAACAACTGTAATAATATCAATCAGGATACCGACATGACCGGGAATCTCCCTCAGCCCTCCCAGCTTAAGTTCTAATAATTAGCAGGAGACGACTCTCTGGACCCCGGCAACGGAATTCGCCGTCTCGCCTTTCATTCTTCATTCTTCATCTTTCTTCTTCACATCCGTATAAAAACACCTCACATCAAATCAATACTAGACTTCTGTTCTAGAATATCCGGTTCAATCGGAGTACCTTCAAAATGGCAGAAGCTCCTGATTTAGAGGATCTTATTGCAACCCTCTCCGGCAATATTGATGACCTTGAAGGTGGTTTGCTTCCCATCCTCAAGTCATCGGTATCCAAGTCATCGAGCAAACTTCCGCTCCTGGACAAAGCTAAACTTTATGTCCTCATCTGTTATACAATCGAGTCTATCATCTTTTCCTCCTTGCGTCTCTCCAACGTCAATGCCAAGGATCACCCAGTATTCCATGAGCTTGCAAGGGTACGACAGTATTTCGAGAAGATCAAGGATGCCGAAGCTGGGCCTACAAAAAAGAGGGAAAACATGAGCTTGGATAAGGCGGCGGCCGGTAGAATTGTTCGTCATGCTCTTTCCGGGAATGATCGTTTAGATCAGGAGAGGAAGATGGTGGCTCAGGAAATGGGGGCCGCAAAGGCGAAGCTAGCTGAACTAGAGGCGAAGATGGCCAACAGTGAAGCTTCCGGATCCGAAGATTCTACAGGAGGCCATCACAACCTGCCCTCTGATCAGAATCTTAGCCGGAAGAGAAAGAAAGCCAGCGACATGTGGGATGATTCTCAATCCGCCCACAACAGGGACAGCAATACGGATTCTGCAGCGACGTTTGAGAAGGGCACTTCATCCAAGAGCGCGAGTAAGTTCTCTCGGTATCTAAAACTGCAGTCAATATTCTTACATGTCAGCAGAACGTTCAAAGTCCGGGAAAGTGCCTCGTAGCGCTCATGCAACCTTTGAAGCCCTCCTGAAAGGGCCGGCCAAAGATGCCGATCCTTCCAAGAAATCAAAAAAGGGCAAGAAATCTTGAAAACTATGTCCAATCGCTCCGAATTCGCCTCATTAGGATCTAGCCGGTATGTTGAACTCAATCCATACTAGGGTGGTGTGTGATATTAACTCCGTATACAGTGAAATGTCGATGCCGGCGTTGTTCCCTTTTCAATTCCAGTGCCCTGCTTGCAGGGAATGGAAATGAAGACATCAATGAACTCACTCCGAGTCTCGGTTGAGGGGATCGACTCTCTGGCGCCAGCTTCTCGCGGTCTAGCCAACCCATTTCGCGCATCGCTGTGGTGTGGACTTTGTCGACGGGGTCAGATCTTCGTGAACCTCATTCACGTGGAGTGCCCGTCAACTCCACACCCATCTATCACGATACATGGAATGTGAAGGTTGGAACTGTGCAAGAACGTCATCAATAAGGTCGCGTTCTTGCGTCTATGAGATAAGACCTTATGGATTCCTATCAAGGTATCCACTGCCTTCTCATTCGTGTGTGACATGAAAGGGAAACTGCTGATGGCTGTTCAGAAAGCAGAGAATTTTTCCTCAGGAGTTGGCTTTCGGGGGAGCAAATTAAACTACATGTGCTGTTCCTCGCAGCCGATTTTGCATCCCGGTCTTTCCTGAATGCTACGTGATCGATGTGCTGCTGTTCCCAGTCCAACTGAAGAGTCAGACCTTGCCATAACTGACTCGACCATTTCTCACAACCACTCCGTGGGAATGATCTTCATGGTCGAAAACATTGCTCGTCACTGTCGAACCCAAACTAAACTCATACGGACTGTCCCAATCTAGTACTTCGCCTAACAACGGAAACATCCAACATAGCCCACAAGGAAAGAGTGCCCGAACTTTCCCGATGACACCAGACGACGTTGCCAGCCGTTCTTTCCAGAATACTGCGATGCAGCATGCGAGAACCTTTCTTAAATCCCGTATGCATTGTTGTCACGTCTTAGAATTGCCTTCGCTAGTGTCTCAAAGGGCATATTATTATTTTCTTTCGTTATCCGCAACTCCAATCGTTATTCATTAAGTGATAGTCTCTTAGCAGCTCATGAAACCAGGTCGGACATTTCCCATCATGTCTAGTGTAGAGAGCTTCGCCACAGCCGTCACCACGGCTGCGGATAGCCAGATGCGACAAGAATCACGCTGTCAGGTCGATGAAAGTGCAGCTTCCAGCCAACTGGATACCATCATACGCAATAGAAGTGCCAGTTGTTCGGAATTCAAGATTTCCAGCAACGATAGAGTAGGTCCATTCTACAAAGCCAGCAGCCCATGCGTTCTCATGGCTACGAAACAGTTAGAAATTCGAGTGACTGACATAGTCGTACAGATTTTTTGGAACGGAGATGACGACAAAGACCATCCTCTGAATTGGAAACCTTCGCACAAATGGCGCGCCGTCATCGTCGTTTCTAGTGCCGTCTTCTCCACCTCAATTGCATCAGCAATGGTGACGCCGAATGTACCAGCCATTGCAGAAACGCTGAGCATCGACTCAAAAGAGAGAATGCAATTGATTTACTCGGTTTTCGCACTCTCATATGCCGTTGGACCGTTGATATTCTGCCCCATTTCCGAGCAGCTTGGAAGATATTGGACAATCACCACCGCAATGGTACTCTTCTCCCTCGGAAATCTGGTCTGTGGGCTTTCCAGATCTGCTACGCTGTTGATAGCGGCTCGCTTCTTCAGTGGAATGGGCGGAAACGGAGGACAATCTGTCGCCATAGCCGTGCTCAGCGATACCTTCTCCTCCGACGACCGCATGAAAGCCATATCGGTGTATAGCACCTTCTCAATTAGCGGGATGGTGATCGGTCCGATATTAGGTGCCATTTGCAGCGAAAAGTTTCATTGGAGAACGCTGTTCCATGGCACGTCCGTTCTGAATGGAATTGCCCTCGTCATCGTCGCGACCTTCCTTCCCGAGACCTACCCTCCAACATTGCTTCGAAGAGAGGCCACAAAGATCTCCAAAATCAGAGGCGGACGTCCACCACGCACCCAATACGACGTCGAGGATTCCGAAGATTTAAGGCGAACGATGTGGCACTGTGCTCGCCGTTCGGTCAAGTTTCTCGTGACCCAGCCGATCCTCCAATTCATAGCGGTATACTACGGACTCGGGTTCGGAGTATCTTTCATCATCTTCTCGGTCTTTCCATCGATCTGGACCGAGGCATACGGTCAAACGCCCATCAAAGGATCTCTCAATTTCATATGGCTAGGAGTTGGTTGCCTAATCCCGTCCATTCTAGCACCTTGGATGGAAAATGGTGCCAAAAAGTTATGGGATTATGTCAAAGAGAAGAGAAGCCGGTCGGTCACGTCAGAGCCGAAGTTCGCGGCCGAAACAGACCAGAGTCAGGTAACCCAATATATCGAAACTCTCGATTCCAACGGTGGTGTGCAAGGACAACTAGGGCAGCTCACCCCCAACTGTCACCACTCACATTGCTGTGAGCAGCCACACTCCCACCATGCCAATTCAATCTTCACCAGGGGTGCATCGATTGTGAGCGCGATCGAGTCCGAACTAGCTTTGAGCAGGATCGAGTCCGAAAGACGCCATATATTAAAACCTGAGAAGGTCTTCGGTTACATGTTTCCAGCCGCCGTCTTCCTTCCATTAGGGCTCTTCTTGTTTGGGTATTCGGTTCAAAACAAGTGGCACCCTGCCTATGTCAACATTGGTGCAGCATTTGTCGGATTCGCAAGTACCATCATCAGTTTTGCAATTTTCAAATATCTCGGCGATGCGTACCCACTGTATGAGGCCAGTGCTATCGCAGCAGTTCAAGTCAGTCGAGCAGTCACGTCGTGTACGTTCCCGGTCTTCTCCCGAAAACTATTCGCGATGATGGGATACGACGGCGGAACAGGTTTACTGGCCAGCATTGCTCTCGTACTTGGTCTTGTAGGAACTTCGGTCCTCGTCGTATTTGGCAAGCGGCTACGTCAGAAGACATGGCGCATTCCCTTACCATGGACAAAGGGTTGATTCCGAGGGCATATTTGAGTTCTCAACGACTATCGTTCCTAGAGCTACTTATTGGCAGACCGATCGGAATTGTACTATTAAATTTTCACGGCAGCAACAAACAAAGTGACAATTTCTTGAATTAGACCGTTCATTATCAGTCGTTGCCATACCACATAACAAGACTGAAATCTGAAATGACGGATATTGATAAATAATGCAAGCATTGCAATCGGATGCAATCAGCACGCATCTCCAGGGCACGCAATGTTCGTCCCATACACATCTCCACTAATGCCGGCGATCTGGAAAATGGCGTTGATGACACCACCAATTCCTTCTCCAGCAATCAAACCTGCCGCAATCGCGTATGCATAGATGTCAAATGAGTGGGGGAATTTCTTCGCCCAGAAATAAGCAGGCACCGAACCCATAATCATCGCCCAGCCATAGGTAGACTGCGGCAGGACGAATGCGAGGGCAACGCACATCATGTTTGGATGATAGGTCCGCACCCATTCGAGGCGCCCAGTCCAAACATAGTGGCGGATGAGGACCATAATCACTCCGACAATGGAGAAAACAATGGCGAAGATTCCGGACGAGGCTGGAATGGGGAATGTTGGGTCGGTGACAGCAACAGCAGTTGCACGCCAGGCTGCAACGGACGGGTAAGAGAAGGGGCAATCCTCGATTTCAGCATCAAGGATACATGGGTAACTGGTTGAAGAGTTAGCGCTGGTGCTGGGAGTAGAGAGAGGGTCACTTACGCTTTAGCAAAGAGCATGAACATGGCGGGAGCAAGGAAAACGGCAACGATCGTGCCAATACCTTGAGCAAGCCATTGCTGGTTCGGGGGGGTGCGGAGCAAAAACCCCACACGGAAATCGGCCACCAGATCGGTCGATTGGTTAGCAGCCAGGTTGGCCACCGTACCGCCCAGAAGGTTGAGTCGCTGAGCCTTGGTAATATCCCAGTTCTCGCCCTTCGTAGCTCCTCCAAGGACAATCTGAGAAGCCTTGGACGCGGCGGTGAGAGGGGTAACGTCGGTGACACCGGTGCACTGAATGGCGAGGAAGGAAAAGAAGAATGCCAGGAAGACGGAAAGGAGGGATTCGCCGACCGGCATGTCAAACTGTACGCCCATGACAACGCAAATGCAGATGATGGTAATTAGGAGACCCGGGAGGTACATCCACATCTTAACTCTTTCGCTCGGGTCCGCAGGGTCGAGGACGGCGTCTTCCGGTTTCTGGTCGCCTTTTCCACGCAGAGAGGTGATCTCGCGGCCAGACTTCTTGGATAATTCATAGATTCCCTTCTGGACACCCCGATAGATGGCCTTGCCTCCGATGACGAAGATGCGCCATTGCATCGCTAACTCGGCAAAGGACACGGCAATCATGCAGAGGACACCGGGCCACAACATCCAATAACGCGGGCTAGGATTGTCCTTCGTAGAGAACTTTGCGCTCAGGGACGCGTAGGAGATATATCCCTCCCATTTCGGATCTTCCGACGCGGGGGTGCCAAACGCGTAGCCAGTACGGACCAGGACGGGTCCAATAAGACCCCAGGCAATGACACTGCCAGCATAGAAGGAGATTGCAACGTTCAATCCCACAAGCATACCAGCACCGATGAAAGCAGGGGTGAACTCAATCACCCAGAACCAGTTCTCAGCGGCAATGGCACCGTTGTTGTAGTTGCCCCAGATAAAGAACCAAGTGAAGATGTGCCAGTCCCACAGGATACCAACGGCATATTGCGAGACCACTCGAAGTATTAAAGCAGCAGAAAAAGACCAGCTGAGGGCTACCATCTTGAGCTTGGCAGCGGCCTCTCCCGTGGCAGCCAGGTGCATGCTGCGAATGGTCATGGCCGTTGCAGAAGCCGTTGGGAAAATGAGTCGGAGCTCGCGAGCCACATAAATGATAAAGAATTTACGTACTGCAAAACATTAGTTACATTCGAAACCAACACTTCGTGGCACTTACGAGGGGTTGCAAAGAAGAATCCGAAGTAACCACCCACGGCGGTGAATCCAACAATGCGCCAGAAGTCCGCCTGGGGGGTTTCCAGCAGGTTGAGCTGATACAACGCGGGGAGAGCAGACACGAAGGCATTGGACATGCCTCCAGATGCGGTGGCTGCGGTCTGAACGATGTTGTTCTCACGCGGTCCGAATGATCCTCCGAGGAAAGGAATATTGCCAAACGTCTTGGAAAGGAACTTGAGGACTGCGAAACCAGCAATGGCCTAATGTGCAACAGTGAGTTAACTTCCATTGGCCCAGCATAGACGAGCGAAACTTACGCCGAACAAATTCGCAGTGAACGTCCATCCAGTCTTGAGACCTAGGTAGACGTTGCTCGCATTGACCAGAGCACCACAAATGCAGCCCACGAAGATGGCACGGAAGGTCACAATCCAGTCGCGCTCGTCTGGAAGATCGTCGAAGGGGCGGAATGGGTCGTCGATGAAGTTGAAACCTTCCGGCTCCTTCTCATCGGCGCCCACTCCGTCATTGCGGAACTCCGTGGTGTCCAGCTCATAGCCCTGCTTGGAATCGATTTTCTCGTCATATTCAGTCGCGCCCACTCTAATACTTTGTCAGCTATGGTGGTCTCAGGAGTAGATATGCCATTGCACCACTTACGGGGCCGCCTGGGGCGTTTCCCTTTCACTCATGCTGGAGAGTATGCCACCCTATCACGGTATGCTGATATGGGTAGCTAGAATCTCAAAACATAGGCTGAACGACGCGTCCAAAGGTCTCAGTGAGAAACGGACGATGCTCCTAAAGACGTGGTTCTCGGAGAGAAAGTCGCGATTGCGAGCGCGGGGGAGGATAAGAATAATATAGCCAAGACGTAGAGGGATATGGTTTGATTATCCTGGTTGCATCCCAGATCGTTTCCAAGCTTCGCGCCCAAAGCAATGGAACCTGAGAGGCTGGACTCTGGAGTGACTGGACGTGCCGCGGTTTCGCATCAGGTATGGACCCCGACGATCATCGGCCCTCCTAGGCCTGGGACGGCTTCAACCTGATATCCTTTATCAGGACCCTGGAGCCCTGGAACGAAGGTTGAATGCCCCTACACAGTAGTGGGTCCAGCCCACCCTGCAACGATGCAAGGAACAAGGAAGGGATATGCTGGCAAGCCTGGCATACATTACTTGATATTCATTTTGCCCGTCTAGTTCCAACCCAACCGCTGGTTCAATGGAGGAGGTGCTTCAAATCACCTGCAAGTCGGCCACCTCCTCCTGCCAATCCTGGAAAGGATTCGAGCAATGGGTGGTAAGCGAAAGTACGAAGGTTGGTGATATGGATCGACTATCCAGGGCTAGATCGCACATTTTCAGCCAGGAGTCCAGACGTGGGGCGGAAGAAACCGCTACTGAACGACTCTATGGTGTCTTTTGCTTAGACAAGCGATGAAGCGAAGGAAGTTAGCCTACAATGATGTTTGGACCTACTAATTTGGCGCAAGTCTGGTGAGTCGTAGGTAATTCCACTTTACGTCCAGAACTTAACCGGAGGACCTATAAGACCTAAGTGGTAGGAGGAATGGCAGACGGGTGGTGACCATGATCTTGATCATCGATGTATTGAGCCATTGAATGCCACCCCAGCCCCCAGGTAACCATTCTTGCCGCGACACATCACACACGGTTGAGGACTGGGGTGGCAATACTGTAAATCGGTAATGATATTGGAAGCGGAAATGGGGGAGCACCGAGAAAGGGAGAATTCGATTTTGTAACCTTCGGAACGCCTGCGCTAGGATGTTAAGCGGCAGTAGTGCATCCTGTGCATTAGTACCATAATCAAGCTAATCCCCCAAGGAGGGAACAAGCTTTTGATAGTGGCGTAATTATGTTCCAGCCGTTGCGGTGGTGCTGAGCGCCGGAACCTCTAGCCCCAAAGGCTCCAACAAGGTTACGATGCTAAATCGTGGGACCTGTCATCTGTGACAATGGGTAAGAGCGGAATTGGTAACTTGCAATTTTGCGTACCTAATACAAACATACCGTGTTAATGGAGGCGGAGGTCCCCGAAGAAATCTCATGCTCTCCCCCTCTACCGCTTGCCTAGCTTTATCAGTTCAGAATTCAGATTCAGCTTGGGTCTTTGACCCGTTACATTCTCGGTTGCTCAGAGACATTGCTATATGTGTGGCAAACGGTTTTCCCATAATACGGCAAGGTTCCGCACTGAAAGACCCCCCAAGCAAAAGATTGACGTTGTGCTTCACCAACCAGACTGCGCTGCTCACATCAATTCTGTGGTCTGTCGTCGATAGAAGCCGTTGTGGCGTAACGGGTCGAGCAATAAGCTCCAAGCCTCAAAATGCTGTCCTGGTCAGTGTGCCATGGTGCAGGTGGGGGGCTGGGAGTTGCGACTTCATCGCTATTCCAATTTCCGACCACCCATCAGTCATACATAGACCATAACTTTGTTCTCTTCCCGTACGTAACAAGTAACAACAGGATATCCGTATATGCGAGCGACATCCTCACATAATCATTCCGCTCCAAGGACGAAGTTAGAAGAGAAGGTGCCATAAAATTAATAATTGGTCGACTACTCGATATTCACCCAGTCTCACGCACTGACGCACACGGGACATCTGTAATGGCCCGTTCTCCTGCAGGGTTTGTACTGTCTATTATGATCCTTCGAGAATCCAGACATGTAATTGGATGCTTGGGGCATGCTCGGCAATCATGAGGTTACATACGGAATACAGACTGGCAGTTCGGGAGCAGGGTTGGTACAGTAACCGTGTACGGTGTACATACCCGACTACGAACCCTGCTGGTTAGCCCAAGCCATCCACATGTCAAATTGTCAATCTCCAACGGAGGCTTGCCTTTTCTGGAAGGTCGATGGTTTCCCCACCAATGTGGGATTATCTCCGAGGGCGATCTGCGTGTGGCTGCACGCCACACATTCTTTGCTGTGGCCTATGAGAGCCGGCCGGGGTGGCCAAATTATGCTAAACGCCTAAATCACCACCTGCTTCTCGATCTACTAATAACCGAGTGATAGTAACTGTCTCATTTGGGCAGGTATCCACTTGCCGCTTGCTCGCAGAAACCATGGCCAACCGTCCCCTGCTCGTCGGCTCCTTATAACGAGGATAATATGTAATAACGATTTGTTGGTGGGATATATTTAGGACCTTACGTACGGAGTAGTACTCGGATACTGATCCGCCCTAGCCGAGCAACGGAGCAGGCCGGTTCCTCCAGTGTTTGAGAAGGGCAGTTGAAATGAGGGATTCAGTGAGGGTGGTGACCGGTTGGACAAAGACGGCAGGCCGAAAGCGAATCCACCTACGGAGTAATCAAGCAATAATATTACGATCTGACTGCCGGCAGCTGCTTCCCTCGCAAGTTGCAAATCCTTGGAGCCTTCATCCATCTCTCAGTCGTGGCACAATGGATGGCCAATTCGCACCGATAGGAACCAGTACGATACTGACGGGATTCTAGAAGGGATTTACGGTGTTCTAGAAGGAATTGGCGCATCAAAAGGGCGGTCCACGTTTAGATATGTGTAGGACCTAGGAACCTGGTTGGATGAGAAGATTGATCTTCGATACTCGGAACTCGGACGCTGATCCATTTATCCTATTGTCCCATTGTACCGGAGAATTGGGTGATCCTCCTTGCTCGGATATGCTGGTACTGTACGCCCTATGGTGAATAATGTCTAGTTTTCGAGCAACAGAGCGATTTATCTCCCCTTGGATCTCGATTCCCGAAAACCAAAGACACGGTTAACATCTTATTCCATGTGCAAAGCCGCATGTTCAGGCGTCGGCAGCCGGAATATGTGATTCCTTGAAGTGAACAACAGGAACCTTTGGAACAAGCCGGTTCAATGAGATCATGTATTGAGACCCGTAAACTCGAGAGAGATAAAACATTGCTTGAGCTGCATTTTTCGGTCACAGTATAGCCTTTCGTATGCCCCCACTTCTCAAAGGAGTTGTACAAGCGATTCTGACTTAACAATGGGAACATAAATCTAGAGGAAAAACATGATGCTGACGAATAAGATCTTGGATCCAGGAAAATATGCTGGTTCAACAGGATATACCGCCCTCTAAACCGCCATCGGAATGTCCGTAGGTACTCATAATCAACTCTTCTGAGTTGAGCAAGCACTAGGAGCATGATATATCTCCAGTACTCTGCGCTTCAAGATGAAGATGACCTTGAACGGTTTCCCTTTGTCAGAGGAAATGTGAAACTGTCATCATACCTTAGAACGGCCGTTGTGAGAGCGGAGTTGACATGGAGAATCAGAATGTATTTCTGCCTTAGAGCCTTGATGCCTCGAAACTTTACGCTTCCACGTCTGTGCTTCGAAGTATCAAGATCCAAGGATCCATTATTGCCTACTGGACATCTAGATCTGGTGATGCTTGATCGCAAGTCTACTCGGATCTTTTGATCAGGAACACGTCAATTCCAACCTTCCTCAAGTCCTAGCCTTCCCAGCGGTGCAACAATGGCGTCAAAACGGAACGTGGTGACCCTGTCATCAAACGTGAGGAGTTTGGCACCACGGCAATCCCAACTCTGTCGCAACCAGCAACGAGGCTTTGGAAGTCTTCTACCCCGAAACGCTTATGACTCATTACGGCGACCTATACACTGGACAAGATGCGAGTCCAAACCTCGATTGTTCTCCCACACGACCGCACAGTACTACAAGAGTGTGCAGGAAGCCAAATCGAGACATAAGACGGGGGTATGTCGAATGTCGAATGTGCATCGTGGAGGATGAACGGCTAATTCGTGGGCAATAGGTGTTCTCGTGGAAAGCTGCCGTGGTATTTGTCATAACGGGCATCGGTCTCATCATTTTCTTTGAGAGTGAAAAGGCCCGCTTAGAAAGGAAGCGTCTTGCCGAGCAGACGAAGGGAATTGGAAAGCCCAAAGTTGGTGGACCCTTTCACTTGGTCGACCATGACGGGAATCCGTTCTCAAGTGAGGATATGAAGGGGAAGTACGCACTGGTAGGTGTCATATTAGAATGGTTCGACATGGAAGATCTAACAAGGCATCAGGTTTACTTCGGCTTTTCCAATTGTCCAGATATCTGTCCCGATGAGCTCGATAAAATGGCGGTCATGATCGATCTCACAAAACAAAAAGTGGGCAACGTGCTACGAGCCGTCATGCTCACCTGCGACCCAGCACGAGATAGCCCCGCGATACTGAAGGAGTATCTTGCGGAATTTCACCCGGATATTATCGGATTGACGGGTTCATATGAGGAGATCAAGCAGACTTGCAAGGCATATCGCGTCTACTTCTCCACGCCGGAGCATGTGAAACCCGGTCAAGATTACCTAGTGGATCACAGCATATACTTCTATCTCATGGGTAAGCCGGTCCAACCCGCGTGTCCATTGCGCATGCCCAGGGCTAATGTTGGTCACCTAGATCCGGAAGGAGATTTCGTCGAGGCAATTGGACGGAATTTCACAGCAGAGGACGCGGCCAGGGTCATCACAGAGCACGTCAAAGATTGGAAAGGCCCCTTGGACCGGAGTTAATTCCGTGGTGGAGCGAATGTAGATCTGTACCATATGTGTCTTGTATATATCGTGCATGGCATCTGGCGTATGGGGATTGGATGCTGTTCTGATCGGTTGGATCGGCGTGAATGATGGCTTTTGGAGCCACTAGTAACGAATCACCCTACTCAATCAAGCGGGCCTCGATTTAACAAATGAAAAGGTCATTTCTGGGGTATCATAATCGTCTATGAGTCTAAATGACGGCATGAACGCGAAACCTTCGGTTTGATTAATGGTCGACCCTTGACAGCCGGCTGGGATGAATACCCTCTGGACGGCCTGACTCCTTGGGGGTAGGGAGCTCTGGCGCCGAACTGGAAGGTTTCGATTGATCTCGCGGTTTCTTTTTCGAACTCGGTGCAGTATCGTCCTTCCCAGAGTTGTTCTCCTTCTCCTTCTTCTCCTTATCCTCCTTGGCGAGTTTCTGTTTCTGCTCCTCAACCATCCTCCGCTTCCGCTGCTCAGTCAACTTCGTGTTCTTCTCCTTGATCTTCTCCTTTCGGAATTTGCTTTTCGAACCTCCTCCTCCGACCGTCAGCTCCACGTTGATTTTCCGAGCTGGGGAGGTTCCATCATCGAATTCGGTATGGTGATAGAGTTTGAGACATGTCTTCATGCGATCGTAATGATCGAACTCCAGAAAAGCGAACCCCTTGGACTTTCCGGTTTCCTTCTTCGTGGCATGACGAACGGAAGCAGGCTTCAACTTCTCGAAGTGCTTATTGAGCGCTTCGGTCGTGGTCGTGTATGGTAGATTTCCTGGGTTGTGTTAGGAACAACTCTTCCCTCAGAAATGTTTAGAATGTAGCTTACCAACGAATACAATGAACTTCTGGCCCTTCATTGATTCCTTGCCCGCCGACTGATTCTGCCCTTCTTCGTGTTTAGGGGGATCCGCTGCAATCACGGGTTCGGCATCCTTGGACTTGGATTCGCCCTCGGACTTAGACTCGCTCTTAGACTTGGACTCGATCTTGGACTCGATCTTGGGCTCCACCTCGGACTTGGACTCAATCTTGGACTCGTCTTTGGACTTGGAATCGCCCTTGGACTTGGATTTGGATTTGGACTTGGACTTGGACTTGGACTCGGTCTTGGCCTTGGGCTCGTCTTCGGACTTGGACTCGACTTTGGACTTGGACTCATCCTTGGACTTGGACTCGCCCTTGGACTTGGACTCGCCCTCAGACTTAGACTCGCCCTTGGACTTCGACTTCTTGCTTCGTTTGGCCTTCACCTCATCTTTGCGGCTGCTCGATTGCTCGTCATCAACCGTTCGCTTCCGCTTCTTCCCCGATAACTCCTTATCTGCTTCCGACATCTTGTACTGGTCAGGTTCTTGTAATTTTAGCTTTTGCAGATGGGTTCGAGTGAATGCAGATCAGAATATTGGGGAATTTCTAGCACTGGAGATTTTCGTTCAACAAACTGGAAGACAATATTTTTGTGGGGTAGACAGGGGTCATAGCGTATGGAATAAAGCGAACGGCCGAATGTGAATCGGATGTTGCGGTCTCTGCTTGGACTTGGCTGGAGCTTTGGACAATTGACATCGAGTATCGACAGTGACAGTGAACGTGAACGTGAACGTGAACGTGGAAACCACAATCAGGGGATGGGCATTGCAATTCTTTAAGCTATGTCTCTCGGTCCAAGAACCTTTGCTCGTTGGTTGACCGGCGGCTTCCAATGCTCGAAATGTCAGAGGCTCCAATTCTTGCCCACCAGGCAATTGCGACGACTTCATTCCCAGGGCCGCAATAGCTCCTCGCATAATGCCGGTGATGACCCCAATTTCTCGTCGGTAATTGACCAGCCGGCCGTGCTGGTTCGCAGCGGTCAGCGACATGGTCCTGGGCTCATCCTGCTTGGTATGTGTCCTTCCTAGAGACCACTTTCATCTGATTGACATGTTCCTAGCTCTCATCCCTCTCACCGCGTTCGCCCTCGGTACATGGCAAGTTCAGCGGCTATCATGGAAGGTCGATCTCATCGCAAAATACGAAGACCGTCTGCTTCGTCCTCCTCTCCCATTGCCGCCCAAGATTGACCCTTCTGCCGTGGGCGACTTCGACCATCGGAGGGTAACGGCAACCGGTCGATTCCGCCATGACCAGGAGATGCTGGTGGGCCCGCGGATCAACGAAGAAGAAAACGGATACTTCGTAATCACACCCTTGGAGCGTGAAGGGGAAGGGAGTACCATCCTCGTCAATCGAGGCTGGATACCGAAGAGATTGAAAGATCAACGAGCTAGGGAGGCCGCCGCGAGGGCAAGCACCAAAAGTGCGGAGGAGCCACTCCCGCGTGGCGTGGTTACGGTCGAGGGATTGTTACGGGAACCGTGGAAGAAGAATATGTTCACCCCGGATAATCAGCCGGAGAAGGGTGAGTGGTACTTTCCGGATGTCCATGAGATGGCCAAATGGGCTGGCAGCCAGCCAGTTTGGATTGAAGAAACAATGGGTATGTCAAGCATTCACTCGCCGCCACCGTGCGCCTGGTTAATCATATTTATAGAAGCAAGTTTCTTAAATTCATACGCGAGAGAAGAAAGAGGTATTCCTATCGGCCGAGCCTCGGAGGTGAAGCTCAGCAACAACCACCTTCAATACGTGGTTACATGGTATGTGACTGGATCCTTTCCCTTCCACACCACCATATTTCTAACACCATGTATCCAGGTATGGCCTTAGTCTAGCTACCTCTGTCATGTTGTGGATGGTGGTTAAAAAACCTCTTGCTGGGTCCGCTGGTCGAGTTCGACACAGCAGACAGTGGTAATCCAAGAGAAAGGTTGTGACCCAACACGCTCTCCAGTTTATTCCAAGGTGGTGTAACGACGGTCAAAACGAACAGGGACTACTCCGGCTCCTCTGTGATTGTCGCCATGCGGTTCTTCTTCCTTTTTCGAGCCTTGATCGGCGCAGTCATTCGTATTTCTTGAATCAGCTCCCGAGGAAGAAATCGTTGCGCCAGCGAAAAGGGCGTATTCGATGCACTCGTCTGCCGTTGTCTGGAAGAGGTTGTCAGCGGTCATCCGTTGTCAAGTTCCTCGAGCCCTACCTTCTCATGAGAGCAAGCATGTCCGACTCCTCGATCGTTTTTCGGCCGGCGTGATCGGCATAGCTTGCAAGGTCTTCAGCAACCTGTTCGAAAAACCAATCGCTAGCTTGGGAAATAGCTAGCAACGTGTCTTTTCCCAGTTTTCCATTGGCGATGCCGCAGGATTTGGCCGTTGCTGTTGCCAGTCGTTTGATGACGGATGGCGGAAACGACCCATAGGGCTTGCCAAATTTCGATATCTTCTTTGGCTCCGGGCCTCGCTTTACTGGAGAGCGTTCCGGGCTGTTCCTCATAGCATCATCCTGCACCAGAAAATGTGTGTTCTGTGGTGTTGGAATCCGATTGTTTAGGGAAGCCGAAACCACTTCTTCCACCATTTCCGAACCGTCCGAGTCACCTTCGCTTAGTTGCGTTTCGTCCTGCTGTGTAAACCCCCCCGGATCCGATTGCGCGGGTGATTCGGGTTGTGGGGACTCCTGTCGCCTCTCGGGAACGCGGAACTGAAATGTCGTAGTGTTACCATCCGAAGGCGACGAGGAACGGCGCTCAGCATCCAGTCTAGACTCTCTCCGCAGAATTGCCTGGACCTGCTGTGTTGTATCACTATTTGATGTTAGCGACGATTCCAACCGGCGTCTGGGAATGCGCACTCGTCTTCCATCGCACCAATCTCCTCCAAGAATGCTTGGGTATCTTCCATTCCGATGTGCTCCAGGACCCCGGTGAGATTGGCTGTCTGTTCGTCCATCTCGTATTCTTCCATATCACCGAAACGATCGCTCAAGGTCTCCAGCGCCAACCCACCCAAACTAAACCTCGAAAGATCTTGTCGTCGGCCCATTTCCACATCCCTTGCCGAACGCGCTGTTTTTGCCGAGCTCTGGGATAGAGCTGCCACTGTGGCTTCGTCATCGTCTTCTTCATCTTCATCCAGGTTGACCGAAAAACGTGGGACTTTCTCGTGGAAACTGTCGTCATCTTCCAGCGCGTTTAAAGGGAGCGAGAGACGGGGCGGTGCCTCGTCAGGCTCGTCGAAGAAATCCTCGAATCCATTTCTGCGACGCTTGGTTGAGGGGATAGCAGCTGGAGACGGCTCTATCGGTGCGGTACGTGCGGCAAGGACTACACCGTAAGGAAATTAGAACATTCATCAGAGCGCAAGCAAGTTTGGAGGCGCAAGAAAGGGGATACACACGTCTACTCAGGTTTCGTAGAGTGTCCCTCGGAGTCTCCCTCTGCAATCTCCCACTCTTTCGTCGATCTCTTCCCGGGGTCCCTGCCCGGTCAATCCTTTGCTGATATGCGCGGATCGCATGGGGAGTAGTCGGTTTGGTGCTTCGCTGTAGTCGAGACCGAGAAATCGTTCGCGGCCCGCGTGATAAGCTTCCGGGCGTCCGAACGGGGATTTTGAACGCTGAAGCTGGCTGGCGACTGGACGCCCGTTCAGAGGGTGTCGCGGGGTTTCGAATGACGTTCGCTAAGTTATGGAGCTTGACAAGTCAGAGGTCGAAAAAGAAAGGGCATATCAAGGGCCTACATCTGTGAATGGAGTCCGCTTGTTGGTATCGCGGTCGTCGGCACCCGATTTGCGAGGAGTATACCGCACTCGTTTCGATGGTGGTTCGGCCATAGGGATTTGCGACTATGGTGCCAATATTTAAAGCTCAGAGGGCCAGAACAGTACCGTAAGTTATTTACTGGAGGAATGGTAGCGTTGGAGAACAATAGAATTATAGAAACCGACTGGAAGTGTTGTTTACATCTACGCAGGTTTCGGGGAGACGTCAGTGGGTCATCGCGTCCAGTACATCAGGCATTAAGGCATAAATGTTGGGGATAAGGCATCAACGTTGTACTCTGGACCGCTTTAATTATCAGATCAATCGATAAGCCCTTGAATGCTTGGCATCAAAATTGTCATCCAGTCCTGATTGATATTAATGTTGAAGTTTGAACCGTCCTACTTCGATTTCGATTCTTCGGTCGATCTTGACAAGTCCTTAATAATTGATTTAGAGGTGAACTATATTGAAGTCATCTGTGTGTAAATCCATCGCCATGGCAAAGGGACACACTGATACCTCACCGCTGGTTGATGGGCCGCCCGATTCCAGCACCAAGCGCAAGAGGGTCGAGGAGCCAGTCCAGAAATCGACGCATTCAAAACGCAGGAAATCTCGGAAGCCCAAGGACATTCAAGATGATGAGATCGATCAAGAGCAAAAGGTCAATAAGGGAATTTCGCGCATGGACAGTGTCCTCCTTGCGGACTTAATCGTCCAACGAACGAAGCGATTTGAGCCGGAATTAAGTTCTGTGGAACTAGAAGATAAACACATCCCTTGTGAGTCTTCCTACCAGTCCACTTTGGCTGATGTAACTCATCGGTTTTGCAGCAAAGGCGATATTTGACACCACCGTGTGGCAGGAGGACCGAACAGTGGATCAACTTCCCAACTTTCTCGAAAAGTTTGCAGAAGACAAGCTATCTGTATGTCCGAAACCGAATGGCAGTCCTCACACTTTGGTCCTCGCCATGGCTGGGCTTAGAGCGGCAGATCTAGCTCGGTAAGTATTGCGTCTTCGTGCTGGTAACATATAGTTGCTGATGGTTGCAAGATCTCTCCGGAAATTTCAGACCAAGGATGCGCTGATAGCCAAACTTTTTGCCAAGCACATCAAACTGAATGAGGCCATTGAGTCATGCAAACGTTATAGGTCAGTTCGATAATGATATCGATCGCTATGATTCTAATCTCTCTACAGGATGAACATTGGAGTCGGCACTCCTCAGCGAGTTCTCGACCTCCTGGAGGCCGGTGAGTTGGACCCAAAAGAATGTTTCACAACCGCTGACTCATTATAGGATGTCTATCAACCGATCACTTAAAAAGAATCGTGCTTGATGCATCGTACGTGGATCCGAAGAAGAGAGGGGTCATGGATATGAAGGAGGTCACCGTGCCATTGACCAAGCTACTTTCACGGCCAGAACTCAAGTCAAAATATGGCGTGGACCTTCAGATACTATTCTTCTAGAGGGTGTCATGATCAACAGCACAGTTTACTCGAACCTTTTTGTTGAAGTTCTCTGATGCTGTGGAATTGCTTGATATTCGGTGGGTACGCACCCGATACGTTCACCAGGCTTGCGTCAACAAAATCAGCCTTATCATATCGAGTGGATGTTGTGGGCCCGAGGCCGGACTGCGAATAGTGCAGAATATACTCCGTAAGACAGGACCATTCGTCGTCTTCAATCATTCCTCAAAGGGCATTTTATTGGAGGTTGGGAGAATCCTGAAAGCACAATGATTCACCACTCACCAGATCGGCTTCTGATGCAGTCAAGCGAGATGGAGCTACAGGCAGGGATACCTAGTAGGGCAGGGCACGGTGGGACGGGGCAGGACTTTGGGTGGGCAATAAGAGGGGGGCTGTGGCGCTACAGAGCTAGGTGAGGGCAAGCGATCGAGGGCAGCGCTTGGAGGGTTGGACATTGATAGACACGAGAGAATGATGCAGCCTAATTAGTGGCAGCGAATGAGACATACCTTTCGACTTTCCAGGACAATATAATATCGGCGAATGATAAAGGAATGGTGATTTGCAGCGAGTCAACTGGGCAGAGGAAGTAGGCAACCCAACCGATCAGCCAACCGGGCGGGCCAGCCGAAGCTAGTTGCTAAGTTAAGTGCTAGATTGGCATCCAGAAGTCGGAAACGCTTGGGACTTTGGGGGTCGGGGGAGTTGGGAGTTGGGGCGAGGTCCTCCGTAGATTAGGGACGAATTAGGGACTGGGCTGGGGACGTGGAGTAGAAGAACAACTGCCACCACACGGCACACCACCATCACCATCATACGAACCCTTTAACAAGTACCACCTACTACCTACGTACTCCGTAGATGCACTTGGATCTTCTGAAACTGCTTTTGCTTTAGACCTTCATCTCCATTCTCCATTTTCCCGCAACGCGCCCTTATTATCTTCCTGTTAAGCTTCTCCCTTATCCAGACTCCATCTCCTTGTCGCCAGTCGACTTATCTGCTGCAAAGACGGTGTTCCAAGTCAGCGTACGGCATTGAGTGTGTCTGATCAGAAGCTCTGGAGCTCAAGTAGTCACCGTTGGAGTTGAAACCTGGTGTTAGACCTGATAGCCACCTTGGTCATTCCCTCTGAATCAGAACCGCTGTCATTCTGCCACGACTCGTACGATCCATTCTATCACCCAACCTCGATACCACGGTACGACATCGCATATATCATACCGGATATTTCGCACATCTCATCGATTTGATATTCGACGACGAGCTCCGATACACGCTCAGGAAGCCTGCAGACCACTCCGTCGTCTATATCGTCACGAGCTTGTCCCTGTGAGGGTACAGCTATACGATTTACCTTCGGTCAGTCGATTGCTCTCTCCAAGTAAGAGACGTGTTGAGCTGTCCGCTCGTCTTGTCATTCTAGTCCAATTCTACATTGCGCACAATACTAACCCTTTTACTTGGTACATGCAGTTCTATACGCTGAACCGAGATATAATCCTCTTACCGCCTACCCTTCGCTGAAAGTCTGGCAAAATGGCTGCTGCCCCACCAACCCAATCCTTGAAGGTCCGTGAACGAACTTTATCGGATACTAGAAGTCATGGCTGACCTCGATAGTGTGTGGTGACGGGAGATGGTGCTGTCGGAAAGGTAAAGCTCCTGGATCGCGCGGTTTCTGGAAAGCTGCTGACTCTCGATCTAGACATGTCTCCTCATATCATATACCACGAATGCCTTCCCCGGAGAATATATTCCAACTGTGTACGCTATCCCCTAGTCAGCCCCCATCGCTAGATTCGTCATGCTTGGTAGACCCCTCGACTAAGTGGTGACCAGATTCGACAACTATTCCGCAAGTGTGATGGTAGATGGGAAACCCATCAGCCTGGGTTTATGGGACACGGCCGGCCAAGAAGATTACGATCGACTACGACCTCTCTCTTACCCTCAGACGGACGTATTCCTGATCTGCTTCTCCGTTGTCAGCCGCGCCTCGTTCGACAACGTGAAAGCCAAGGTGAGCGTTCCATTCTACATCCACCGAGTTCGTTTGCTGATGCATGATTAGTGGGCGCCTGAGATTGAACACCACGCACCCGGCGTACCAATCATCCTGGTTGGCACCAAGCTCGATCTGCGAGATGATGAGGGGACACGGGAACAATTGAGAAAGATGAAGCAGAGTCCAGTGTCATATGAGGAGGCGGTTCAGGTCGCGAAGGAAATCAAAGCATACAAATATCTCGAATGTTCGGCTCTTACCACTCGTAATTTGAAGAGTGTTTTTGACGAAGCAATCCGGTACGGCATTTCCGGAGGAGTTTAACCCCTTCTTGTTGGAGCTGACAATCCTCTAGGGCAGTCCTGAATCCTCGTCCTACAGCAAAGAAGTCAAGTAAGAAGTGCACAATCCTATAAACATATTACCCCGAAGTCCTGTGTCGAGATCATCTCTCCTTTCTTAGCATATCGAAGGTGACGATCTCTTTACACCGGAGATGACGAGATGGCGTTCGGCGAGGAAAGGAATGAACGTTTTGCGATACAGACAGCGAGCATCGCTCTACCCGGGTGCATACTTCTCTATTAGTGGTTGAGGGCCAGCGATTCCAAGCTCGTTAATTGAGATTGCACTCTTAACATATTCAGACACGACAGTCCGCCGGAGCACCCTTCGTACATCTCTCTGCGGGATCGATAGACCGGCCTTTGCCTTCTTACATGTGGTCTCAACCTACATCTTATTCATTCTCTTCAGTTGAAATTTAATTCATGCTTTAGTCAATGTCGCGGACTTTTTTCAGCTAGCCGATCGCACGTGGATCAATATCTTGGTTTTCATTCATGGTCTTGAAGATAGACATTTCCGGTTGCCTGGCGTTTTGTAGATAATTGAATCTGGAACTTGTTGCTATCTCCGTTTCTTGATTGAGCCACATCTTTATCATGAATATTGCACCGTATAATCCCTTTCGGGTTCGTTTTCGCGAGTCCCTTTAGGTCCCCACCGGATGTCATCTATGCTATTCCAGTATGGTCGCTATATCGGTTCTCATAAACCCAGTTGACCAGTTCCTGGTCGCTTTTACAAACATGTGTGGTTCCCCAGCCGTCCGTCATGGCTTTGACCGTGGTGCTCTCCCCTTCCAACGCAGCGTCGCCGCAGCACTTCTGACTTTGCCTTAGGTAGTCAAAGCAATGTGTGACATGGCGCTGCATGTCAGGGTTCTGCGTTTCCTCTCCTAGCCGGCAGCGACCCAAATCGCGCATGATCAGGTAGAGGCAGTGGTATTGGTGCAGCGAGGCAATACTGTAGCCTCCTCCCTTCACTCCCTTGAAATGTAGGGGCTTGCCGATGTCGTACTTATCCGCGTCGGGGACTCGAACAAATCCCCGACCAACTGCTGTTCTGTCAGCGGTTGTTCAGTGTCTGGTCTAGGTTGTTTAATCTTTTACCGGGCATATCATTCCGCCATCGAGTGCGAACCTCGTTGAATATAGCTCGAGTAGAGAACATGGTCTCATTCGCATATCGATAGTCCGGTTGAAAGGTAACCAACTCGGATGAAACTGCCAGTACGCGTATATCAGCAGGAGTCCAGCACGGCCCCGTGTCGCCATGGGCTACATACATGGCGGGACAAGCCCATTTGGCTCTCCCAATAGCTCCAGCTGATCTCCAGAGGCGGGCGCTGAAAGATCCGTCGATGAGGTGTTGGATCCTGCCGTCGATGTACACTCTGCTCTTGGACGCCGGCCTTCACTTGACACTGCGATGATCAACAGGAGGGCCACCGCTAAGAGCAAAATATTGCCCAACAAGCTCCATATCAAGTAGCGCCTCGTTCTATTCCCTGCGTCGTAGCTCTTCTCTCGTTCATCGTGCTTCCATTGCCGACGATCCAACATCGCAACCTCCTCATTCTCGTCCAGTGAGTCTCTGGGGAACACCGGCAACCCATCATGACTTTCTTGAAAAGGTAATACCATAGTTCCGAACCCTAGAAAGTCGCATTACGATTTCAGACAGTGGATGGGCATCCAAAGTAGACGTTGAAAGAAGCATTTTCCAAACATCTCCATCAGTGCTTCATTCTTAGGTCTGGTTAGGATTCCATGTTCTGCATACATTTAGAGTGCGTCACGCTCGGCGTTTGGGGTAAATTGTCTTCATTTATCCTATATCCGAAGCCCCTGTGGTTCATTAGTGTACTTCCAACCCCTTGACCTTGCCAGAACCACTAATCCCAGTGCTTACGCAGAACATGGAATTGAGCGCTTCGACGGATTCGACTTTCATAGCAACGATATTGACTGTCTATGGAAACCGCAGACTTTTCATGTAGCCTGCAATCACATGCGAATTTAGATGCTCGCTACGACTGTCTAGTATTGAGGAATCATCGAGAGCCTCGTTCGAGATTCGATCCCCAACTCCATTCGCCTAGCTTGCGGACAAAGATCATGCTTTGGTGGCAGTAGGACGGGTAGGAATGGTCTTTCCTTTCTCCTTAGATCGCTCCTCAGGCTTGGCCTGTCTGTCTTGTGCGTCCTTGACAAACGGAATGAAGTCGGGTTCCCCTGGAATATACTTCCGCAGCACTTCAGGCACCTTGCAACCATCTTCCGTCTGATAATTTTCCAGTATGCAGCAGAGCGTTCGTCCTGTTGCACACAGAGTCTGAGGCGATACTTAGCAAATACGACTACCACTAGGAGAGGTTTCAGCTTACCGCGTTCAGAGCATGCACATATTCCTTCCGCCCACCACCCACCTCCTTGTTCTTCTTAACCCCATAACGAATCTCCAGCTCTCTTGTCTGATAGTCCGTGCAGTTTGAGCATGACACTAGCTCCTTGTATTCGCTTTGGAAAGGGAACCATGCTTCTAGATCGTACTTCTTTGCCGCAGCATTATTCAATGCTCCCGAGACGATGCTGACGATTTGATAGGGAAGACCCAAAGATTTGTAGAACTCTTCCGAGACGGCGATCATCTCATCGAAGAAATTCCAGCTTTCATCGGCCTTGCAAATCACGAACTGTTCAATCTTTTCGAACTGGTGAACTCGGAAAAGGCCCCATGCATCGCGCCCATGGCTTCCTGCTTCCTTGCGGAAATTGGTGCTGGAACCCGCGTACTTAATCGGTAGTTCCTTCGGCTGAAGCCACTCATTGGAGTGCATACACGAGATCGGCTGCTCACTGGTGGCAATGAGGTATTTGTCCGTGTCCGGATCGGGCCCTTCGATGACCTTGTAGAGCTCTTCATCGAATTGGGAGAGCTGTGCGGTTTTGGCCATCTGGTCCTTGTTGAGGAAGAACGGTGGCTGAATTGGAGAATAACCTGATCGCGTCAGTCAAGTTCTCAAGGCTGATGTTTCCAAAACAAATCACCTTTTTTGTAGAGGAATTGCATCCCATAATTGATCAAGGCTTGGTTCCTGGACATGTTAGCTTCCAGTGAGAACCTTGCGTGTTTGAACAGCATACAGCCAGTAGCCCATATCCTTTAAGAAGTAACCTCGATGTCCAACCAGCTTTGTGCCACGGTCAGGATCATAGCCACCTATTCTCCAAAGCACGTCGTGATGTGAATATGTAGGTTTCTGTGCCTTGTCGAACCCTTCGGGAGCCCATGTCCGAGCGATCTCGTTGTTATCCTCGTTGTCGCTAACCAGAACGGAGTCGTGCACATAGTTTCCCACGGTTTTGGCTAGAGCCCTCAATGCAGCTTGTACTTCCACCACACCGCCTTCTTGCACCTTCTTCTGCTTCTCCAGCTCCACCTTTTGCTGGACCAGGTCGTCCGCATTCTCCTTGTTTCTCTTCTTCAGGCCGATTTCTTTCTGGATTGCGTTGATTCTGGTACCGATTTGGGCGACATCGTACTGAGCTATGGCGCATCAGTTGATGATACGAACGACAATTGGTTGACCACGTACCTTTCCGGGCATTTTCCCAGGCCGCAATGACCTGGTCAACCAACTCAACCGAGTCACCTCGTCTTCGTTGACTCTCCCTGATCTTCTCGGGATTGCCCCCGCGCTCCGCAATGAAATCCTCAAGGTCCAGCATGTTGTCAAATTCCGGCGGTTAAGATGCACCGGTAACAACGGAAATTTTTAGTACGTGAGAATCTCCAACCTTTAGGAGGCACCTTGAGATTAGGAAGGAGTGTCGCAGGGTCTGGTGGGAGATATGTGGATTGTGTTGCTGTGCAGTTGGTGACTGGCGTCGATCAAACGGAATCCATCAAACTGAAATCCAGCAAAGTTGATGGTGGGGCAGAATGGAAAGGCCATCAGGCAGCAAGGTCTCTCAGCAGCAAGGCGATAAGGCATATATTTCTCTCTCCAAACATGACCAATCACGCTGCCAGGAATTTGTTCTATTAATTCACCTGGTGACATCGTCGGTGGTTCAAAACACTGGACTCTCCCGATGATAACCGGCACCGCAGTATTGTCTTAGATCAGACTGTATCCTGAGAGGTGAATCGATAAACATGCTGACTGAAACACTCTTTCCGTTGCACACGCTGGTAAGTTCATGACTCAGATCAGGACTGTTGGCAGGTAGGTCCCTTTGTTAGCCGCATATAAGTCCGTAGTCACCGCCCGTTCTTTGTTCAAAAGGCACGAGCATCCATACCTTTACACTACGAACTTATACTAAGCACAGTACTTATACTATCAGATAGTATCTCCTCGTTGCGGGCAACTCTTCTTTACTATTCTTTACTCATTGAAACCACGCTCCTGTTTCCATCATGACAGTGAAAGTCCTCCCTCTGCCTATTGAGTCATTGGACAAGTTTGCTTTCATCGCCTGCACCGCCTTCACCCATGGCATCGGTCGTCTGTGTATCGGTCCCCCAAATCCCCTGAATCTCGCTTTCACCGTGCTGCGGCAAAGGAACCACGCGTTGAATAGTACGGCCGTGCGATATTTCCAAGCCGTGGACGAAGACACGGGCGAAGTGCTTGGGGTCGCCAAGTGGTCATGTTTCGAGAATGCATTAACGATGGAGCAAGTTGAAGACTCGTGCACCATCCCGGAAGAAGGATGCGATGATGGGTTGTTAGCGAGGGCAATACAATCAACATCGGCGAAACCGATACCTCCCGAAGACGCACAGAAGCAGGCTCGAGCTCTCAGTGGGAAGGTGGACATGATGGATGAGAATTATGTCGCGTCATATCATTCTTCACATCGACCAGTCTTCGATTACTTCCTATCGGGACGGAAGAAAATCATGGAGACGAGACCATTCTTGTTTCTTACCATATTGGCCGTTCATCCAAAGCACCAGAGGAAGGGAGTTGGGGCTGCTCTCCTACGATGGGGAATCGATCGAGCCGATGCTCTTGGAATTGAATGCTTCATCGAAGCCACTCCAGAAGGCCGGCGATCCTATGAAAGGGTAGGGTTTCGAGCCGTCCAAGAGCGGGTATTTGACATGAGGCCATTCGGTGAGCAGGGCGACGAATGGTCCGGCCTTATGGTCAGAGAGATGAGGAACTCGGTGACCGGTTCGAAAAATCGTCCTTCACATTGATTCAACGGAACTTAGATACACCGCATTAGTTCGATAGAGATCGTGGGCGAGATGTCGAGGCCATACATCAGACTAGTGGTTACACGTAGATGATATGAAAGATCCTGGCTGACAAGCAATCCAACGGTATCATGAGTCCGCAATTAGAATCACCTTCCACCCTCGCAGAGGGCAATGCAAAAGTCTCGGAAGTCCCCTCTCGTCCTCTCATCAATGTCCCTTTCCAAGCTCTTCCGGTATAACTCACGATATTCATCCTTGACCCGGTGCAGGTGCACCCGATCCCAATGAAGCCGGACCAATCTGGAAATAAGCAATTCATATCGGTCTTTAGGCACATGCCTAGAGTCCCGGCTGCTACTATTCTCCCCACTCAGATCTTCCACGGCATGGTGTAGGAGCATGGCATCACGAGCCGGCTTGTTGATTACACCGTTGAGGATATGTGCAACGACTTCACCAACGAGGTTGTTGCTCTTCTTCAGCGCTTCCTTTGCAAAATTGCGCCGGTGCATTCGCTCGTAAGTGCGCAATACCTCTCGGAGATGCGCATCCGATCTGAGGACCACGACGTTCAGCATCGCGGTTTCTCTACCCTCCTTCAAAGACCGGTACAGGGCATCCACATCTCGATTTCGTTCTTCCGTCCCCCAGCTCTCATTCTCTTCCTGACGACGCTCTTCGAGCGCGAGCAAGATCGCTGTCCGAAACTTGTCCGCTTTAAGTTCCTTGTCCATGCAACGCATGAGAGAATCACCATAACGCTTATCGTGAAATGATCGCTTAATTTCACGAATCTCCGCGTTGGTACGTCCCATCAAGCTCTCAATGAGCAATTCACGCCGAGCATTGTTCGACTGGTACCATGAGTTTGCCCAATACGATTCGGACTCCCAGCGGCCCAGCGCGGTCACATGTGCGATCTTACCGAAAGGCCCCGAAACCTTCATTTTGATGTGCTTCGCGATGTTGATGCCCTTGCCCTGTATCCTGCAAACTTTCTTATATGCCGCGCGTAGTTGTAGCATCTGATCATGCGAAAGAATGGGCAGGATTTCGCTTAGAACGCGAAAGTTCGGTGAACTTCGCGACAGCTCACCGGCGATATCGCGAGCCTCCTCTTCGGCAGCGTTCGAATAAAGGACTACTTTCTTTTTCTTGGCGCCAGGGGGGGAGGACTCGCGGGTGGATTCGCGGGTGGATACGCGACGAACGTGCGAAGAAGCCCTGGGGCGTTGAGTTTGCCCGGTAAGCGAGGAACGCGATATGTTCGGAGAAAGGGGAGGCAGATCCTCCAGGTCCAGATCGTCATCAAAACGCGGAGCTCTCATCACCGGAGAAGGCATAGGAGAAATTGACTGATACGTTCCATGATATGCTTCGAGTAGCGGAGACGGGGGAGGGATTTCCCCGATCTGAGGACGATTACCACTGACGGACAGGCGGTCCATTCGGGGTAGTCCTGGTGAACGCGGACGCAATTCCGCAGGCTCTCGGCCCACCGAGAGCCGATGGGGTCGAGAAGGTGGTGGTGGCAGAGAAGCCTCGTCCTTATCGCGACTTTTGTCCTTGCTCTTGCTCTTGCTCTTGCCACCACCAGGGGTAACCTCCCTCACTGCATAACGTTTGTCCCTCGGCACAACACCAGGAGGCGGAGGAGGGATGTCGTCACCACCCATCCCGGGCATCGGTCGCACTGCATAACCCTGGTCCATCAACACCGCACCTGGGGGCGGAGGAGGAGGATAGTCATCCATCCCTGGCATAGATGGGAAAGGTTCCGTGGCTCTTTTATCTTTCTTGCTTGCCTTGATGCTCTTAGTCGAAGTGTACGTACCCCCCGGCGCCACGGGTTTTGCGGAAAACGTGAGCGCGTTTGGATCGATGGACGCGTAGTTGTAGGAGCCATCGGGGCCATACTCGCCCGCTGAAGGCACTGTCCGTTTGTACTCCTCCTGAGCGCTAGGTTGGGCAGACGCGTGACTCCACCCTGGGTTCATTGTGTATGAAGGCATCGAAGGCATCGCAACGGTTGGGCCGTCCATCGGATACGGAATCGCGCTTCCCGGGCCGTCTGGGGATTTGGGAGTGTATCCCGGCCTCTCGTGAGGGGGGAGGTCGGAGTAATTCCCCATGGTTATGGTGTGGTCGTCAACCATGTCGATAAGATGCGCGCCGTTCACATAGTTCGAGGATGGGGACGAAGGGTTCATATACTGGGCGAAGGGGAAGGAGGAAAGGAGGAAAGGCTGGAGGGACCGGAAGCGGTGGTAGTCACAGGCAGCTGAGGGAAAACATGATTAGTACGACTATCTCTAGAAGCTTCAGGAGCCAGGGATGAGGGATGAGGGATTGGCTAGTCTGGCCCTGGTACTCTGGTCTTTGGTGGTGGACTGTGTGACTGGGTTATGGGTGGCATGGACTGTGGAGGCCCAGCAGCATAGGGCTGATTACAATAGTATTAATCGCCCGAATTCCCCTCCCTCTCACCGTCCAAACCCAGCTCTATTATAACGTCCGATTGCCAATTCGCCGATGAAAGAGCGGAGGCCGGAGACCGACTGAGGGAACGTGATTCCATCGGCGTGTTGCGCTTGTCGGGGCGCAGCGACATGATCCACAACGGAGTGCAACTGGGCTCCTTGGGCTCTGCTGTCCTGGAGCACCACCAGGTGGCTGTGTTTTGTTGGCTGCTCCCAGATGACCTCACAGGCTCCAAGACTTCAAGTTGCAAGCAACTAATGGGAATAATCGATACGGACAGAAAAGAAGATCAGGGTTTCAAATGGAGTCTCTAATGTTCCGAGCATCGTGTTCACAGGATAGGTGCTCTCACAGGACTTCTCATTACTCATCTACAGGACAATGCACTCCAGGCGACGGCAAACTTGAAGAGATGCATCCAGGCTCTGTACTACTGCTGAGCGCCACAGGCATCTTCCAGGTCTGGACTCAGGACCTCTGTTTCATTCGGATCTTTTGGGCGCCAAAAGCTGCCGCGGTGGCTCCAGTGTCGCATGGTTCTGTCGGTTGGAGAGACAGGTATCTATCCTTCCACGAAGTCACTTCATACAGCAAAGAGTTGCTCTGCTGCGGTCTTGCAATGATGCTGTGCAACCAATATCCCTATTAATGCCAATAACTACTCCTGCTCGACCAGCACTTATCAACACCAGAGCGTTCCACCACGGTACCTTCAGCCTCGGTTTCGATCCACCTCCGACCATATCCCAGGCAGAGGTCCAGACTCGCCATATACTGGGTCTGTCTTGGGGACAGGAACTTTGGCCGAGTTTGCTGCCTTCTTTTCGGTCTCTCCTGGTGATCCTTCACAGAAGTTCATGTCATATTCTACTGATCCCTGGCAGACCGATAGCTCTTAGCGAAGTCGAGACCGTTGTCATTGATTCGATTGTGTCATTTGAGAAAGTACCGATACAGAAAGGAAACACTTACCTCCGGGTAGAACCCTGCATACTCAAATTCGTCCTCGGACTCGATTGCAGCGTGGCTAACCCCCGCCTTGGAGTGTCAGTATTCGTTCCGAGTAACCGTAGTTATGACCCTGGGGTCGTGCAGCATACAGGAAGCACGAAGACATCACCTTGAGTGATCTGGATCACTTTACCTGTGCCCTTGTCTTCACCCTGACCTTGATCAAGTGGTGATCTTCCAAGACCATAACTGCATTTGCCTTTCAGAACAGCATAGCATTCATGTGTAGTGGTGTGAAAGTGCGGGACTTTGTATGTTCCCCACTGTCCTCCTTTCATCCAGCCATGCTTTTCGATAGCTGTACGGATGGCCTCCTCGTTGACGTTCTCGAAGACTGAGCGGTAGAATAGAACAGGCAGGTGGGAATTTGGCACATGAGGAGTTGGATTGACGAACAACAGCTGTGGCGCTCTGGTATCCTCTGAAGCAGCCATCATGATTTATCTCATGACGAGTATAGAAGTGCAGGTTGAGATGCGGGGTTGTGTCATTCTACGAACTTAAGAAAGCTGGGGAGCCGAGTTTGAGGACTCAACCTACGAGGCTAAGCCATCTAAAGCTCATTGCATGCCGATCGTAATAAGTATCAGTATCTCTAGAAAGACAAATGGCAGTGCATTTCCCCGTCGATGCTCGTTTCCTTTTGAATGACCCTTGACATAACTTAAAGTCGTGGCCTACATTCACCTTGACTTTCTTACCAAGGTTTTTTGGTTGTGCAGACTTTCTCCGTCTTCGTGGCTTAGGAGAACAACGCGTGAGGACCAAAGGAAAGGCTTGGAAAGGGAACAGAACACGGCCAAAGGGCTAAAAAATCGACTGAACATCCACAGCAAATGTGACTCGACGTCCGACTTCCGATGTCCGATGTCCATATCCAAACAATTAACTTTCTCCAGGCGCTAAATTAAGATGATTGATATGGATGGTCCGGTGGACGAGAAGTGGTGAAGACAGAAGTAGACCAGTCTCGCAGCGCAAGTGGAATTGTGGGAAGGAGATCGCAATCACGTGAAAGATAGGCACCTGGTTGCAGGTTGTGACGCTGCAGTGCGCCAGAGCAGAACAGGGTCAGGCATGTGGAACAGTGGAAGTTTTGTCTGGAGAAGGTGAAGATTGAAGAACAATTGGAAGTTCGAATATCAATCTCACTGCTCGTGCTCAAATTCCCGGTCTTGGACGTGTTCAATTGCCTACCTATTCTACATTCCATTTCTTTCCATACGATCCTTCAATTCATCCACTCTTTTCCTAGCCTCCTGATTTCTTGAGGGGTTCACTCCTGGTCACCTCCGCAGCCCAGCGCGGGAGTACTATGCTTGGGAGAGTTTGAACCGTTTCCCGTCTTTCGATCGCTGTCCTCGGCGATCATCTATAACATATGAAGGGCAATACGGCAGAGGCATCGCGAAGCGCGCAGGACGCAGGCTCCGAATCGAATTCGCGCAGCAACGTGGACGACTCCTCCATTCTCTCGGCGCGGTCCCGACGCCAATTTTCCACATTCGCTTTCGGGGCTACATTATGTTTGGTTTCGGCCGTCCTCACCAAGCGGACATTCGTTCGGCGTTATAACACTTCCAGACCGGCGTTCTTCGAGCCCAGCAATAATCCACCACCGCCGATCAATGCCGCAAAACTGGCGGGAGAGGCTTTGGGTCTCGCAACAATCAATGTTTGGAGCTGGGCGGCCATGATCGGGGGGGGGACATTGTGGGCTTTCGATGTCTCTTCGATGGCAGAGTTCCGGCAGAGCACAAGAGATGCTCTCGGTTGGAATGAGAAAGAGCAAGCGGCACAACGTCAAGAACAGGATATGGAGGACCGTATAGCGAAGATCCTAGAGCGCAGAGAAGCGGAGCGACAAGCCTCAAAATGAGTCACCATGTCGATTGGATTCCATACTCATTGTTTCGGAAAGGCGTAGGCGGCTATTTTTTTGGTGCTGAAAACTCGCCGGCTCCTGGAAGACACGGAAAGGTTACATGTACGATACTATGCAGCACTGCCCAAGGGAACTCTCTACTCCAATCGAGTCGGAGCTCAGGGCGTATACGAGATCTAGCTGAGGAAGAGCTCGGGGCAAGGCAAACCGGGAGACCGTCGGTGGACACGTCGGTGGACACGTCGGTGGACATTGAGCTGGCATTTCGGGAGGTTGGCCGCCTTGCATCGGGACCATTGCCTTGCCGCTGTAGCATTATATCTCCAAATACAATGGGGACGCGTGTACCACGTTCCGGTTAAGGCCACAATTTCATCTATTAGCTCAACTTCTCGACTTTCGCTCCCTGCTGCCCATCTCGATTGGCTCTCCAGACCCCTTCCTCTCCATGAAATTCCTCGAGCTTCCAGATCTCAGCGTTTTCCTTGCATAGTTCCAATGCTTCTTCTCCGGCCCTCCACGCTGCTTGCCGATGTGGAGCTGAGACAGCAATGAGAATGCTCTCTTCGCCAATCGGAACCACGCCCAGCCGGTGCGTCATGGAAATTGCTACGAGAGAATGCTTTTGTTTGACCACGCGAGCGATGTCCAAAAGTGTGGCAAGAGCTCGTGGTACATATGCTGTGTACTGCAGCTGTTTAACCGGCTTGGACTGGAACGTGTCGCGAGTGGTTCCTTGGCCATGTCAGTGGGCATTCTGATGACTCAGGTAGCAGCCGATGATTACCTGCGAAAAGGACAATGGCACCTGCACTCGGGCTTTTCACCGATGATAGAATCTGTGAGGCATCCAATAGCTCATGCGTTAAGGACACCTGAATCCCATCTTCTGTTACACAACTGGGGGGTTTCCCCGAAGAGATGTGACCGGAATCACCCTCCATTCTCAGTCCCTATCAAAATGGCTTTTGGCGATTCAGAACCGATGATTGATACGATTCATATCTTGATTTTCAAGTACTGTTTGGGTAAGCCAGCGAATGTCATGGGGACATGGTGTATTGGTTTCACACTTACTATGTAACTCCCGCAGTGAAGTATTCCGCTCACTTCGTACCAGCATGTATCAGCATCTTGCACTGCCGAGTGCCTTTACTTTGGTTTTGACTCGGAAAATGCATGTAATGACTCACGCGAATGATAGGACTATTATCAGGGAAATCTAGCTTTTCCAGTTTATTAGAAACTCCAACTCTGGATGGGGACTTGTGGTGATATGGAGTATTATAAAACCTCGATTGATGAATTGGTATGGTCGTTGCACACACGTGATAGCAGGTGGTATTGCAGGTCGAGTACCTTATTGTGCAAGCATTCCTCCCCCGACTTCAACATCCAACACAGCGTTTACCCTTACACTTCGACATTCCTACGGGATACGCATCCACAGCATCCTAGGACCCTCTTATCGTCTTTGTTTCTCGATTCCTCCCTTGTAATCTACGACGTCCTAACCATTAGGATGACCCGTGAATCCGGAAGAGAACGTCCCCATGAAGGACAGACGGGTCCGTCCCCAGATCACCTCGCCGACTCCGAACGCTCCTACGAATACGAGTCGGGCGTGAACTCAGCTTACTACAGCTCTTCCTCGCACCGTCGGAGTCCGCCTCATGGTATATGATATTTGAGAGGATAGAGCAACGGAGTTTCAAAGACAGATGCTGATGTTCGCTTGGCAAAGATCTCCGTCGAAGAAGCCCTCGGCGCTCCAATATGGAAGCTCGCATAGATGGAGATGATCATAATTACTACGATGAGCGAGGCGATCGGTCATACGATCGACCGAACGATCGATACGAACAAAGACCTCGCGACAGAGGCCCTCGAGATCGCCATAGAAGCGGATATCGAGACAGAGATCGCGCTGGATACCGGTCGCCTCCATATGGAGAAAGACGCCGAAGTCTGAGCAGAAGTTCTCCTCGAGGGGGAAGAGACCGGTCACCACGCCGCGAACCCCAGCCGAGCAAGGAAATCCACATGGATGGACTTCCGGAATCTATGAAGGAAGACGACGTTGGTCACCACTCTTCGCCGCTTGTGTTCTTTCCCAGTTGAATCCCTGTTTTACCACCATATCACTAAGTTCATTAATCAACCGCAATGGGACTTCGGCTAAGTCATGATATGGCCGGCTCGGCCGTTTATACGAACAGATCATGAGAGAACTCAAACAGTATCATGTTGGGGAACTCAGCGATGTGCGAGTCGTCCGGGATAAGAAGACAGGTAATTCTTCCGCGTACCATGCGAGCCTCGTGTGAATAACGGGATTTCAAGGTCTCTCCCGCGGCTTCGGTTTTCTTCAGTTTGGAAACTTGGAAGATGCAGAGGATTTCATGGATCGCAATTACCCCTTCCTATACTTTCGTGGTCCGGAGGATTCAGACAGTGACTGGACTTTGAAGGTCAAATTGGCTTACAGTCGAGAGCGGGATATTTCGGATCGCAGCTCAGAACGGACTTGGCCATGTCCTAATGTACGTCCAAGTGTTTGGCCTGTTTGGACTGCGAGATCTTGCTGACTCCTGCAGTGCTCCGTTCAAAATTATGCAAAGCGCATGCAATGTTTCCGCTGCGGCGCTGCAAGACGGCTCGGTACGTCCCCATGTCTTATCATCGGTCGTTGGGAGTGCTGTTAACACTTATCAAGATCTCTTAGCCAAACCCGGCAATGTTCCGAATGCAGACCCCTTACAAAATTTCACCAACAACGGCGATAGTGACGCTGCACTTGATTCCACACCTTCTCAATTCCTCTTACTTCGAGGACTCGAGCCTGGGGTAACTGAGGAATTGTTGCTCAAAGGGATCTCAAAGCTGTTCAAACATTCTGATCAGGAACTTCAATCGAAACCTGGGCAAAAGGTTGTCTCGACAACGTCTGTTGTGAACTTGGGGGCTCCCGAAGGTAGCCTGAGACGTATCTTTCTCATCCGAGATCGACACACGGATGACAGTTGGAGGTATGGGTTTGCGGAGTACCGCACTATCGAGGTATGAGAGCGGCATAGTTGGTATGCGTGAAGTCTTCTGATTGTGAGTAGGATGCCCAGGCCGCTTTGACAAAGTTCCACTCCTTGGACAAATTTACCATCTCATCGAAGCCGGTATGGATAAGCTACATCCATCCGGGCGTATTCGTACCCGATCTGAACCACGATCAGCCAGAAAAGTATACGTTCAAGGCAACGAATAATCCTGCCCTGCTACTGGCGTATTGGGACGCTGGAGCGTATGCAAATGAGCATGTCGTTGCATGTGACAACTCCCCTTCCGCCGCAGCCGGCAGCCAGACTACAGGCGAGGCCGAGTCTAGGAAGAATGGGTTAGACACAGGTAAAGATTCGAGCGCAAAGCAAACGAAGAAACGCAAAGCCGAGAATGTTGCTACACCCACCAATAAGAAGGTAAGCATGATTGACACCTAGTACAGGAATCCATAGAGATTGACATGAAGAAGGTTATGCCATCGCATCTGCAACTGTGGACAAATCGGCATGCAGAGTTGCATGGAGGAAAGAAGGAAAATGAAGAAAGCCAAGGGGATACCTCTGGTCCGGATTCGAAACCGAACGTCAGTCATGTTCAATCATATGCCGACGTTAATCGGAAGTGCTGTCTGCTCTGCACTCGTCAGTTCAAAAGCGTCGAGGAAGTCCACAAGCACGAGCGGCTCAGCAAACTCCATCAGGGTAATCTCGAGAACATTGACCTACGAAATAAGGCCTTGGAACGGCTTCGGAAGGCTGGTATCCCGGTCACAGTCCCGCCCATTGCTGAACCCTCTTCGCCCACCGGCTCCGGACAAGAATACCGGGATCGCGCGAAGGAGCGACGCAAGCTTGAATTAGCAGCGGGAAATGCTGGAGATCAAAGTCTTACACCCAACCGGGAGAAGGTCAAGTTGTCACTAGGTAAAAAGAGCTCTTCCAACATTCGACCTCCTTCTCCTGAGCCAGAGCCGAGTCCTGCACTCTCCAAGGGTGCCTCTCTCCTAGGGAAAATGGGTTGGTCCGCAGGCAGTGGTCTGGGTGCTGATGGATCTGGTCGGACCGCTCCTGTCCAAACCGAACTTTACCGCGAAGGTGTTGGTCTGGGAGCCCAAGGTGGGAAGATCGGGGATGCCCTTGAGGAAGCGGATAGGAATACCAAGGGCGACTATGGGACCTTTGTTGCACGGACAAAGGAAAAGGCAAAGGAGAGATTTGAGTCATTGGGTTGAGGTTGTTATCGCCTCGAATAATGGAGACAATCTCATTGGATTTGATGAGATGACCAATTGGGCCAATGTGACGTTGCCCAGCACATATTATTTATTCCTCGTACTGTTTCACCTCGACAGTCTATATACATCACCGGTATTACTACCTCTCCTTGTGGAAATTGATCATTTTTCAACAATCTCATCTGCCTCTTTCTTGTAGGCTATATTTCGGGGGGCTGTCAAAGAAATGTGGGCGACGCTTAAGTAGGAAGGTCGCAACCGTCATCTCCACATCAATAATTAAGTATTCCCAATTCGAAGCCTTCTCGTACGCTGGAATTGTTCCATCAATATAACTCTTATCCATCCCAATCGTTTCATGATGCCGTCGATACCACAGTCTGATGCAGAATGGGCGGCATTGATCTCAAATGTCGAGTCATCAGTCGAGGTATCGGAGGACCAATGTGCCTTGCCATCGCTTGACCAACAGCTGGCTCAATACTTTGACCACACGTTGCTCAAGTTGGACGCAACAGAAGAAGGAATTGAGAAGTTATGTACGGAGGCGAAAGAGCATGGATTCAAGGTATTTCTGCGTACAGTTTTCGCTTGTTGAACAGTTCTTGCATCGTCATCTTACACAGTCATGTTCCGGCTGCAATTTCATATATTTGAATGAACCGTCTCGAGAAATATTGCTACGCATCCTTTCCCACTTCTTGTCTCCTGAAACCAACTACATATAATTTGATCATATACGGACATGAATCTAACGTGATCCTCTCCGTAGACGGTATGTGTTCGCGTCAATTGGGTCCCCAAATGCAAAGAGCTCCTCACCGGAACGGACATTGGCGTAGCATGCGTGATTGACTTTCACGAGGGGACGAGTACACTGCAAGAGAAATCCGAGTAAGAGCTTTGACTGAATACCGTAAATTCCACTCTATCTTCGCCATGGATCTAATACATATATAGGGAAACGAAACTGGCTGTTGCACATGGTGCCTCCGAACTCGATCTCGTCCTTCCCCGTCAATTCCTCACAGGAGATGCGGAACAATATGTCACGCTCTACGACCACCTGAACACCATCCGCACACTTGCCCCGTCTCCCACCGTGCTCAAAATCATCCTCGAAACGTCTCAACTGTCACGTAGCCAGATCATCGCCGCATGTACGATCGCGGGGTTCGCCTCCTTCGACTTCGTCAAGACGTCCACAGGCTTCTGCGGTCGTGGGGCGAGTGTCGATGACGTGCGGCTGATGCGGGCTTGCTCCGCGACGCTCGAATCGCAGGGGTTTGGATGCAAGAAGATGGCCGTGAAGGCGAGCGGGGGGATCAGGACGCTGAAGGACACGATCGAGATGATCGCGGCTGGGGCGACGAGACTGGGTGCGAGCGCTGGGGTGGGAGTTATGGAGGAGGTGAACGGAAGGGAGTCGAAAGGAGGTAATGCGGTTGCTGGTGGGTATTGAGCAAGTTGATTCTGTATATTACAAGATATCTTCATATTAAATACTCCGCGGTCGAGCATCGGGACGTTGGAACCGAACTCTAAACGCCCAATCATAGGGAAATAGTGCCCTAATCTGCTTCTGCTTCCGAAGCATCCCTTATCCAACGCTCGTATAGATGATGCAGTGAAATCCATCTCGATTGTCTCGTGAATGCCTTGACCTCCATGCAAACCATAAGAAGCTGCCTCGCAATCATCAACATGCTATTAAATCGTCCCAATCCATCTATCTCCCGGGTATCATTCGAATGGGTAAGAAAATCGTGGGAAATGCATAAATCCGAATCATGCCGTTCGTTTCGGTCGATCGAACGTCTCCGGCCACTTCAACACGGACACCTGTCCTAAATTCGCCATACCCTCTTTACCCTCCAGCTTCGCCCACATTAGGATCTCCAACTCCCACCGTCCATTGACGCGCTTCCTTCGTCCCTCATACAACTCGGCAAGCCGCTGCTCATATCCCCGATAACACTTCAGCGTCTCCGCCACCTGGTCCCGCATCCGTTTCTCCAGCGCCCCGATCTGCTCCCGCTGTGAGCGCACCATATTATCCCGCGACCGCTCCTGTTTCATCCGTAGCCGGTTGACCGTCTTTCGATTCGTGGTGTCGATGTCGGCCCACTCGCGCTCCGATCGCTGTAGCCGCGTGCGCTCTTCATTACTCACGTCGCGGCCAGAACCGACGAAATCGCGACGCCACCGGAGTTGCTTTTCCAGGCTCTGGGTGCTCGATTCCAGTTCCTCCACGAGGGTGACCTCTTCTTCGAGCTGTCGATCCTCGAGAGTAAGGAGGTTGCTCGTGTGCGTGTTTTGCATGGGCACGAGTCCTCGTATGTGGGAATGGAAAATCGAGCGGAGCGCGAGCGTACGGCAGTGCCGAAGGGTGGCACACTGTTGCAGGTGGAAATGTTGGAATCGTCGAAGCTGCCCTTGGGTACTGTTGTGAAGGGTATGGAGTTCGGGATGGGAGATGACGATCGTGTGTAGAAGCGGGGTTGAGATACTTCGCGAGTGAAATCGCACTGGAGTAGCGGAAGTTGGGTCTTCGTGTAAGGGAGCCATTGGGCGAAGATAAGGAGACATCGAGCGCTCCTGGATCGGCGTACTCCGACCAGACGCTGGAGCGGAGTGTGATATCTTCTTCGTGTGGGTGGTTCGGTTTGAGGAATATGATGCTCGAATGCCGAAGATTCGTCCAAATGCTCCCTTCGAGTTGCGGGAAGCAGAACGATCTACGTGCTCGAACGGTTGGTCGGGTGGCTCATCCTCTATGGTAGTCGCTTTTGACGCGGTTGATCCGCGCCGCAGTAAGCTCAAGCTGCGCCGGACCGGTCTTGAACTTCGAGAGCTGCTGCTGAAACGGCTTGCTGGAGTGCCAGAACGTTGCATTGCATCCTGGCTGTCGCTGGCAATCGATGCCATGGATTGTCGCACGCTGGTGCCCTGTGCTGCACTCGGTAGTCTCGTCTGCAATGTTATTCGAGGTGGGTGGTCTCTTGATGTACGAGAGGACGCGGAGGTAATGGCGGTGGATCCAGAGCTGGCCAGCCCTGAATGCGCGGACACGGACGAACAGTCCGATGGAGTTGACGCCGTCCAGGCGGTGCCGAAGGAGTGATCGCGAATCGCAATGGGAATTTCGGCCTCGAGAATGCCCAGGTCGAGGGCATCGGCGATGAGACGGTCATCGTGAGCTGCCTCACTCGTATGATCGAGTCGCAGAACTTCTATCTCGTAGATTGAATCGGCGAAGAGATGCGTCGGCGATAGTGCGACGTCTGGAAGCGTGGAGTAGGATCTGGTTCGGTCGTGGCTTGGAATGGGACGGAACGGTCCCGTACCAGCGGCCATGACGGACCCCCAGAACCGTACCGGTAGCACGCGTGGTTGCGAACCACCTCGGTGTCGGAGAACGGGAAGGACCGTGGAGTATTATCCCAATTGCTGGGTCGCCTCGGTAGCTTTGGGAAGCCTTTTTCTTGGTAACGTCGCACCGTATCCGTTGGGGTTTGGGAAGCTAAGGTATCGGTGGGACAAAACGGTACCAAAGGTATTGGCTGTTGGTGCTTGAAGGTATTAGACAGGGCCGGGATACTCTTTGCGCTCCAGGTATTGCCGTCGTGTTGGACTGGAGAGGGAGATGGCGAAGGTAGTCGACGGAGGATCACTCGGTGGCGAATGAATGATAATGACTGGATGAGTGCGTAGGATTAGTGAGATGCAACAAGAGAGAAGGAAGAGTAGTAGTAGAGGGAAGGGGAGGACTGAGGAGAGTAAGGGCGGATGGAATTGAATGTCGGTATAGGTACGGAATACCTCCACCTTATTAGGGTCGTGTTGGAGGAGTGAACGAAGAATAACTGAGTGAGGAGCTTTACGGACTACATACCGTTTTGATATTCCACCACCAACCACCGACTGCGATTTCAGGTCACTACCATGATCTAACAAGTATTAACGACGAACATCGGATGTCAACCGTCACCGCACCAAGCGCTGGAAAGAAACGCTTGGACTGCTGGTAGGGATTCAGCCAGGATTTCTTTAGCGCCTCAGTGTCACGATAGTCGATACCTAGGTCATGAGGTTGTGCGTTTCCGGTTGAGCTGTGTGATGTAATGCTTGCGAATATTATCCCTTGGATAGTAATACAAGCAAAGAGAAGCAAAGAGAAGAGACAAGGCAGTCATGATCAATGGTTACGACCCAGAACAGTATGGGTACCTTTCAAGTTCCAACACGATCCCTCAAGTTCACCAAGATACACTGCATTCTTAGTAGGACAAGAACGCAGAGGACGAGCTGCGGTCTCACGCTTGAAAGAATCACCTCAATCATCATACTCGTCTATCCATGTTCTTAACTCTCAAGGGTACGGTGTTGACCTTACACTTAGTTCGTGACTGATGATACAGATAGACACGAGTTTCAAATTTAACACTGTTCAGCTCGCTCTGAACCGAGAACCAACCCAAGAAGTGTTACCAGTTTGTTGTATTAAGACCAAGCCGAGCATTGTCGCTACTACATATTGTACATTTTCATTGCTATTTTACATTGTGAGACAGACAATCAGTTGCCGTTAACTGCTAAATGCCTGTCGTTAGCCGGTCAGATGCAAGCCAGGACGATCAGTGGAGCAATTTATCTTCAGTTCGCGTGCGTCACGACCATCTTGGGTCTTGGAGCTTAGCTAAATTATGTTCGGCTGAGTCGGAGAATTTCCCCACACTCCTGCGTCCTGTCAAATGTCAGCCCTTCATGCCGGTCTTTGTATTGAGTTCTCGGATGGGATCTCAGTCTCAGGGTCCCATTTGGTCTGTTAATTGTGCTTTTAATAAGCTCCCCTATCAATCTGGTAATGTAGATGACGGAGACAGTTCTCAGAACCACAATTGCTGTTCTGACCCAAATCGCAATCAACGATGGACATGTCATAGGCTCCTAGCCCCTTTCCCTCTCTGCCCGCCTTTTGTGGTATTACTCGTGACTTTAGAGCTAGGTGCTTCCCCCGTTTCCCGTCTTAGTCAAAATATTGGGTATGCATGCAGCTGTTAGGATGTTTCTCAGGGTATAATATGCATGCCGAATTGCCAATCGATACCTGGACAGGTTCTTCAATATAGTACCACCGGACTTGTTGAGGTACAGGCCAATCCTGTTATGTAGTCGCTGCGGTATGACAGATTCGAGCCTGCTGTGATAATCTCATAGCATCTTTTATTATGATTGTCAACGGCTACACAGGAAGTTCATCCTTGGGTTCTGATTTCTGAAGGTGTCAGGTACGGGGTCCAAAGCCGGCTTTCTATTGAAAGACAGGGTACCCAAGACGAAGGGTCACCTGCTACTGCCAGGCTGCCTTCGGCTCTATCGTGAGGGATCGGAATGCCTAGACAGAGAGTTTGAAAAACGGGGGAATTGGGAGGATGGGGTTGGATATTCTCTAGTCTCCACTCCGCAGAGTCCAGTCTGTCACTAATTTTCGGGTCTGAGCATGAAACTTTACCTTTGTTGGCACCAAAACATCATCTCAACTACACCGGGAATTCCATTGGCTATCAAGCATCAAGGGCATCGAGGCGAGGGAATACAGACTGCCGCTCTCGTACCCCAGAGATTGAAATCAATCGTCAATGGTCATACAACCAAAGCAATATGGTGCGCACTGGGCATTCCGTTTAACTTACCGGTAGGACGATGAGAATTTACATAGTAGTGAGATGCTGAGCCAAACCATTAATATTAAGCTTCCGCATCCTTATCCAAATTCCAAGTCGATGCGACGAGCGACAGTCAAGAGGTGGCGTCGTTCTGACCCAACCGCCAACGATGGTTGCCGGAGCACGTGGTGATCGACCGGCAAGGCAGAGAAACTCCAAGACACGAGTCGATCAGGCTCCGGATACGAGATTTAAAAACGGAGAAGGTGAAACGACGTTTTACCTGAGTGAAGCAGCAAATTGACCAAGGAAAAAGATCTCCATGAATGGTGTGCCTGGGAGGTAAGAGGCGGGAGCTGACTGGGAGCAGAAATTGGACGTCTGGACTCTGGAGGCCTGAGCGATGGGATGGGCAGAATACGAAGGGGAAACTAGCAAAGAATGAGGGAAGAAATTGAAGGTTTCCCTTCCCGAAATGAGAGCCCACTGATCACGTTGCCAACGGGCGGAGCCGGTCAGGGTCCCGGAGCAGCAAAGGAACCGGGGGAGGCTAGGTGGCGAAGGCGCAAGAGAGAAACGAGGGTAAACGATGAGGCTGGGACGCTGGACGGTCTGACCTGACGCTTCTAAGTTCGAACGAGCACTTAGGACTTAGGAGCGGGATTCTAATTTGTAGTAGTGGATTCATGGCGGGAGGAAGTTCGAGTGGAATTATGGAGTTATGGAAGGCCGGGGAGGGGGATGTTGAGTTCTTGATGGAGTCGGGCCAGGGGGCAGTTGATTGGCAGTGAGATTAGGAGTCCCGCCGAGAGGATGGGCGGCTTGTCGCACCATCGACGCCCAAATGCTTATTATTTTGACTTTCGCAATGGTCATAGCTAGTAGCCCGTGCTAGGAAGGTATGATTTCAGGATTTCCAGAAATGAAAAGCAGGACGGATATGAAGGTGTGCGGAAACAGGACGGGATAGATGGACGGACGACAATGTTCAAAACTCGAAAGCGGTAAGCAAGAAAGAGAAGAGCAGACAAGTATGACCAACCTGATGAACCGTGAAGAAATCCCTCGATGTTCGCATTCCGTGCATCCTGCATTATTGATCCACAGATGTAAACGACCATTTCGCCGATGAAGACCGATCAGACATGCGTGCTGTGGGTCTCCGACGCTGATTTCATTGCCTACTATATATTTGGAGTAGAGAATATAAAAAGAAATATGGAGGATTCAGTAGACAACGATGGAGCTGTGGAGGGTAATACTATAAGTTAAATAGGGACTGAGGGAGAGCATTTGAAGCTTGAAAAGCCAAAGCATATCCGTGCAGATATTCCGTATGTAGCATCCGTACACGCCTGTGTAATGACTAATGAGGTCAGTATCAGTAATTCAGTATTCCGTACTCTTAAAAGTCCAGATTCAAGAAACTCGACGAATCACGAAACCATGGTCCGCACTTCCGCAGCTTCGCTATTTCGCTTCCGTAACGTGCTGGGTACCAGGTAATTAAGCAGTACCAGAGTCCTGGTGTTGATACCGGTAGTCTGCATCTTCAGCCTATCCCGTTATCGTTATCCCCGTACCCAGTCGCCCGTACCACTATTGTCTGTTACGAAGTACGACCCCAATTAGTGCTCCAACCGAAGTTTGGACTTTCTCCGCCCTTGATCAGTTCAGCAGTTAGCTGCATGTGGTCCAAGGTCTTCACGATCCTCTTGGACTCTCATTCATACCCTCTTGCTTCTCGATTCTCCTCCTCTTCTTATGGCTTCGTCCTTTTGACATCTCCTTTGTCGAAGCCTTCCCCGATCATGGACTGTGCCCATGTAAATTTCGAACCACCACTCTTCTCCTGATGCTCCCCGTATCCTTGAGCTGGCTCTGACCCGATCTGATCCTCACCACTCCTACAACCCACTCGACCGAGCCTGGAACTTGGTCGCAGACAGTTTGGCTGTACCCGACCGTGGATTGTCTCTTCGTCTTCCCGTAGGTGATTTCTCTTATCTCAGAACGTCCACTGTCACGAGCTCGCCTGAGAATGTGCTACACGGGCTGTCGCAGCCCATTCTCACTATTATGGGCGCATTATTCGCGAAGACCAGCATGCCTGGTCCAACCCATACTGCGACTGCTTCCTTGCCCCATATCCCTTGGGTGATAATATCTTCTCCCCGATTTCTGATACAGACACATGACTCTCGGTACAAGATATTAACTTTCCAATAGATTCAGTCTATCTACCTGCACTGCGACTGCCTCCGCCGCTGTTGAAGCATTTCACTGATCACGACAAACACCTGATATACAGTTCCTTAGACCTTTTCGCGTGGTCGCTTGACAAGCCTCCAGTATCTGGTTGCACTTGGTAGCCAGGGTTTCGCGTATATTGCGTTTAATGAGCTTTCCGCCTGCCCAGTCCGCCTTGTGTGATTGAACGGGCGAAGCATCACCACAGCCGCCTTGCAACCTGCGATTTCGTTTGCTGTTATCCGTCGGAAACTCATCGTTCAAACCAATCGATCTCTACGCACCTCGAGTTGCGATTCCGTTCGTTACGAACCATCGTGAGGAGCCGTCGGTGCTCTTCTGTCAAAGATCATTTCCTGTATCATTTCGTTTTTTCTTGTTCTAGCCATCTTTCGGTACCTGCTGCAGGCTGGCAATCTGACAGACCAAGTTTCGAAAGGTTGACCTGGCAGGCCTGTCCGCCGTCAAATCTATTTGCATTCACTGAGATTTTCTCAACGAACGGCGATGGCTCCGGGAACATCATCAAAGCCGACAGGTAGTGATGATGGGGATCCAGCCTTGATGCGTAAAGGCTCGGTACGGGCTGCGAGAGAACGTCTTCGTGCTGCACAGCACGGCCAGATGTTACCCAGAGAGGAGACCTTGAGTGTTCAGCAACCGCCTCCTCGCTCTAGTCTTTTAGTGTCTCAGTTCTCCCCTCAGTCACAGCAACAACATCAGCGTCCTCCTATCTCCACCGCAAGTCCCGGGAGTCTCGGCAGGTCATCCGAATCACCAGGACCGCAATGGCCGTTGCCAAACGATATCATCGAGGAAGAGCCCGTTCCAAGCGTGCGACGTCCTGCACAACAGCATCAACCAAAACCGAATCGAGGTCATCCTCCACAACGGCCACCTCGTCCTGCATATGTCCCGGACATTCTCGATCAAACGAGGCAGCCGCCTCCACAACCGCGAGGGAACCTACAGCAACCTACACAGCCAACCTGGCCCGAAGAAGAATTCCTTGAACCAGACTATCCAACCGCTAAACCGGCCCGACCATTGACGGATTCATCTCAAGATTCAGCATTGGCAGCTGATTATATCCCCGACTTCCCAGTCCCGAATTCTGGGAACATGCCTCGTCGCCCTCCCACCATCGGGCCTCCTCCATCAGCACGCCGCGGCCCATCATCGTACTATTCCCAAATCTCATATGTCTCCCCGATCCAGGAAGAGGCCGAGCACCGTGCGTCGCACGGCTCGTTCGCATCTAGCAACGTCATTCCTTCCGGGCCCCACCAATTCTACTATGATGAGCATTCGCCTTCCGATGAGGATGCGCCGCATTCTCCAGCTGTCGATGGACGCCACTCGCGCGGAGAAGACCACGACGAATCAAGTGGGTTGGTCAGGCAGGCGAGTCTGGGAAAGAAGGCCAAGCCGTCCTTGACAACAATCAAGAGCGGTGAAGATTTGAAATCACACAAAGGACCAAAGCAATCAAAACCGGTGAATACCAAAGGCGCAATTGCTCAAGCCGCAATCGCGGTCGGCACCCAAGGAGGCGCATTTGCCGCTGGCTTAGGATCTCAACCTGATGGGCCGCGCCCGGGTAGCGCTTTGAGCGGCGGGACTGGTCTCCTTGACCCATCTTCATCGTCATCCGAGTCCGTGGACAAAGTCGTCAAAAAGCAAACCGTAACGTCTGCACCGAAGAAACCGATGTCCCCTGGACCGCTTTCACCGCCAAATCGATCCCGTTCACCCCTTGTCCCCGGCGATCTTCGCAAAGAGACCGGAACACCATTCGACTTCGGTGCCAAGCCTCCGAATCAGTCGACTCTGTCCGATCGTGTGGGGCCTCGACGACCGCCTCGATTAAATGTGGACGCGGTGCGTGAGGCTGAAATACGAGGTAGTTTGACCAGTCTTCCCGACCTGATTCGACGCGCCACTCGTCTGGCGTCCAACCTTGATCGGGGCAAAACCGCTAGTCGGCTAGGGTTCGAAGGCTGGTTCGATCAAGCTGGTGATAGAGGAAAGGGGCTGGATATGGAGAAAGACGACCGAAGATCTGCCTCGCTATCTGATATGCTCGCATCCTTCCCACCTCCGGGATTGGCCACTCCAACGAGCCCACGGACACCCACTCATGGCAGGTCGAACCGGACTCTGTCAGGCCTATCGCACCATCGCTTCGATTCCGGCTACCATCTCGAAAAGCCGCCGAAGGCTCGTGGACGCCGCGTCTGTGGCATGCGCCTTGGGCTTTTTGTGGTCCTCCTCATCATCCTCTTCTGTCTCGTGGTCGCCGCAATCGTCATCCCCATCGCGCTTATTGTTCTTCCCGGCAAGAATCAAGCCGCAAACAGCGGATTCAACTCAGCATTTGGAGTGTGCCAGAAGCAGCTCACGTGCGCCAACGGTGGCAGTGTGACCGTGGTAGCCGATGGTTCATGTGGTTGTATCTGCTCGAATGGATTCACGGGAGCAGCCTGCACGCAAAAGTCCGATGTTGGCTGCTCCACGACCGCGGTCCCGGACGTGCCGAATGCAACGGTGGGCACCGCGATTCCACGCCTTCTGCAGGCTGCGCAGAAGAACTTCAGCGTTCCGTTGGAAGCGTCCAAGCTACTTGCCGTGTTCGCATATAGCAACACCAGCTGTGCGGCCGAAAACGCCCTTGTTTCGTTCAATGGTCTAATCGCTCGATCGCTGGAGCCACAAGAGGGATCTTCAACCCTTCCGGAGCTCGCCCTTCGGGAAGCACAGGGAGATGCTTTCATTACCGGCGGTCTAGTGGTGGCGGCACCGACTCTCGTGCCAACTGGAAGCTCGGATAATAGTCCTCCCGCTCCAACCTACACCAGCCCACCGATTTCTGGAACATCCACTCAAATCATGGACTTCGCTCGCACTGCAGTGCTCTATATCCTGCAGGAATCACGGAACCTTGATGATGCCGTACTCGCGCAGGAGAGATTGCAGGCCTATTTCTCCCGTGCCAGCTCCGGTAGCACGAAGGATTCGCGTGTCGATGCAGGCAATCGCAACATCGTCGATCTCAGCGGGCTCCGAGTGAAATTGGGCAACGGAACGGTAGCGGGCGGTTCCGGCAACGTGACTTCAAGTCTATAGTATGCAACCTTGATGGCTTCCATGGACCTTTTATTTTCGATCCAGTGGGCTATGAGTTCTTCGCGGTGATGGAATCCCGAAAAAGTTCTCCATGTCATCTGCTTGCAAAGGAGCAGTCGCATTTTCACGCGTTTTCTTACGGCGGAATGGGTTTCCGGGCGTTTTCCAACGAATACTTTTATCTTCTGTTCCTTAGTTCTATACCACCTAGGCGAACTGACATTAATGTTGTCATTTGTGGTTATAGTGTCGAAGATACACTGAACTTGGCTGGGGGTTGCTGGATGACATCCTAAGTTCATTCAGTAAGGACGACGAGGATAAGATGATCAGGACGAAAGAGACGGCATCTTGTTGTATATAACTTCCATATATCTATACTGATATGTCTGACAGGATATTGTTGGGGGAGCAACGATTAGTTCTGTGTAGTACAGCACGGAATAGTTCGTATTCTGTGGTCATTGCAGGAAATTTGCTTGCTGCTGTGATATGTGATCCCCTAGAACGGCATAACCAGTAAGGTTTCAAGCCACAACATTATCATCTCCTCGGCACGCAGGCGCCTCGTCGCACAGCATCGATCATCTCCCATGCCAACGCCTAACCGCCTACATTTTTTCGACATCGATCGATCCATATGCATTTTCATCGGAGCCATTTCTTCCAATCACCGAGACTTTCATTAACGTCCATCCAAGTGCAACGTAACCCGTCCTCCCTTCGTTGAGTTCGTTCCAATCAACGATTTTTCATGACCGCGGACCTCTATGCTGATTTGACCGAGCGCGATGGACCGCTCCCTAGTGGATGCCAACCCGATGCCAACTCATGATTTGCTCTGGTTCCTGAAGATCAGATGCAGCCGCCTTCACCAGGGAGCGGCGTGGACGTATCAAATCCCATCTTGCGTTGTTCAAGTCGACCGTGTAAGACACTGGGCCTATGGAGACCGCATACTGTTGCGTACTGCTGCTAGGGAAACCAATCCCCATCCGCTGTGTTGTCTTATGCGGTGTATTTTTTGACGCTATATTTGCTGAGTACGGTAGGTATTGTGCGAAATAGGAAGAGGTTGGGTGATAAGAGGTCGATAATATTGGACCCGATATGTTCTTGAGCGATTTCTTCCCCGTCCCTTAAGACTGTCCTGATGGTCCATCCTGAATCTTCCAGTTGAATACGAAACTTTCGTTCTGATTTCAGTCGGATACTACATTGCTACGATATCCATCGAGTCTCTTGTTCATTTATATACCATCAGTTTCGTTCTTTCATATACATTGAGAGACGCGGTGTCCTGTTACTTAGGATATCAAGTTACTTAGGATATCAAGTTACTTAGGATATCAAGTTACTTAGGATATCAAGTTACTTAGGATATCCAGTTCAGTCCAGAGCCAGTACCTGTAAGCATGAAAGGTTCCCTTCCCTTCCATCATTATCCTGTTGTCTCCTTACTTGGGGCATTCTCAGTCAAATATATCCTCATCACCAATGATCCAGTGGCCAGATGTATATAACAGCGATTCCATCAATTGGTGGATGTGGCCCTCGAAACACTGCGTATCCTTTCATCAGATGCAAGGCATTGACTTGCGGTTCTCGCAATCCTGTTTTACTATGCGTGTTTCCAACTCAGCCGAACTTGGCCTGGCATCTCTCTTGTCTGCTCTTAAGGTGCCCTGCTGTCTCTTTTCCTAACCTGAGTCCTTAAACATGTTTTTGCAAAGCTGATCTCGGGCAAGATGGGACCAGTTATGACGGTGAGGGTGATTACGTTGTTGATCCATTTCGCAACAGCGAACATCATCTTCCCATACGTACAACCAATATGCGATCCCACGAATCTCGCATATCCAGGATGTCTCCGCGGCCAAGTTTGCTTAGCCAACGGCACGTAAGTTTGTCTAGTTCCATCTTTACGGGTTGGTCCTCACGGGTATGGCTCCAGATGCAAACTCGATGACGACCCCTTCTATCCGCAATCATTTAGACGCCGTGCCGACGATCTTGTCAATATCGTGCCTCCCCGCTCAGATGGTAAATGCGGCCAAAATGCAGGAGGCGCCACGTGTGGTCCCGATCCAAAAGGACCATTTGGACCTTGCTGCTCACAACATGGGTATGTCAACTCCTGTCCATTGAACATTTATAAAAACTCATTTGACCTCCCGCAGATGGTGCGGGAAAACGGACGTCCATTGTGCAGCCTCGCAAGGATGCCAGGCAGAGTTTGGGGTTTGCGCTTCCGTTACAACGTCCTCAATAATTACAAGCACAAAGGCTGCGAAACCCAACTCCGAAACGGCGAGGGTCAGCTCGGGAGAACCGGTTATCGGAATTCCTACGAGTTCTGCACCTCGTCAACCTCAAACAACTGTGATAACCGAGGACGGAAGTTGTGGAATCCAGCATGACCATACTGAGTGTGGAGATTGGTCTAATGGCGCTTGCTGTAGCATGTATGGGTTTTGTGGGAACACGTATGTTTCTTGCTGTCTCTGCCCTGATGCATTTTGGCTGATCACAAACTACAGCATCGCTCATTGTGGCGATGGATGCCAGTCTGGACCATGCCTGAATGAGGCAGTCCCTAAAGCACCTGGCCCAAGTCCAGCACCGGCAAACGCAAATCCTGGAAAGTTCAGTCTGGTCGGTGACTCTGGTGTTCCTGCAATGCATGCAGGACTGTTGCCAAACGGAAAAGTTGTGTTTCTGGATAAGGTCGAGAACTACACCCAAATGAAACTTCCGAACGGACAGTACGCGTACTCATCCGAGTGGGATCCGGTGTCCAAGAAGGTTGTGCCACTTGGATATAAAACGAATGCGTTCTGCGCTGGGGGTATATTCTTAGCGGATGGCACCTTCGTTTCGCTTGGTGGGAATTTCCCACTGACAGATATCGATCCAACCGTTGGGGATGGCTTCAAAGCAATCCGGCATCTTAGGCGCTCGTTAACGGATGCATCACTGGATGGCCAAAACTGGATTGAGGGTGCTAACCAAATGTCCACCGGTAGATGGTACGCGTCTGCACAGACTCTACCGGACGGCAAAATCTTCGTCGCTTCCGGCAGCCTCAACGGACTGGATCCAACAGTGTTCGCGAACAATAACCCGACGTACGAGATTTTATCGAGAAATGGGCAACCAGTTGGCGGTTCCATCCCAATGGAACTTCTTGTGAAAGCTCAGCCTTATTACATGTATCCATTCATCCATCTCCTGCGAGATGGTTCTCTATTCGTCTTCGCGTCGAAGTCATCGGAATTGTTCGATTCGGTTACGAACCGTACAATACGACAGTTTACAGACCTCCCTGGAGACTACCGCTCCTATCCAAACACCGGCTCGTCAGTGATATTGCCCCTTTCTTCGGCGAATAACTGGGACCCAGAAGTCTACGTTTGCGGCGGGGGAGCCTATCAAGACCTAACTTCACCGACCGATCCATCATGTGGACGCATCGCACCACTGTCACAAAATCCAGAGTGGGAGATGGACAGCATGCCGCAGGGACGATGTATGGTGGAAGGAGTGTTACTTCCGGATGGTAGCGTCGCATGGCTCAACGGTGCGAGCAAAGGTGCTCAAGGGTTTCTCCTCGCGGCGAATCCCACCTTGGAGCTTCTTCTCATGGATCCGACCAAGCCGCTCGGACAACGTTGGATGACAGACGCCGCGAGCGAGATCCCTCGATTGTATCATTCTGTGGCACTCTTATTGTTGGATGGCACCATCCTCGTCGCAGGATCCAACCCGGTGGAGATGCCCATCTTAAAACCAACGGAACAGAGCCCCTATGTGACGGAGTTCAGGATGGAAATCTATACTCCGCCCTACTTGCGTGACGACAATGCAACCAAGCGCCCATCGAAGCTTACGCTTTCTAAAACAACTGTCTCCGCGTCGTCCGGGACCGATTCGGTGACCGCTACGTTCTCGGTTCCCAAAGGGGCGAACAAGGCCAAGGTTTCATTAATATATGGAGGATTTGTCACGCACTCCGTTCACATGGGACAGCGGATGCTGTGGCTCGACATTGAAGGATGGAAAGCAGGCAACACGGAACAGAAGATTGTGGTCAAGGCACCTCCAAGCACAAGTGTGGCCCCTCCAGGACCGTACATGCTTTTTGTTGTCGTTGATGGCATCCCATCGGTTGGTCAATTCGTCATGGTAAATTAGAAGGAGGTCGGAAAGAGTAATAAGGGTCTATCCCCAGTGGACAAAGGTGGATGAGATCATGTGTTTGATGAACGCCTCCAGTGGACGTAATGATAGGGATGTATAGATATACCTAAAATGAATATAATGTAATGGGACTCTTGGCCCTTAGGTGAAGTAAACTTTAGCAATAGCAAGCATCAAGGATATTGGAAGACCCGATGGTATCCTTCAGGATCGGGGTAGACGAAGTTTATGGCTTAGATCATCAGGGCTGGCAGATCTGAGAGTCCTTTTGACCTAAACCTTTCCCACTCACGGCATTGTAGTACGGTAACCAGTTGAGATTCCAATCAGGAGAGTGACCAACCGTCCGCTTGTGGCAGTATAACGCGAACTTTGTTTGGTACCTATGGTCGTCATCTGGTATACAAGAAAGGCTATGCCCAGGGCCGCCTGATAACGGGCCGCGCAGGATCCCACGGTCCATATATCTCGTTCTTGTACTTCTGCAGGCCAATGAGCCACCAACTACACAGGCCCATAGCCAGGCTCGTGATGATATATCCCAAAATTGCCCCGATGGCGCCAGCCTTCCAGCGGCCGCCAGACACCGTAACCCCAAGTCCGCTCCCAGCCATGCCAACTAAGACCACCGTTAGTGACAAATGCGCCTGCCAGCTGGTCCGCCGTAGGTCGAGCCGAAAGATTGGGAACAGAGCAAACACTTCGATGGAGAACAACATCAGAAGAAACACATCCGTCGTGCTCGTTAACCGGCTGGCTAAGACAGTACTGGCCATCACTGCGGCGTTCATAGATAAAGAAGCCGGGAATTTGGCAGAAATTTCGGAGGAGTAGTCAAAGAAAAAGACATTGATGATCATAAGCCAGCAGGACATTGCCCAGATGGAGTCGGAAGAAGTGGACTTGGTGAGGGACTTGAGAATCGGGGAAAGGCCTAGGAGAGTACAGTAGATAAGGATACCGGACTTTATGGTGGTTAATCGAGTTTGGGTAGGGACGGAGAGCATTGTGAGAGTGACACCCGATATTGGGACCGCTTCGTGACCCTTCGTTCCATTCGTAGACCCCGAGCCTTGCTTTTCATCTAACATCGCAGAAGGCGAGTTTGTCGCATTGGTAGGAAGATCGTGCTCCCTCTCATCCTCGTTCTCGCCCTCGGGACCGTGGTCAAACCTCGTCTCGTCATGACCCAGCCAGTACTCGCAGAACACCCATCCCAGAATGGTGGCTCCGCTTCCCCAGTAGGCGATTGTAAACGGTGATGTCCTCTCCTGGTATATCCCCGCAAAGCAGCATGCAAAGATTGCTACCGAGCAAACATGTTGCACAATCACCGTGCTCTCCGCAGCCAAGGGCCAGAACTCATAGGAACGCAACTGCGGATTGCGTTGAAGATGGTCTAAGAAGGTTGCCTCATCGGTGTAGTTGTCGGGGAATTCCTGCGGCACCCACAAGAGCTTTTGCCATACTGGTTTCGCGCTTCGTCGAGTGGGCCGTTTCTTGCGAGCCGAGCGTGGAGCGGGATTGGAGACGGATGGATCGTCGCCAGTAGGATGTGTTGGCGGAGAGCGATGGGTAGTGCCACTACTGCGGGAGGTTTCTGGAGGAGTAAGGTGGGATGGATCTCGTATATGAGCATACGCTTGACGGAGGGAGGTCATGGAGAGAAATGGTTCTCCGAGTTGGATCGTAGGTTCGAGTTCTTATTGAGTGGTGGATTGCTGGACGTCCGCGAACGGCATCTTCTCACAAGGTCAGGCGCTTTGGACCACGTGAATGGTCATGCGGGCTTCATAGTCCTATCATCATATGTCGCGATAGTTGTTGGATGGTGTAGATGTTGATTTGAAATTTATATCGACACGAATAATTGGTACTTTAATGACGTCTTGTCGGTGGTTGACTATGGGACGCGATCCGGCGATAGCTTCGGACTAATCAACCATCAAGGTTCCGACCTGACTCCAGCACCCTGACATCTTTGGATATCTCCCTATTATCTTCACATCTCTTCTCCTACATCCAAGTCATCTCCTAGGTATACGCATACATCATGTCGTCTCCTGTACCGGCAGGCAGAGCCCTACATGGGCGGAAAGCGTCCGAGACGACCGCAACGAGAGTTGAGCCCAAGCAGTCGAAGAAGTCACCATCCCAACCCGAAGTCCACTTCACCACTTTGATCAGACTCCCGTTCGACAGAGGAGATTTTGTAGACCCCCCTCAGGTATATAAGCATCTTGGAACCTTTCGCGCTGAAAGAGCCATGAGATTGACCGGAGTCAGGTTCAATGGGACGCCGCCAAAGACAAGTCGCTATGGAAGGTCATCTCTCGATCTTCAACAACGGATCTGAACTGTGCGTATACTGTATTCATCCTTTAGGCATTAGGCTAATGATGCGTAGGGGAAGATCTGTAAGCTACCGAAGCTCCTTGCGTCATAACGTTGCCTAAACACAGATCAGCGCCACGAAGCTCGACGTCCCTCAGCCTTTCCTCCTTCAACAAGCGGCATGGCTATATGAGCGACACCTATCCCATGTTCGTGCTCAGATGCGGAAAGTCAATCCAATAAATCCCCCAGCGGGTGTCTTGGGCTCGGGCAGCATATCAGCAGCTTCACCCGTGGGGCCACCGGGAAAGCCAGCCCCCGGTATGGACAACCCTGGAGATGGAAGGGGCGATTTCGGAAGAATACTGACCATATTTCAGGGTCAAGAGCACCAAGTGCTCTCTCAGTCCGGACGCGGGATATAGGTCAAGCAGAATGGAGCGGTCCCGGAACTCCGAGGCCAGCTGGTATGTCGATTGCACGGATAGTCCCAACCCACGAGCTGACACGGCAACTGTTGGACAGCCCCTTCAAGGCATCCCTCAACGAGCACTGTGACCGAAAGCCGGCAATTTGTCCCGGCAAGTCCAAGACAACCAGTGAGACAACTGCGCGGCTCGTTCGGCGCCGGTCGAAGACCCGATATTGCTCTTTCTTCAAGAACAGCAGCGGCTCACGCGCAGAACCGGTCCCCTCCACGATCTCCTTCACTCTCGTCCTCCTTATCCTCCACAAGCTCATCAGATGACGAGGCTCCGCCACAGCGCTCGCAGTTCCTAAGACGGCCACCTCGATTCAAGCCGAACAAAGCGCCACTCAGTACCTTGGACTCGGACGGTGAGGGCGACGCCGACTCAGATTCAGAGGATTCGCTGCCATTCGCCGCGGCAGCAGCGACAGGTGGCGACAGAACACGCTCCAAAATACCCGATGTCCGACCTGCGGATCTCGGAGCCACGGTTCGCGAAACCCGATCGCAGGCTCCTTCACTGAGCTCGTCCGCCACGGAGCCATCGTCCTCGCCTGCGCGAACCACCGCGAAAGGCAAAGCCCGGATCCCCAACATCGATTCCTCCACCGCATCCACCAGCTCCGCGAGTTCCGCCCCCGGACCCTCCGGCACCAACCCGCCCGCCTCCCAACCCCCAGGCCCCCTCAGTCCCCGCCACCGGGCCAACCTCGCGCGCCTGAACCGGAAAGACCGCCACAGCGACGGAACGCCGAGCATGGGGAGCAGCTTCAGCGACCTGGACGGTGAGTTCCCCTCCTCCCCCTCCGCATCCTCCATCCCCGCGGTGCCGAACGGGCCGAGTACGGGCCCGCTTGCGCAGGCCCTGTTGCTATCCTCGCAGGCGACGGCGGTGAAGAATGTCACGCGAAAGAATGCGACCCGGCTGACGAAGATGTGGAATTGATGAGGTAAAGATGCGAGCGTGACACAGAGTGCTTTGGAAGAGGCGCTGTTGAGCAACATGAGACACGGTGGGATGACGAGTCGGATGAGCTCCTTGAGCCAGGCGTTGAAGTCGAAGTACCTTTAAAGGGTTTCAGGGAATGACGATAGCGATCGAATGTATTAGCGACAAGGACCATGGAGTTTGGGCTGGGATACGATATTTCGTTCAGAAGCTGCTCGGTTTTGCTTCCTTTGACAATCACGTTATGACATGGTCAGGATGCGGATGGAACGACTGGTTCTTGGATTAGTCCCAGGAGAAGGATGACTATAAATAAATACAGGTAATCTAATCATGAACCACGCTCTGACGCGGCATTCTGTACATTTCGGTTGTCGAATGCCCGAAAATCATGTTTTCGTAAAACGCCCATCAAATACCGGATTGATCCCCTTTAAAATAGGCTCGTGAGGCCGTGCAAAGTATTAACCAGGCCCAAATGTCCGCGCTGACACGAAGACGCAAGGAAAACGCATTTCGAAGAGTGACAAGTAGCCCTGTCAGAGATATCCTAACCGTCGAAATGTTTTGCGCACTGAACAAATGACTGGCCAAAAACGCCGCTGAACGCCATTTCGCTACATGCCTGCGGCCCCAGGGTATCGCCCCCCACCACCTATAAGACCGATTCCCGGGTCGATAGACACGCCCCGTCCGCGACCTCTCACGCCTCGTCCACGACCGCGGCCACGGCCCCGCCCCGCCGGTCCTGGGATGGTGAACTCAGGATTGCTCTCTAGGAGCATGTCTTGACGGCTCGGACCCCGTGGCAGCGGGGATTTATACCCGCCGTATCCATCGTCATACCCTCCACGGCCTCGGAAGTCGCCAGCGTAATGTCGGGGTGCGCTGGACATGGGACCTGGTGATCCGGTCGGTCTCCAAGCCGGGTTGATGCCCCGTTGAGATATAGAGGTGAAATTCGACGTCTCGCTTATAGCAGGGGAACGAGAAATGGTCTCATCAGAAGGGACGCGAGGAAGATTCAAATCAGACTCTGGAAGATTCGAGAGCGAATGGCTGGAACTTTGTGGCACGATCGTGGGATCAGAAGCCTCGATTCGGGGGTCCAGGTTGGGGGCTTGCGTTGAACCCTGCGGAGCCACGTTAGAGGTGCTCATGTTGTTGTCGAAACCACCGTCATCAGAAGCGGGATAAGAAATATTGTTGTTGACGGGGGTTCCGGTATTGGGCGGGGGTGATTTACTTTGAGGACCTGCTGCTAGCGACGTGGGTAGTCCGGATCCTCCTGACTTGCCGGCCTGAGCGAAACGCGGCTCAACATCTTCGTAGTAGTTGGACGGACTTTGGTTGTGTGGTGGTGGTGAGCTGGGTGTCGGAGATGCTTGAATCGGTGATAGTACTCGAGTCGATGAGGTCGCGAGGTTAGAGTTTGAACCACTGTGGCTTGATTGATTCCAGTTGGACCGAGGTGGTACATAGTTTCTGTATGGCTGTTAGCGCTACAATCCCAGATCCGGTTTAGGAAGACCAAAGCAAAAAAGGAGACAGCAGTGCACGGTCAATGCTTACTCTTCGGAATAGAGACTCGATGGGCTTCCGATTTGAGGTATCCCAGCTCTCTGCTGCTGCAACCCAATCATTCCCTGGACGTCTCCGTCGCTATCTCGCAACCCGAAGGCTGCATTTGGGGACGGAGGTGATGGAAGCCCGGTCCTTGGGTCCATTTCGCCTCCCAGACCCATTGATTGGGGCGATACCTGCCGGCCAGGGCCATATGGGTAGTCTGGATTCGGTCCTCCATATGGTCCGGGGGGAGGGGTTCTGTGGCCTCGTCCCATCGGACCGCCCATACCCCGTCCTGGGGGTGGCATCCCTCTACCACCAAATCCTGGCTGGGGAGGGCCTCGCATTCCTGGGGGTCCGCCTCTCATGTATCCTCCACGTGGTCCTCGCATGGGTGGTCCGCCCCTGCCTCGTGGGTAGAATGGTGGTGGTCCACCGGATCGATTAGAGCCCATGGTACCGTTCGAGCCTTGATGTCGGAGCGGCGCCGGACCATAAGGGTCTGGCCTCCCTCCCGGTGTGCGGATGGGATTACCGAATTGATCTCGGGGAGGTTCTCTGCCATGTCGACCGTAACCTCCAACCATGGGCCGATCTCCATATCGACCGGACTGATCGTCGGGACCCAGTGTTTCCGCGCTCCTCACTGATGGATTTTTCGGATTCAGAGGCACTCGATCCTCCCCCATTTCCTTGCTCTGAGCCGAATCGAATGCAGCAAACTGCTTCTCGCCCACGGTTGAATCTGCCGTCATCGGAGGTGGAGAGTCGGCCTTAGGGAGGGATGGGGTCACCTGTGCTGGAGGCTGGTTTTGTCGACTGGCGTAATAGTTGTCGCCATTCATCTCGGCATTCTCTGCTATCCTCTTCATCCTTGCTTTCCTGCTGACGAGGGTTCGACGCATGGCGCAGGTAACCACGCTGCACATCATGGTCAGAATGGTCGCCCCAAGAACAATCCATCCTCCCCAGCTAACGTGAGGGGTAAAAATCAATATGTCCACCAAGAAGGCGAGGAGAGAAACCAGCAGCGTTGGAAAACTCAGCATTAACAGGATCAAGAGATATCGCGGGGAGTGTGAAGGAGAGTGGAGATGCGCGGCGACAGAGAGGCCAAAGCATATCAGAGTCAGAAAGGCGGCGACGGGGTGGACGATGAGGATGGAGGAGAGCGAATGTCGCGTACTCGAGGGAAGAGAGAAGTCGGAGTCTTCGATTTGTTTTCCAGCTTGGAGGGCCTCTGTATCATAACCCAACTGAACGGACGTGCAGCCCGAATCGGTACAGTAACCCCATACTCCGAAATCGACACCTTTCCAATTCCCCAAGGGAATACTCTTTATTATCGGGGTGGATAGGGTCGCTAGGAGAAGCAGGACAAAGGCAGCCAAAAAGAGGATAGACAGCGGAGTGGCCGGTCGCAGCATTATCGGAAGATGGAGAAGAACGAAGCGACGCTGCCGGTCATGGAGACAGCCAAATCCGGTCGCAGGACGTTCGGAATCAATCGGTTTCGGTCCAAAGGAGAAAGGATGGTCGGAGGGAGATGGGGATCGCGACGGAGTGGAGGACTATTTACGACTTGGAGAGGCAGATTCGAAAGGATGGACGGCAGTCGAGGCGACTGGTGTGAAAAGGATGGAGTGATGCGACTGGACGTTACGTAGTGGCATTTGGATGGGGTATGATGGAATAAGCGGAGGGCAATTAAAAAGAATTGGGTCAAGTGAAGATAGAAGCGAAAGTCATAACCAGCGGAGTGGGATACCGTTGTTGAGTGGGAAGAAATGAAGAAATGAAGAATAACAGAGTGTCCTGTATGAGTGAGAGAGAGGATAGCGAAAGGTGAAGGTGGTGAAGGCGGAGTCTCAAGTTAGTGAGTGGAGGTGTGAATGAGTGAGAAGCGGCTGGTGGAGGCGTAGAGATTGAGGAGGAAGGCGTGATTGGGCCAGCGGGGGTTAGTGTCGGAAGGTGCGACCGAGCGGGAAGTTGGAAGGAGGGGGAAGAGATTAAACGTGGATTCGTGGAGGAAGTTGCGATTGTGTAGTGTGAAGACGTGTACTCACTTATCTAAGCCTCCTATCCACCTTCTGTTCATGTATGGAGTATTATGGAAGTATTCATGTTCACCTGATACGTATAGCATGGAGTACGTAGTACGAAGTACATGGAGTAGAAATTCATCTGTTACAGTATCTCCAACCCGCATTGTAAGTTTGATACAACAGCTTGTGAAACAGCCCTGGCTCCACTCTCCACTCTGCAGTTGGAGCACGCTAGAACAATGTATGTATCCATGGGCGCCAGGGGGCTCCACACATGCCACACTAGGTTCAATTCGTTGGACTTTGGGCTTTGGACATTATTATCTGATGCTCCAAGGCCCCAGGAGCATAAATTGTTCCATGCCACGGCAAAAACCCTTAGCCCTTCCAAGATGATGTCTCAAGACGATGGCCCAAGGCGATGTCTGGCCGCGGGTGATTGCTGTGTCGAGCACATACCGCATTGAATATCCACGACATGTAGGCAATATCTCGCGGCACCAGGGTCCCTGACTCCCTGATCGTATGTGACTACGTCGCAACCCCATCCCCCACTCCCCAGTGGGCGGCAATCTCTAGCCGTTAGCACGGGGCTTGACCACCACGTCAAATGAACACCTGCGGGCTGGCGTCGTGGATGGTGAACCGTGGACACCCAGACCGGGAGAAGCAACGTCTGTCCCGTCAGGCCATCACCATGCCCTCAGTTCTCCTCAGAATCAACCATCGTTCGGTTCATCCACACCTTGGTTGTTTGTCGAATGTCGAAAGCAACCCCAAGAGGCACATAAGACGTGGAGTCGTGCGTTTGCCTGGAAGTGGCTATAGTCGATTGCGCTACAACAACGATGCCCTTCAACGCCCATTGACACCCGCAACGCAAAGGCAGAGCTCATTTTTAATCCTTCACTGGTGCAACAACAAACGGATCCAGGTGGACAACTTGTGCTCGAATTCGTGAGCGTTGGCCGTTGGAGGTCCAGGAATCCTGGAGTGAGATGGGTTGCTGGCTCCAAGTGGATGAATATGCAGGTAATAATGCACGGATCAAACTCAAAGTTTCGATATTGGACCTAGCAAATTTTTTATATTGACCCCATTCAACACCCATGGGCTGCGCACAGTTGGCAGTATGTATCCTGCTGGAGCCTCATACTCCGTATTTGGGGCTGGACTCCAGTCTTGCTGCCGTCGGCATGCCGTTTCAGGGACAACCAAAAACAAGAAAAGTATCTGACTTTGAAGCTGTCATCGAGTCCAGGTTATACCGGGAGAAAGGCATAGCAACAGAATCCACGCGATATGCAGAGATCAGAAAGATGTGAAGGAAATGATCGACGAGTGGAAGACTCAACCGAGGTAGGTCTGCCTGTGATGTCTGGATCTCCATCTCAGGCATCGTGGTTGCATTATGGTCTGGAATTGTCAGATGTACTGTAGGTTGTTTGTATATGCTTTGGGGGTCTTTCAGAGTCAACAGCTAACCATATCACAGTGAGCAGGATTCGTATGATCGAACACGGCCAGCTCGACTTCATCGGCACATACGAAGTTGAGTCGGCAACTGAGCATCACCGGCTTGAAGCTGTCTAGGATTGATCTGAACGAGGTTGACTGCCCTGCTGTCATTGAAGATTGCATATATTTCCCGTGAGACCCGGCCAACTACTTCATCGTGAATGTCCAATCTTTTAATTGAACCAGCAAGTACAAAATCCTGGGAAGACCTCAATGATGATATGGATCACTTCCTTGATCGCCTCCTCGAACTCGGCCTTGAAGTTTTCGAAACACTTCGTAACGGTTCCGAAGAAGGTCAAGAAGCAGTTGAGCATCTCGAAGAAGTAAGATCCAAGGAGTTCGAGCATGGCTTTGAAAGAGCTTGGTCAGCATCATTGTTCGCAGGTTGCCTTGGTCATGGGAAACTTACAGCACTTAAGCACCGCCATACAGTGGAGGAAGGTCGAGCAAACCTCCACGAAGATCTCGATGCAGCATGAGACAACGAACTTCAGATCCTCGATGGCGAGTTTAAAGGCGGCCTCGAATGCGGCAATCTTCTTGCAAGTGATGAGAATCGCCTCGATGATGCTCTTGCAGTGACCCTGGATTTCGACGATGATGGTCTTCTTGGCTTCCTTGGAGATCTCGATGCCTTCGTAACCCGATACGGTGATGTCTAAAAAGGGTTAACAGCCTCCTCGACTCAAGCCAACGAAGATACGCACTGATCTGAGCAGTGAAGGACTTGACAACAGTCACGAGGTTCCCGATCTCATCGCAACCATCACACCGTTTCTGGATGTTGGAAATGGCAAGGTCAGACCCAACTTCAGCAGCCGGCGCTGGAGCAGCCAAGCCGGTGGCGAAGAGCGAGGAGAAGAGGAAGACGGAAGCGGTGCGAAGGAACTTCATGATGAATGCTGGTATAACCGAAGATTATGGATTAGATGCGGATACCAGTAAACGAGTGAAAGGGAGACTTGGACTGAGTAATCGACTGGACAGAATGAGAGTAACGAGCTGGATGAAGGGAAAGGAAAGGAGGTGGATGATCCGGATCGGTTCTTATACCACAATGAGCCACTGTCTGATGGACTGCGTGTCTCCAGGGATCGGGAATTTAGGATGCACTCCCCTTCCTGAAAATCAGGGCGGATGAGATCCTGCCTCTAAATCCTCATACGCCCGGCTCCATTGATCGTCGCTCGGCTGCCAGACTTATCTTGTGAGAACTCTCCCTCTTCAAGAGTTAGCACGCTCGGAGAACAGTTAGTGAGGTGCATATCACATGTATTTTCTGGGGTCATGTCCTTCTAGGGTTGCAAAAGCACCCAGAGTCCAGAATGATTCCCAGAATTCTACGATAAGCTCGGACAAAGTAAGATCAGAGATCGACGAGGTAAGCTGAGTGGTTAATAGTTTGCGAGTCTTGACCTTCCGAGTCATGCTTATGATGGCAATTGGCAGCAGATGCACTACGAAGATCTCGATATATGATGGTCGCTATAGAACCCAACTAGAGGAATATGGTAACTAACCGCATAGTTTCTATCACGATATCCACGATATCGGTTATACTATGCACATGAACCAACGACAACAAGCAATCGCAAAAATAGAAACACACACCTTCTGCTGTTTCCTAAGGGTTCTTCTGTTTCTGCATGTGGTTTTGTTAGTTCAGCACATGAAATTATTGGCCCTGTCTTCTCCCTTGTCAAGTTGTCATCCCCGGTTCCCCTGATTCCGACCGTTTGTGGGGTATCCGGAGCCGGAAGGCCGTCCATGCGAACCCAAACCCGATAACTTCATCTCGGATGAGTTCTCTCCATGGTCTACTCCATAATTCTGCATGATATGGGATTCGGTGAATGGTCAATTGCTCGTGAAAGGGGCGATCGACAGGTTAAGCTTCCTTCGTATTAGTATTTCAGTCGATGCTGATCCCCACATTGCTGACGTCCACATCGGCACATCCACTTCACCGTTCAACCTGACTCTTTTCTGGATTCCACGGGTCAAGCTGTCCATAGTAACAGATTACCAGATGCGCATCGATCGGCAACGCGATGGATTTGGGAAACCGGGAAACAATAAATGATCGATAGTGGTCTCAGCAATTCAGCATGCTCAATACCCGCAATAATAGAGGGGTACGGATTTGTCCACCACTGGGACACATTCATCATAAGGCAGGTATCTCAACCTTCTCAAGCCTCAGAATTTTATCTAGGAGGAAATAGCGATGTACGTTGCTTAGAATTGGTCTTATAACTTCCTTGGGATAGCAATTCTTTCTTGTCGCCTTGCACGTTGAGGTCTGGCCAATCCAACAGTGGTACGTAAAAGTTCAGCAACAGAAGGCAGCACAGGGAGACTTTGGTGTCATACAAGTCAAACCTACTCCACAATAGTTGCAAGCGTTGATGGTTGATATTTTCCGTTCATAGAACGTAAGCTTGAATTGCTGCCCTTCTTTCCTTCGCCTACTGCCTTAAAGGCTAAGATACACTTTGAGAGCGGGCGACATAGGCACGCGACCATAGCTCATGAAACTCTCCGTTTTGAACGCCGTTTGTATTGGCTGATGCAAGATGCAAAGTGCGATAGTGACGCTCAACCAATCCCTCCATCCCCGTGAGCGTTCTGATTCCTCCCCGCGTCTGAAACGGAGCTTAATGTCCGGAGACGGCAAAGGCCCGACGGCGATCTCGCTCCTCGGCGATGGAAAGCTACAGGGTCGTTAGAGGTGGACGTTGGCAAAATTTGAAGGAGGGAACGAACCTTGACACCCTTGCCCTTCGGCAGGCTGACCCACGGCTTCTCCTGGCCGATGACGAAGACGTTGCTCTCACGAGTAGCGAACTCGTTATCGACGGCATCCTTGATGTGGACGATGTTGAAGCCACCATCGTGACGTTCACGGCTGGTGATGACACCAACACGACCCATATTGCGACCACCGGTGGCCATGGCGATCACACCGGAATCGAACTTGATAAAGTCGGTGATCTTTCCCGTGGAGAGATCGACCTTGACGGTATCGTTGACCGTGATGAGCGGGTCAGGGTACCGGATCCTGTAGTAAAGACTTCCGTCAGTCTTCTATATCACCAAAGCTTGGTCCAACGGCTGATGGATGCTGCCACTCACGTTCGAGCATCGTGCGTAACCAAGAATGGGATTCCACCCTTGCCCAACTGCACGCGCTTGACCTTGCACAGCTTGTACTCGGCCTCCTCCTCCGTGATGCGGTGGACAGTGAATCGGCCCTTGGTGTCGTAGACGAGGCGGAAATGTTCGTCAGTCTTCTCGATGGAAATGACGTCCATGTAGCCGGCAGGGTAGGTCGCATCGGTTCGGACCTTGCCATCGACCTTGACCAAGCGTTGCATGAGGATCGATTTCGTTTCGCGTCCGTTCAAGGCATACTTCAGGCTGTGGATGTTAGTCCAAGCCCATTGTATCAACATCGATCTTCCAACTCACCGGTTACGGATGAAGACGATGAGCGGCATGCATTCCCGAGTCTTGTGAGGACCCGGAGAAGCCTTCGGGGCATAGGCTCCGGAGAGTTTGTCGAGCAGCCAATGCGATGGCGCGCTGAGGCGCTTCTGGTGTTTCTTCCTATATGCTGATGTTAGCAATGTTTATCGATCTCGAGTCGAAGGATTCGTATTCTCGAGAAACATATAAATCAGTGAGACTTACGGTCCACGGCCCATGATGACTGCTCAGTAGGTTAGTAGAGTATGTGATCCTGGTGAGGTTTTGGGCGAAGAGTGCGATTGAGATGTGGTGATGTTGGAAATTTCGAGGGCCACTAAGCGAATGTTGCCAAGACCTCCAGTTGTGTGGTCACGTGCTGACCCATTTAAATTTTTATGCGTTCATGCCTTGATGCCTAATATTCGACGCCCTCCGGGGGGATGAAATTGAGTGGCATTTCTTGGCATTCGATCTACCCCAACTCTCTGTACAATCTTCTATCATCGATTGAAGCACCCAGCGCAATCCCCCGATCTCAACCTAATTGAGGCAATTTGGGGTTTCATTAAACAGCGTATAAAATGCAGGTTATGGGAGTCATTGGACGAGCTCAAACAGATCTTGATTGAGGAGTGGGAAAAGATCACAATGGAGGAGATTCGGGCGCGAATGGCAGAGATGCCGCTGCGCTGCCAGATGCTCGTTGAGCGCGGCGGAGAGTTCATCAAAACAGATCTATGGTAATTGGCTAATTAAGGAATATATACTAATTTCAATATTATGCTGTTTTTGAGCGAATTGGACTGCATGCAAGGTGCCTACACAGACTGTCTTCGGTGGAGGGTGGTGATGTGTAGAAAACTGCCAAGAAACGCGATTCAATTTTATCCACCCCGGAGGCGCGTTCATGCCAACCCAGTCTACTAATGCCCTGGCCCAGCCTGGCATGCCTGGGGAGTTGAGACGCGTTTTATAAGAGGCACCTTTCGAACGAAACTTCTTTTGAATACAATGGAACGATAGTCACCGTTGGAAATTACCGTACGTATGGTAGCTCTCGAATGCTCGTTTGGTTTACACAAACCTATTCTACGCACGTTGCCTGGACTTCAATTCTGTTCAGAATAGCAATGTTTGACGACTGAGATAAGCATCCACCCTTCTCAATGTCAATATGCTTGATTTATGTACTATCTACGTGGACGAGTTGGCCAAACGCTACTTTTGATCCTTTAAGCATATCCTTTCAATACCGCAGCCTCTGCATTCAGAATGGACGAACCAGCAGCACCAATGACAGCTAGGACAAGGTTAGTGACAGTCTGAATAGAGGATGATGGACACCTACTGTTGTGACTGAGCGCTACGAATTTGATATCGAAGATCCCGCTCTCGTCCTCGCGGACCCGGCCAACACTAACGGCATATCCTCGATCTGTTTCACGGTCTAGTCGTGGCTGTGGTCGATCCGGCTCATCCATCACTACGATGGCATTCGTAGGTGCAGAAGGGCAGCCGAGCCTCTGAGCCTCGGATACATATTCCCTCAGGGCATCCTTGACTTCCTCTGCGGAGGGCGCAGGACGTTTGGCGAATTTGAGCGAAACACAAGCGGTGTGTCCGTCGAGAACTGGTACCCGGTTACAGGCTGCGGAGACACGTATATGCTGGTCCTCGAAACCAGTCACACTTTCGTTGACCTTTCCAAGGATCTTTTGCGCTTCGGACTCCAATTTGTCTTCCTCTCCGGAAATGAAAGGGACGACATTGTCGATGACATCCATACTGCTGACACCAGGGTATCCGGCTCCAGACACAGCTTGCATGGTCACGATGCTCACTTGATCGATGGCACCGAATCGAGCCTGCAGAGCTGCAAAGGGGATAACAATCCCAATGACGGCGCAATTGGAGTTGCAGACGATGAATCCTTTCTCTAGTCCATGGTGTTTCCTCTGATGTGGGATGACATCCATATGAGGAAGATTGACGGTAGGGACAACAAGAGGAACTAGAGGATCCCGACGGTAATTCTTCGCGTTCGAAAACACTCCAAGGTTGGCTTTCAGAAACGCCATCTCTAGACAAAATATTCAGTACGTCATCGGCGGTGACCAGGGCATATACGGACCGATCTCGGTGGCAACGTCACTGTCTAGGCCGGAGAAGATGATGTCGCAGTCCTTGAACTCTTCAGGAGTACATTTTCGTACTTCAAGCTCTCCTAACCTCTTCGACATAGGAAACGCCTGTTTCCATTTCACAGCATCTTTGTACTTCTTGCCCGCGGATCGTTCCGAGGCACCCACGGCATGAAGTACAAAATGCGGATGTAATGCTAATAGCAGGATGAACCTCTGGCCTACAGATCCGGTCGCTCCCAATACTCCTGTGCATCGTGTACTCATGAGTGTTTGTTGTCTTGATGACGGGACCGATGCTTATTGGGACGGACATACCGCATTTTCGGACCGGAAAGTCGCCGGTGCCCGACGTGAAATGTTCGACATCCATAGTTTCGACTAGTCTTAATGGCTTGAGGAAAGAATTGTAGAGCAATCGAAAGTATTGATCAGTGTCGCCAAATGTGTCGCCTGCTGTTCTTGAAAGTGAGTCACGATGATTGGCCAGCAGGTAACGAAATTTCCTCATGAGCACGTGCAGCGACGCAATATATTTCCCAGAGGACGATAATTGTCAGGAAAGCGTAGATGAGCAGCACCGATCTTTAACTTTATGCCCTACATTATGATGCAGATACTATGACATTCGATTACCGTACCTATGCAAAATCGGGGCTCAGATTGCCTCCCAGGTCCCAACAGCAAATATTTACAGTGGCCTCCCAGCGCTATCCTGGAATGTCCATGATCTTCCCCGGATTCATGAGCCAGTAAGGGTCCAGAGCCCCTTTGATGTTTTTCATGACATCGATCGTTTCCATACCCAATTCCTTGATCAAAGACTGCTTTTTCCCTAATCCAATGCCGTGCTCACCAGTACAAGTGCCCTCCATCTCCAGCGCTCGATCAACCATTCTCTCAATGCATGCTTCCACGGCTGCCCGCTCTTTGGGGTTCTTGCTGTCATACATAATGCTTTCGTGGAAGTTACCGTCGCCGATATGACCGAGTATCGAGGCGAACAAGCCGAGATCGTCCATTTCCTTCTTCGAAATCTCGATGATGTCCGGGAGTCGTGATATGGGAACGGCCACATCCGTCGACCAGACCTCGGTACCCGCGCCTTCCTTTCGGAGCGCCAACATGCTCCAAAGTGCTTCCTTCCGGGCCGACCAAAGTAGTTGCGCTTCTTCGGCATCGTGGGCGAACTCAAAATCCCCGCTCCGATGCTTTTTCGCAATCTGTTTGACCAACCCGATGCTCTCTTGGATGCTTGCGCTTGTGCCCGAGAACTTGAAGAACATGGTGGGCATTTCTTTCCAAGTCCGGGCCGTCGATTTGGTCCGATTAATGACACTCATTTGCACTTCGTCCATAACCTCCATCGCAGCGACGGGAATTCCGGCTCGTAGGACCTTGGATGCTGCTGCAGCTGCATCTCGGATGGTTGGAAAGGTAACCACCGCTACAGTCGTCTCCTGAGGAATGACAGTGAGCTTCAGTGTGATCTCAGTGACCAGTCCGAGAGTTCCTTCCGATCCGATGAAAAGATTGGTGAGATTGTATCCCGCTGACGTTTTCCTTGGTCTTCGTCGAGTCTTGATGATGGTTCCATCGGCAAGGACAACGGTCAGATTAATTACCCAGTCCTTCATGGTGCCATACCGCACGGCATTCGTGCCACTGCATGATGTACCAACCATTCCCCCTATTCTGGCTGATGGACCGGGATCCACAGGAAAAAAGAGTCCTGAATGTTTTATGTCTTCGTTGAGACTCATCCACGGCACCGAAGGCTGAACGACCACATCCATATCATCCTCATGCAGAGCGATAATCTGGTCCATGAAGGTGAAGTCGATGCTCATCCCTCCATAGGGGGCTGAGAAATTGGCCTCCAGGCTGGAACCTCCCGAGTAGGGGACTGACACGTTTAGACGAAGCTATGGGCGTAGCGTTGATGAAGACGTACTCATAGGCAACTTGTATTTGTGACAGATTTGTGCAATTTTCGAGACTTCTTCCGTACTCTTTGGGTATGCAACCGCCACCGGTAATTGATCCACGTTGATTGATGACCACTCTGAATATCCGTGAATACGAAGGTCCTCATCATCTGTGCTAATGGCATCGTTCCCTAAAGAGATCCTGAGCTCGAGAATGGCCTACCACCGGTCAGCTTATCTCTCTACCATGCTGCTCGTATTTTGGTAACCTTCTCCATCTCCCTCTTCGATGCAAAGTGGGGTCTTCTGGGAGCATATCGGACCCCTTTCGTCGTTGAAGACGCATCCCGTTGCCCGTAATAGTATGCTAGAGAAGCAGAAAATGCCGATAACAGAAATACAGTTCTTGCCGACCAAGCAACTTTCTCCGACTTGCTGGAAGAGGTGCCATTGATTCGGCGCAACCCGAGGGTCCGGGTCGACGGATGTCTCACAGCGAGAATGCCCCGCTTTAGGAAAGCTGTCACAGGTCTGGAAAACGGATTCGTCGACATAATGATGTTTCCAACGACTCTGCTTCCGCAGGTCAACCAACGTTATTGAAGGAACACCACGCAGACGAGAGAGCCAAAGCGGCTGGGCGATACGAGACAAAGATTAGAAGCATAACCTGCCATGGGGTTGAGTGCCCGAGACCCGGTCTGCAAGTGGTGGACTTCGAGCGGCCGAGGGGTTGTAGAAAGCGGTTTAAACGGCCACGAGACCCAACGCTACCGGGGAGATAACAGTTATAGCTCGAAACCAGGTCATCGAGATTGAAACGGTCTGGTCTCTTGCATTTGCCGTGTGGAGTAGAGCATTGATCGAATCATCACCACCACTCCTCCGAAGTCAGAAAGGGTGGGGTTGACGTGTCTTAACGCAATTGCCGCGACCTGGTTGGAGCAGACGCGGAATCGCATGTGTTCTGTCACTTCTGCTGAACCAACGTGGGGAAAGTTTCATCCACATCGTGTTTTCTGTGACGAGACGAGGGTTGTGGTGGCGGAGTTGGAGGTTGCAATTGGTAAGACGAGATGGAAAATTTTCCTTGTTCGATCCAAGCAGGCATCGAAGCCGTCCGCTTACTATGTACGCACAAAGCGGGTAGTCATGGCGATCCTCAACACCCGCAATCCGTTCATTCGGAAATCCTAAGAGATGCAGAGGAGCATGTCTTGCACGCATCGAAAAGTGCCAGCATGCCTAGCAAGCATACGGAGTAGGGGGTGCCAGTTATCAGCTTGCGCAACACTAGACTTGGGGCGGGGTCTAGGCGGCCCACCCGACGTTAGATGAGAGATCAGGCACAGGGGCAGAACGATCGCAGGAAATACTGTAGTTGTGTCATTCTAGCACTAAAAATCCTGATGAGTGATGAGTGATGACCGGCGACTGGTTCAAATACCGATCAATGCATTTCTCCGCCCTGTGTAGACTTGCTGCAGGTTGCAGCAATGCCGTGCAGAAGCAATAATACGGCTGCCTGTATGTATGCTCACGCATGCGGGATCTCCCACAGAATTCCATGCTAGTGATTCACGTCCACCTGTAACCACGGGGCAGTTCGTCACGCGACCATGAGGTATTTCGAGGCAAACGCAACTATACATTTGACCGGCCACCCGCAGAAGGGAAACGTAATATGAATCGTCCGAATCGAATCATTTCTCGACCACGGCATCCGTTGATGAGGGCGGGCGCGTCATGGACAAGAAACGAGGTATCACTGCTCGTGATGCGCAGCGCTACTCACCCTCACCACCAGTTGCACCCATCCAGGCTCCGGAGAGTACCCCGTACATATCACATCCAAAGTCCCAGGGGTGGGATACGGGGTCAGGATCCGTTGAAGCGCGGAGGAGAGGAGATGCAGAGCTTGTGCGTTGACACACAGCACAGCTCTGAAATCATCTAACGTAATTGGTTACGATATAGTTACCGCCTTTCTATTCTGTACTTTTTCGTGTACTTTTTCGTCGGGATGATGCAGAGATCAGGGTCGGAACCAGGAAATTGGAGCAAGATGGAACTTGAAGGATCCAGCGGCAGGCTAGGTTGGCGTCCGAAGGATCAGTTATCCCACGCTTAATGGCAAGAAAAAGGGACAATCTTTCCATTGAGACGTTGGACTCTTGTTTCGAACTTGGGGGGTTGTGGGGGTGCTCAACTTCGGAGGTGTCAAGCTTCTATGTGTGGGAATCATTGCGCTATGAGCTTCGACTTAGTAGAAGTAGATAGCCAATTGCATTAACTACGTAACTACCTGTAAGTAGGTATTCTCGAGTAAGTAGATAATAGGAATGGCCGATACCCAGATGTCCCTGGTAGAATGCGGGTACTCCTACGAAATATACTACTGGGTGTGGTACTAAGCTGGCAGGGAAACCAATGCTGCGGCGAGGTGTTGCTTGGGGGCTGGCAGACCTGGCTTATGGTACCATACGAGTGACGACCAATATTTCTACTTCAAGTTTCTAAATCTGCACACTATGATAATGCCACCATCGCCCCTCTCCCAAGCTGGTTAAACGGTCCAGTCCCTCGCGAGGATCGGAAACGTTAAGGGAATAGGATCGAATAAGACAATATTATTCGTATAATTTGGCCAATTCGCTAGAAACCGTCTGGATCATGTCGGGTAATGACGAGTTGGAACAGGCCATCATGGAGCTGCATAGGAGTAGATCAACTGCCAGGAGGTCTAGATGAAATCGTTAACTTCTGTACGGAATAGGGGATTGGAAATCTCGATACGACTCAATTCTCAGCGATTAGTTCTATATCTGCAGTCAAAGCGATCTGATCATAGGAGCTGGATATCGAAATCGATCATAAAACGAATTGATCAACATGTCCAGCCTATCTCTTCTCCGACAACTGTTTGCACCCGATACCATCGATGGGTGGCTACTCTGTCGGCAGTCATCGATCTCTCTCCCCGAACTTGGTTGTTTGTCCCTGCACATACAGCATCTTGATTCATCCCTTAAAACGAGGAGTATTCTCAAAGCAGGAATTTCCAGGTGAATGGAATAGGAGGATGGCTGCACAAAGGAAGTGAACCCCTTCAACCAAACAGCACACCAGGTCGCGATACTGGAACAATACCTGCTAATTGTCTCCAGTGTTGGTTTGAAACTGGATTGGAACCCAGTCTTCTATTTCTTCCTTTCCTCGAGACACTACGTTCTGGATATCCCTATACGGTCCTCAGTCTACAAAGGCAGACATGGGTGAGCCAGCCAGTCAGCCAGTGTCAGTTTCAGTGAATAAGGGACCATGCCAGATTCACTCTTGTTCCAACTCACCTGCAGCTGGGGAAGGCCCCAACATCTGAAGGCAAATTTTCCAGTTCTAGTTCCAGTTCTCTTTCTTTCTCCAAATTCTATTGCCCTGAGAAGTCCAAAGAAACAATGTGCCTTGGATACAAACGGCAACCACCAACACACTGCGAATGCCACAACCCATGGCTCTATCTCAATCCTTCTGTTCTTCTAACTATCATTCACATCACAAAACCTGACACCTTCGCCTTCAGTTTCAGTTTCAGCTCTCACTGCTCCAAACCACGAGCCACCACCGGAATCACCTCTGGACCAACCGTAAAAGCTGTCAGTACCTCCTGTGCCTCCAACACGAGAACTTGGAGTACGGAGATCAGATTACGCTGCAGCACCTGCATCAGAGAAGTATCGGAGAAGGTGCGGATGCCCACCAAGGCAAGGCGACAAAAGACGACAAAAAAAGACGACAGTTTGTCAACAAACACCGGGTGGCTCTCATCTTCATCTGTCTACTCTCGGCTTCATCCACTTCATACATGTATCTGGTGAAAGATGATAATGTCGAGTCGGTCTGACTGGTTGACTGATTGACTTGCGGAACATCACCGAATCCCCGAGGACGACAAAACCACTCCATCACAGTTTTGGAGGCAGAGCCAGGAATCCAGTGGAATTAGAAAGTAAAGAAGCATTCAGGTAAGTAAGAATGGCCTCTGAAGACTGATAGAGAGCCCTTGATCTTCATCGTCACCGCTCTGCATCGACTCCACAGCTTCCACAGCTTCTATGCATGTGTTTGCATGTGCTGCTGTGGAATTATCTACTTACTATTCATTGCCATCCTTCCGAATATTTCACTCTTCCTGACATTGACTGTGTGCAGAAGATGAATGCTTCCGGACGACATCGGCCTCCAGCCAGCCCATATGGGCAACCACACCTTCGAGGGAATGAAGCGTGGAGAGAATGGCCTGAGGTCAAAGTTAAGGTAGTCGGGTTCCCTTTCCGAACGACTTGGCCGTATTACGTTGCTCTCAGTGGCGAGGGGAATGTACGTCGGATTGACGTGGCAAAGTCAAGTGATATCCCTCAAAACTCTATGACATTCGTGATCTTCGGGTACGGACAGAATTCCACAGTCATAGTGGGCGATGGTATGCTAACTGTTGCAGCCCGCCTCCCCAGACTGCAATATGGCAGTTCTCATACATCTCCATCGAGTACGAGGGTAAGACGCATAAGGCTCAAGTCACTTTATGTCCTCCTGTTAAGGAAAGAATTCACCGAAGTCCTGTCAATCAGAACCGCATATATCCGGAGCGCACAGTAAGTTCTGAAACCCGTTTAATGAATATAATCTGTGATCTGACAGTTTATAGGAATTGCATGCATCAAGTCTTGACATCGGCCTGATGCACACCGCCGATTCCATGATGACCATGATGACCGTCGCCGCCACTGAACGCTTACCGATATCCCTTGTATTGCAACTATTCCCTAACCGAAGACAAATCGGGATTGAATTCCACATCGCGGATGATAGCAGTGCACGATCCGACGATGAAAACGAATTCCGCAGATACCAACTTGAGATCGACGTTTCTTCGTCTGTTACGGAGGTCTTTGAGGACGCCAGCAGTCCGGACACTGTAACACTGGTTCTTCCGTCTATTAATCCGCCCAATGCCTATCGCAGAGTGAAGGATATCGACATCAAGGATACGCACGATACCGATTCGATCGTTTGGCATGAGATGCGTGCATGGCCTCGCGTCACTGAAGTCAAGAAGCCGAATCTAGTCGATCCTCGGTCAAAGCGGCAACTGACCTCGACGCATCCTGCCCCAGATGCCCCGATCCAGCTCAATCGTGGAGATTCGTTGGTTGATATTGGTACGTCTGATTTGATTGTGAGCAGAATTATCGCTTACATATGTTTCTAGGCAGATGGACTACCTTTCGAATGGTCTTTCCTTTGAATAATGACGAAGCCAGGCGATCCTATTACATTATTCGCAGCGTGTTGCGAGACTACAACGTGAACGTGAAGCGAGGTCCAAATCCGACCCAGATTCCGAGACAGGAGTCAACGTTATGGAAGCAAATCAACGAGCTACCGAGCACATCTAATACTCAAGTCCTGGGGCACCAAATCTTTCCGCTGCCGTTTGACGTACGCTACCAACTTGAGGTATGTGTATCGCAAGGGATCATCAATGAACACAATATCACCGAACAGTTCCTTACTACCTTGCTGCGACTCGACCGGGAAACAGCACGACAGGTGCTGGAGAAAGCTGCGGACAGTCGAAAGCGATGGTTCGAGCCCATGGATATTATCCAACAATTTCGCTTCTCCACCTACTTCAACCGTCGAATACCGGAATACTGCAGCTACAGCCGTGGTGTGACCTTGACTCCAACCACGGTCTACTTCCATAGTCCGGCGGTAGAAACGTCAAATCGGGTCACCCGCAAATACGAGAGTCGAGACGTTCAGTTCATCCGCATCAAATTCATGGACGAGAGAACTTGGGGAAAGATGAGGAACCGACATGATCGAAATGAAGCTGCCGTGTACAACCGTTTCCGACATGCGCTCCGACACGGCATTCAAATCGGCCAGAGGGTGTTTTATTTCCTTGCATGGGGAAACAGTCAATTCCGTGAGAACGGGGCGTACTTCATTTCACCAACCTCAAGCATCACTGCCGATTCGATCCGTGCCTGGATGGGGGATGTCGCTCACATCCGCGTAATTGCCAAATACGCCGCAAGACTCGGTCAGAATTTCTCAACCACCCGCTCCTATCGAGGATCTCCCGTGGAGATGGTCGAAATTCCAGATATCGAGCGAAATGGCTACTGCTTCACTGATGGTGTAGGAAAGATGTCCCGGTTCATCTCTCAGATGATTGCTAACCGTTTTCGACTCCCTTTCGGAATGGATGACCCTCCTAGTGTGATTCAGTTCAGATATGGTGGCTGCAAGGGAGTTCTGGCCCTCGATCCAACCATGGTCGGCAAACAGAATCACCAAATCCAGATCAGACCATCTCAACGCAAGTTCGAAGTGACTGAAGGTGGATTGGAGATCACAAGATGCTCAGACTTTTCCGTCGCGACCTTGAACCGGCAGCTCATTGCCATCCTCTCATCGCATGGAATTCCGGATTACGTCTTTGACGACATGCGTGAACGAATGGTTCGGGATTTGGACCTTGCTATGCGCGATGAGAATGTTGCGCTGCGCCTGCTACAGAAGAACATCGATATGAATCAAACTTCCCTAGCACTCGCCGCGATGATCGCGGAGGGATTCATGGAGAGACGTGAGCCATTCCTGACGAATTGTCTTCAACTTTGGCGGTGCTGGAACATGAAGCTACTCAAAGAGAAAGCGAGGCTGGTGGTTGAAAAGGCGGCGTTTGTCCTTGGGTGCGTCGATGAGACCGGGCTTCTCCAAGGACATTTTGACGAAAAACTGACCCGCCATCATGAGACAAAGGAAGACCTCATCCGAGATCTGCCTCAAATCTTCATCCAAGTTGGTGTGTCGGAGAAGGCTGGGGAGAAGAAGCAATATCACGTTATCACCGGACTCTGCATCCTCGCTCGTAACCCTTCCCTTCACCCTGGAGATATCCGTGTCGTCAATGCTGTTGACGTTCCCGCACTCCATCATCTTAAAAACGTGGTGGCTCTCCCACAAACCGGGGATCGCGATCTAGGTAGCATGTGCTCTGGCGGAGACCTTGACGGCGACGATTATTTCGTTAGCTGGGATGAAAACCTCCTCTTTACTGACTGGAGTTATCCCCCTATGGCACACACGGCACCGCCGCCTAAAGAGGTCAATCGACCCGTGGTCATGGATGATCTGAGCGATTTCTTCATTGAATATATGAAGAATGACTCCCTCCCCACCATTGCGACGGCGCACCTTGCTATCGCGGATAGTGAGGGAGTAGAGTCTGAAACCTGTCTGGAACTAGCAGAGCTTCACTCATTGGCAGTTGATTACCCGAAGAGCGGACATCCCGTTCGTATGGAACGGAGACACTTCCCAACACAATGGCCGCACTTCATGGAGCGACGAGCGAAGACGTACACCTCCCGCAAGATCCTCGGGAAACTCTACGACCGGGTCAGCAGTGTCTATTTCCGGCCGGTATTTCAAGGATTTAATTATGATATCATCGCCTCGTACCAAACCATGCTCGATGCAGCGTCCTGGGAGCGGTTGAAGGGGAAGGCCAGGAACCTGAAAGGGAAATACGATGATGCAGTCCGACGCATTCAAGCTCGACACGACATCAAGACGGAGTTCGAAGTCTGGACAGTGTATTGCCTTTCACACAATGGCGAGAAGAGGGACTACACATTCGCCGAAGACATGGGACGTGATATCGGTGGGTTGAAGGAGGAATTTCGGGCACTTGTTCGACAAGAAGCTGAAGCGATGGATGGGGGGATCGTCGGGCCAGAGTTCCGGCCCGTCATCGAAGAAGCCGAAGGGAACCACCTTGGGGTTCGAGAGGTGGATCTGATCCTTCATCCATTCCTCGCGGCGATGTATTGCGTGGCTGTCGACGAAGCGACCACGGCGGTCAAAGAGAGCCGAATGATGGCTACAATCGACGGCATCCGACAGTCCTTGCGGAATCTGAATCAGCCGAGCGAACGGCCCATGATGAGCTTTCCGTGGATTTTCTACGAAGAGCTGGGGAAAATCTCCAGGCTTGGTGGATTGTTGAGGAAGCGCATGGCAGGCAAAGTGAGGTGTGCGGAACTTCTGGACAAGCCGGCTGAAGCGCCGCTCAACTATGATCAGTCACCCCATGAAGATTCCACCGTCGGACCACCTGTCCATCTACCCGAAGTAACTGTTCAACCCCGTGGCCCAGTCGATGGAAGGTCAGATTGGACCGATATTGTGATGGACCATGATGAGGGACGCCGCAACCAGGCGTGGCTGAATCATCATGGACCTCTTTACGGACCTCCAACATCAACAGCTACCAATGGGGACACCATGCCGTCCAATGCGGACGGAGTAGAGGGACCCATCGACGTGAATAGCGTTGATACTGCCGAAGATCCTAGTGCCATGACAGATCCCACCGAGGCAGAATTCAATGCCATGACCCTAGCCCACGCAGCAACCACGAAGTACCCGGATTTGTTGCTCGAGGCCACTGAGAACTGGCCGGTCTCAGCAGACTCGAAGAGATCAGCTCCGATTGCTCCCGCGAGTTTGATGTTGATCCCAAATGGCAAGTCCAAGGAGCTCATCGCCGTGGCAGATGCTGGTGAAGATCTCGAGGCAGACTCGGACGAAGAAGATCTCGAGGAAGAAGCGGACAGTGGGAGAGCCGTGGGGGGATTCAACATGCTCGATGCATTCGAGGATTGATCTACGGATCTGGAGTCTGGACATGGAATTCTAAGTTCATACTTCATTCGGGAGGTTCAGGCGCTGCTAAGTCGCAGGATACGGAGTGATTGGCATGATATCGACAGGTAGCTAGCCAAGTGGTTGCTCTCGCGGAGTTCCAAGTTCCAAGTTCCAACCTCGCATGGTGCGAATAGACCACCATGGGGTTAGGTTAAGGATAGTAGCGCAATAAGAGTCGGGTTCGGTATATATACATATATATATATATGCTGAACAATTGTGAAGTTGTAGATATCTCACTCTGGGTTCCTCAAGTGCCAGTGGCATTGATATGTTCCATCCACTGGATCCAAGTCCCTTGATAATTTGATATTACTGGCAATGCATGGGCCCATGTCACCATGGTAGTGGAATGTGGATCCATCTAGCCATTGCGACTTGGACCCGACAGGCGGGAAATGGGAATGCATGTGGTCGGAAGCGTTTCGGATTGACGAGGATGAGGGCTGGCACCACGCCAAGCGCCGGCCCTAAATCAACGAGTTTCGTGATTTCGCACCCGCATTGGAGGCATGGGAAGTTGTAGATGTAGCAGCAGTACAGCATTTCGTACCGACTCTTTTATTAATACCTTTGACAGGATCGGGATGAGATCGGAGGGAGATGCCGTCCGCCGTCAGCAGGCAGTGGGCAACTCCTCTGTAGAATACTTGAAAGATTGACATCGGATTCGGTGCGCCCAGCACACACTACTGATAGGTAACTAGTTATAACTAGGTAAGAATAACTAGGTCATGCGCGGAAATGGGAGTACCTGCAGTAGTTCCAATCCAGGGCTGCATTGGCCATGGCCTCATGGGGTGGAGGAGGGCTCTACGCGATGGTGGGTGGGCGCTTGATGAGGACACTTTGAAGCCTGGAGGGAGGATGAATGCTGGATGGGAATACGTCGCGAACCATTGGCAGACTTGATATCACCTGGAGTCCATCTTCTTCAGCGGGAGATGTTTCTCATGGTAAATAGGAGCAGACGGAGAATTGGGAATCGGGCAGGTGATTGGACCCAAGGGACCCCTTTTCCATTTGCATGTTTCACTTCCGAGGCTCTCCAGACTGTTTCTCCAGAGCGTTTCACCCACGAGATTCTAGAAATATCCAGTGTAACTATTATAATCCAACGGATTGGCTCATTACTCAGTAACTCCATGATAAGAACCCATACATCCTCTGTTAACACCAGCAACATCCACTTCGGCCACCTTAAAGGTTAAACCCTCTGCCATTCTGCATCCATCCTCTCATCCCCTGAACCTCCAGCATTTCTACCGCACGTGGCATCTAGCAGCAATCCATCCATCCATCCCATCCACCACCCATCCATTCATCACTTTCGCTCTCTCGTTCTCTCTATCTCATACCTTACATACCTTTCCTTCGGTATCCCATTTGTGCATCACCATTACCCCCCCCTATCGAATGGAATCTCATGTCCGCGGGCTAGATTCGGAAAATTTCGAAACCAACCCAAACCCAATCCGTCCGCTTCCTCCTAGGATCTGGTCACTTTTTTCTCCTTAGTTTCTTACGGACGACGGTAATAAACCGTCTCCAGTCTCTAGTCCCCAGAATTTCAGGAGGTCTGCACTTTTGAAAGGGCGCCAATTCCGTCCCAGGGTCCAAATCCGATCGCTTCATCTCGCTGCTGCAGCTACTGCCGGGCAATTATCCCATCAAATCTCCATCATCTCCATCGTTGCCCGTGTTTTTCCCCCTTACCCTTTTCTCTTCCTTCGCACCGCGTCTCGCGTTGCTCCCTCCCATCAACGGCATTGATCGTCAAACATGTCCAATCCGTCGACAAATCTAAACCCATCAACCGACATTGCATCCGCCAAATCCAACGGCAGCGACGGCACGCGGCGCACCAGCTTCGGCTTTTTACGACGACAGAAATCGACTGAACATTCGACTGGGAACCGCATCGCGTCGGGCGGCAAGATGACCAAGAAGCAAAGGGCTCAGGCCGAGGAGCTGCGCAAGCAGCAAGCCCTCTCCCAATCCCCTCCTCGTCTGCCTTCGCACTCGCCACTGCCTCGAATGAACATCTTGGGCGGTGCTGCCGCTGAAGACCCAACCGCTCGTCCCGATTCCTATGCCCTCGTTTCGAACAAAGCCTCGGGTTATCCGGGTCAAGATTTCTATCATCAACAGAGAGGTGTGAGGCCGTCGGTCGAATATCAGCAGTATGGTTCGAGCCCACATGGTGTTCCAATCCCGCCCATCCCTGGTAGTTCACCCTCCTCGAGAAATGGGGAACCCGTGGACCCTTACGCCAGGACCGAAAGCATGACGCATCGTGGCCGGTACAGCTACGCCAGCAGTGCCGTGAGCACATTGAACAGCCCAAGACGCGTCCGCAGAAGAAAAGATCCGACCCCGTTCAAGTAAGCATGGACCATTGAAGAGATCGATGAGATCACGCGCTAATTACAATGATTCGGTTGCAGCATCCTCGTCGTCGGCGCGAAGAATTCCGGCAAGACGTCCTTCATCAACTTCTTGAAGAATTCCCTCCAACTGCCGGCGCGGAAACAGCGACAGCATACCCCGTCCCCTCCCAACACCGCCCTCCCCCCCGACTCACCTTTCAGCTCGATCTATTTGGAGTCCGAAATCGACCATGAGAGGATCGGTGTCACCCTGTGGGATTCCAGGGGGTTGGAGAAGAACATCGTTGACCTGCAACTCCGGGAAATGGATGCCTTTCTTGAGTCTAAGTTCGAGGAGACCTTCACCGAAGAACAGAAGGTGATTCGTGCTCCCGGCGTCCGAGACACCCATATCCACTGTGTATTCTTGATTCTCGACCCGGTCCGTCTGGACGCGAATATTACCACCTCGAAGCAAAACGGCGATTCCTTAGTGGCCAAGTTTAGCACCGGCGCTCGTCTCATCGGCGGACTTGACGAAGACCTGGATATCCAAGTGCTTCGCGGTCTCCAGGGCAAGACGACGGTGATTCCAGTCATTAGCAAAGCTGATACCATCACCACTGCGCATATGGCCATGCTCAAGAAGATGGTCTGGGACAGCCTCAAGCAAGCGAAACTCGACCCTCTCGAGTATTTGAACGTTGCCGACTCCGACGGCGAGGACGCCCTCGATGAACGTGACGAAGACGAGTATCTCCATTCCGACACCGAGCCGTCTCAGCCGAGCAGCCGCGTGCTGAACCAGATCGCCGATGGTAGCTCCTCCGAAGATGACGAGGCCGCGGAAGAGTCCGAGGACGTCTCCTCGCCCGTCCGCGAGTCCTCCCCCGCCACCACCACCCCTCCTCCGAAGGCCGGCAAAGAAGGCACCCACCGCCGCACCCCCTCCGCCATGTCCATGGCCGCCGCCAATGCCAAAGCCGACGATGTCCCCTACCTTCCCCTCTCTATCATCTCCCCCGACTCCAACAATCCGAGCGTCATCGGCCGAGCCTTCCCCTGGGGATTCGCGGACCCGTACAACCCGGAGCATTGCGACTTCGTCCGGCTCAAGGAGAACGTGTTCAGCGAGTGGCGAGGCGAGCTCCGTGAAGCCAGCCGTGAGATCTGGTATGAAGGCTGGAGAACTAGCCGACTGAAGAGGCGAGGCACGAGTGCTGGGCCACCGTCCAAGAGCCCCGCCCAGAAATCAGGAATCGCCGGGATCGCGGATCGTAGTGCTGGTTACGATACTGGTAGCACCAGGAGTCGAACGAACGGAAGTCCGGAAACCCAGCGATATCGAGGACATTGAACGAGGCACGGAACGGGGCGCGGAACCGAAACCATGCATTCCGCAGAGCCGATGACGGCCCAATCGACCGATCCTTTCGATAATCGAATAATAAATTCTCGAGTTAGAAGGCGGATGACGGACTTGAACATATCATATCCCGGTTTCCGACTTTCCAGCTTCTAGGCACATTTGCCGAGGAGTATCTCTTTCAAGAAAACATTCACGGCTTCAGGAGCTTGGCTCCTCCTTTCACGCGGCGTACTTTTTTTCCTTTGTGACGACAAATGCAACTGCAGCTCTTTCCTGGTGTTCCTCTTCACTTCCGTTCCATTATACCCCTCCGCCCCGTGCTTCCATTATACCCCCTTCCCATACTTCTCTCGCATCACAATTCCTTATCCCGCGCTCAGTTCGGGGGTTCAAACTGTTGCTCGTGCATGCGCGATCCAGCCAACCGATCTGCCGTCCTGGCTCCGACACGCCTGTTGGTTTTGACCATCCGACCTTGAGGGCACCAGCGCGCTAGTTCGTGGACCGGAACCTTTCATTCCCTCAAGCGCGGAGCAGCAGATGGAGCGATATGGAGTTGGTGTGACGGTGGAATTGCCAAGAAGAGGAATCCCCATCGAATCCGCACATAATCGCCACGTCGGATCCGCGCATCGACGGTTGCGATTCCTCCATGTTCATTTCGCTTCGCTTCTTGTTGGCACCGTGTTTTCCTTTTCGTCCGAGCGGCCGACAGGCTTTTTCCAACACCAAAAAGAATGATTCAATTGTATGTACCGTACGGATACCATTAGCTACGTCTACGATTAGCTGCGGAATTTTAGCAAGTTTACGTCATGACGTGTTGGGCTGCCCTGAAGCGCCTTTCCAGTAGCCACCTCCCAGCTCCCAAGTGACCCCTTGATTGAATCCTTGTCCAGGTTCGTGATTGTACGCGACATAAAATGCATGTACCACTCATCCCCGCCAGCCCTTTCGCAGAGAACGGCGCAAGGGCCCGTGCATCTGGTCAAAGAATTGCAATCAGGGATGGATGGTTGGCTAGTTGGCCATTAATCTCCCTTCGGTGACAAGCGTGAGCACCCATAGTTGATTCGGATGGCACGCAATAAACGAAGGGGTTCTGCACGCACACAACACCTTGCCCAAGATTGGGCGGAAGCGAGGACGACGATCACATCAGTAACAGAGTAAGTACATTCATAAGTGGCATCCTGAAGTAGACTAGCTAAAACTGCCAACTATCCCCAACATACCCGTTCAGCAACTCCGCCGGCCGCGGCAACGTCATCCCCGGCTGCGGAAGCGTGTGTTTCGCATTCCCGCTTCCCGTCATGATGGAGGAATCGACCGTCAGGATCCCAGACAGAGACGGTGGGAGCATCGATAACGGGCCGCCGACCCCGGCGAGGGTTGACGAGGTCATTGGGTTGTGCGGCGCGCTCATTGCGGATGGAAGCGGCTGCGGGAGGGACGCGTGGTGGGATCTGGATGGCGCGGGTGGTGGCATTATCAGGGAATTGAGGATCGAGGAGGATGAGGGAGATGGGTTGAGGCTGAGGCTCGGTGGGATGGAATATGGATTGCCGCCACCGTTCCCTGCCGTCATGCTCGTGCTGTAGCTCGGCCAACTGCTCGAGGACGGAATGATGGTTTTAAGGGGGTCGATGTGCAGATTCTCGATCGGGAGGTTGGTGCTCGAGCTCAGCGTCGAGTCGGGGATGTATGTGCACCAGGGACCGGATATTGCAGGAGTTGGTTTTGGGGCTCTTTGACTCGTAGGGGCCTCTTCAAAGATCCGTCGGCTTAAGGTGATCGAGGTGGGGTATTCGTCAATCGTGAAGTCGTCGTCGAAGTCACTCAGGAAATCTTCCAAGAGATTCCCAACTGCGGTGACGGTGCGGGATGGTGCCTTGAGAGTGGGGTCTTGCGCTTCAGTGACGGACAGAGCGCCACTTTGCTGCCTCGCAGGTTGTAATGTAGGGTCTGTCGCTGCTAATTCTGTAGCGGACTTATGGTGGTCCATTGGCTGCTCTTCAGAAACCCGCGTTTTCCGACTGCGAGCAAAATGCTCCGGGTACTTGACCCGGAACCGATCTCGCAGATCCAACCGTGCCCTACTAGCGAGCACTGTGAACTCGGCATCATCACGAATCCTGTTCCATTGCGGGCCATGCTTCTCAAATCCTTTCAAAAGAAGGGCATCTTCCTCGTCGGTGAACGGAGTCAGCTCGCGGCGAGCAACCTTGAAGAAGGGCTGGTCGATACCCATCGCTGCGAGGTCGGTAGGGTCTTTCCGGTCGCAGTTGAGTCGCTTCGGCCGTTTCGGCGGTAATGAAATTGTCTGGCGGGTTTCTTCCCCATTAGATCTTGACTTTGGGTGTTTAGTAGCTGCTGTGTCTTCTCGCCTGCCTCGTCGATCGGGTTTGGAAGAAGCATCATGGTCCTTGACTTTCGACTTCTTGTAGTCGTCAGGACAGCATGTTCGGAACCGATCCTTCAGGTCCACGGCGCTTCGTCCGTTAAACGTGTAGTCCGGGCACTGGAGAATCTTCGCCCACCGACCAATACCCAACTTTGCCACGCCTTTCAGCAGGTCTTCAGTTTCTTGGTCGGTCCATTTTCGTTTCTGCTTAGCCTTGTTTCCCCGTTCAACCGCATTCACTCTGGTGGAGGGTGGGTTGCCATTCTCCTCTACCACCGGCTGTCCTTGTCCCTCAGCCGAGACTTTGGCTGGACTTCCCGCCGGCTTGATGCTTGTCGTCGTTTCTGACGAGGCGTGGTTCTGTGTAAGAGGGCGAATCGGGGCGATTGATGCTTCCCCAGGGAGCTTTATCGCAGTTCCCCGAGCCCCATCGTTGTCATGGCCACCGCGCAATGACCCAGCGTTCTTCTTCAACCGACCTTCATCCGTCACCGATATACTCGGAAACAACCCCGCGTCCGGCGGTGGCTGATACAGTCCCGGCAAGATCGGAGCCAGTCGCTGCCGCCGAACACTTTTCTTCGGCTGCGGGGGTTTGGGGAGTTCGAGCACTGCGGGATGCTGAGCATTTGACGGGTGGGCCTCGTTGGATACGGAGATCTTCCGTCGTTTCCTCGGGGCGTGCACCGAGGCATCTTCCGCGTTCAGAACGGAGTCCAGGGGTAGAGATGCTTTGGAGGATGTCGGCTTGGTTTGGTGTGAGAGGTGGGCAGCCTGTGCGGTGGATGGAGCGATGTCAAACGTGGGCGGTGTCTGAAAGGTTGTGTTCGAGGACGGAGGCTGCGTGATGGGTGCAAGTGGCAGGCGGGATTCATGACGAGAACCGACCCCAAAGGCGGTTTGGGCGATATTCGGGTCATGGTTGATGTGATGCGGCTGGACGGGAAGCGGGAGTGAGAGGGGATTGGCAGCGGATTGCGGGTTGAATATGGTGGATGGGAGGAGAATCTCGGCATTACCGCGCTCGATGAGCAACGGAGAGCCGACCAAGGCACTTATTCGGGGCTCCATGGGGACTGAGGAAGCCCATGGTCGAAGAGCGCAGTGTTTTCGCGAGATGTAGAGTGTATGGAAAGTATGGTGCAGTCCAGGTTGTCGATCAGATTCAAGGCGATGGCGTCAACAGACATGAACGCGAGCTCGCGAGAGATTAGGTATGGGTGAGAGGACCAGCCTCGTTAGATGCTAAAAAGAGACAATATTATTATTCCATTGGTACAGTTTTCTACAGACGAAGAACGAAACTAGAGAAATATTCCGACGATCGAGTCACGTGACGCCTTGACTGAAGCTTGCCCTGACAGCAGTCCTTCTTGCTCTTGAAGTCGAGGCATCCGCCTTCAGTCCCCAACGCCTGGGATATCCATATCCTGCGACATCAGGTACTGATGGTGCTCTCTGACTCCATAGGATGCAAGGACTAGCCAACCGTAATCCTCAGACCGAGTTTCTCATGGATCATGCGATCTATTATCTACCACACCTTGCACCGAAATCTTGAGCGCGTTTTGAAGCAGTCCCCAACTTCTCCTGGAGTTGAAATTCGAGCGTGCTTTAAACCACCGAACTTCCATTGGCGTGGGCCGACTTGGTGGTCTTCGATGCGACACCGTTGCTCGCGCCGGTCGTCATTTGCACATCACCATACACCTTGTCCAGATAGGCCTGGTTGCCCTTGGAATCGGCCTTGATGCCCTCGGAACCCGGGTTCCAGTTTGCGGGACAGACCTCTCCATATTTCTCGGCGAATTGGAAAGCGTCGATGAGTCGGAGGGTCTCGTCGACAGAGCGGCCAACGGGGAGATCGTTGATCGTGATCTAAAGGTTGTTAGTTAGGAATCCGGATCAAGTGGAGCCACAAGGTAAGGATGATTTGTTGTCCTGGGATATAACCCACCTGTCGAATGACTCCATTGGGGTCGATGAGGAAGAGGCCTCGCAGCGCAATGCCCTCCTCTTCGAGGAGCACACCGTAGTCCCTTGACAGCTTGTGGTTCTTGTCACTCAGCAACGGAAGGTTGACGTTTCCAAGACCACCGTCCTTTTTGGTGGCGTTGTTCCAGGCCAGGAGACTATATTCGCTATCGGTGCTAGCGAAGACCACGGATGTGTTTCGGGCTTGGAATTGGGGCATGTTGTCGCTGTATGCGATGATCTCGGTCGGGCAAACAAAAGTCCAGGCCATCGGGACAAACGCCAGGACGAGCCATTGCTTCGTGGACGTGTAGGTGGTCAGGCTGATCTCTGTATCAGGGCGGATGAGATTAGCTGGGTCATCGGAGGCGAGGACCGAAGTATGATCATGACCCACCTTCAAAAGTTCCGTCCACCACGGCGGTGCCCGCGAAGTGAGGGGCGGGCTTCTGGACGAAGGCTTTTCCGGAGGATGCCATGGCGAAAAGCGTAGTTGGAGAAGGATTAGGTGTTGAAGGGATTCCTAGGGGTTGGATAGAGGATTGATTCCACAATGGATGGAAATGGGAGAATCAGGGGAGTAGGACGGCAATTGAGTGCTCTAACAGATGGTGAAAGGGGTAATTAAGAGGAGAGAGAGTTTGCACGGAAGTAGATGTTGTAGGTACTTGTGGATGGAAGAGGCAACTTAAATGAGAGGTGAAGAAACAGCAGAAGATTATCAGATGGATCTGATCACTCAGCAATGTTCAATAAGCCTCATCTGGACCAGCCAGTATGATGAATCGAATATGGATACCTCCAACGAATCCGAAGCTAACTAATTCAGCTAAACCATTCAGCTAACTGATTCGGCCCCATCTGAATTGCAACATCTACCGTGATATTTCACCGTTTGGCCCAAGTCACACCATCCCGAACGCCGCGTCTCCGTCTTCCGGCTTTCGGCCCTCGTCCCGATCAGCCACGTCATTCCGCCATTGGTGCGTTTCTAGGATATTTTCTATCACAGATCACCATCTAGGAACGCTGCAGCTGAACCCTGGGTTTAATTTTTGCATGTGCTCGAATATCCTCGAAATATCGGAAATAATCGAATACCCCGGCAGCTCAGACCTGTCTTGCCATTATTGGTGGTTGTGTCGGAAGGTTCCGTTGGTAGCGGTTAGGAAGAGTTAAGAGCCTGGCAATCAACGACCCAAGTTACACCAATCCGCAAGTTTTATATACGGATTACCAGTTGGACGAAATATGCAGTCATCGCGTATCCCACCCCTGCTCGATAGGGTATTGAGCATCCCGCATCAGGACTCTTTGATCCTCCTGACTTCGGTGCTGGGGGCGACGACAAATTGGCTCATCGTGCGATATCTCTACTCCTGTCTCGCCAGCCATCAGCCGTCTTTGTCCCGACACAATCCAGGCGATGATCATCCGCCGTTGAAGGTGGTCCTGGTCACTTGGCTTCGGGATGCGGAATTCTGGAAGACGGAAGTCAAAAGAGCGGTTGTAAGTCTGTCATCCCCTGTGTTGGACGACATTGTAGTAACAAGCTTGCAGGGAATTGATCTTGCGAGGCTGGCCGTTCAGGGACGATTCGCGTTTATTGATGCGATAACAGCGGTTGCGTACCAGCCACGCCCTTTGGGAACGTCACTGGTAGCATCATCTAAAGGAAAATCCCATTTTCTATCTTCACCGGATCCCAATCACCTTGAAGAAGTCGTCCTGGCGGCACTAGGCCCGGAGAAGCCCTCCAAGGATGACAACCAAGGCGGCAACGTCGTCCTGATCCTGGATGCCCCCGACTTTCTCCTCGCGGCATCAGATCCGGGGGCGGACGGTCGGATGGACCTTAAGCTCCTCCAGGCCATCCATCGCATTCGACAGCATCCCTCCATCCGCTCCACGATCGTGGCAGCCCAGACCGACTCGCCTTTGATGGTTGCGCCCAACCATACCACCCACACTCTCACCAACCTTGCAGGCCAGAACGCATCGCCATTGGAGATCGCTCACACCTCGTTCCTTACCCAGCTCGCGCAGCTCGCGTCGATTCGAATCAGTCTTCGGATGCTCGATACTGGCGCGGCGGGGGACGTGAGTGGTGTGGGTCGCGTCACTTACGGCAAGCCATTCACTGCAGACACCGCAGGGCAGGAAGATGGTGTTGCGCATCCGGAAGCGTCTGAGTGGCTGTACTTCGTTGCGGTGGACGGTTCTGCAAAGGCCTGGGAAAGGGGATCTGGAACCTCAGTCGGGTAATACTGCAGCAGACTCCGAAGGGTGTGGCACGTGGTATTACCATTCCCGTTGGGAAGCGTCTTGAATTGAACGACTGCGCATTCATCGTGCCGACAAGTGAGTCGCCCCTTCTACTTCAAAGACTAGAGCTATCGAGACTGACACCGTAGCGGGCAACAGTATCTCCAAGCTTGAAGAAGTCCATTAAGCCCATCCTATCCTGAGTAATCGCTCGATCATCTTGTCAGCCGTTGCCGACCTGAGATCACACCTGACCGCTCTACCGACGTTGTATCGTACGGGAGCCGGGATATCGCTCGCCATTCTAGGTTCATGAACAATAGCATCCTGGACCAAACCGTCATCCGTGATGTCAGCCGTCCCCGTGGATCCATCTTCCCATTCGATATCGATTGTGTGGCCCCGGTTTCCACTCGAGACGTTGGTGATGCGGACTCGTCGCTCCTCATCCTCGGTTTCGACCGCGTGGGCTTCCTCGGCGTCTCGAGCGAGCTTCTTCACGAGATTGAGTTTGTTTTGGCGGACTATCAGCGCGGCTCGAATGTCATCGCCCAGCTTCTTGATGCCATGATTGGGGACGTGCATCGTCTCGAGCCACTGGAATTCGATATCCTGGACCCCGATGCTCTCGGGTAGTGTGTGTTTATGGATACGGTAGTAATTTGGGTGCCCTCTCGGGTCGGGTCGGTGGAGGAAGACGTAGTATGGGTCGGGAAACCGGGCTTCCTCTGTATATTGTCAGCACATAGGGCCGGCAAATGGGACGATAAGAAGTACCATTATCGAATATATCGATCCGCAACCCGAGAACAACACCATCGTCCACCGCGTTGGGATCGGGATCGTGGACATTGAAGGGCGTAACTCCGACACCGGCGTAATAGACGTTCTCCGTATTGATTCGTTGCTGCTTATCGGCCTGCTCCAACGCCTTGCTTACACGGGCTTTGGATTTCGCATTCCGAAGAGTAGATGTGGCCCGAGTCAGTCTCGGGACGGTACTGTTGTCGGATAGGATGACGGTTCGGAGTAACGAGCGGCGCTTCCTCAGGCGTTCAACTGGAGGCATATGTGAGCGACATTCGTGAATAGAGAAACCAATGACATACTTTCGGCCCGAAGGTTTCGAATATCGGATTCGGCGGTGGTTGCCATGATTGTCGATGTTCTAGTACGATATGACGTGGGATTGATACGAGATGGAAAACGCTCCCTCTGCCTGTTTAGTGTTTACACAATTCCTAAATCGGCTTCCACGCGTTGTGTCGCGTTGAGGGGAAAGAGGCGCCTAATCACGTGCCGACAATCCTAGTAAGGACTAAGGAACCAAGGAAAGTGCATTAGCGAGCTAACGTTCATGCCTGAAACTGAGACTTGGCGCCTTGTTGCCTTTTATGCAACAAGGAAGCCATTCCTGGCATCGATGGAGAAAGGAAATCCAATTCAATTCATCTGTAATACGGATTATCTCCTGATATATACATTCCCAGCCGATCTAACGGGCAATTATTATGCAAGATGATGGCAATTCCATCCAATGTGGGATATAATTCCGATATTTGATACCTAACCATCCATAAGGCGTCGAGACGCTAGTCGTAGCTTCAAGCTATAGCAATTAATCGCCTCAACCTCCAAAAGGACAGCTCATCGACAAATATATCACAATCGGTTTTATCCCTCCGATACCTTGATCACCATCACTTGCCACATGGATGCCTGCCCCGCTCGGCGATACTATCCCTCTATCTTCCAACCCCTTGGTTTCATCCCCCGATCCCTTCGAACTTCCTCTCTATCGCCCGCGGAGCCTTAGTCGACCACATCGCCCTCCCGATCTCCAGCTATCGCGTCTTGATACTCCGGAGACAAGGCGCTCCCAACCCAAAGCCAAAAACTCCCACCCCCCTCCAAACGCCTCGAACTCCTCTATCGGGCTTCTCGACCCCACTGCATTCTCTCCCTCGTCTCCCTCTTCCCCCGCCGCCTCCCCGCCAATGCCCCCCAAACGCCGTCCCCGGAATCAGAACGGCTCCGTATTCACTGACCCGACCGATCTGCCGACCGACGGCGGCCCCAAAGGCCACGCGACGGGCGCCATGGCATCCTCTCTGCGCGAACAGCGTCGCAAACACGTCGTCCTCGATTCCCCCACCTCGTCGTCGCAGGCCACCCATCTGATGAGCCAGTCAAGTTTCAGCCTGGATCATGGGGTACCTGAATTTGGCCATCGGCGGTCGTTTAGCGCTGCCAGTGTGGGTTTTCATATGGATGATGGAGACGGCAGCGGCTCGAAGGGCTTTTCGGAGCTGCCCCGCAAGGACAAGCGGAATTTCCTCTTATTAGTCCTCCTATATTTCCTCCAGGGCGTACCCATGGGATTAGCGAGCGGAAGCGTGCCATTTCTATTGAAGTCGCACGTGGGATACTCGGAGATGGGCGTGTTCTCCTTGGCGAGCTACCCATACTCCTTGAAGCTGTTATGGAGCCCAATTGTAGATGCGATTTGGAGTAGGAAGTTAGGAAGACGGAAGAGCTGGATCTTGCCGATACAGACGATCAGCGGGCTGGGGATGCTCTGGCTCGGGGCAAGAGCAGAGGCGATGATGGACGCGGCCGGAATGGATGGCGGAGCGGGGATCTGGGGCTTTACTTCGTGGTGGTTCATGCTGGTCTTCATGTGTGCCACGCAAGACATTGCTGTCGACGGTAGGTTGAGTGCCATTGAAAACAAGACCGTTACTGACCGGTGCAGGTTGGGCCCTGACGTTGCTATCAACGGAGAACCTGTCGTATGCCTCCACAGCCCAAACGGTCGGCCTTACAGCAGGCTCGTTCCTGTCGTCCACCGTGTTCCTCGCGTTCAGTTCCAAGGACTTTGCGAACAAATGGTTCCGCACCATCCCTGGAGATACAGGTCTCATTACTCTCGGAGGCGCACTCACCGTGTCCGGCTGGCTCTACCTTCTCGTGACCGTCGGCCTGGCTGCCATGAAGCGCGAAGAGTACACCAAGAACTCGGACGGGGTCTGGGACGTGTACAAAATCATGGGCGGGATCTTGAAGCTCAAGAACATCCAGACCCTCCTCATCGTGCACCTGATCGCGAAGATCGGCTTCCAAGCCAACGACGCGGTCACCAGCCTGAAGCTGCTCGACAAGGGGCTGAAGCAGGAAGAATTGGCCTTGACCGTGTTGATCGACTTCCCCTTCGAAATCTTCCTCGGGTACTACGTCGGGAAATGGTCGCAAACAATCCCGCCCATGAAACTCTGGTGCTGGGGTTTCGTGGGCCGGCTCATCGCCGCCGGCATCGCGCAGACCGTCGTCATGTTCTTCCCCAGCGCTGGCGTCAACACCCCATACTTCCTCGGCGTGATCTTCCAACATGTCCTCTCCACCTTCATGAACACGGTCATGTTCGTCGCCGTCTCCGCATTCCACGCCCGGATCGCGGACCCCGTCATCGGCGGCACCTACATGACCCTTCTCGCCACGTAAGTCCACTGACATCCCATATAACGACAATCACTAACCCTTCGCCAGCGTCACCAACCTCGGCGGCACCTTCCCCCGCTTCTTCATCCTCAAATTCGTCGACATGTTCACCGTCGCGTCCTGCATCCCGCCCACCACCCCGCTCCCTCCCGACGCTCTCAAAGGGGACCCCATCACCGCCGCGTTTTCCTGCGTCGCCGAGCCGGAGAAGCAGCGGTGCGCGGCCGGCGGTGGCACCTGTAACATCAGCACGGACGGATACTATATCGTGAATGTTTTGTGTATCATCATCGGCGTCGTGACTTTTTGGGGGTTTATCAAGCCAGCCGTGCTGAAGCTGCAGGCCTTGCCGATGAAGGCGTGGAGATTGAGCGATGGGAGCTAGGACAACATTTTAAGAGATCTCTAAATATAGAAAGGCATTTTAATATTGTGGGACGGTGCGCCGATGTATCGCTGTCTGTGTTCCTCCGATCCTCTGATTGTGCTCCATGCTCCACGTAACCTTCTCCGTACCCTTTGGGTCGTCATTCTCTCTGTCGTCTGCCATGAATGGCCGAGATAGCAACCGCTACTCGCCATGATTGCCCTTCTCTCTGTCATCTACCATGAATGGTCGAGTCAGCAATTGCTGTTGTTCATGGTTGTCTTTCTCAATCCTCCACCGTCGACCTCACTGAGGTTTGGCTGTTTTTCGGGTGTTTTTTTTCTTCTGTGAACCTCTACCTTGCTCATATCTATTCCTTGCCAAGCTGTCGAAGGATTTTTGTGACGGACTGGCACTCACGGTCGACTCTGAATGGACCACCGTCGGCAAGGGGGTCAAGCGTCCAGGACTCCCGATTCCACTCGTAGAATCGAACCTCTCTCCCACAGCATGCCATTGCGAATTTAACAGATGCAAGATAGTCGTCCTCGGCCTTCGATGAAATAATCGTGCGGAGCAATTCCTCCTTCTCTTCCCAGTGTACTGCCTGAACCGGACTTTTTATGTATTCGTAATCGAAAACAAGCCAGTGCGTCACTCCCGTCTCCTTGCGATACATATACCACCAAGTAACTGGCATATATAGCCCTGGGTTTCCTGGCCAGCGGCACAGTGGAGGTATCAGGTGGCAGTCCATCGCCACAAGGTAGCGGGCTACGATCGAACTCCATACTTCGTTGCCATGAATAGAGGCAAATGGCTCGTACTCGTGCTCGTCATCCAGTTGGGAAATCTTGGCTCTAATGTGCGGTATCGCCATATACTTGATAGGTGAGCTGAGGAAACTGTGGTTAGGTGCATGATACTTACAGTGCCTTCGATAGGTTCCTGTTCTAGGCGTTGGAGGATCGACTCATTGGCTGTTTGTGGTGTCATTGCTGATATCCACTGAATGCTCTTGGGATGGCCGCCTGGTTCTGAAGCTGTGGAATTGCAGGGCTAGGATATGTGTGCGGCGAGGATATGTGTGTGGCGTGGAGAAGTGAACAGCACCAAATTCGTACTTAAGCCTCTCTGCTGTTGCGGATCGGTTTCCTTCTTCCTTAACTCAAGTAGCTGCTCTACCTGCTCAACTGGTGTTGTGTGTGAGGAAAATTGTAGTGATACGTTGGGGAGAGAAGTTACTTGTGTTGCAACCTGGAGGCCTCTGTGTAGGATGTGAAGAAATTTTGACACATGTCAACTTGCCCGGAATCACGCGACTTTGTTTTATATCTTGGAGTTTGAAGACTGGGTATTCCTTAGTTTCTAAAATCAAGATACTGAAATGGATTGCTTTTCGGGTTTCTTGCTAGACTCTAATATCCCAGCCCTATCAAAATGCACTGAATTGACTGAAATAGGTCGTGGCCCATTGAAGCCTTTGCTGGGCAATCAAGAGCCTTCTATATAACCATAATTGATATTGCTCCTGATATAATCCCAGGATTTTGAATTGGTATAGGCTGAGCTATAGGTTATCTAAACTGAGAATCTGCGTTCATTTTCAATCATTTGCCCCTTCACCTGGCGAAACGTCCACGCAAGCAAGTCCTTCCACTCTCCAATATCACTAAGTACTGTAATCGTAGGCATATAAGAAAGTCTGCCATGGTAATTGCTCTAACAAAAAGCAAATTTAATTATCACCAACAATCCACTGCCGGATCCGGACAGCGTCCTTCACTTCAGTGCTCAGGCCCGTTCTCTTAAACCTGCCTAGATGTTTCTTTCCACACATTGACAACTCCCGCCGTAAAATTCCGGCCCGTTGAAAATATTCTCTTCGATCTATAAAATTCTGACTCGATGAATTGAAAATATTCTCCAATCCCAAACCCTAAAGCTTTCATTCACAATGCCAAATTAAGCACGCTGCGGGACGGGCCGTGCGATGGGAGAAAGAGTGTCGCATTCATAAGCCTCCCGTTCTCTTTTCCGTTACCGTCCACACATTGTTACAATTCTGACCTTGCTAGTGTTCCACAAATCCTATTATTGTAGCACCATCGGACTCTCTGGGATCGGGGCTCACGATATTGGCCATTATTATCGTATCTCAGTCGATCCAACAGCGCACTGTGAAGACGAACACCTATCGGAGGATTGCTTCGAAGATTCCGTGCCATTCGAAGCCAATGACCGCATTATCAACGACACAAGATCTGTTCAAGGGTTTTCCTACTAGATCCCCTTCCACGCTTCATGTTAGACGCTCCTTGTGGAGGTGCAGGGTTCGAAGACGCTAGATCTCCGTCAGATATATCTGACCTATTCCCGATATCGTTTGCCACCACATGCAACCATCGTGGCCCTGAATTGGGTCTCTGGCTGAGCGATCCTTACCATATGGGGCGTGTCCTCAGTGGAAGGGTGACGAATTCGGATGCGGTAATTTTAACTTTGGGTCCATCGAGTCCATCGGACAGGATCAATCAAAGTGTACAGGGGTTGAAATATTCCGTAATGGTCGATTGGATCATCCAGGCGAAGAGATCGAAAGTCACGTTATTACTTCTCCTTGATCGGATGCAAAGGTTCCACTGAGGCGGTTCCCTCCCGAGATCATGCGAATGATCGTGGAATCGATGCCTTCCTTGGACGTGGTGAGTCTCAAAGGAGCATGAAAATATGTTGCGGCCCTCCCACTAGACTATTCGTTCTGGGCTTCCCGCTTTTCCACCGAGTTGGAATACGACTGCATCTTCAAAGTCCGGAACGTCAGGCCAGACACGCTCAACTGGAAAGCGCTAATTATACCACAGCTTGAAAGATGCACCCGGATCCCTTCCCATTCGGAACCCGAAGCGTGTCTGGCACAATTATCTGCAAGAATTTGTGCATGCTTGTGGACAATGCTGCTTTGAAGTGCCATGGAGAACAGCTAATTAGAAACCTCGAACGAACCGCTTTTGAAGATCTATCAGAGTGGACCACAGGTGTTCGATTCCAGCGCCGTTGTGATCGTAGTTCCATGAGGCCCGGGGTTCTTAGGCGCTGATCTGTGTTTCTCGAGGGCCATAATGATAGAGAACAAAACTTGGGAGGAAAGGGACACGTCGAGCCGCTGGACTATTAGAGCGATTATGTTTGGTGTGCAATTGTCTTTGTGCAGAAGATCTCTCTGGTGTGGAAAAGAATGATGGTCGTTCATATTTGACATGTTCCTGAGTTCCTCCATCTAGCCTGCCTCCAGAGGTAAGTGATGGACGATGAAAGGAAAGAAAGTTTGAGAGGTCTTGACGCCCTGGAGCTTTGGGGCCATACATTGCTTTCCCCCTACATGGGCTAGGGCAAAAGTTTATATCAGCGTCATCTGTTTCCGAGTAGCACGAGTTTTCTGTAAGAGAAATAAAGTTAGAGTAGTTCTGTACAATCCACGAAAACTGCTGTGCATGTGGGTATCGTAGTCGCCATTTGCTACAGGATCTTATCTGAGAACAAAGATCATGCTTCTAAAATACCATCGGTAGTAATAATGAATACTACAGGCAGTAGTGGTGTTGATCCCGAGATTGGAGGTGTTAGTATCACTGAGATCTACGCCGTAGAATCCATCACCTGTATCAACCGAGGACAAGGCCAACAAGGTGAACAGTCCTCACTCACTCCATTCATAAAGAAAGGAATTGTTAAACCGAATTACCGATATTTGATCTTTTCATCAACCTCGACATTCTAACCATCATAATCCATCGAAATTGGCAACATGACTGGCGGAAATCTTGCGAGTATTCAAGTGGCGGAACAGGACTACTTCGCCATCAATCCTGCCCCAACGTCACTTCAATCCCATCTCACCATAGCCCGGGAGTTCATCACCCGACATGCAGAAGGGGGCCGTAATGTGGTGTTAGTTACCTCCGGTGGTACAACGGTTCCCTTAGAAAATCAAACTGTTCGCTACATCGACAATTTCTCGGCGGGAACCCGAGGCGCTTGCAGCGCGGAATATTTCCTCGAGGCAGGATATGCCGTCATATTCTTGCACCGGCAGTTCTCGCTTCTACCATATTCGCGACACTACTCGCATAATACCCGGTCTTTCCTTGACTATATGGGAGAAGAAGATGGAAAAGTGGTCGTCGAGGACGAGCACCAAGAGGATATGCTGCGGGTGCTCCGGAGTTACACCGCGGCGAAAAAAAAGAACCAACTTCTCATCCTTTCCTTCGTCACGATCACGGAGTATCTATGGGAGCTACGAGAGGTCGCAAAATTGATGCGACCGCTTGGTCCTCGAGCGATTTTCTACCTTGCCGCTGCGGTTTCCGACTTCTTCGTGCCGAAAGATCAGATGGTTGAGCACAAGATCCAGTCCTCAGAAGCATTCAGCAAAAGACTCGACGATCCGAACGCGAAGGCTCCTGCAGCACGGACAGACGGGAGTAAACTCGTCATCGACCTGGAACCGGTGCCGAAGTTTTTGAAACAGCTTGTGGATGGCTGGGCACCGGATGCCATGATCGTGAGCTTCAAACTGGAGACAGACCCAAAGATTCTCATCAACAAGGCGAGATACTCTTTAGAGAAGTATCAGCACCACCTCGTCATCGGCAACCTTCTCACCACCCGAAAATGGGAGGTGGTCTTCGTTACCGCCGGCGGGGAGCGGTGGGTTAGAGTCCCGCCTCGTCGCCGAACGAAGAGCGTTTCAGGCGTCGCAAGTTTAATCGGCAAGTCCGAGGAAAAGGATGGGGATTCCAGCACAGATGACGATCAAGCGGTGGAGGAAGTCATGGAAGGGGAACCACCGGTTGAAATCGAAAGCTTGATTATCCCAGCCGTCGCGGAGATACATAAGGGACTGCTTGCCAATGGAAAATAAGCGACACCTGGGAGCACTTAAAAAGCTCTTTACTCGTTCCACGCCTCATTAGAACAATGGCATTCACGATGGTATCCCTAATTTCCCCAGAAATGCTCGTGTTGGAACCGTTTTCTCCCTTGTGCTATGCACCGTATCAAGGGATTGCTGCAGAATCCGCCACCATGACGAGCATCCATTCCTTGCACGACCAATGGCAAACAAACACTGCAGGCATTGTATTTATGCCCTCACTGCTCCTATATTCTAATTGACTCTGTCTAGATTAATATTTAGCTGCAAAAACGCATGAAGCGTGGCTTTCGTTGGTAGACCTCTGCTAGACGATAATGGTGCACATCTGGGATATTAAAGCGAATGGTGCGACTGTTATACACCAAGGGGGGAACAGTGGTGACCAAATGTCGAATACCGATTATATTTCAATTAGCCCGTCAACAGAAGAAGAGGAGGAAAATTGGCCCCTGACCCTCGAGTCGGAAGTGTTCGGCATGGCACCTAGTCAGATCCAAGAGGGGCCGGTTACGAGGGAAATCCGACGACACAAGAGCAGCAATCGGATTCATGCCCCTGATGCGACGGTGCTAGAAGTCATGTCCAGATATGACCGAACGGCGAAAGCACTTGGTGCGCAACTGAGCGGCAGATCTGGCACGGATCAGTCGAGTCGGGGAATCCCGAGCACCAACTCCAATCTAAGCGTCCGATCTGAGACACCAAGCCTGACGTACGATGACATTCCAATTCCTATGAATGTCCACCTGCAGCGGCGAGGCGAGTGTGTTCGGGAGGCGCGCATGGTTCCTAGACGCGGTCAGCTGCTTCAGTTGCGAGCCTATCCTCGTCGACAGTCAGTCCCGGCCACGCCTGTGCATTCTAAACACAGAGATTGCACGAGGTCCCCCGATGATCAGACGGAAGCACCACCTACAATGTATTCATGCAGGGCCGCGTCTGATCCGTCTTCATCTCCCCAGCTCCACATAGAGTACGGTACACCAAGCCCTACCTGGCGGTACTACGAGTGGTGGCATCGCAACCCGGCGTCGAGCCAATTGAACGCCATGGCTGGCACACCCACTTACATGATGTCCACTCCAATGGAGTTCCACGGCAGTCCTATGAGTCCTATGGAGCAGGACCATTTCCTTGGCCGGGGGCGCACGCGATGGACCGGGTCCATGGACGGCCTGCCTCAAGCACAAGCTGGAGTCATGTGGACTCCTGTCACCCCGAGCCCTACCTGGGGCTTCTCACGAGAACGGTCTATATCAACCTGTACCGAGGACACTGGCATCTTCAACAGCACCCGGACGGCGCAGTCAAGTACTCCGACTCGGTCAAGTGCTGCCGGAAGAGACTTGGACTGCCTCGCGACGGGAGGTATGGTCAGTGTTTTTGAGGACGATGATGACGATGAAGAGGCGGGCCTGATTGGCTATCTTAGTGGTAGGATGCGGAGTGGAGCGACACTACAGAGAAGGATTCGTGAATTTTTATTCAGCTGGTTATGGGATTGTTGGCCGTGCAGAAGTCGTTTGGGTGAGTGGGACCGTTGGTAGTTAATGAGCCGATGAGGAAATGAATTATGAAACAAATGAGTACTTCTATGTGACGATGATGGAAGAGAAAGCTGTGGCATCCACATCCAATCCAACCGTCCATCTGATATGCTACAATTTGGAGATCTCACCTACACATTGACTTAGGGCATGAGAAATGGTCTCACCCAACATGACGTCCCGTTTGGACAAATCCCTCTCCGATTCAACCCTTTATCTCTCGGCCCAGTGGGCCCATCACTGAACTTTCGGATTCCCAGCCGCAGGAAATTCCTTTGCCTGGGGTCCGAGTCCGGGTAGGTCTTGTCGCCCCATCGACCGGTAAAATAAAGCCAGTCCGTCGGCGTCGCACCGTCATAGGAGGCAAAACTCGGCACCTCCCCGTCGAACGTGACCGAGTAGCAATACGCTGAGCGCAACGGATCGTACCGCACGCCTTTCTCGGTTTGATCCATGAGAAATCCAAAAGGGAGGTTGACGTGAGGGATAGTGTGATCATGGTTGCCTTTCGTGGCATAATTGGCATGCGAGCCGTTGGACGAATAAACAACAGGCTGCCGATAATTGAGACCCTCATCAGCGATGCTTTTAGAAGAGGGTGCTCACCCTGAAGCCTTCTTTTTCCAAACAGTCGTAGGTAAACGCTTGTCCCATGGCATGTTGGCTGAACCAGACCGCAGTCGGTTTGCCATTTTTAAAGCGGATCATGCTGTGCTCCCAGTCTCCCACATGAGATCCGAAACTCTGGCCGAATACCATACTTCCTAGGTTGTAGGAGTAGAAGTACATGTAAAAGGCATCGACTTCATCGTTGCCGCGATCATGGACAATAATTGCTGCTGTTTTCGCATCCAGGGAGCCGCCGTTGGCGTCCAGCTGCGCTCCCTTTAGCCACGGCGGGTCCGTTGTGACGTCGTCATTAGACGCCAGGTAGATACTCGATCCCATGCCGTTGAGTCTGCTTAGGGTCTCCAGGTTGGGGGAGAATGCTATGGGTTCGTAGTTGTGTTTGGGAGAGGTGTTTGCGAGGTGGGCCGCTATGTCGGAAGGCCTGTACGGATCTTTCGAATGGAGATAAACGATCGGTGCTACGATCCATTCAGCATACAGCAGCCCGACTAGAAGAGTTATGCACATACCGTAATCCTTGACATATTTTGGCAGCCCTTCAGGCAGGTCATCGATGCTGGCCATGGTGAGTAGGAATTCTGGGTCGCTTGAAATCGATAGGATAAATGGATATGACGGGTATAGAATTAATATCAGAAACCCTTGGCTATTTCTAAATTGTTCATCCCATGACATTCGCCCCTGCTGGGTTGCTGGACTGCGGTGTGACTGAGTCTTAGTCTCAGTACTATATTGTTAAGTGCAACCGGTTACCATCGGCCATATACAGACATCTGGCCATAAATCACATGGATAAGCTGAGGTAAACGCCTCTCTCATGTAGGAATAGAGCAAAGATGGAACAGGCAAGAAAGGGAAGAAATTTGGGAAGAAGATAATAGGGACATGCTGAACGTGGAATCATGAACCTTTGGGACGCTTGCGACAGCCAGCCGATCTCCTTGCGACGTATAGGTACGTATTGTTGGTCACGCCAAAGTGAGCATATCGCGATCGAATTGCGAGAATGGCACGAGACTGAAAGGGTATGTGATGATGAGCCCATACATAGCATGACACAATGCATAAGGAGACCAACGACTTGGGGGAAACCCTTCAACAATGTCCATTTGAAGGGATCTCCAATTGTTGTATTTCGGAGTGGCGAGATTGCTTTCCATGAGAACAGTACCGGTAGCCATGCCTAATTTCTCACAATCGCCTCAACATCGAAAAGGGGCCAATTTGGATGGATGAGACCAGCACGTGTGTGTATGCACAACCCTCAGCGTGCTCCCACCACATCCAACACCCACCAACGGCCGTACAAGCCGTTTGAGAGCCCACTCCATTCCAACCCCTAGAAAAGCGCTTCAAAATGCCGGGGACACATTATCTCCAGTATATATCCGATTCCTTACAACACCTAGGCTAGCCACCTTCACTAGCGACTTGTTTTTTACCGTGATCGGAAGGACTGGTCGATGAGAGGGGCGTAGCGAGAATGCCGTGAAAGGATGATCGGGTTCTGGTGTGCTCTCGCAAATGCTGCGGCCGCGATAGGGCTACCGTCTGTGCGAATGGTTGTACCGATGCCCATGAAGAATCTAAACGGGCAGCTCAGTCATGGGTTGATGGAGTAGTGGGAGCGATGGAACATACCCAAACGTGGCGGATGAACCGACCATATATTGGCCCAACGTTCTCATCATCCCATTGGGTCCTGGGCCATAGCGGACGATGTTCGTTGCGCCTAATAGACGTCAGGTTATAATCCACCGTCAGGGTGTTGTGGAGCATGGACGAACCGAAGATGAATCCTATGATGAGACCAACCGCTGGATATCAAGGTCAGAAATTGTGCGAATCATAGAGATGAGCTAGTCTCACTTCCACCCATCATAGCACCCATCTTGACTGTAGATTTGGATTAGCATGCGGCATGGAACTGGGAACGGAATTGCATACATTTGTCGAACGTCGACGGAGCTCCTCCATGCCCGGCTGGAACGCCGGCACCAACTGGCACAGGCATTCTATTCTGGTGGATGAAGGAGAGGTTTGATATAAGGAAGGAATTGAATAGGAACACGGTAGGTTAGGTATATATGAGAGACTCATCCATTTCATTGAACAATCTCGCCCCTGTCACCTATTCTAGCGACTGCAATCGATGCCGTCGCGACCAAAGTTGAGGGACTCTCGCGACCCACGTGATAGAATTTTACCGAATATTTGCCAGAGAACTGTCACGTGGCATATGGGACCAATATCACGTGGTGCTTGTCACGTGGGAAGGGCTTGGCTGTTGAGAGTGAGTTCCTTCATCCTTGACTGTTGAGATTTGAGACTTCAGAGTTCAGGGTCCAGACTTCACGCCTTCACGGTCTTCACCTTAGATGAGTCAGCAGTTGAAGTCAGCGAGCTGCGAGTCAGACAATGGGAAGCCATGTCACGTGCGGAGACGTTAGACCAGTTGTCACTTTCCTTCGCTTCTCGTGCTGGTGAAGCGGGTGAATAAGAGTCTCTTAAGTGGTGAAATTGTCTGATCTATTCTAACCATGATGATACCCTTTTTGACAGTTCAATCAAGAAGACTGGTGTAACCGATGTCTGTAATAGTAATACTGTTCGCAGTGTGAACGAGTTGTTCAGATCCTGGAGTGTGACGGGCCAAGCCCTCTGCCGCTCGCTCACTCTCACAGTCCTCACTCCTCACAGTCTCCCGCTCAGAATCTCCTCCTAATCCATCCCATTCATTCCTTTCTCCTCTCCAGGAAACAATCCCTCATCATCCCATCCCTCTGCACCTCCCTACACGACCACCACCCGCCCTGCAATTACCTTAATCCACCCTCATACCATCTATCCTGCTCCTGGGTCCTTCTGGACATTGGTTTCTGGCCCATTTGCGCCCTTGCAGCCGCTGCAGTGTCCCATCTTGTCCAACACTTCTGTTGAGCAGTCAGCACCTTTGCACACGGACCAACTCACACGACCCAGTGGCCGCCCCCCGGTATCATCCCAAGTCTTGTCAACGGCGACGGATTTCTTATGGTGCTGCGATCGAGCAATCCGCTTGCGTTGTTTATTCGGTTTCGCAAACTGCGCGTCTGGCGCTCCTTGTCGTCCATCTGTGGTTAGGTGGAGAATCGTCAACCACCCAGGACACCCAGGACACCCAGGACGAGCATCAAGCAGCCATAACCGCCGCAATCCGCATCACTTGGGCTCCGACCCTTCTTTCTCCGCCGTTCTTTGCCCATGACTGCTGTCGCTCCCCCTCCGAACTTCCAACCGATTCCTCGCGCAGGATGGTCGAGTGCTAATGGTGGTTCCAACGGCCTGAATGCCATGAGCGCCGACGAAGTTTCGCGCATGCTCATGCCCCGAAAAAGTGCCCAACGATCCAACTCGACATCGTCCATCACTTCCTCCGCCTCTTCGTCCTCAACTGTCTCCGCTACTGCCGTTCAACCCAACGGAGTGCTGCCAAATGGCGATTGGAGCGTGCGAAGAAAACCGGGGAAGGGGCTATGGGCTCCTTCCAAAGCCGAGCCTGTATCGGAATTGTCGAATCCGAGAATGCAACCCGTAGCATCAACCGCCGGCCCATCTGCTACGTCGAGCATATCGGCTCTACAGCCGCCTTCTATGGTTCCCTCATCGCTTCCACCTTCTCCCCTCCTCCAACCACATACCGCGACAGGAAAACCGCGGGTCCCAGAACGCGCCGAACACACTCCTATACTCTACCTGACTCCGATGAACGGGACCTTTGAACGGAAGACCATCACCCTCCCATTCTTTCCGGACGTGGTTCGCATTGGACGGCAAACAAACCAGAAGACTATACCAACCGCGACCAATGGCTACTTCGATTCGAAAGTGCTGTCGAGGTCACATGCCGAGATCTGGGCGGATCGAAATGGCAAGGTTTTTATTCGCGATATCAAATCGTCCAATGGAACCTTTGTGAACGGTTCGCGGCTTTCTCCAGAGAATAAAGAATCCGATCCTCACGAGTTGAGGGAGCAAGATGTGCTGGAACTGGGTATCGACATTGTTAGCGATGACCAGAAAACCGTCGTCCACCACAAGGTTGCCGCTCGAGTGGAGCATGCAGGTTTCTACAGCACCGCGAACAGCGTGTTAGACCTCAATTTCGGGGACCTCGATCCAAGCACGTCGGGCTCTTTGATCAGCCCGTCGCTGGGTCAAACGATTGGGCAGATGCGCGGTCGCTCTGGAAGTCAAGGTTCAATTGGAAATCGCCCAGGCTCGGCGGCAAGCATGGCGGGGAGTAACATGTCGTATGGCCAACAACGACAACACTTCTGGCTTGCACCCATCACAATGGATCAAATAGTCAAGAAAATCAACGTGAGTAAATGTGAACTCTCTCAGAAAAACCCTAAACTCATTCGTTTTCACCACAGGCCGAGTTCAAACAAGCCAAACAGCAGTCCACCGATCTGCAAAGAACCGGCCAGTATCTCGAGAGTGTTCTTGTTGAACCAAAGAAGGAAGGAAACCGAAGCTCACCGACTGGTCAAAACAAATACATCTCTGTCAAGGGTGATATCAAAACTCGATTTTCCGATCCGCCTGCTCCTCCGCCACAACAACCCTTACCCGAGAAACCAGACGTTGCTCGTTCCAGCGCCGACTCCCTACCTCCACCTCCCCTGCGCCGAACTGACACCGAAAAATCACCACCGAAATCGCCACCGAAGCCACATATGAACGGAGGGCCCTTGCGAGCAGACATGTCCGATAAAGGCGAGGTTTCCAAACTAGTCGAAGCACTCAATACCGCCAAACGGGAACTGGATAATCAAAACATTCGACTGAAAGACCTTGAAGAGCTTCTCGCGCACGAGCGGCAGGCGAGGGAGAGTGCCGAAGAACGTGCGCAGAGGCTAGAAATCGAGAAGACTACACACGTGCCATCACCCTCAGCTGAGCCGGACATCGCGACACCGGAGGTCGATGGAGATATCGATGCTACATCGAAAGAGCAAACGTTGACCGAATCGACCACGAGCGCGGCTCAGGAACCAGACAGCTCCTTGCATTCTCGCCTTCAACAACGCCTGGAAGCGATGATGTCCGAATTGACTGAAACGAAGAATCAAGCCGAATTGTTCCGCAAGCGTGCCGAAACTGCTGAGAAAGAAAGTGCCAATGACCGCCAGTCCTTGCAAGAGATGGTCGAAAGGATTCGACGAGAGGACGCCGAGCGAGAGGCCAGAAAAAACGACCCCAAGGACGAGCAACGAAAACCGAAGCTCGTCAAACGTCTTAGTGGTGGATCAGGTTGGCTGAAGAGTCCCCTTGAACTCGAAGGAGCCCAGCACGAAGGCAACACCGCGGAGACAGCAAACGGAACGCTCATCCACTCACGACCATCATCGTCCAGCTCATCCAAGTCCCTCGAAATTGAAGCCGCCGAAGTTGCTGCCGAAGTGGTGAAGAAAATCGGGCTTCAGAACGGCTCTGCGCTGACGGCGGGGCACGTCGAGCAGCAGCTGGAGCAGGCGGTGGGCCAGGTGCTGGGGGGCCGGCCCTGGTTGATGAAGGGCTCCAATTGGGACAATGCCGAAAGCGCTACGCCATACGCGAGCATGCTCGGGGTGGTTCTGATCGGGGTGGGACTGATGGCGTGGATGAACAACTGGCAGAAAGACCGCTGAAAGTCATGTGACAGACTTGATGAAATCCAGAAGACCATGGCTGTGCTCTGCGTTGGATACACGATGTTCCCCGCCCGTCCGATGACAGGTGGATAGGGAGCTACGTGGAAGGGAGGGAGCTTAGTCCTCTTACAGCTCTGAGGAACCTTCGACTCCAACCCGCCGATGAACCAGCGTCGTGGCGTGGCAAGGCAAACCGAAGATGCTAGCCGACATCGCCGACGTCTACACTAGCCCTAGCCATGCTCGCATGGCTAGATCGGGGCATTAAAAGCTCCATCACTCACTCCTTTCCCTTTCTTTTCTCATTCTTCTCATTCTTAAGCGGTCCTGCTACTAAATTCGGGCGTCTGCTAGGCATTCTTGGCGTCACGGGGCATACACGAAACACGGCTTTCACGGGAACGTTACTGGGTATTGTTTTCTCACGGGGTGAATTGTCCGATGACTACTTTCATGTACATTGTTGTATGTGCAGATGGACGCTCGTTGCCACCAACTTTCTTGAATGCGTCCTGGGATGACCTGTCACTTCTTATACCACATCCGAGCTGCAGCGGGCGAGCGTATGAGTACGGTACTTCTAGAACTTAAATCATATTATGATATGGATTCATCTCGTGATGTTTCGAGTATCGACCTTATGCTAGGTTGGAGACGTGCCAGTGCCCTTGGATAGTTCTGTTAACCTTTGATGTATTCCTACACGCCCCTTATCTACACATATGTACCCACTGGATACGCATACACGGAACTAGAATGCCCTCCTCTATCGTCTTCCCCTTTCTCTTCTTCTTTTCTTCAGCTTAGCCTTAACCAATCAAGGTATCGATCTGATCTCATTATGCCCTAACGTGGTTCGCTAGCCGTAGAATACGTAGCACTCGTCGTACTGTCAATGATGAAACTTGACTACATCACCATCCCACACAGAACACCGCTGTTGTTCTTCTCTTTCGGACGTTGCGCAGCCACACCTAGAAGACACCGTAAACATTTCAACAAGAATCGTCCAGGGAAGAAATTTCACTCATGTAGCAAGATATCACCCACCTTCTCAATCCAAATGAGATGCTTACACACCATGCAGCGGACATCAGCTCCGACCATGACCATCCAACTCAACGCGGTCGGCTGCATTTATGTCCGAAACCGTGTTCGGACGCTGTACGTAAGTTTCGGGCAACTCCTTTGCTTGTAGGTTGACTGGAAGCGTGGTGGGGATTTGCTGCCGTCTTTTACTACGCTTCCTCCAGAAATACCATGCGATGAAGAGCACTAGCATTCCAATAATGGTAGCAAGGACAGCAATGGCGATGATGGCACCCTGGGGCAAGCCTTGATGTGAAGAACTGCTGCTCGTACCTTCAGACTCGGGTGGTCCCGATCCCGATGTTGTTGGGATTCCTGGCACTGAAGTGACTGACCCTATTGTTGAAGCGGTCGCCCCGCTGCTAGTGATAGATGTAGCTACCCACTAACGCTCCCAGTTCCAGTTCCAGTTGCTTGGCTGAGCTGTTCTCCGATTAGTACGTTCACCGTACTGGGAAAGAAGTCCCTACCAAGGTCGATGACATGCTAGACGGTATTGGCAGGTTTGGATCCATACAAAGATGACCAACACTGGTCGACCAGGTTCCAATCGTGTCGGCTGGACAACAGAAGTAGTCAGCGAACCTCCACAGCCCCCAGGAATTGTCGGCGCACGCAGATAGCGCCTGAACGGTGGGTTGGTAGTCCCCAGTCTATGTCTGCTTGGAGGTTCAGTTAGTCCCGAAGCTCGAAAGGCGCCGAAGCGCGAGATCGATAAAACCTGTCACCTACCACTTGGACACCATACCACTGGAGTATAATGGAAATCTGGGTTAATACAAGTCCATCCAGGAGGGCAGCAGCTTGCGGACCCGCGTTTGTCGGTCCCTGATGGACAGGGGTTCACCATAAGTCCGAAGCCGCCAAAGGAAGAGTATCCCATCTTTAAACTTGAAATCCAATCTGCAGAACAGCAAACAGGTTTAATTTTTCAAGATTTTCAAGATTTTCAAGAAGCAGAACTGGCAGAAGGGTAACCCAGCCCTCAGGTATGAGACGAGATCGCAATAATGCAGCCGCCAGCCATAATACTTAAGTTGTTGGTTCTCGGAGACCAAGAGCGCCACAACCTGCACACGGCTACTATATCCTGCATGCACACTGCCACCACCATGTAGTTACGCAGAACTCACTCCACTCAGCGTGAACAACTTCTCGGCTGATTTTTCTGGCTTTAGAGTTTCGATAGCCACCGCTTGGATCAATCAACATGGATTCCAACGACATCGCAGAACCGGGGAAAATGAGGCTGCCGCCAGAGATCCTGATGCAAATCATCGAATCCATTGCGCCGTCCTCTCACTCTGTCATCCTGCCTGCTACCCATCCGACAACAAAGGCATGGCTGGCATGGTCACTCGTCTGTCATGCGACAAGCTCTGTTGCGGTGAATCTCTTAAGGAAGCATTGCGTTTACCTCGATTCTCAAAAACGGCTAGGTGACTTTGTGAAGGCCATCTTGCCTGGGTCTCATTTACCGTCCGTACCAGCCCCGGCGCATTGGCCTCTTCACCCATTCTTGCCACTCCCGGGGCACTGGAATGTCACCGCCATATATCTCGCCCCGGAAGGGACATCGATGAGCGCAATAATTGGACGATGGATACGGTATCTATGCTATTCGGTCTACGGCACCCTTCGCAGACTCGTCGTTAATCTACCCTCCCCTATAGCCTTCCCGCTGGAGAACTCCATAGGCCACCATCCGGTCATTTGGGAGGGGTTCGACCAACTAAGCCAGTTGGAAGAATTCGTGAGCCTTCGCGACGATCTCTACTTCCCGGACCGGAACTGGTCGCGCTGGTTGCGCTATCCAACATGGACGTATTGGCCGAAGTTAAAGCGTCTCGCGCTTTACAACCTCGACGCGAACTTCAAGTTCTGGCAGGAGATGGCAGGGTTGGAGATGTTGGAGCAACTGGTCCTCGCTCGTACAAGCAGCATGGTACAAAGAATCTCGTTTACGTCATATACTGGCCTCACTACCAGACCGCTCAAAGTCGTACTGGCCAATGTGGAATCGGAGCAGCCTCAAGGGCTTCTGGAAGCTCTGGAGCCTCCTTGGGTTGAGCAAGCGACGCCTTTGGATGTCATGGTATACGACATTCCTACCTCGTTCTATGGGGATGAAGAGCCGGGCGAGCTGTGCCAGAGCTGGGCTACTTCGCACGCGGTTCAAGGTACGATTTGGGATTGGCAAGGCGAACATGTCGCTGTCGAATGGAAGGAACAACAAAATACACAGGAGTGAGATATCCAGTCGACCTCAGGGCGCTCTCCCTGCCTGTATCCAAGCTCCAAATCCAGCGAGCATTCCCACTGATTGCCATTTCCTGCAAAATTTCTCGAGCGCAATATCTCTGCTTCTTGCATATTCGGCTCTCTGGCTACTGTTGAGCTGTTGACCTTCCACAACGACAGCATGTGAGAGTTTGGCCAGACATATCGGGCACAGATATGGTGGCTGCCGACCGTCTTCCGCCATCCCAGCCGTTCCCTGCATCGCACATGCGTAGTAAACGCAGTGGTCGAGGCCTAAACAGTGCCCGAGTTCGTGGGATGTCGTACGGACGAGTCGAGTGAGCCAGAGTCCGTGGAAGTCTTCTTCATTTCGAGGCTGCTTCAAGGTGCTGGCTGCTTCAACTGCTGCCTGAAGCCGCCCCTTTCCACCACTCGTAGCTCTAAGCTCTCCAGGCGGTGGCAGTGGCAGAATGTCGGATGACTCGCAGCAACTGTCGACATACGCCTTACAGTGCGAAGCCGGCCACATATGAGCGTGGTCAATGCCTTCCATGAGGTCTAGCGCTGGATGGTATCGCGCAGAGGAGACCACAGCCACACGGCTACCGCCATACGCTCGTCCACAGCAAAAGTCGTCATCTTCATCCTCGTACATATCGTGTTCTACAAGGAGGATGATCGCGTACGCATCGCTCGGCAGCATTTCTATCGCTGCGTCTAGGATATCGTTTAAATTCAATTGTCGTTGGAAGACGCCATCCCGAGAGGGTCTTATTCGGATCTGCACAGCCGAGTCCCCTGTCTGGAGGCCGATTGATCGAGTCGACCCCTTTTCCCATTCCGTGAACTTAAGAGACTCCGGAAACTCCTTGACCTGCATCCCATGATAGAAAGCACTAAGATATTCGACCACGTCTTTGAACTCCGGTTGCTTGACCGGCATTGTATTCTTGCCCTTCCGAGACGCCTGAGGCGGTTTAGCCTTCGCCCACCTTTCCATTTCTGCTGTGAGCTCCGGCGACACCGCTGGCGCCGCGGCGACATACAACGTCTTCTGATCCTGTGTCACCTTGTTCCGCTCCTTCTCCATGATCCATGAGCGGAAACTTTGCGGCGGGTACCTGGGATCCAAGGCGAGATCGTCGTCTGGTAGCACGAGGGGGGCCGGATATGCCGTGGAATCTGCTATTGTATGACATTCCGAGTCCGATTTCGACCCATGCTTTTTCTTTGCACCTGGGACACGTCCAGATGCGGTTTCTGCAGCGGCACGGCGGTTGGCATCGGCGCGGATGTAACTCGCTTCCTTTGCATGCTCAGATGGTTCCAGTTGAAGATGGGGATGGGTACAGAGTGGACCGATCATTTTCGAAAATGCCGTTCAGCGACGTTCGAGGTCACGTCTTACTCAAATAAATAAGCAGGAAAATTGCCCCGTTTGCTTTGACACAAGATTGGGATGGCTTTACCGCATTCTTGGGGACTGGGATCTAAACATCAGGCACGGACTTCGATCATGACTCAGGCCTGTTTGAATACAGGTAAACGATGCCCATTCTCGCCTGCTGCCTAGCCAATATTAAATGATTCACTTTCAGCGTCAATGTTGGATCTGAGGGGGTACCTTGACGGCCTGCCTGTCCACCAGATTCGCACCATTTCACAGCTTTTATATCGCAGCTTCTACTCGGTACACTTTCTTGCATTCACCCACTTAAGATAGCAATATCAGACATAACTGTTTCAACAGGTTGCGTACCTTTACATAGAATAACTCTGACGAGGTAAGTAGCAGCGAGAAAATCATTTTAACCCGTGAATATTCCAAAAAATCCCTATTTACAGACCAAGGTTATTGGCGATTCGAAGTTCGAATAGGAAAAGCCTTCTCCTCTCGACACAGGTTGGCTCTGTTGCAGAGTTCCCGAATGGCGAGGAGAAACCGAAGTCACAACTGCGCCAATTCTTTCTGACAGTTCAGACAAGGCATCTAGAGAGCAACTGAGGGGAGGGATGCGCAAGATGCGACAACCTTTGGTATATCCATCGTCTAACACGTTGAGCGTGGACCGTGGCCCCCAGATGTATGGATAGAGTATTCGATAGCTGTCGCAAGATGCCCCTGTTGGTTTCTACTGCCACCTAACATTCCTTTCATTGCCCCCTACCCCTGGGCTAGGCCTAATCAGGACTCTTCAGTCTTCTCCTAACTATGTATTTAAGTTAACTATCTTCATCTGGCTACTAGCTAGATCTCCTTTCCTAGACAATGGGAGTCGTTAATACCAATTTGCGTTAACTATGACTCTACAGTAACTGAGCTTAAGCAGCGAACGTGCTTAATCATCACCCCGGCGAAATGCGACAATAGCAGTGTGGCTAACGAATACGAATAAATACGATGTTCGAATAAAGACTTGGCACTGTAGAATATTTCCTCATCTTCTTTAGAGAACCTACTTTCTAACTATTGATTATTCGTACCATCATGACTTCAGAAACCGATTTCAATTCTTCTTTACTTGAAGCTACGTCCGAGAGCGCTTCTTTAAATAGCGCTTCTCGAAAAAATCGATCGAATATTCATAACTACTGTTGTACGGTGTCAAAAGAGAGTCATACGACAGGTACAGCAGAAGCATACAAGGCTCTCCACGACACAATCCGAAGCCAGCATTCAGAGCTCAATGACGAAATTCTGAAGGGCGCTGTTGATGCACAGGCCATCAGGAAGGCCTTTATCGAGTTGGTTCTCGTACGAAACCTTTCCTTTCGACTTGTTGAAAATGAGGAATTTCGGGCCTTCTGTTATTCTCTTAATCCCCAGGCGCTTCAAATGCTTCCATCCTGTCATCAGACTATCGCAAATCAGGCTCGGGAAACATTTTCAGAGGAGAAAGACATCGTACGAAAGGCTCTTCAATCTGCAATCACGCAGATTCATCTCTCTGTGGATATTTGGACGTCTCCAGGCAATCACCTAGTCCTTGGTATTTGTGCTCATTTCGTTGATATACGAGAGCGACGTTTCAACATTCTTCTTGCACTTCCAACGGTAGCAGGCCACAGCGGATCTCATCGGTGGACTATACTGCTTCCCGTGCTTCAGGACTATGGTATCGTACGAAAGATCGGAGCTATTATTGGCGACAATGCTGGCACAAATGATGTTCTCTGTCGTACAATCAGTCAATATCTCTCTGAAGAAGAGAGAATCTCCTGGAGCGCTACTCAGCAACATATCCGCTGCCAGGGCCATGTCATCAATCTAGTTGTTGAAGCGTTTCTTTTTGAAGAGAAGTCACAAATAGATCGAATTGCTTCGTACGAAGAAGCAGAAAGAGTAGAGCTTGAAGTAGAGGATGAGGATACTAAGACTCAAGAGCTCCCTGAAAAGGATAGGAAAGAAAAGGAGTCTGACATTCGAGTCATCGCTGGTGTTCTTGGAAAGCTTCACAACGTCGTTGTTCATATTCGAGCTAGTCCTGGTCGTACGAAGCATTTTGAGGATCGAGCTGGAAGAAGAATTCCTCTTGATAATCGTACGAGATGGAACAGCTGGTGGAGCATGCTGGATGTAGCGGTCCAGTTACATGAGACTGTGAGCTGGTATATCACTGAGAATCTAGATTCTATTGATAAGGCGGATGTCCTATCACCGCAAGACTGGTCTCAGCTTCGGATGATACATAGTTTCCTTGGAGCTTTTAAATCTGCAACTCTTAAGTTCCAGGGAGGCAATGCAACGCTTGACAAAGTACTTAATGTACTTGACATCCTTAACCTCCATGTGAAAAGGACCTTGGTATGTCGTACGGGATCTCTGTTTCATTTCTTACTTACATTTTTCACAGGACACGCTTCAGAGTAGTCGATCAGCCGCTTCATACAGCTTCAATACCCGAGTCATGCGATGTAAGGCAAAGCTTAATAACTATTACCAGAAGCTCCTCACTACTCCACTTTACGCTGCCGCTCTGATTCTTAATCCAAATCGTCGTACTGCATATATCAACTCAGCATGGCCAGATGATGTTGCCTCACAAGCAATCTGGCAAGCCAAGCAGCTCTGGGAGAGGTACCGACGCGAACAACCATCAGTCTCAGCTTCGTACGAACCCTTCCAAGCTGGTCATCTGAAAGAGCCGCTTGATGAGTTTGATCGTCTTGCTTCTGAACTTGAAGGAAATTACAACCGACTGAAGAGCCAGGATGAGTTTGAAAGTTATAACTCAGAGCTATTGTACGATCATGTTGAAGATCCAATCAAGTGGTGGCTAAATCAGACTCGTTATCCACAGCTCGCTGTCTTTGCAGTAAACATCCTCTCAATTCCTGCAATGAGCGATAAAGTAGAAGCTACTTTTTCTGGAGGACATCGTACGATAGGTTGGGAGCAAGTTCTGCTTGGAGCAGATATGCTTGAGATTGCAGAATGTACTGAGGACTGGAGGAGAAGTGGGATCACGGTTGACACTCTGTAGTATTTTCATCTCCTTAATCAATTTCAATTGGGTGCCTGTACGAACAAGCTGATTGTTTGACATCTTGTTGATAATGGTAGTGATAAGGTAGAGGTAGAAAAGGAAATCATAATAGGTAATTAGCAGGAAATGGTAACTATAAAGATAACATGAAACTTAAAATATATCCACGCCAGTAAGAATACCATATGGCTAGCGTTGTAGACAAATCTCAAATGGTGGACGAATCTCAAAAACTGGTGGACAAATCTCACCAGCCGAGGCTAGGCACCTTCAGACACACCTGGAGCCTGAAACAATGCCCCAGGTGCGTCTTGGCAGTCAAGTATTCACTGGGATAGATATAATAGTTAGAACTACGAAACAGACTACGAAACATTGTTACGTCCAACCCTTCTCCCATAGCTGGCGACTGAAGATCACGTCTTCTCGCCTTCCAAACCAAGTAGATCGCGCTCCACCTAGTGCTCGCAGAAAGAAAAGGGCTCGTCTTCAAATGAGTCTTGTCCATGTTAGCCGGGGATATCGGCGCATCGTATAGCTCACTTACCATTGACCAACCCATTGTAACTTTTTCTCTCCTCCATTAATTCCTCCCGCAGCTCCTTAGCTTTCTCCAAACTGACCGGGAAATCGTCCACATCGTTCACGACCTGCCCGACTAGCTCGGCAGGGAGGTCTCCAATGCCTCCGTTCTTCAGTAGCTCCTCCGCCCACCAGTCCCGTTGCTGGGGAGGGACGTTGGCCGTCGAGATCACTTTGACGTACGGGTCTATGAGGAAGAGCGCCACGATCTTCCGATGGCCCGGCTTCGTCCGATCCTGGAGGCGGAATGGAGCCACCCGGTGCTGGAAGATGTTGGGGAAGGCCAGGAAACGGGACTGGCGGGCGAGGATCCGCCCAACCGGTTGGACGCTAGGGCTTTCGTTCTCGATGCCGTACACTACCTCCACGCCCTCGTTATCGTCCTGGCCGTATGACTTCCCCGACATGTCAATAGTGTCAGTGTACTGGCGGAACCCTAGGTGCGAATCTGTGATGTTCTCGCAATCGTAGTAATACAACGCGGTAGCACAAATGTGTTCGTTCACAAAACCTTCGACGTGCCACGAGCCACCCTCGTACTCTGGCTTCTCAGGAGTCAGATGAATGTTCGCAAGCTTGACGATGACCTGGACTCCGTTCGGGATTTGCTTGCGAAGATCAACTGCAGGCGGTGGAGGATTCGCTGCGAAGTGCTTCAGATCCTCATCATACGTCTCCGGTTCGGGATAGGCGAGAATTCGATTATTTCGCATCCATTCCTCCCGATAGTCATAGTATGCATCCCTGTCCTCCTCATCCGGTTCGTCCTCGGCCGGCTCGTGGTCGTCCCATTCTCCATTGGGCCAATCGTATTCGATATGATCGATGCGGATACGCAGCCGCTGCTGGTTGTGCGTGTGTGTCACGGAGGAGAGCGTCTCGTTCCAAAGCGGAATCGCTAGTGCAACGATCTCCTCCAAGATTGGATAGAGCGGTGCATCGTGGGTCGGATGAAGGTTGTTGACGTAGCTTTCAAACTTCACCTTCCCGCCTGCTTGGAATGACACCTCGCTCGGCAGCCATTGAAACCTCCGGGAAATGAAGCCGTTATAATCCCCGAATTGACCTTTGGGGGCCCGGATGACTTCGCCCTCTCCACATCTCTTCATGCAGTCCTGGACGCCGACCTTCTCTGCCTCCGTGGGGAACACGCGAGAGACACCGTAAATCAGAGGGAACAGCGACGGATGCACTAAGTCCAGAACCTTCTCATCCGAGCCAGGATGCCAGTCCTTTTGTTTCTCTGGGACATTCTCCAGCAGTTTGACGGCCTCGATCAGTTTCAATCGCAGCTCTTCCGGAACTAATTCGTCGGACTTTACCACGGAGGCGACAATGTCTAAGACTCGCACGATGCCGGTGTCCTCATGCTGCTTGGCCTTGTTCCGGAGCTCTGCGATGCAGTAATCGAACATGTCGTCCGTAAAGTTTCGCCCATCGGGGTCATTGTCCACGACCTCACTGCCCCATTTAGCGACAATGGCCTCGTCGAAGACTTTACGACGCCATTCGGGCTTGTTGGTGAGCGCCTCCATCACACCCAGCATGCTTTGCTCTCGAACGGTCACTGCCGAGGAGGAGTACTCCGAGAGCATCGCAGCAATCGGGAAGCGGGTCCGCTTTTTGAGCTTCTCCGCGCGATCCAAGGCGGTGAACTGGTCCAGCGGGATGCCGAAGCCCAGATGCTTCCCATTGTGATAGGCGCGATTTTTTGGCACCATCTTGCTAACCCGTGAACGGAGACTGGATGATGAACGAGTTGGAAGAGGAGATCGGAAAAAAAGCAGCTAGCCAATTGAGTATTCGCTGAAGGGCACGCCAGAGCGAACGAAGCACGAGAGACTTGGAAAGAAGAACTGAAAATCTTCGGAAACTCAGCGAGCGAATTGACCTACCGATGGATGCGGCACCCGTCCGGAACTATATTCCTTTATACGTGGGCCATCGTCGAAATCTCCCACCTCCAAAGTCCGTCTCGCTCCTGAATCGACGACGGTGCTCAAAACGCTGGACGATGGTGGACGTGTTGTGCAGCTTCTGGGATTGGGCAGTGCAGGAGGCAGCAACCACTAGCGGAGTCAAACACGAGATAGCGCGGCTGTGCAGCCGATTTCCCCTGAAACCTGAAGCCTCAGCCCGGGCTCCAACTACATCGCCAAGGTTGGTGATGGGTTTTATAAAGAGATCGGTTGGTCTCAAAGATCGGATCTTGGTGGGATTTTCATCTGTGCTCCTTCTGCTGCCTTGCCAGATCACTGACCTCACCTCTTGGCTCTGCGTGTCTGACTGTGTGGCGTCCACCCCCTCTTCTTGCGACGGATGACGTGAGAGCATACAGTCAAAAAGAAAGTCGGATCTCCCATACTACCACTCTCCGTTTAATAGTCCCGACCGACCGTCGCACCATCGATACCGTTGCCATCACCATCATGGGGAGATGGTGGTCGAAGAAAAGAAGGATTCTGGGAGTGGCCAATCCGGACCACCTTAGCTCTAAGAGTCCACGAGAGAAGAAACACGGGAAAAGGGGGTAGCACGGCTCGTTTCGAGAGCGAGGAGAGAGCGGACGACTGGATATTATCTGTTCGGTATAGAATTCGTTAAGAAACCGGACACCAGGCTAAGCGACCTCCGACACCAAACTAGCAAGTAGCGAAAGGAAGCGGAACGAAAGCACAGAGCGGTTCGGGATACGAGGAGGTTCGACGGAGCGTATATCTTTCTCTAAAGACTTGACGAACTCGACGACATAGAGGGTTTAGAGTTAAAGCAAGGCCGAGAGAAAGCTCTATTAGGTAGTAGGAGCTGGCGTGGCTGGGTAAGCCAGGGACCCCGTTTTCGTGCACCCCCTCAAAACTTCAACAACACATAATAGGACCGATTTTGCGTAGTTCAACGCCCACCATATATCTTTGTATAGCTAAATTTGGAATTCAAAAGCACCGCACGAGGTGAATCCCCTAGCTATTCTACCTCTATTCGGAGGCATGGGAGGGGAGTTGGAAGATTCTGTTAAACAATAGCCTTATGCCACTGAAGTGTCCTGGCGTGCCGCAACAGTTCTTTCATCCATGTCATATGCACGTGACCTCCGATTTGGTGGCAACGTCAACTGGTTCTGCCTTCGTTCGGAATCGGATCGAAATGCACCGGCACCTGCTGACATATCAGTGGCCTTGTAGCCAACATGATGCGCCTTCATAGATGTTTCGATTCCACTTCGTCTGGATCGGTCCTCATCCAACTTCCAAGTGATCCTGGTTGAAAGCTGGTGCGATCAGTATGGAGGACATAGTACATGCACCACAAGAGGGCGACCTGGTCATTCCCGACAGCGACAATACCCTCTCAATCACCATCCACCACCATGGCAAGCCTTACGAGTTCGCATTACAGGCGTTATCGACTGTAGAAGACCTCTCATCCCATATCTCGACCACTCTCAACATCCCAACCTCCAACCAAAAGCTGTTCATCTCCCCAAAGCCTGGCATCCTCAAGCCACCCTTTCCATCCACCTCTATCTCTGCCCTCCTTTCCTCCTCCAAGCCCCCAAAGATCACCCTTCTAGCTTCTACCGCATCGGAAATCGCCGCCGCTGAAACAGCTCTTAAACCGCGCGAGCGATCTACGGCATCGAAATCCTTCCGTCCTACTAAGACCCAGGCCTCCTCACAATCGAGGGGCATCACCGCCACCGACTCCGCAACTTACACCTTCGCCACCATCCGACCCCTTCCATATCTTCCAGAACCGCAGCATGCCGAGAAGTATCTCCGCCGTCTCGCCGACGACCCAGGCATACGGCGCGTCATGGCCAAACATAAGTTCCGCGTAGGGCTGTTGACCGAAATGGACCCGGCCGCGCATACGGATGCATCACACGAAGGGGTCAGCCGGACGTTGGGACTAAATCGGAATGGCGGCGAGGTTATTGAGCTTCGGTTACGGACAGATGCTGGAGATGGGTGGCGGCAGTACGATGCAGTCCGGAAGACGTTGTGCCATGAACTCACGCACAACGTGTGGGGACCTCATGATTCGAATTTCTGGAAATTGTGTCGAGAGCTGGAGAAGGAGGTTGCGGGTGGAGATTGGTGGAAGGGGAGGGGACAGACGGCGGGTGACGGACCTGGGTGGGTTGGGACAGATGAGGAGGAAGAACATGTGGATGGCGGCGGGTGGACGGGTGGGAGTTATGTGCTTGGTAGAAAGGGGATGGGCGAGCAAGGGAGTGGGCTATCTAGAAGGGAAATCTTAGCGAAGGCGGCGGAGGAGAGGGCGAGGAAGGTTAGGGAGGCAGAAGGACAAGGGAAGCGAGACGGGCAGGGGAGCTCGAGTCCATCATAGGGGGTTTGTTCAACTTTGATGCGATTTATACATAGCCCATGTGTCGCTGACGGTGACATGATATGGCATTCCGTATTTGAGATACCACTGCAGCGTGGGCGTTGGGGTTCCACAAAGATTTATCATTTATGATCATTATCATTGATCCACCGCTGCACATGGTCGAAACTGTATGCATCCTTTGATAACTATTCGGGTTCCAACCAGTCCTGAAATACAGCCGTACACCGGATTGCGGGATTGCTGCGTAGCGCCTAATAATAACACAACTTTGGATATCGTGATTTGCGGAGCGAAGCTCCTTCCCACTCTAACGTAATATGAATTGCTCAAAACCGTTACACCTCCTGCATACGCTGGTGCGGGCCGTTATTCGGGTCGTGGCGCGATGTACGCCAGCAATGCAGCGCGGCCATGACCGTCGTTGCAGCGAAGAGCGCCCTGTGTCTCTCATTAGCACATCACGTCTTCTACCATTCCAGCACCTCCTTACCAAGAGACGGCAGCCACACCAGTAGCCCCTTTTGCGACCGAGCAGACGTGTCCCAAGCAGACACGGTTGCCCAAGAAGACTGCCAGCGCGACGAAGCCTGCGAACCAGAATAGCATCGTGACGGACTCGACGGCAAGAATGGCGTATTTGTGGGCGGCAGCGGGGAACTTGGCAGGAGCCAGTATGAGGTAGACAAGCGCAACGTTGGACCAGATGGAACAGAAGATAAGAAAGTTGATTTGGGTGGGCGCCATGGCGTGCCAGTAGCCTAACCACCAATTGGAGACTATGAAGTGGTCAATACGGATATGATCATCGGGTAAGGATTGATCATAGACGTACCATATCCTGTTAGACCCAAGACAACAATAGCGGTGACGGTCTGGATACCACGGAGCGGAAGGATGGGATTAATCGCCATGGTCACTAATGACCCGAACCTCAAAGACAATAGCTCCGTAAGATGAATGAAATGATCGCAGTATGCTCTGTCTAACTCCAGAGCATGAAGAAGTAACGAATGACTTTGATAAAGCTATATCAGGGATTCGATTTCAGAACAGAAAAGAGAGAAAGAAACAAACAACTTACAAACCCGAACAGACAGATAGGAAGTGGGCAAATAACGGATGGATCGGATGAATATTAGAAGCCTGTCATATTTTTGTAAGAGCCAGGCATATACAAGGCGAAAAGACATCTCCCGGTCGATGTCAGTTACATGGAAATATAGTTATACGGGTCCAGTGAGACGATGGCAGCCCCATCCACGTTCCAAACTACAGGGGACAGCCTCGCAAGTACGAGATCCAATACGCGCCAGACCAAGGGAAAGCTCGTTTGAAGATTTCAAACTCAAACAGACACCCGATGGCACGGAATTTCTAGGCCCACGGATACCGGAATGGGCGGCTCTAGGGACGATTCAAGGATGGATTGAAATGAACCCTTGCTTTCGATATAACTCCCATTAAACGCCCAGTTAGTGATCAAGGAATTAAAAGAGGTCATACAGTCTACCATGTGCATAATCAACCCAAAATCAAGCTTAGCTGTGACGAAGAAGAGGGCGATTTGGTGGAGGACGTTACTATACCATATCGCGTTTCAGAAAGTTCAGGAGCCATCCCTGACGCCCCCCGGCTCGCTGTTGGTTGGTGGGCAACACGTAGATTGAATAAGGCGTAACGTCGAACTGGGGACTAATGTGGTCTACATTTAAATTATGGATGATAACAGATACGCGAGAGCCGAGATGAGGGAGTGCACGTGGGTGGGAATACAGTGGACGGTGCGCAGGGGGATGACGTTCGGACAATAAATGTTGGGAGCAGAATGAGGCGTAGGAGATAAAAATTTATCGAAGCTTAGCTTTGATTATCTTATATATATAATGCCTGACAACATAGGCATCAAATCACCTCACTGAAAAGGCAAATCTGACCAACGCACTTGCACAGGTGTCTACATTGTCGTCTAGTCTAGTCTATTCGCGCGTGGAGACAGCTAGCTTCGTCAAAGTCAAGATATCATGTCAGATGATTCATAATACCAACACCGCTATTCCAGAACTCCCAAGTGATGCGCTGCAAGCTCTATGTGAAGAAATATGGTCTATGCCATGCCCGATGCCCAAATAATACGTCCGATGCGGGCCGCCGCACAGGATTTCTTGTTAGAAGGTCGATTCGTAAATTCATTACATCCGTTCTGTCTCCCTTAAGAAGCCATGAATAGTCCCGCGCCCATCGCCGCTGCTCCAGCGAGAACTTCTTTCCGCAGCGTCGGTGGCGGGGTGGCCTTTGCGGCAGAAGCTTCACTGACGTCGCTTTGGATGCTTGCCGTCCGGCCCGTACCAGGCGCCACGGCGGCGGTAGAAGGGGCGCCGTCGACGTGGACAGCATTCGGGACACCATCGGAGTCGTTCGTGATGGCTTGGATTTTCGATTCCGTGGAATTGAAATTGGTGGCGGCGATGGAGATTTCGTTATTAGTGAGATCGTAGACGACATAGGCGGAGCGAAGAAAGGTGTCGCCAAGGACGACGGAAGATGAGCCCTCAGACGGAGCAATGCCTAAACCTGGGAGTTAGTACAATGCCCAGACTTGCCCGGAAGGACCGTGAATGGGTTACATACCGAAGACGCAGTCATTTGATCCAGGGTCACTGCTACTAGAAAAGATAAGCTCGTTCATCGGGACGGAAATTGTGGGCTTGGTGAATGTAAAGTCGATCGTATCGTCGCTGTTCGCAAGATCGCACTCTACGAACCCATATCCTTCCTGGGTGTCGTAGGTGACACTATATCGGTCGTAAATCTCATCAACAATCTTGTTCGGCAGGTAGATCAAGCTGCTGCCCGAGTCTAGAAGAACAGGAACAACTTCATCTTTGAAAATAGTTTTTCCTCCCGATGCCATCTCCGTCAGCCCAATGGCGAACTCAACATATACACCTGATTGGGAAAGTATCGGCAGTGTATAGAGCTCGCCCTCGTATTTTTCCGTGTCGACGCCACCGAACAAGATGCTGCCGGTGTTGGCGTCCATATCGTTTAACCACAAGGAGTACGCGTTCGACTGAACAAGACCCTGTTCTTGCAATTTTTGGGGCACATTTGGGTAAGGCTTCAAGCCTGCGCGACCAACGGCGACCTCATTGATCGGGTACCCGATGCCGAGGACGCCATTTCCGTTGCTGCTCTCATAGCCAACGCCAAACTGCTGTCCATCCAGGATCGCACCGCCGATGTCCACATTGTCCTTCACATAGTCACCCGACGCCCCCGTACCGTCTTGGTACGAAATATCGAACTGGGAATTGACGTAGTGGTACGTTGAGGAGGCATTCGCATCATACGCGCCGGTTCGGCATCGCCCATTCGATTCACAGAACTCCGATGGTACCGCATTGACCCAAAGATCACTGCTGCCCGTGTCGATGTGTAGTTGGATTTGTTGACCCGGTGTGCCGATCGTCAAGTTCGCGAGGTATAGCGTCTCCTGGTTGTCAAGAGTGACCTGGTGCGTACCGGATTGTCGACGCGCAAGTCGTCGGGATCGAATTTCCTGGTCGCGTTTGATGAGGGTTTTGATATCGTCATCTCGCCGCTGAATGTCGAGTTGCACAGCCGAAGTTGGAACCTAAGGGCGAGATGGTCAGTTCCTTGCTCGGTGTGAGCGGTTTTCAACTTGACATACTTCACGTTGCAATAATGTGATCGCCTCCGTCAGCGAGGAGAATAATAGCGACGCTGTAGTAAATAGCGTGTTGATATTCCGCATTGTAGATTACAGTTAAATGAAATTAAATGTACGAGGAAAGGAGAGGAAAGCGGAAATGTGTTCAAACGACAATGACAGCGATACCGACTTGGTCTTCAAGGACAGAGAATAGAAAAGCAGAATCGGAGAGAATATAAGTGGTTTCATGGTACGCGCAATGCGCGTGGTTCCGTGAACCAAACTTGCTAAGTAGTTGCTACTATGTATAGCGGTATCTGAGGCATTTTGACGGATATTGATGGACACCTAGATGACGCGGCTCCAGGCGCTGATGTTGCGCAGACTGCCGTGGCGGATCCGACAGAGCCACCACGGCCAGCACTCGTTAGTCAGAACAGGACATGAAGGCGGCATCGACGAGTGGCAATAATATGTCATGCTGGTTACAGATCCGACCACCTGTCTTCGGCTCCAGATGCCAAGTTGCTGGGCTGAAATGTGTATCAGACCATGGGTTTGGATTTTGGGAACCGCATCTTATCGGGAACGTCTTTTATCGGGTGCCACAGGTGACAACCAACTCTTCGGATTGACAGCCAAATTTCATCAAATCCCATCCGCCATTGGAAGCCTTGATTTTGCCAGTCATTTCTAGAGAGAGAAGCTTCCAATGTTCACCTTTGCCCGCGTAGCGACGAACTAGTAATGCCGCCTAGAATACCGAATTCGGATTGAATCGACGCAGGCGGAGAAATTTGAAGGCCAGAAAGGCCATGATCCCAGAGCAGGAAGCTTGATGGTAATTCGATGACGGCCCAGAAGGAAATCAAGGGACGACTGAATGAGACAGTAGATGTGTCGTTGGCATGGTGTTGTGAAGTTCTGAAGAGCCAAGAGGACTTGGGAAATTGGAATCAATGGAAGGAACTGTGGTCCCGTGCCCGATGTGACCTGTCACAACAGTCACGTGCATTTATGTCATCAATCATGAAATAAAATCTTGAAGTTGAACAATTCATCACGCAACAATAATGCGTATTGATATTTGAACTAATTTACGGCATACTTAGGTTTGGTTCATAGCTAGCATCATGTCGCTGAGGTTGAGGCCTTGTCAGCATCCTTCACGAGGACTAGCTCAGAGAATGTTGCCCAGCCATCTCAGACGAATCAAACTGACTCAGAATGAGACATCTCATGAGTGGATAGCAACAACCTCGATATAATCCGGCAGAGAGCTTTCACCAGTGCCACAGGGCAGGTTTGTATGTAACGGTTCATCTTATTTATATGTTCTCCGCGAGTCGTGCTCCCACCAACAAAGGCCCATTGTCTGCTACGAAGGCGGAGTACAATACTTTAAGTACAGCTATTCCGTACTTAACCATGAGTTCCAACGACAACGTCATCATTCCAGGACCGTCTTTCCAAATCAATCTCCCTAGGCTCGATGCTTGCCATCCGGTCCGTTACAGCCGCCGTCTGCTTTTCTTCCGTTGCACCTCATCCGCAGAGCATGATGCACAACTTGCCGCCTTCAAGACCGGCTTACAAAGACTGGTCTTTCGGTGTCCTATACTTGGCGGCTCAATTGGCCCGCTGCCTGCCGAGGAAGCCAGCGATGAAAACCCAGATTGGCGAACGATTGCGCCTGACCGTGGCCTCGAGTTGATTATACGAGATTTGCGAACAAAAATACCGAGTTTCGAGAAGTTTGAGGCTGCCGGATTTCCTCCTCTAGATCTTCCGTATGAGCTGCTCGCGCCTGTTCCTCAGGATATCGGTAACGTGGGACCTGCATGTAAGGTGCAGTTTAGTGCAATCGACGGTGGTACCATTGTCACATTCTCGATGTCACATTGCGTTGCCGATGGCGCAGGGGCAAATGAGCTGATGCGCATACTAAGCGAGGAGACACGACTCGCACAAGAGCATGCAACTGCGGACGCAACGAACGAGGACCCGTCAATCCCTGTGGCTACAGGAATAGGAATAGACCGATCTGTTTTGCGCGAAATAACCAGCGAGTTGCCGTTCGATATCCAAGACCATCCGGGATATACGTCGGGTTCCTCGGACCCGTCTTCGCCAGAGAAATCGGTGCTTGGATTCACGGCTACAGGATCGGAAATCCCAGTGCTCCTCCACATCTCCCCATCTGCCCTGGGACGGCTCAAGGAAGAAGCACAGCTGCCAGACGCACCGTCAATCTCAACTCACGATGCGCTGAGCGCTCTCATGTGGCGAAGTGTCCTTCTCATCCGCAGTCTCCGGTCTACCATTCCGCAGGACTTATCCTCTTTAACCGGGAGCGTTTTTATGCCTTCGAATGCACGTCGGCACCTCGGCTTACCGCCATCATACGTCGGTAATGCCGTCTATCAGCTTGCTGCATCGCTCGATCTTGCCACCCTCTTCTCGCCTTCTGGTCTTGGCCACGCTGCAAGTGCTGTCCGCCGTGCCATAAATGCTGTGAGACCAGCTCTGGTAGCTAGTCTTATTGCTAAGTCCAAAGACATGTGGATCGATTGGGCCTTTCCAGGCACCATGTTAACAACTGGGGTGGCTATGGGCACGGATTGGAGGAACGATGAACTGTATGGTCACGACTGGGGAACGGCGTTTGGGCCTTTGATGAGATATAGGTATCCGAATGGGGCTTTCAACTGCATCATGCCCAAATTACCGGATGGCGCAGCCGAAGTGATGGTGGGCATTCTGCCAGAGGAGGTTGAAGTGTTGAAAGGCCCTGAGTGCTTTGGGAAGTACATCTAGAGACACAACCTTCCTAAACATGCTCATGTCAGAGCTACGAGGTGATATTCGTGTGGTCGGATATCAGTCGATGCTTGCAACAGCTGGGTGAACGGACAATTGACCATTAGGGTTCAAGTCGGGCTATGAACTGTGAGGATTATAGTTCCCACACATCCATACCATAGCTCATCTTCAAGTAATCGTAAAATCTTCCGAGGCCAGGCCGTTGTTCATTTTTTCAATGGACTCACCATGCATCAAGCCAGCAACATAAGTTTCGCCAACCAACTTCCACATGGAATCTTTCCATTGGCCTTGCCCTATTTTCCGCAACAAAAACGGCACCGTCCCACCAAACAACACCACGACTGTATCTCCTACTGCCGAACAAGGTGGTCCAATGCCGATGTACCCTTTTTGAGTGACGAAGAACCGTCGCCCACCAACGCCATTCAACACGGCTTCCCAGCACCTGTTCGTATCACCCTGTTCGGATAGCGCGAGATACCAGGGCGGTATCGGAAGCATGAGCATGGTCCTCCAAAACGCGAAGAAGTCAGCTAGATGTTGCCTTTCCGCAGCTTCGTTTTCCGCCGCCGTGGAAACAATCTCGCCGTACCAATCTTTGCCGGCGCATAATACATTACAGAACGCTTGTTCAAGTGCGTGCCCAGAGGGATACGTTAGCAAAGGCGAGACCATGCCCTTGAATATATTGTAGAGCTCAATGATCGTTTGGAAGGTATCGGCTCGGCCAGGTATTACCGGAGATATGGTGGATACCGTATCAATGAGGAGGCCTCGAAGGAGGAGTGGAGATGTAGGCGTTATGGGGCGGAGGATTTGTCGAGGAACATCGCCAGAGGCACAGTGCATCTTCCCACTGTGATCAGCTGGGATGAGAGTGTGGGTGAAGACACGATCCCACTGTGGAATCCACGACGGAAGTTCGGTTGCGATCTCTGGACCGTGTTGTACAGCAGATAGGAGAAACAAATTGTCGGTTCTCCGAAGGATCTTGGCAGCAACGGTGCTGTATACTTCCAGCCTTGACATTGTGTAGTCGGGTTGTACGAATATTTCCCCTTTCTCTGGATCCCCGTCAGTGCTGGGAAGACCGAGCAGGCCATAAACTCGATCCCTCTGATCCGTACACTGGAACTGACGGGTCATGGTGAGGAGACGGAGGAAGAATACACTGGCGCTCTCTTTGTCTTGGGTGAGTCGATACATTAGGTACGCATTATAGACTCCTGGCATCGGATTCTGCTGCATGACTTGATATCCAAGGGTACGGATACAGGCAGCGACAAATCCAAGCTCTTGCCATTCTAGCTCGGAATCTCCCCAGAAGATCGTGGCTCGTCTAGCGAGGGTGATTTCTTGGACCACCCATAATCGCCCGAACCACGGCCGCGAAAAGAGTGAAGCTATACACTTCCAGTCAGGGTGCCGTGGAGATACCATTGACACAGCTCCTCCTTTGGTCGTTGCAATGTCAGTGGCAAGAGAGAAAGCTGAAGCTGCTTCATCATGCTTGTCTCGCCCAATCCAAATCAAAACCTGCGATGCGTTTTTATAGATTTTCCGCATCATAGCCACCTGCCGTTGGCGCTCCAACAGGTCACGTTGATTGATGCATACGGCATCAGCCCACACATATCGGGCCTGGGCGGGATTACGGAGCCGGTGGAGCGCATCGTCGAGGTTCCGGCTAATATCGAGAGCTTTTCCGTCACATTGCAACTGGATAATCTGTGACGTAACCCCCCAAGCATAGGAGACTGCTTCGTACTCTTGCGACCCTTCAACTTCAACAGCCACTAAGCTGCATCGTAATCGATCGTTCGGAACCCCTGGCTCTACGCGGAGTAGGCGGATAGAGCTCTCTGAAGGTAGGGGCGAGTAAAAGTATTTGCTTAACTCCAAAGGGGTGTGGTCTTCTCGGAAAGAAAATACGCGCGTTCCGGAAACAGATTTACCGTCCGAGGTATGTCGAACTCGCCTCGGATCATGCAAGCGACAACCATCTCTTTCAATATTTAGCCGCTCTGAACCTTCAGTGGAGTAAAGCTGCGCAGGTATCGTAAGATCCCCTCGTTCCGAGAGATCCATGGCTGAAGATTGCATGGCCTGCACGGTTTGCAACTTGCGTCTCTCCATCAGCTTCTCATGCCGTTGTTGCTGTACAGCTATAGCGTGCATCTGAGCCATGCTCTGAACCCTGTGTCTCTCTTGAGAATCTGTAGAATATTGCTGCCCAACAGGAAGGAATGGCCGTTCGACTGCCGCCTTGACGAATGTTGTTGGCGACTGATCTTCTTCCTTTGGATCTGGGAACGAAGAAGCCCCCGACTCCGCCAACAGATCAGCCCCTAGCATCTGCGATTGAGCAGACCTTTTCCTTTTCATTTGTGGTGGAGCCGTCAGTGAGAGTCCATCTAATCTGTGACGCTCAACATCATCCCCGAGCATATTCGATGCGGTGAAGAGTGGTATTTTCCATACTGATTCCTCAAGGTCATAGCGTTCCGCATGGTTGCCAGCGATACCCTGAGGGTAATACATGTACTGTGAAGCCAAAAGTGTTTCCCTCTTCCGAAGGGATTCCTCAAGGCCGTCCTCACACACCTGTTCTTGGCGATTCATGGCCCTCTTCCGTTGTGTTCGGCGCAGATCATCTTCTGCTATTTTCTGGAAGCGATGATGCGCTTGTATCTGGTCTGACGTGAACCCGAGGTCTGGAACCTCAGATTTTGTTGAGTGAGCTTGGTGTTGGCTATGATCGGGCTGCATCGTCAGGCTCTTGCCCCATCTGGCGTCCATGATTCCCTATCTCTTCACTATTTGTTGATGGAGGCAATCGGAGGACACTCATAAATACCTTGCACACATCGCTGTAGTTGATCAGAAATTTGGAAGTAGGCCTTGATGGATTTTCAAATTTATACGTTGATTTTCAAATGTGCGAAAGGACAGCGGACGTCATGAAATTGATCGACATGGGATGGTGTCTAAGCCACCATAGAGTACCATAGCTGACTGGACATCCTAGCTAGACCAGATCACCAGAGGGCTTGTAATAGAGATTTACTACGTAGGGACCATTTATGAGCATTCACAACGTATGATAACTTCAAAGCATTGTAAAAGTATGAATTTTGTACTTTATTGATTGTCCCTGTATAGTGGACTGAGCCCTTCAAAGATCGGGGAGCGAACCATACTAACTATTTTGCTCAAAGGCGCATCTGCCGACGCAAGCGAGTGACCCTTCCTCAACACCAAACTGTATGCTCGACTGCAAGCGAGAGTGAGAAATATACGCGCTCTGATCTGCTTGTGACCTCGGGTATCAGGTCCGACTGGGAAACGGTCGGAGAAAATCAACTGTAGGAAGACAATGGAACATAAAAAGCAACGGTAAATCGCTCACTGAACCTTCAGGTCATGTCCTTCAATATCCAGAAGCAAGCCTGCCGTGGGCCCAGTGTTCTGTAGAACGAGAGAGGAACGAAAAGCATGCGAAATCATAAATTGCCTCGCCACAAATCCAAACACGGTAAGATCACAGGCACTGGGAGTCAGTTCAGTGCTTAAATTCCGACACATAAACACCGCCTCCCATCTCTTTCTCTCTCGGTAACCTCGTCCTCTGCAGCTGGCTCACATGCACCGCCATTCTATCCTCAGTACTGCTCTGGCTCCCCCCGGAGCTCATCTGCCGGGACTGCTTCCTCGTCAAGCCCCTTTCACTGCTCATTTCCCCATATGCGGCCCCGCGGACCCGCCCATCAGGGTACCCGGCGTCATCCATATCCGTAACTTCTCGGATTCCCTTTCCGTCGTCGTGTCCGGCTGGATTTCGGAAATATTCATGCGGATCCTGGACGGCGCGGATGAACCACGGGCGCGTGCCGGAGGGCTTGATGGTCCAGTATTCCTGGTGGTCTTCATCAACCGGGGTGATATGACCGAAGGAGAGGAGCTTGGTGAGGAAAATGAGGCCGTTCAACGCAACATACGTTGCAAGGCCAGCGATAAGACCGTAGGCGACACTATATGAGAATGGCATGAAGACTAGTGTCACAAAGGCAGGGATGGCGTCACCAATATACCGCCAGTTGATCATTGTGATTTGACGGCACATCATGCAACCCACAATGATGAGTGTGCAACCGGTTGCCCAAGGCGGGATGGATGCGAAGATGGGCGCAAAGAAGATGGAAATGAAGAAGCAGATTCCGCAGGTCATCGCGGTCAATCCGGTCTTGCCCCCTTCGGCGATCCCCGCTCCGGATTCGATGAATGCGGTGACGGGACTGCATCCAAAGACCGCGCCGATGGATATGCTGATTGCATCCGTGCAATACGCGATGGTGGAACGAGGAAAGTCGCCCGAGGTTTGGTCCACTACCCCAGAGAAGCGGGCCATGGAGTACAGTGTTGCCGTGCAATCGATGATGTCAACATAGAGGAATGTGAAGAGTGCAAGGACAAACTGCGACCCCGCCCTACCAATGTTCCAGTCGATGGCATTGAGGGTATGCTGCATGGGTCGGAAGGTTACGACTTGTTTGAAGAAATCGAATTTGGAGTCGCCTAGATCTGTGTGGGGGAAGAATGTCATGGGAGTACTCCGACTGAAGCAGCGTTAGTCCTGAGCTATATCGATCTTGTAGTTGAGCACTTACGGCCAGGAAATGATCGAGACGACCAGGATACCGATAATTATGGCGCTCTTGAACTTGTAGCTCATGAGATACGTGGTCAAAATGCCTCCACAAAAGATGCCGATCCACATCTGCAAGCATGGTCAATAAAACGATTACCCCAGGTCATCAAGAACGATCCTGCTAGCACAAAATCCAAACAGTACCCCACCTCCTTCCCCTATACCACCAATTACAAGCGCGAGGTTTGTAGCGCATATGCTGCCTCTGGGATGAAAGATCTGTCCGTACGTACCGTCGGGTTCTGCATCTTGTGCGACACGCATTCTCCCGTGGCATCATCGCGATATTGCGGCTGGCACCCTGCCAGATCGAGAGGCGTGACCGCTGATCCAGTTATGGCACCGATTCCGGCGGAGTAGCTCAGTCCGATCAGTGAAAGAAACAAACCGATACCACAGCCACTAGCCACCTTGATGGATGTCGGCAGGAGGCGCACTAGCCACTGGCGCATTCCAATTAGGGATAGGAAGACGAAGATGAACCCCTCAATGAAGACCGCAGCAAGGGCGAGGCGGTATGGAACAGGGCCGGTGCCATGGAAGCCGACGACTTGGTAGGCAAAGTAGGCATTCATACCCATGCCAGGTCTGAAAAAGAAGGTTAGCAAAGCCCATAATATATGCCGATCCTAAGCGCCTGGAAGGTTTTGTAATGACTAGGGAACCCTAGCCAACAATAAAGTAACATAGCCTTGCAGTTAATATGGATCATCGGCAACAGCTGTAACCCATAGGTCTGGTCATGTGCCGAGAGCCAAGCCCAAGTGACATCTTTCATGTAGAAATGGAAACCGACAGCCGGGAAAGGATATGAAAAGGACGAAGAGCAGATTTACCCCAATGACACGGGCAGATTCGTCATGAGCCCGAAGAGGAAGGATGAGATGCAGGTTATGACTGCGGTGGCAGTGATGAAATCTCTGTGGACATCTTTTCACGCAGAAAAGAATCGGACACTGGTCAGTATTTCGGTTCTCTTCGGAACGCAAGTGGGAAGGAATAAGATTCAAAGCCGGGAAATATATTGATGTTTAGATTAAAACACCAAAAACAGCTCGATGAGGGAACTTCAGGCGGGTGGCAGGGTATGGAAAACTCACCTATTAGACATTGCTGGTATGGTTCGTTGTTGCTGCAGGTAAGGTCCAGGGGATCGGTGCAGACGCACGTCCCACCGCTGTCTGCCAGAATCGAGGCCTGTTATGTTTCAAGGTTCCCAGTCAGTCAAATCAAGGTTCGAGACTTGTTCTTTTCTGGTCATATGCTCAATACTCTTTCGATTCGCCAACAAGCAAAGCAATAGGACAAGACAGACACCAGGACCACTGAAGGGTGAAGGGTGTACAGATGCCGATCTGCGGATGCGGTTGCTGCAGTGCAATAGTGACACACTTACGTTGACAGCAATAATGTACGACATTGTGAAGAATGTCGTGACACCGGCCCGGATTTCCGTCAGGAACCGTGCTCCGCGAAGCTCTTTCTCCTAGAGAATCGAGTGTCAGCATCTAGGAACTTTGCATCATGTGGTAATAATCAATTGCGCGGGAAAGAATTGCGTGGATGAGATTTTGGCACCGGAGAAGCCAGGAAAGACGTCCATGACTGATCGTCTCGGATGCGAAGTCTCGAAATGGAGACTTACATGGCCGGATCCTTCCAAGCGGAATACACGTCCAAACGTTGAGCGACCAACGACACCGTTGAACGACTCGATTCCTCGCCGTATAGAGTCCATGATGTGGAACGCTGGGGTATTCGGGCAGGTACCTCCGACTCTTATGTGGACCGGCGAGAGGATGGAGGTGGATGAGCAAGTAAAGCTGGAGCTAGTTGGAGAGCCCAGAAGGAAAGGCAAGAATAAGGAAGGCGACAACGAAGGAAAGGAAATTAGCAGAGGGGGGATGCCAATTCGAGAGAAATGAGGTTAATTGACGTTTGATATGAAGTCGTTGCTCATGCCGTCCTGCGGGAGTTTATAAGGTCTCAAGCACTCTTGAAGCATTCCACCGTCCCAAGGGAGTCCCAAGTGTTTCGCCAAGCCGGGAAGGAGGGGCACATGGACTGGACAATAAAGCGAACGCTTGTGAGAATGAGCGAAGTTAGATAGATATGTTACTGAAAAGACAGACTCGGGAAGTGGAGCGCCGGGCCGTTTGGTGGTGATGGTGCAGGACAGGACGGTGACTGATGCGGGAAGACAATTGGTGATTTGTTGTCACCCGGTACATTCAGGTAGCCAGCCATGCCTGTAAGCAACCTTATAAAACTTGCAATCGAGTCATCTACGGACACCGGGAGTGGTAGGCGGTAGCAACTAGCAAGTGGCCATTATTGCCGACCTGCAGAAATCCATCTCCCAGCGGAAGTAGCGGGGATGGATGCATCCACGTATGGGATGTGATACTTTGCCAGGGGTTCTGCGATGGGCAGGAGTGCATTGGTCGACATTCGAGCTTCTGTGCGACCGGGTTGCTCAATCAGTTCCCGTGTAAATTGGAACGCGACAAAGATCGCTCGACAGATACGTCGTTTGGCAGCCAATTTTCGCAGTTTGATCCAGGGAGAAACAAGGTTAATTGCAAGACCAGAGATGCCATGGTGTTGGATCCAAAAGTGGGTATACACATCCGCTAGAGCTTTGACAGTAATGTCCCAGTGATTAAGACGAAAGGCTAATTACTATAGGCGCACTCCAGATTCTGTAAGTACTTAGATGTATAGGTACAATACAAGGGAATCGATTATCGACGAGGTTGAAGGGGAGAAGTGAGGAGGGAGGGCCGCGAGGGGCATAGAAAGCAGTAGATGGCATTGGATTTGATAGAGCCTGATGCTCTGTTCCCTGTATGGTATTAGAACCCGCATGACGGTAAGGACGGGAAACGGCCCTGGCTTCCTTCCCTCCTTGTTCCTCATCCGATTTTCCACCATCGGCATCCTCATCACCTCGTCTCCATCCAATACGCCATATTAGGGCATTCCCTATTACCGTCTTGCATACGCCAATATTACCGTCATCGCTTCCGGTGAGCCGCCTACTATGGTATGGAGTATGAATGAATATGGGCAAAGAACTCGGTTTCTTAGATAGGCACTTGAGCCTTCAGTCGGTTTGCAGATCCCTTCATGAATCATGCCAAATCCGTCCATGCTTCATCCAGGTATCCCGTATTCCGTACTCCGGCTGTCTCGTCGATTACGACCCGATATCCCCCTGTCCTCCATATATGCAGGAATATGCAGCCAGGGACAGAAACACCGTGAGTATCCAATAACGACAGACGATCTTGCAGAGACACCGGGTCTGCTGTTCCTCTACTGACAGCGTCCGTTTACATCCGGATTTTCCATGTCCAACTCTGGTATCTGTACTCTCGAATTCGCCTAAAATTCTCCAGAGGCGATCGTCCCAGCATGGCGTTCGTCCCAGGAGCGAAGGCGTATGCATCCCGATTCAAACTGTGTCCAATTGCGTCTCCCAAATCCCAACCTCTATTGATTCTTATTTCCTCTCGTCTACCTCAGCAAAAAAGTTACTTTCTGATAAACATTAACCCATGCAGCTGTCATGCTGCATGTGACATTTCGACAGCCTTCATTCGACGTCCGACTCACCACCCTCCTTGATACTCCGCACCATTTCCTCTAGTCCTCTAGCTAGTAGCTACCGTTTGTGAGGGGCATATCGGTGCCCACCTGCATTAGTCGGAACGCTAGAACCTCTCGAACCCCGAGTCGCTCGTTAGAGCACGTTTCGAAAGTCCCATCTCGCGCCTACCTCGCGTGGCTTCCCGCCTCAGGGCAAGCGGGCACAGTCTGGTGGAGGCGTTGTACAGATTCGGCTGAGTGAGACCTTAACGAGCTCCAAGAACGGTGACGCCATCCGTTTGTGATATCCAGCCACCAATATCTCCTAGCAACTTCGAGTGCATAAATCGTTGAATCCTACGGTGTTCGGGAAGTCAACCCAATCTGATTGACAACGCGGTTGCCGGCGTATCACAGGGTCCACTCGGCCAGAAAGAGTTTTACACCAACTGCTTCCGGGTTGCGTTTGAAAAGGCTTACGAGCTTGGTGCGAAGTCAATTTGGAAATCACAATATCGATTCCGAAGCTTGTCAAGGGCGTCTTATTGTCGACGTCAATTCTGCACCGTTGGCCTGTTGGACGCAGATCAGAAACGCAGCTGACCACAATCCCTACTGAACTTCGCTGTGGGACATACAGCCCTGGTCCTTGGATCTGCACGGCGACCTCACTTCAAACCATCCTGACGCCTCTCTGGCGGACACTATCCCGACACCATTGGTTCAATTCGCGATTTGTTCCCGCATACTAGGAACAACCGTACAGCAACCGAAAATTTCAGATAGAAGACTGCTTATCGACCACGTAGAGCCTCGGTGTCCGTTCGATGCGGAAAGAGTTCGGATGGTTTGATACGCCTTACAAACGGGTTCCCGCCAGAGTTGATACGCCAGGGACTTCCCGGGGTTGAGGTCGCTGCGTCTGCGTCTGCCCACTTCAAACCCCTTGCGTCGGGGATGAGTAGATGCTGAGAGTTTTGTTTTCTACAGCGCAATTTGATATCTGGGCATCCGGGGGATTGGATACGGCTTGACGCAGACCAATTTCCTTTCACTCTTATTCTCATCGGTTTCCAGGGTGGCCGTCGTTGGTATTGCTGAAGCACTTGTGCTGTTTGTTGGCTCTCTTCACACAAGCGAATTAACCTACTCATAATGGCAGGGTTTCCTGTAAGGGATTGGCTTGCTGTTCAATAGCTGTTCGCTTCTTTTGTTATTTTGCATTCACTTCACGTATATTTTGGAACATTCGCTGCCTTGTTCTCTCCCAAGAAAGCATTGGAAAAGTCGCTTTCTCAATACCTCAGCATGTTTGCTGCAGACCTCTCCTGGACCGACCCCAGCCATGAAAAAGTTGGTGAGCGTCGGGAGCGAAAGCAGCGAAAACGGGAGGGGAGCATCAGTGATTCGCAGTCTTCAGGAGATGTTTCTCGCTCCCAGAGCCGAAGTCATGGTCGAAGGCCCAGCCTCCGAGACGCCTGGGGTTTCTCAAGTTCAAGATCAGGGCGGTCGTCAGACAAGTCCTCGGTCAAGGGCAGCGGCGATGATCAACTTCGAAGATACCCTTCGGTGTCAACAACACCGACCCTTGCCACAGAGGTTCCAAGGTCGATCTTCAACAAACCCTTTATAGATCTGAAAGACCCGGCCCTGCATCCTAATACGACGTACGGCGCGAAGCTATTGCCGACGCTACCCTCCGGGGGCACAATCGATCCTCCTAGGTATGATACGATTGGATTCGGTCGTCCCATACACTCTCGGCAGAACAGCAACAGTACGTCCAAGGCAGATATCGTGTCAACTGTAGAAACTAAGATACAACCCCTCAAAGCTACCAACCCGGACTATCATCTCATTGCTCCTTGGGGTTTTCAGAGCAATTCAGAGCCGGAAGCCCTTTGCGACTCTTACGATCGTGTCAAAGACGCGGTATACGCATTGCAGGCCCGCAAGACAGAGTCGTTCGCGCATGGTTATATCACCAAGCAAACCACCGTTTCTATCCTGGAGGAAGAAGAGGGGGAGGACGGAGCATCGGAAATCCTCAACCTTGCTGGGGAAACATCCCGACTTGCAATTCAACCTCAAATTCACAAGCCGCTTCCGCTTCGTCCTGAAAGATTGAGGGCGCGAAAAATGGGGACTTATCACGCCGAAATACATGCTACGAATCCGCTGCCAGTGGACGACGAGGATGGGCGGACTTACCTTGATGATGACAGCCATCGTACGTCGACCACTTCATCTCGCCCAGAATTCAGCATCGGAAGCAACCCGGATGCAGAGCAATGGCCCGAAGTTCATCCCTGGACAACGGAAGATACTCTCCATGGGACAAGCGAGAGCAGTGTTGAATCGTGCGCGTCTCCGAATCCTCACGAGACTCTACCCTCCGCTACTGAGTTGGAGGATGAAGATACAACCCCGAATAACCACTCGACTAGCGACCTGTTCGATCCGGCTTCCAAGCGAAACTCCATGATCCCCATGTCACCGACCGCATTCCAGCGCTTCGTGCAGAAAATCGAGTCTGCAGGTGCGGCCATGATCCTCGAGCGACTGAGGGAGGAGGGGCTTGACCCCGCCGATCAGCTAGAGAAGCATCTCTGGGCCCTGACGGCGCTACAACTGAGGAGCATCGGGCGGTTCGAACACCTCCACAAGGCGAAAGGACAGGGCCATTCCATGGCGGCGATGCCGCGCATCTCACGCCGGAGGGCGACGATTCTAGAAATCGATGGAAATCTCGGTAAGTCGGTTCCTGGATATCTCGTTGGTGCAAAATCATTCATCTTTCCCCGCAATTTTGCTCTTGCGTCTGCCTCTGCATATCGTCCAAGGTTTCCAGTTTGCATGCGTCGCTGGTGCTGTCATTGCATTTCTTGCGTTTCGTTGGACGGCATATTTTTGGGGCACCTGACAGGCGGCCTGCCATTCTGCCAAGGCTGCCCTGAACTTGGGCCTCCCTGTCATCTGCCTGTTGAATCGCCTGTCTGTGTCATTTATGCACCTGCTGCCAGGATCTTGGGGCGTCTCCCGCAAAGCCGATCAGGCACACCTTCTTTTCCGCATATTAGCCAGCCGGGTGAAGGCGGTCGCGTGAACGATTAAAACCTTATATCGACCGGGCGTTGAAACAACCAGCGTTCAGCGGATACCTTCCGAGGGTTTGCCCTGTACACAGACGGCAGGGAGGGCTGCCGCACCCCGCCCCCGCCCCCCACACCCCGCGCCCCGGCGACACTGGGGACCCACGCAAGGTCGATACAGCCTAGAAAGCGAATGCGCAACACATCGGAGCCGAGTTCTGAATTTTGCCTCGATTTATCCCGGGTCTTTCAAGATCGGCTTTAATCGCTCGCTACAGACTTCGATATTCTCAGCCCCGCTTCTAGAATATGCTTGGACTCTACAGGCTCACCGCCTGGACCCCTGTTCCTGACGCCATTTCGATGCCATTCCTGATTCCATGGAGGATGTGACTAACGATTCAATCCATGAACGAATCATGCACACTACTGTCAAACTTTCCATCTTCTTCTAGGATATTGATTTTGAGTTTTGTCTTGCAGTTTTCTGCTCTACATTCCCTTGCGCTTCATTTATGTCAGGCAACTACTCCTGTATTTGTCATCTAGTACTGCTGCCTATGCATCACTGGAGCACATACTGACTTTCAGGTTGCAGCCGAAACCTACCAACTCTCCGCCATCCATCCTCTGTCCACTATCCATCATCTGCACCTTACCACTTCCCCACTTCACCGATATACACTCTCCACCGGATCGCCTTCTCGCCTCTCGTCGGCATCGATTTCTCCTCCGCTCATCTCTCCACTTCCGCTCCCTCCCCAGGTCACCCCGCTCACCACCTCCACCCTCCTCCCGCTGCCCTTTCCGCCAAGCACTATCCACCACATCCGCTCCTCCGCCCTTCCTGCTCTCCTCCCATCTTCCCAACTCCCCTCCCTTCTCGCTGATATCCACCGCGTCCTCCTCCCCAATGGCTCCCTCGAACTCCGCATCGTTGATCCGATGCCCGTCCGCGGGACCGCCGGACCCAAACTCCGCTCCTGGCTGGAAGAGCGCCTTGCCATGGGTCTCGAGAGCAACTTCCGCTGCCAACGGCCCGCGCAGTTAGTTCCCGGATGGGTAACGCAGGCAGGTCTCCGCCTCATCACCGCGCGTGACCTCGAAAAGGAATCAGACCAGGACAGTTTCTATTTTGAGGGCTCATCCCCCGAAGCAAGCCTCAACAACTTCCCTTCAGCCGTCCTTGGAATGGTCCCCAGTGGCCGGTCAACACGACGCGGGAAACGCGAGCGAGACGAAACCATCGAGCGGGAAACCGGGATGATCTGCCTCCTTCGCATCCCCGCCGTCGTTGGCCCGAATCTCAGCGCGCAGATGTCGATGGGGCTCTCCATTGGCGCCGAAACCGGCTTTGGGAAACGCGATTCATGGAGGTTCTCGTCAAATGTGGCTAGTGGTGGACATCCAGGAGCGCGGACTGAGTTGGAGGATGTGCGAGAAGAACCACTCCCGGAAGATGCTGAGCTTACAGATAGAGAGGACGCGTCACCGCCTCTGGTGCCTCGGACGGATGCGAAGCGGGATGAACGTCAGCTGCGGGAGGAGATCGAGGTCGTCGAGACGGAGGTGGCGGTCCTTGTGCTCCGGGAGTTGTGGCGGAATTCCTGGGGCGGCTTTGTCGAGGCGCCGTCGGAGCTACGGCTAATGCGGGCTAGGAGTGGTGGCCTCGGTGGCGAGGAAAGCAGTAGTGAGGATGGGATGGATATGCAATGGTGGTGGGAGGATGAAGACATTGTGGTGGAGTGTAGGGATTGGGAGACGGTGTGGGAGGTCGGGACGGTGTGGGCGGTGAAAGACTAGATGGGTTTAGGATCCATAAGCGAAGTTGACCTTTGCGGCCATTCGATTTCAGGACTATTTTGGCACATGTCACGGCGATTTGGAGGCTTTCAACTAGCGGATATACCATATTGGACTTTGTATACTATTATCTTATTTTCCCGAATTTCTCAAATATCTACCAATTTTGATTTCTCTGGTCAAACTTCAACCGGTGTCTGCACTGCCAACAAAATATTTGGACTATAATCAACTCAGTAAATTGACTGCGGAACGGCGATGCTGTCACCGAATCGTCGGGCTAAACCCGCCCCAAAACCTACGAATTCCCTGTCGGGCCATCCACAGATATCATGTAGTACTAATATTCAGAACCATAGTCATTGAAACTGCCTATAGGATCATTCAATTCACTGAGTCGTAGCTTTCAATGATAGGGGTTTCAAAATCCGTGAACGACTCGGTAATTTACATGGTCTATGACTGTACGTGACATTCTAACCTCGACGGGACCTCCAATAGTTGACAATGTTAGCGAAAATGGGCTGTGGCATATGACCGGGCGATGAGAGACAGGAAGTTTCGATTGGGCTATTATTAGTTGTACTTTCACGCGTTTGCAATACATGATGACTGATTTGACTGACATTCGTAACTTCGGCTTAGGTTCTACGACGCACCCAACCCTCACAATTACTAGTTATCATTAGACAAAGGTAACCAAACAACTTTTGCCTCGAATGACTACAGCCACTAGCGAAATTGGCACCCTCCCTTGGCGACTCTAAAAGTTCTCAGTGCAAACACATTCATGCGCCATAATGGACAAACTGTGCCCATATCAACGGCTGGTTCCTGTAGGCCACCCGGACTGCCGGTACGCTCTCATGAAATGCCATAGCAACATCTATATCTTCTACCTTTGTATCTTCACCTCGAAAGAGTGATTCGTAAAATCTTTTGGCCACCTTTACACATACTCTATCGACCGAATGCCATAGAAAACCAATGACATGTGCGAATCCAGCTACCTGAAAACCGCTCATAATATGAATGGCCTCATCACGTAGCTTCACTGTTGTGTCCGTAGGTATCGAACAGGCCGAGATATATGCAATCCTTGAGCGCTCCAATTTTAGTCCAGAAACCGCTTGCACTGTCATTAATCCTGAAATATAATCGGAATCGTCCTTATGGAAAACCAGCCCACTCTTAGATGGGTCAACTAGTCATTATATCCGTAACAAGGAAAATGAGCAATGTTGCAGTCCCTCAAGCTGTTCAGGACGGTATCGGCATTTGGGTGATCAAGCAGCTGTGTTTTCAGGTATGTGTGAATCGACTTCAAGATTGCTTTCTTCTCATGTTCAACTCCATCAAGGCTAGGAAGGTCCGGCGGCGTCTTTCTCATCGTGACTAGTAATAGACTCTCTATGATGACATCTCGCTTTAGTGAACGCTCCCGGGCGTATACGAGCGCTTTGATTGACGGTGCGTAAGAAGAAATAGCTCTGTTGAAAACGTTCTCCTCCGATTGCGGTGAGTGATGTCCTGCGGCATGGAATGGCATCGAACTGGCCAGTCCAGTTCCGATCCACCAAACACTCGGAAGGTCTTGCTTTGATTGCTGTACTCCGAAGTTGCCTTCAACGAGTATCGGCCTCACACAGACTTTCCAAAGCCAACTCAGGTATTCCCGAAACACTTTATTGTCAGGTTTAAAACGTTTTGAATACTGCATCCAAGTGCCAGCCTCAGAAGCAGACATATAAGATAGGTCCAAGCATTTGATTTATATTGGCGAGACGATGATCGCATGGCTGCCCAAATCCGTGATGTTGATAAATACAGTCATGCCTCTGGATGCGCATGCTTTCATTTCCCCGGGTGTTGACTCGAGGAGAAACCGTTCGTAACCGGGGATATCGATATCGCGAATCTTTTGAATGCATCGCTCGAGTTCCTTCACATTGGTTCGACGCTGTTCCTGAACGATCCTCATTGGCGAGATATCAACTTGACCACGAAGGGGAGCGATAATTTCATCACGAAGCCCTTCAAACCGACGAGCTATCTCGGGATACGCTTCTCTGAGTGCCGAAATGTCGCTCCGGTCTCCGATAAGTTGACCAAAGATGACAGTTCGCCCTTTCTCCAGTAACTCAAGTGCCTTTTCCGGCTGACCAAATTGAAGGTGAATTGAGCAGGCAGAGGCGGCAAGTCCAGCAAAGAGTGCTACTGCATACTGCATTACTGCTGGTTGCCATGTTCAAGGGTTCGATTATTGACTATCGGCAGCAGGTTGATAGCGTCCCATAAGAGTTTGGCCGCCGATTCATAGTCTCTCAGCTGCCCAAGTGCCCTGATGCCAGAAGAAGCAGCGCTTATCCGATGGAAAGGTACCCCATTCTCGCATTTCCAGGCTTGAAAAAATGAATATGCAGACTCGTTCAGATCGGCACTCTCTCCCGTTCGCTCATGCCGCCGAACAAGCTTGTTTCCAAGGCTGTTCAACCGGCTAGCTCGATCTGGGAGATCTTCTAGAGTTGAATCAACGGCATGCTGTGCCACTTGGATTGCTACCTCGAGATCTCCCATCTCACAGGTTCGCTCATACCGCCAACTAAGTATGTTTCCGAGGTTGTCCAAATATCCGGCTCGATCCGGGTGGTCATACGGTGTTGAGTCAATGGCAAGCTGTGCCAGTTGGATTGCGTTCTCAAGATCGCCCATCCAGCCGGTTCGCTCATACCGCCGACCAAGCTTGTTTCCTAGGCTATTCAAATAGCTTGACCGAACTGGGTGGTCATCCGGAGTCGAGTCGAGGGCCTGCTGCGCTGCTCGGATCGCCTCTTCGCGGCCGGCCGTCTCGCCGGTTCGTTCATACCGGAGAGTAGGCTTAACTCCAAGGCTGTTCAAATAGCCTGGCCGGTCCGAGTGCGCTTTTGGAGTCAAATCAAGCGCCTGTTCAGCTAGTCTGATTGAATCCTCAAGATCTTTAATATCATCAGTCCGCTCAAATCGCCTTCCAAGCCATTTTCCCTAAGGAGTTTACACGGCTAGCTCGCTCAGAATGACCAAGCGGAGTAGTGGATACAGCGTTCTGGGCAAGGAAAATAGTTTTGTTAAGGTTTTTCACCTGTCCCCTTCGTTCGTATCGTCTGCCGGACTGGATTCCAAGGGTTATCTGATGCTTCGCAATGTCTGAATGATTTTCAGGCGTGATGGAGATCGCTAGCTCCCCAATGCCGATTGCAATCCATAGGGCATCGAGAATGCCTATCTGCTCATAGCTGTAGCCCAGGATTGCGCTCAGCATGTTTGACATTTCAGCCAAGTTTTGATGATCTCTGCTTGCAAGTTGGTTCAAATAACTCCATTTGAGCGCCAAGCCGGCCAAATAGCTCAGACTCCATTCTCGACGCTGCCCTTGGACCGTGGAGTATATCACCAACAATATCAGAACCAGGCGGGAAGTCATGCTCAAAGATCGGCTCTCCAGCATCCCTCATATTGGCTAAAACTGCCTGCCTAAAGTGCCAGCGTAGAAGCGAATCAAGAGGTGCATCAGGACGAGCAAAATACCCTCGATCAAGGTGATGGCTACCAATGCCTCGCACGTTAGGCCTGAAGGCCATGACCTTATAATTATCCTGCGATAACACTTTAGCCACAATTTCCATAAATAGGTATAAACGTACGTCCGGGTTGATTGAAATGAAGTAGTTGTCAAAAAGCTGGTGTATGACGGAATCAAGCAAGATTCCATTCTGAACCGAGTTGATAGTGCCTCCACGAGGCGGCTCAATCGAAACCCATCGACCGTAATTATTGTTAATCCAATGATACGTTCGTCTATTCAGGTATTGACCACTAAATTATCAAATGTTTTGGGTACTCAGTTTTCTACTCTGAACAGAGTATTACTTTTAACCATAATTTCCAGGGGAACAGGCCACGGGCCTGGAACCATAAGAAATGCCAGTGCTTTTAGTCAAACCGCACTCTGCGTCAAAGAGTGATGCTCTGGTTGCCATAGACAGTTTTCGTCCCTACTTGCTCTGCGATCTTGCTGTCCTGGTTGTTCCATGTGTTGGATACACCACTTGCTGCCTTAATCGTGTCGTCCACCGTGCCTGTCTTCGCTACATCAGCCGGCACTAACACTGACAGTAGCTCCTTCGCACACGCTGCTGCCGCTCCCGCCGCGTATGGCTGCCACTTCTTGTTCTTATGCGAATCGGCGTAGTCACAGATACCTCGGATGACAAGACATGGAAAGCTGTTCATCAGGCCTGCCGCCTCCATCTCAAAGCAGAGCACTCCGCCAAATTCCTTACTCACAGTATCCCTCTCCGCAGCATTCTTAATGACCTGATTGCCAGATGCAATTTTACCGTAGTAAATCACAAGCTCCTCGTTCGATCGTGGCTGTCGATCCACCTTCTTGTCTTGGCTGCATGACTTACATGTCGGCCCTTCCTCGTGGTTGTACGCCGCTTCGAATAGGACGTCCTGTCCGGCGGCCTCGCGTGTGAACTCTGTAAGCCGGCGAAACTTGGAGACGTGTTCCGAGAGCTTAGTCTTCCGGCGGATTTGGTTGGCTCGCAGTCTGTTAACAGCGTCTAGTAGGAATACCGGTGGGGAATTGAGAAATCCCGTCCGTTGAAACCCGCTCGGAGTCGACTTCCCAAAGTCGTACTGTATCACTCCGCCGTAGCCTTGATGCGGCTGACTGATAACCACATCTCCCAGCCGGATGTCCGCTTCAGCACTTGGGACGCCGCCCCCGATGCCGACCATCAGGCCAAACCGTATCGACCTAAATGTTGCTCTCAACTGCGTCGCTACTGCCGCGGCGGGGTTGTTCCCTATTAGGCCTGCTGGGAGGCAGACGATAACAATATTATGTTCCCCTATGCGCCCGAGCGAGTACAGATTGTTGTCGTGCTCGTCCTGCTCAAGGTCTTCGTGCTCTTCGTCCAGCATTTCCTGTGCGGCAGCCAGTTCGACCGGCAGCGCACACACCCATCCTACAGTGTATTCCTCGCGTTGAAGACGACGGCATGCCATTCAGACGGTCGCTGCGGTGCGGTGAGATAGTTGGAAGGAGAAAGCCGCAAGGCTAGAAAGTATACAGGAGCCAGGAGAGTCGAAGAGGGTTGTGACTACAGGTTGCAACACGAGGCCAGCAGTAGCGACCAGTCATATATATATCGCCTGCATTCCACGTCGCCGACATTGTCGCCTGTCTAGCCTTCCTACTCCCTAATAGGCGCTTGCAGCTAGCAGCGGTAGGGATCGATGTTAAACTGAGAAGTGGGGGACTACCAGTCGTGCGCTGTCATTAGCTATTAATAGAGTGCACATCGTACGACCCCGGTTTACCAACTACATAATACCACATCGCCGAGTCCTATTAACTACATCCTCACTTGGAACGCCTTCTCCGATGCCTACTATCAAGCCAAACCGGATTCACGTGAATGCTGACTTCATCCGGACGGCGACTATCGCTGCTGAGCTGGTCTCAGTAAGGCCCTCAGGTAGACAGGCGATGACGACGTTATGTTGGTTGACTTGTCCGAGCGCGTAAATATTTGGGATTGAATGGGCTGCGAGAAAGCCTGGGATATCTCGCGGCTTCCACACTTCTAAACTTAGAATAGCTGGCTTAGGGAAGCAGGAAGATCGAACTGCATGGGACCTTACAACGAATGATATGTATTGCATTACCATGCTTAAGCTGTGTATTGACTTTGCTTTTTGAATTGCTGCGTCGTTAAGAAATTCAGAATAGAGAAACACAGAATAGCTGAAGAAGGTGACGATTCATTACGTGCCATCTCCTGGTTAAGGTTGGCAGATAACCTGGCCTTGCGGACTGCATTTGGCGCCGATAATGGTCTGTCCTTAAACCTCAGTCAATCTCTTAAGACACACAGCTCGTAGCCATGATTTTGTTGTAATACGTGGCCTATCTTCCTAGCCATGTACGCTTCCCCAGATCACCAGCCGGTCAGATTCACGAATGAAGGAGGAGGGGTTAGAGTCCAGGCCGGTCAGAACATCGTGTATGTGGACTTCAACGTGCAGTAAGTTCGGTCTATTATCTCTCTTTAAGCTTACTAACACGGCGTGATTGTCTATAGCAGGACTACACACGATCACAATCCGTTAAACTCCCTCCCTTACGCGCCCAACGCTGCTTTTAACGCATTAGAGAAAGGAGACGACCCTCTCTGCATCCCTGGCACTCGAGTCGACGTCCTGAACGATATCAGGAAATGGGTCGATGGAGAAGACAAGCGGCATATCTTCTGGCTAAGTGGCTGGGCAGACACCGGAAAGTCCACAATAGCACGGACGGTTGCGCGGGAATACTATGGCGGAAGTAGACTAGTCGCAAGCTATTTCTTCTCAAAAGGTGGCGGCGACACTGGCAATGCGACAAAGTTCGTTGGTACAATCGCGAGGCAACTGGCGGGCAGTTTCCCAAGTTCAAGAGACTGCTCCAGAAAGCCCTACGGTATTGGAGGACGAAGGCATTGTCCATCGCGTCCTAAAGGATCAATGACAGGAACTCATCACTACACCGCTAGCGCAACTTGCGATCGACTTCGTCACTAATTATAGTGGTTGATGCGCTAACTAGAAGAAGGAAGTTAGAAAAATGGGGCACAAGGCCACAAGGCACTAACGCATGTAATTACATGTAGTCAGCCTAGGTAGTTCCCCACATGGGCCTCGCAGAGAGGCCTGACGGGCGTATGAATCTCTCTCTCTCTCGCTGACTCACTGTGACTGTCAACATCACACACTACCATGCTGAAAAGGATATAATGCTATGGGATGCGAAATACTCGTCCATATGATTTAATCTAATCTTTTCGTTAACAAATCGACCAGAAACGCAGAATGCTCTGTCAAAATTGCGAGATATCAATCACAGCCGCTTCTGAACGGCTGAAACCTGCTGTTTCGGCGGAAAGAGTTCATCAGAAAGCAAACCCACTCCAATATTCACCTTCTACTACATGTAGTTTCTCCCGGTCAGCAAAAGAAGGGTGCTACATCTGTAAGCAGATCTGGAACTCACTACTGGATGGTAAAGATGATTTCTCCGATGACCTTGATGACTCGGAATTCTACTCTGGCTTTCCGGCGGAATGGAAGACTTTCGGGGAATGGTGGACTGGTGGAAACTCGACAATCTACTTCGAAATGCGCAGTTTAGAAGGCTATGTTGACCTGTCATTGACAGCGAGGAGTCCAGCCCGGAGTATCAATTTTGTTCTTGCACCAATACCGACAAACGGAATACACACGGCCTCGTCTATAGAGCCGCCCGTCCGCGGGGCGACCATTTCAGCACCGGGAACACTCGATTTGTGCATTCACTGGTTTCGAACCTGCTCAGCGTCCCATACCAAGTGCCGTAAACTAGAACTCGAATTACAATCCTTTACGCCCAAAAGATTGGTTGAAATAGCTACTGAGGATGATGGACATTCTTTCAGGTGGAGGATCGTTTGTCCCGCCGATATTGGAAATATCCCTTACTTCACACTGAGCCATTGCTGGGGCACGTCTCAGCGCACATGCCTAATGAGCAATGCCTTCCGCGCGTTTGCAGACTTTACTTCGTTTTCTGGCCTACCGAAAACCTATCAGCATGCCTTTCTTGTCACTTTTTCGCTAGGATACCGGTTCATTTGGATCGACTCGCTCTGTATCGTCCAAGACGATGAGGAAGACTGGAAGGCTCAAGCTTCGATGATGAGCTCGGTCTATAAAGGTGCCTGCTGTAATATCGCTGCGACATGGGCTCCAAACGGAGATTGGGGCTGTTTTATTCCGACAAGAGCATCACCTTTGATTACATTGGATCTCGGGCTTGGCCAGGCTATAGCATATAAGGTTTCACTGGCAGCATCCAACCAGTATTACGACGATCTAGTAGAGGCCCCGCTTAACCAACGCGCCTGGGTTGTTCAAGAGCGATACCTAGCAAGGAAGCAGTTAAGCTTTACCAGGAGTGGAGCATATTGGGAATGCCACGAGCTAGTCGCCTCGGAACAATTTCCCACCGGTGTCCCTAAGGAATCGCGCGACTTTCGTCCTTATAGCCACGCCGGGCCACCCACCGGCAAACCCACCGTGAATCTCGACGACCCCATCACTCTTCAAGCTGCCTGGGTAGCGCTGGTGGACTTCTACTCGGGTTGTCAGCTGACTAAGCTCTCTGATAAGACGGTGGCACTCGCGGGCCTGGCAGAGGAGGTAAGGAGAGCTATGGAAGATGAGTACCTTGCGGGACTTTGGAAGAAAGACCTCGTAAAACAATTATGCTGGGCGACGGATTTTGATGTTCGAAGAAGAGCTAAGCGACTCCGGATACCAACTTTCGTAGCACCCACCTGGTCTTGGATGAGTGTGGACGGACCAGTTATGACTGACTTACGGTACCGCTTCCAAGAGGAAGATGTGTCCTGCACAGAGGTCCTCGACGTCTCGATTCAGCCGAACCACGGGCTACACAGCTTTACATCATCCAAGTTAGTCCTGCGAGGAATAGCGCTGTTCGCTCAAGCTGTGCCGCCCGGCAGTTCAGTCCACCAAGAGGACGATGATGACTGGGAATTTCGATTTACCGATCTCCCTGAGGTCGGTCAACCCTGTATGGATAAAGCGGCAAGCACCAAGGTAAGCATTATGTGGGACGAGAACTTGCCCTGCCCCGAGTCAGGACCTGAAAGACGGGCAAGTTTCCTTCAAGAGCGCCAGTCCAAGCTTCTATGCATGTTGGTCTCTATTAACGAGGGTATACCTGGCGGCTTGATTCTTAGAAGACTGTCCGATGCAACAGATGGGGTCAAGTATGTTAGAATGGGCATATTTAGCGAATGTCGCGGCTTCCTCGACTTTTTGTGCGCAAGGCTCAATCTTCCGCCTGGGGAAACCAAGGACAAGGACATACATGTAGATTTTGTTGACAATAGGTTGGCGGATGTTGTCCATACTGTGACTGTTGTTTAGCACAGGGAATATGTAACAGGGCTACCGGAAAGGTAGAAGGAAAAGATAATCACGAAGAGGACAAACATTCTGTTCTCAAGTGGACCGATCCCTGTCCCGTCAAGCCACGCTCGAGTCGAAACGTTTTTATAGCGGCATTTCCCATCTTACTCTCTGGTTTGGAATATTGTATTGGCCTTGATTTTCAGCCAACAATCAGTCTCAATTTCATGGATTTGTTCTTACTTCAAGACGGGTATATATATGGAGAGGTGTTGAGGGGTTCAGATAATGCGATCCGGCCAATTCATGATGTGTACCGGAATGCCTCTCTTTCCATACTCAAGAGATGCTAGTCTAACTAACTTTTCGAATCTCTTATCTGGCTGTTGGTCGTCTGATCTTCCGGTCTTCTACCAACAAAAAACTCTTCGCTCGGATTGAGCTCTGGTGAAGAGATGGGAAGGTAACTAAGCTTGAGTCCTGATTCGAAGCACGTCACCGTAACAAGTGAGGCTAAAGGAAGGTTGTCCATGATAAAGAACTGGCTTCGGAGTTGCACTGTCGAAGGTTCAGAACCACGCTACAATCGAAGAGTTCGTTAGTCGCTTCGGGGAGGCACGCATGTAGTACGCGTACGTAGAGAAGGAGTCGTTTATATAGCACGATGTTAGAGCTGAGCTCTTTTAGAAATGGTTCTACCACTAATTGAATCGACCAGGCTATCCCGTAAGTAGCGTCGGATGTTTCCTGGTCTCGAATGCGTCTATCTATACCAGTAAACGGAGCTGGTAGTTATTTGTAATCGTGCTATAAGGCGCTAATCTAAAACAGTAAGCCTCTTTCCCTTTCAAGGTCAAGAAGCCGATAAAGCTGAAAGGCTCCAAAAGGAAATGAACGGTTAGTGTCAGCCTCTATTCAGATGTCCATCCGAACTTTGATTGTTAACGCGCCACAGCCTGTCTCGGCTCCCTGTGCTTTGGCGACATCCACGCTCGGCGGCAAGACATAGCCGCCGCCCATCCAAATACATGTGACTGGCTTTTTACTACGACTGAATACAAGAAATGGTGGGACCGTACCGACCTACAAAGTCATAACGGAGTTCTTTGGATCAAGGGCAAGCCGGGAGCGGGAAAGTCGACGTTGATGAAGCACACTTTAGGCCATCTCGAAAAGACTTCCGTCAACAACTTGGTCATAGCGTATTTCTTCAACGCTCGAGGCGGTATTTTCGAGAAGACTCCTCTCGGCATGCTTCGATCGATTGTCCACCAGCTCGTTGATAAAGAAGCTATGCTATACGAGAATTTCGCCTCTATCTTTCGCGAGAGGCAGAGAATACACACAGGAGATTGGGAGTGGCGACAGTCAGAACTGAAGGAGTTTATACTCTCAGAAATCAGGCAGTGGAAGTCGAAGCCACTCGTGCTTCTCGTTGACGCGCTAGACGAGTGCAACGAGGTAGATGTGTGGGACGTAGTTGGTTTTCTGGAGTTGCTAAGCATCTATGCCGTTAGATTTGGTGCTCCTCTAAGGATTTGTCTCTCGAGTCGTCACTATCCTAGTGTTAGAGTGAAGAGGAGTCTTGAGTTGACGGTGGAGAAGAGTGAAAATCACCAAGAAGATATAGCGAGATATATCAAGGAAAGACTGACGAAAGAGGACGACGACGATATAGAGGATTTGGAAGATATCGAGGATGAGATCGGGAGAAGAGCAAACGGGATTTTCATGTGGGTTGCCATTGTAGTCTCTCTACTTAACAAGGCCTACTATGAGGGCCGCATGGAAGTCATGCGCAAGACATTAGAGGAAGTACCGAACGATCTCGAGGAGGTGTTCGACAACCTCTTGAGAAAAGATGGTGGAAACAAGGCCGAGACAATACTCATGCTTCAATGGGTGCTGCTCTGTCAGCGGCTGCTGAAGCCTGAAGAGCTCTTCATCGCTGTGATGACCGGAATACCTCCGAAGAGGATAGACAGATGGAACCGATCCAAGTTCAGCAGAGACATTATCCAGCGACGCATCACTTCATCATCAAAGGGCCTGATCGAAGTTCGAAAATTGCGGGGGGCATCGGTGCAGTTCATTCATCTGTCGGTCAACGACTCTCTTCTTCGAAACCAGATGCTGCAGAAACTAGACCAGACGCTGGGACCGGAATCTATCAGTGCCAGCCATGGCCGATTGTGGGCGTGCTGCTGGTCATATATTGAGCGAGTGGACACTACAGGTACAGGCGAGAAGAAAAGGTGAGAGCTGAACGACAAAAATCCTTTCCTGGAGTATGCGGCGAGCCATATTCTGTACCATGTCGACATGGCCCTATCAGAAGGTACCATCGTAGAGACCATTGTACAGTGGGTTCAAAAGCATAAGGAGTGGTTTGAGTGGTTGAAAAATTTCTTAATGCGACTCGCGGTGAGAACGAGCCTTCATATTCGGGCGATAATATAGATGCGGGAATGGTCTACATGTTATCACTTGGTGGCCATCAACATCTAGTCCTATATATCCTGGCCGATGACGCTAACGTCAATGCGCAAGGCGGGTACTACGGCACCGCGCTCCAAGCAGCAATGTATGGAAGCAAGAAAGAGTTGGTCGAGCTGCTGCTGACCCAGGGCGCCGACGTCAACGCGAAAGGCGGGAACTACGGCACTCAACTCCAAGCAGCAGCGTATGGAGGCAAGAAGGAGTTGGTCGAGCTGCTGCTTGGCCAGGGCGCCGGCGTCAACGCGCAAGGGGGTCACTACGGTGCCGCGCTCCAAGCAGCAGCAGCAGCGTATAGAGTCAATAAGGAGTTGGTCGAGCTTCTGCTGGCCCAGGGCGCCGACATCAACGCGCAAGGCGGGTATCACGGCACCGCGCTCCAAGAAGCAACGTATAGAATCAATACGAAGGGGGTCGAGCTGCTGCTAGCCCAGGGCGCTAAATGAAAATGCTGGCTGATGTTCGTTAATGGTGTATAGAGATTTTTCTTGATATTACGTTCTAGATCTCTATTTCATAGATGGTTAAAGGAGAAAAGGTGTATTTAAGGTGAAAAAGGTAGGTCTAGGTTAGTATATCTCGCACCATCTCGAAGCTTCGCATGATTTGGAATATGGGATTTGAGTGATCACTGTAATGGTCCCACAGCAACCTAATCTCACAGCATTCCGATCTCACAAACTGTATTGGCTTTAGTTACCAAGTCCTTGGAAAGAATAGATACCCTCTAACTCACTGAACATGGCTCAAAGCATCCAATACTCTGAGAAACGTGTGTGCAACATGTTTCGTCACTTACCACTGCGGCCACCATGGGCATACATACTCAATTCCTTGCCACCGCGCTGAAGCCCTAAGGAAGGAAACCATTCGGTGATGCGCTAATTGAGGCGACTGAGCTACATGGGAAAGCCGAGCGAAGATGGACTGCCCATCTTGTAGTAGGCCGCCTGTCACATACGATATCAGAAAGGAGCCTGAAGACGTTATGACTGAAGCACAGTGGGAATGATGCCGACAATACAGGGTAAAGGTACGTTGCCAGAGCATAGGATCTAAGGCAAGCATCGGCCCCTATGGTGTTTGCAGGGTAGCGGTATGGTCCGCTTGGATTAACAACAATTGAGTGTCCAGAACGAATTTCTCGCTGGCGTGAATATGATAGTACCACATGACAACAATATTCCCCAGAACTTTAACCTTTCAAGGCATGTACGTGATACCACTCGAAAGTGACGCTATAAATCATTCTTTCCATAACACGTGGCAAGGGAGACCGATAAGCGTATTCTAAATGACTGTTAGGAGCCCAAATCGACATGTATAAGAGCGCACCCAGGGGCCGCTTCCAAATCAACTCTAGTATCAAAAACTTAAACCATTATCCCAGACCCATTACCACTTCCAAACCCCAGCCATCACAGCATGTGTTCATACTCCCGAGTCATATATCGGTGCGGACATGGAGGTCGCGGGTACAGATACCTATGCGATCAAGCACTAGTCCGCGAGCCCTTCGTATGGTGCGCAGCAAGCGATTGTTTTTCATGGGACACACCACCGGTCCCCCAGCCTTGCCCGATGTGCGGTGGCCCTCCTGTACATTACAGCGACGGAACGGGACCGGGATACCTAGATCATCAGGCGGACTGGGAATGGCTGATAAATAATGTCTCCGACTAGTCTGGGAATATAACTAATATCAGAACGCGTCAACACTCTACATGATTGCCGTTTATTGTGTGAGTGAAGTAATAGATACATAGGAAGGTCATTGTTGACCCGTGCAACTTGAATAGAAATGCAATGAATGCTTTAGCATATCGTTTTGAAGATTATGGCAAAATGAAACGAAAAGTTAAAATTAGTGTCTCGACTCGTTAGTTGCAACATTTTAAAACACTCAAATACTGTCTTTGAGTCGAAGTTTCGTTCTCTAGTGCCATCGCTCTAGCCCAAGCTGCGAGAACATCCTCAGCACCATCAGGGCAGCTGATATGGTATATATGCGACTGTACTAAGCAGCTTTTGCGATTCTAGACATATCTACACAGTAGTGGTGCTGCATGGACATTGCTCTGGCCAGAGAATGTCCTAAGCGGGTGACCGAAACGTGCTTCAGCATCCAGCGGAGCCGTTTGTTTTGTGATCTAGCGGAATAGGAGATTGAAGAAACTGATGAAAATATATAAGAGATGCATTCAAAGTACGGAAAGTGCAAGTACGGTCACCACGACGTTTTTAGGAAAGTCAATATCGTACTAAACTCGTCAGATGCTCCAAGTTTAAATCGCACCACACCTTTTGAACCCTGCTCAGATATACTAGTTCGAGCTGGGTGCTCTGATATTGAGCGTGAGCATCATTTGCCGGGAATTAATCCTCAGGCTGTGTACAGGCAGTAGTCCGGCACGATGAAATGACCCATGTTGGCAGACATCTTATAAGTCCGGTAGACTGACCTGGGCGACCCAGCTCAATCAGAACAGAAAGTTCAATATTGGGGATAAAATCGAAGACGGAGATTGGATGAATGCGCCTAGAATATCGAAAACTGGAAGGTTGAGCGAAACGACCCGTTGGTTGACCAAAACCGTTGAACCGCTCGATGCCAGACCAAGTCCTATAAAAACCCCTCTGGAATGGCAGCACTCTCCGATGGGATCCAACTAACTTAAACTCGTGCTCAGCAAAAGTCAAAACCCTTACCTCTCCTCGAGCTCCAAAAAGACATAATGTGCCACTACTATCGACCTCATTACAAGTGCGGATGCAGAGGCCGAGGCCGGGTCTTCCATTGCATAACATCTTTTCAACGACTGTTCCGAACCTATTGTACGGACATGGCAGTCTGGAGTTGGCATGAATATCCTCGAAAGCTGTACTGTCCCACACATGGAGGAGAAGTTTGTGACGATGAAATGGATGGGAACAAGGCTGGGGATGTGCTTGTCCACGCAGACTGGGAACCGCCCTCGAACGATCACGATCCTCCCACAGGTGGTTATATGCAGTTAAATTAAAACAGTGCGCCAATAACAGAAACATAAGAAGACGTGGGAAACTTCCGGTATTGAAAACGAGGAAGAAGCGCTTGTTGGATTTGAATGCGCAGAACTGGGACAGCAAAAACGACATCAGCAGTTGTCTAGCAACATAGCATTAGAAAATCACCAAACTTAACAAACACGGCTTAAGAAGAAGGCGATAAACAAACGCAGTACACACCATTCTTTTCGTCTCTTCACACTCTAGCTCTGATAAAGTCTTTGTCGTTAATCTTAAGTGAACAAAAACTGCTTTCGCATAGGAATGAGTCGAGTCTCCAATACACTGAAAATCCTCAGCCTAAAACTCGTTTGATCAGTCCGGTAACCATGTGAGGTACATAAACCATGCCGACATCGCTAACATTGCAACAGCAGTCTCCCCACTCTGGCTTATCGAACGCCAACTCACTCGGAATGTGCCTGTTCTGGCAGAGTCGTTTGGGCTGCGGTTGTCGAGGCCGGTTGCTAGGTTTCTTCTGCGACAATGTTCTGGAAAGGGACATCGAGGATCGGACGTTCTGTGATGCTCAAACCCTTACAGTCATCCAGAAAGAAGAGGCCTGCCCCTTCCACGACGGGCCAGGGGAGCTGCCAGGAGAGGTGGCCGAAGCTCGCGGAGAGATTATCGATTACGCTGACTGGGAGGGATCAGACAGCTCATGGATTGCGGAGGATGAGACTGCATATAGGACATCTGAGAGGATGGATCCCCCGGCAAGAGCAGAGGTGGCGACGCAACCTTCTTCCAGAGACAATGCTGCCAACAGAGCAGCCAACAGAGCAGCCAACAGAGCAGCCAACAGAGCAGCCAACAGAGCAGCCAACAGAGCAGCCAACGGAACAATCAACGGAGCAGCCAACAGAACAGCCAACAGAACAAATCATGGAGAATATCCCGGGGAGGAAGACTCCAACGACGAAGTAGGACAACATGCGGAAGCAAGGTCTGCACAAAGGGAACGAGAGATACGAAGAAGAGACTCAGGGAGCAGACTGAACGAGAGATACGAAGCAGAGGCTCAAGAAGCACATTGAACAATGTCTAAAGAAGGAATGCAGGGGACAAAGGAATCTAGAACTACACACATTGCTGTGAGAGATGCTAGTTTGTTCAAACCCGTCATTCGATCGCGTGAAGTAGGAAAGCGGTCAATGGTGTTAGGACCCCGCTTCAGAAAGGGAAATAGGAAGCAGAACTTGGGCTTGCTACTGGATCAAAGTTGAGGGATGCTCCTCTGGGGTAACTGGAAGCCAGCGGTCAGCTATAGAAATCGTGAAATTGAATGATTCGTTTCCAATCCTAAGTCATGTTCTGTGCTGTGGGGAAATCAATCCAGTTACAGGTGTGTTCTCTCCTCCGAAGGAGATACACTGTTCTTGAGAGCATCCCTGAGAGCCTCATCTGAGAGAGAATGTGAAGGACGTCTTGATCTAATTGCCTTAGGGGAATAATGTCATTGTACTCCAGATTTGCCTATTTGCAGGGGTTAATGTACGATATAAGCAAGGCGTAGACTGTAGCTGACCAGTGCCATTTTCGATATGCCGCGGTCAATGGAGCTTTGCCCATAGTTCTTTCAACAACCGGATTTCCCGCCGTCTTTTTTGGAGGACTGAGTGAGGTCTTTGATGCGAAATGGTGGAGAACAGGCCGGCCTTCTCATCTTTCTGGGATCACTAGTAGACGTTATCCTCAATTCGGCCACATTCTCAACTCACGATAGATGGAAATCATGTCTAATCTGATGTTATTATGCCCTAGGGTGTGCTGATATTACATTTGAGATAGACAAGTTGAAGCAAGAGTCGACGTTGAAAATCCCATGATGAATTGATGATACTACAGCCTCGCTTTGCTATGGAGGTATCAACGAGATAAGGCGATAAGGCGAATTTCAGGCACCAAGCCTCGATATCAACATGAGCCAACCAGATAAATCAACCTGATGGGACAAATCTGAGAAGTGACATCAGATCACAGCAGCAAGACAGTGCCAGATTAGATGTAGTTGGTTATTGGATAGCATTATCCGGTGCAAGAATGCCTGTACATCGGTATATTTCCTTTGGATAGTTACATAGGACAAATAAATCCTACAATCATTGTTCATTTCTTGGAACTCGGATATAAGGCTTGTTGTTAGTCACAGCACAAGGTGTACAACCGCCTCGAGACGACCTCGAAAGCTCCGCAATTCAATGAGAATTGTCAAATTTGTTTCTAGTCTCAAGGATCATGGTGGAGTATGTACTCAACTCCATGGAGATGGCTTGGCATGAGTCATTTCTTCCCTTGGACAATCTAATATTGAGGAGCGGCAAGGACGAGATTCTCAACCTGCGGATTGGCCGCGGGAACGTAGGACAATGAACAGACAAGGTGAGGTGAAGGTCCTGTATTGAGCGAGTAATGAGTCTATCTTTTCCATCCAGTAGCGTCGCTAACAATCAAGTGTCATGAACACCCTCTCCTGTCTATAATCGGCACTAAGCTCGAGCATCTAAAACAGAGGCTGTACATAAATGGAAGAACCCTGTATCATATCCCATCGTTCGTAAATCAGAACGCCCTCCCCGTAGTGTAGGGTATCGCTGCAAACCCATGTCCCGTACTTTTTTGCCGTCTAAAATGCATGGTAGACCCAAACGCCCGCTTCAACGCTGAACAGAGAAAGACAAGAGTAGAGAGCGTCCGGATAGACGCGGGGAGCTCTCCCAACGGCCCGCATGAATTTACGCGGCCATGGTCTGTTGTTGCGCCGCCTTCTCCCGCTCTTCCTGCCACACCTTGCGGCACATCTCGAGCACCATCTCAAAGCCCTGGCGGCCATTCGCTGCGTTCTGCCGGAACTGCTCCACGGAGACGCTCTCGATGGAGTTTTTGATCTTCTGCCACCCGCCGCAAAGGGCGGTGATCTCGGCGTACTGCTTGAACTGGGTGTGTTCGGCGCCGGTGTTCGTCCGGACCGGTTCGTAGCTGCAGGTTTCCCGAACGTTCAGGAAGTCAGACCAGGTGATGTTCATGGCGCACATGGTGAGCTTCCGGGTCTTCGGATCGATGTAGGAGGTCTCGTAGACGTGGGAGGTGCTCTGGCCCTTTAAGAAGGGTAGAATCCACTTCGGCGGCGATTGTTGGCAGGTGATCAATCGCTCAGTGCGGAGGATGCCCGTCGCCGGATCGACGGAGCGCTGGAGGGTGTCGACGGCGATGACGTGGGGGGTCATTTTGTTCCATGGCGAGTATTTCAACCAGTTCGCGCATGAGACTTCCTCCCATGAGTAGTCGAACTGGGTCTCGGATGAGAAAACCTTCATTTTTTATACTGGCGTGTGAAGCCTCGGAGCGCGATTCGGTCGAAGGGCGTTTCTTCGGATCGCGTTTTGTATTCGGTACCGTCTCTGGAAATGGCTGGGGTGGATGTCACTGAAGACCCATTGTATTTGGAGAATGAGGCTGGAAAAGAGAAAGGGAAAGGGGGATATTAAATGGGATTTGTATCTCGGTTGATCGGCAGAGTATGATGAAATCCGAAGCACGAGGGCAAATTCCCTTCAGTTCAGGCAAAAGAAAACTCCAGAACCCACGCCAGCGGAGAAAGCTGAAGAGACAGGGGTGAGTGACTTGGTTCATGGACCGTTCCGAACCAACCAATGTTCATCCCGGCGATTCCCGGCTTGGAAGGGCTGACTAATGTCACATGATAACGGCATTACATACAGTCGTGCAGATAGCTCCTTCAACTCTTCGACCGCTAATTATCAATTATTGTTGGACATAACATTGATGATGCGTCTAGATTCCAGAATACATGCCTATGCGCTACGTTCATTCTATATGACAAGGACAACCGTTGCGAGGCTGTGAGTCTGAGAGGCACCAGAGCGAGTCGATGATTCCACTTCAACCATCACACCAATCAATCACGACTTCTGCGTCGACGATACTACACAATCTCGACGTATCCATACGGGTAAACATTCAACATAGATGGATTCCAAAATGTACATTTTAAATGGAACATAACATCTTCAATCATGGCCTTATTTGACGACCAAACCAACTCCGGGAATTCCTATTCTGGCCAACTCGCTCGTCTCCACACACTTAGAACCGAGACTCCACCTTCTGCTCGGTATCCTGCCTCGCCCACTCGCTGTCCGCCTTCTTCGACACAACCGACTTGACCTGCGCCTTGGTGAATCCCTTGGCCTGAGTAGCCGGGTTATATCCGACCAACGTGCGCTTCGCAACCTCCGCATCCGAGACGGTCGGGGCGGCCGCGCCATCGCCACGCTTGTACACCGTGCAGACGACGGCACCGCCAAGACCCAAGTTGTGTTGAAGGGCGACCTTGGTATCCGGGACGGCGCGGTTGTTGGCCCAGCCACGCATGTGCCAGACGAGCTCGGCGCACTGCGCCAGGCCGGTGGCGCCAAGCGGGTGACCCTTGCTGATGAGCCCACCAGACGGGTTGACGACGACCTTGAGGCCGGGGCCGTAGGTGATGCCACCGCTGCGGACGAGCTCGTGAGCCTTTCCGGGGGCACTGAGGCCGAGCGCGTCGATGGTGACCATCTCGTTGGCGGAGAAGCAGTCGTGCAGCTCGCAGACCTTGACGTCGGCGGGGGTGGCGCCGGCCTCGGCCAGGGCGCGGGCGGCAGCGGTCTTGGACATGCCGTAGCCGATGAGGTCGATGCTGCTGCGGGAGAACAGGTCGGGGGAGTCGGTGGCGAGGCATTGGCCGGCGATGAGGACGGCTTGGGACTTGAGGTGGGGGCGGGCGTCGAGGAAGGATTGGGAGACGAGGACGGCGGCGGCACTGCCGTCGGAGGTGGGGCAGCATTGGAGCTTGGTGAGGGGGGCGTGGATCATGGTGGAGTTGAGGACCTGGTCGAGGGTGTACTCGTCCTGGAACTGAGAGTAGGGGTTCTTGCCGCTGTGCAGATGGTTGATGCGGCCAATCTCGGCGAAGTCCTCGGCTGAGGCGCCGTACCTAAAGGATGGTCAGTCTCGACGGTACAAAAGGTGAGACAGCTGGGAAACGTACTTCTCCATGTATTCCCGACCAGCGTTACCGAACAGCTGAGCAGCGCCCGGAGCGTTCGTCACGCCACGGGTCTCCTTCATGATGAGGTTGGTCGTGGCGGTCGGGTTCGAGCGGTCCTGGAAGAAAGTCTGCAAGCTCCCGGGGAACATCTTCTCGAAGCCCACGACGAGCACGCAGTCGGCGGCGCCATGGCTGATCATGTTGCGACCCATAAACAGGCCGGTGGAGCCGGTGGAGCAGTTGTTGTTGACGTTGTAGATGGGGATCTGGGTCATGCCGAACTGGTAGAAGACGCGCTGACCGCAGGTGCTGTCGCCGTAGCAGTAGCAGGCGACGCCCTGGTCGACTTCGTCGTAGTTGATTTGGGCGTCGAGCATCGCCTTGACACCGGCTTCGAAGCCGAGCTCATTGTAGTCGACCTTGCCGCGGGGCTTGATGAACTTGGTCATGCCCACGCCCAGCACGTAGCATGGCTCGGTTGCTTTCCTGTTCACCATTTTGGCTGATTTCTGTAATTCCGGCTCTTACTGACTCTGAAAGACTGCGTGACGAAAAAGGACGGTGAGGGTGGCGAATAATATAATGTTTTGCGGGGAGTGCGGGGAAGAGAGAGGAAGTTGGATACAGGAGCCTGGGAAGGGCGGTATATAAATTCTTCTAACGAGGTAAGACTACAATGGCTCGGGTGGCGCTCGGGTTAGAATGTGTCGGATATCCGGTGTCGTTGAATGCCGCCAGCCGTGGGTAAGTTTAAGGGTGCACGGGGTGGTGTTCTCTCCACAGTCCACACATGTGGAAAGCTTTCGACTCGCGATTAGCGCCCTACGTTGAGGGGAGCCTCGGTAACCAACTGCGGTCGCATATCTCCAACATCACTGTTTACTAATACTGTCCTGGCTATTGATGGTACTTTTAACCGTTCAGAAGATAATTACATCGCCTCTTGTACTATTTGTTGGGGTTGAGGCAAGACTGTTTGGTATATTCGTTGGTGGAAGACAACTTTCTACAGACACCCCCCCATTCTAGCACGACCCCAGGAGGATCCGCATGCACTATCGCACGTGTCGGGATACCCATCCCATCTATCCAAAGTAGTACCGAAAATTACCGGCCGTGGTGTTCCCGCTTCCGTCTTTCCAGAACATGCACATGAATCGCTCAAGACTCAACGCCTTGCCACGGCTTCGGCCTGGTTGCTCAACTCCGGCTTTCTGATCCGCCATGCTCCGTAGTTTCTGGTTGGAAGCATCAGCGCTGCGTAGCTCTTCTCTCTATGAAAGACGACCCGGGTAGGAGGGCGCCGGAAGCCGTGGCTGCGATCAGCCCCTCCGACAGGTTGGAATAATAACTAATCCATCTGTTTTTGGGATTGTTATTCGTTGGTGAAATGTCCGACAGGATCTCGGTCTGTGGACTCGGGCCGAAGCGCGATCTCGGTAGTCCGGACACCGACTACTGTCCCAACATGGTCGCGCACCAAGTATCCTGATGTTTGAGCTTGTGACGTCGCCTTTGCCGATGCACAGGTCCTGCCAACAACGGCCCGTACGGCTAAATGGATACCTGCATACGCTCAATAGCACATGTCGTTTAACTCAGTATTTTCCGGCCCTTGGGGGGCGTCCTGTCTTCGTGATATGGCCACTTGGGGCGCGGAACAACCTTCGTTTCCGGCATATACTTCTCGAGCAGCCGGTAGGAAGTTGCGGTAGTCAGCGTACTGCTGATCCAGTAAAGCTGCACGGCGGCTGGGAAGAGAGAAGAAACCGGAAAGTAAGCGAAGGAGAAAATGATCAGCATGCGCCGAATCACCTTCCGGCTGAGCAATCTCTGGCGCAAGGTGGGTTCTTGACCTAGTACGGGGGCCTCGGTCGGTTGTTTTGAGCGGAGGAAGACCTCAAGCAAGTTTACTATGGTGATGGTCGCTGGTAGAACGAGTAACGGGTCGGGGACACACAAATCCGTGAACCATAGTATGCCTTCAGTGTGGAACGATGGCTCCAACCATTGAGTTACCGAATTGATGCCCGCTGTGCTGGTGGCCTGTATCGTCGTGTCCGCAATTGTGCCGGAGCTCTGTGAAGGAACCGAGTCGAACAAGAATGACCCTCTTCCAGCCATTCGTCTCAAGCTCTCCGCCACGGCCAGGAAGATGGGAAACTGAACAAATGGCAAGACGGCCGTCCAAGGTTTCCAGCGGAACGTTTTGCTCAAACGTTTCCGGTTATTTGCATTGGTCGATCTGACCAAATTGGTCTTTGCCCTAGCCGTGAGGTCCCGGCGCTGCGAGACGATGCGCTCGGTGATCGCGAAATTGGAGTGTAGCATCGGTCGCATGAGCGAGAAGCGAAGGGCATGGCGTCGAGCGGGGATATTGAGCGCAGCGAAGGTTAAGCATCGTAGGGTTACCGCAGCCACGGGGATTGCGAATGCCCAAGACAGGTGTGCATCGTGGAAGAGGTGGAACCACTCGGTGAAGACGTCGACTACCTTCTCGACGGTGGGATTGGACGCGATATGCCGGCTGCCCGGGGAGCGAATAAATTGTCGTGCATCGTTTTGGAGTCGGGGTGATGGATGTGTAAAGATTAGCTGCGGGGGACTAACACGATGCGTTGTCCCAAGGCGAAAAAGTGGCCTGCTCAAAGCCATGGATGAAGTAGCATAACAGGTAGAAGACTAGCCTTTGGTCCAATTGAAGAAGAACGAGCGGGAAACCACTTGACCGGCATGAAAGTCTAAGCAGAGAGATATATAAGGAAAGAGCGGGGGCGCAACGACCGGCATCCACCTACACGGACAGTTCAATTCATCAGAAGGGGAACGTTGTCTGATGTTTTACGATTTGCTACCCAATTGAGCCTGGGGAAGTTGAATTCGAGATGTGGCTGAAGCATCGATTTCAGGGTCTCACTGACTCACTCGCCACAACTTGCACGTGAAACTAGTTGTACCCCTGCAGTGTAGGAGCCTTACAGCCTTAGAGTCAACATCCCTCCATCCATTGAGAGAGTCAGGGAATAGCACGAGGGACACCGAGCCATCAGCCAACGGCCCATTGACATCCAACTGAAAAGGATCAAACACGACATGCTGCCTGACGTTCGTCGTCATAAAAGACATGGATTCTGACGCGGAACCCGAAGCAGAACATTGCCAATAACTAACCAGAGTGAAATTGTCTCTGCATCTTCAGGACAGTACGGACAACTCCCTTCCGTCCTGACGCTCTATTGTCACGCTGTCTATTGTCCAGTCATTCTCTCCAGGGATAATATGGCGTCTACACTCGTTCTTCTCCTACTATCCTTTCTCGCCTCCGTGGCCCTTGCGCCTCTTGCGTTTCGGTATAGTGGAAAGGTCTTGGGGTTGTGTATTCGCGCCAGGAGCACCGATCGTCGCAACATCCTCCTCGAAGCCTCTCAGTCTACGGAGGGGCAGACTGCCATACATCTCGAGAAGCCTGCACTACGTGACGAAGACGAAGATGGGGATTGGGAACAGGTCGGCAGTATAGAGCTCCCAGCTGTCGAGAATGGGAAGCCCGCAGGAAAGGATTGGAGAGGCGTGATCGGATTCTTCCATCCGTTCTGGTATAGCATCCCGAACACTTGAGCAGACTGTAGAAGTGCGCTGACATGATTGACAGCAATGCTGGCGGAGGTGGAGAACGAGTCCTTTGGGCGGCGATCCGTGCAACCCGAATACGATACCCTTCGGCCGTCCTAGTTATATACACAGGCGACCACGGTGCCACCAAATCCGCGATCCTATCCCGAGTTCAGGAGCGTTTCAACATCGACCTCGAACCTACGAACCTCCATTTCCTCTACCTCTCGACGCGGCACTATGTCCTGGCGAGCACATGGCCGCACTTCACGCTTCTCGGGCAGAGTATCGGCAGCCTCGTGCTTGCGCTGGACGCATTTTCTCTCCTGGTCCCGGACATCTTCGTGGACACAATGGGATATGCTTTCGCGGTCGCATTAAGCAAGTGGCTGTTCCCCGATGTTCCTACGGGCGCTTATGTGCACTATCCGACGATATCGACGGATATGCTAGACAGCCTCACTCCGTCAAGTACCGCCCAAGACCATAGGGGCGTCAATGCCGGCGCCGGGACTGGCGCGAAGGGACTCGCGAAACGAAAGTACTGGGAATTGTTCGCCAAGCTATACAGCAGAATGGGCGGGGAGGTGGACGCGGTAATGACCAACTCTAGCTGGACCCAGGCACACATTCAGACCCTCTGGGGTTCTCGTCGGAAGAAGCTGCGACGAAACAATCCTATATCGGTCGTATACCCGCCCGTCGCTGTCGAGGAACTGGAGCAGGAGATCATCGTGTCCCGAGACACCGAATCGAACCGAAAACCCTATCTACTTTACATCGCGCAGTTCCGCCCAGAGAAGAACCATGAGCTGATCCTGGAAGCCTTTGCTTCGTTCTTGAAAGAGTGGAAGCAAAAAAAAGGGATCAGCATTTCTACTGCAACACCAACCGTTTCACCTACCCTCTCTGCGTCCAATAGACTTTTAACTCCGGAAAGAAAGACTCATTCCCGCAATAGATCTCAACCACCTCCGAACCCAACCGTCCCCCACCTTCTCCTGCTCGGCTCTGTCCGCTCAGACGCCGATAGCACACGCGTGTACAACCTCCGGCTCCTCACCCACGAACTCCGCCTGACAGAACACGTCACATTCCTCTGCGACGCCTCCTGGCCAGAAGTCCTCCAGTATCTCGGCTCTAGCACAGTCGGCGTGAACGGCATGTGGAACGAGCATTTCGGCATCGGCGTCGTGGAATACCAAGCCGCCGGGCTAATTTCCGTGGTCAACGCTAGCGGCGGCCCGAAGAATGATATCGTCGTCGACGTGACAGGCGGGTCGACTGAGGACGGCGGCGCGGGCCGGACGGGATTTCATGCGAGCACGGCGGCGGAATACCAGGAGGCGTTCATGTCGGCGATGGAACTGCCGGACGGGGAGAAGGTAAAGATGCGGCTACGGGCGAGGAGGAATGCGAGGCGGTTTTCGGAGGCGGAGTTCAGCGGGAAGTGGCTGGACCATCTTGCGATGTTGGTTGATATGCGTAGGCGGAAGGGATGACGAGATTTCCGGCGACTTGGCAATGATACCCCGATTAAACGTTGAGTACAATGCACGGTATATCTTGGGTCCTTTGCAATGCTGGTTTCTTGTGGCCATATGATTTTTTGACCTTTCTACTCCATGGTGGACATATGGTTTGCTATTCCCCTTGATGGTCGACGGACATTACAGTGCCCAACTCTCCTCAAATAAAATCACCACAATATTTGGGCACTGCCATCCCTCTCACTCCTATGGCGTCCCAGTCGCTGGAAAGTGGTTCTGCTGCCCCTCTATCCCCGCTTGAGACTAGGGTCAAGACGGAAAGAGAAGATGTGCAACGAGGCATTTCGCAGCTTAGGCCAATATCAAGTTCAATATCGGCAGAGGAGTACCCGCGTGTAATCGAGAAGGATCAAATTTTTACATTTTCAGCGCCCGCTGATGGGTTCTCCCATCAACGCCTTCCGAGTTACGAGTCGTGGACACCGGATTTGGAACATTGGCTTGCTCGAGATCGAGCGGGGAGTCCTTTACATAGACTTTTCGATATTATTCCTTCCAGCAAGAAGGGTGAGCAAATGGGTCAAGATGTTGAGGATCAGAATATCATTGAGACACTTCTTGCGAAGTGGACGGACTAGCAAAGCTTCTAACGCTGATCATATACACATCCAATCTTCCTTGGGTAGACTGATGTTGAGGAGACAACCTATTCGAAATCAATGGCAACTGTTATATACGCATTCATAATGGTATCGCTGCTTCCCACCAAAATGAACCGGGCACCGACTGCACGCCAGTAATCTCTATATCCAGATACCCATACCGAAACCCCACACCAAAGCAAAACATCCCAGAACTCCTAGTAATGCCGCGCAGATACCTATGCATGACCGAATCAGAGCCTCACTTTGGCCCCGATCCCTTTCCCCTTATACCAAATCCACTCCTCCCACCGCCCCACCCGGACCCCCACCTCCGCCTCGGCATGCAACTTCAGCGATCCCCCCAACGCCTTCCGGACCGCATCGTACCCCACGCTTCCGGCATCCCAGTCCACGGGAAGTCGCGGAGTTTCGGAGATACCAGGCGGAACGGCAAAGGGGAACTCGTACTGAAGGTGGCCGACGGGGTCGTGTTTGTAGAAAGCAGTGGCATTGATCTTGGTGATGAAAAGGGTTGTGGAGGTGAGGGGGGAGACGAGGAGGAAGGTGGCGGTGGAGGACCAGAGGTGCATCTGCGGGAAGGTGGTCAGCCAGCTGTAGACTCCATGATCGAGGTGTGATGGTGAGGAAAAACACGGTTTCAACCCTGGCGGGCAGCTACGCGCGGTTGACACTAACCGTAAATGATAAAGCAGGCTACAATAACGTTTCATCCATAAATCATAAGCTTGGTGCAAAGTCTAAGAGAGTTCGTAGTACCGTTGCTCCTTGGATAAAATGTGGCTTGCCGTCCGAGCCATCCCCGTTTCCGGCGCCGGGGGCGGAACCGAAACTAGGGGTTGGAAATTCGATTTCGAGGGAAGAGAGGGCTTCGCCAATTTCAGGGTGGGAAGGGATGCTGTTTCGGTGGGTTCGAAGGGTGATGGTGGTGTTGTAACCTGAAAGTTTCAGCATCTAAAGGTCTCAGGGGGCTGGATAGACTTACCAGAGAGGTACTGCGAAATCAATTCACGACCTATTGCTGCTCCGGTATTGCCACTCTCTGTAATCGGATCATATGTTGCCCGAACTACAATATTGGTGTTGTTCCCAGGATTGATTTCGATCGACTCGGTTGTGGCATGGCCGAGGACCGTGCCGTTCACGACAACTTTGATGTCAAAGTACGGAACAGTCGCAGAGTAGTTGGTAGGGTTGGTGAAATTGGCTAGGGCTAGAAACTGGATCGAATCCGGCGTCGTTTCAACAATGGTTACATTTCCGACTTGAGGTGCTAGTGATCCCCAGCCTGAGCCGAGTCCGATGGCTATAGTTTCGTTAGAATTTCCTCAAGCGGAGACGAAATAAGCGTACGTTTGATTGGGAATACACCAGACGCAGGAAGGTCACGGAGAGTGAGGGCTGTCAGGGTCGTCGCCATCTTCACGTCCACAGTAGCCTCGATCGTCAAGAACGCTGTTTGTTTCTTAAAGAGCAATGTCGCGACCAGCTGAGTGAACAAATCTTGATCGGTGATCTTCAAGGGGGCTCCGTCGACATGAGCCTGGACTAGGAGACCACCAAGCTCGTCCGGGTCCGTCAACCTCCTCGAACTGGCTTCTTGCCATTTTTGCAAATTCAGCTCCCCAAGTTTCTTCTCCTTCCAGTGCACATCGGCTAGAGCTCGTACATGGCTGACGTTCACGGTGAAATCCAGCTGATCAGGAAGATTGACGATCGCTTCGATGTCAGCAGAGATCTCGGGGTCGTTGTCGGTCTCTGATTCTGGGTCGGGAAGCTTGAAATGGACGTCGGTGAGGGAAAAATTGCGAATTAGGTGGTCGATTGCGGGGCCTTTAAAAGGAACCGGAATGGTTATTGAGGACAATAGGTTGGTGATCCACTTGGGCGTCTCCACATCGGGGGAATCGGAGCCACGGATATATACGGTCGTCTCTGCTCCATGGATGTAGTCCTTGACAATCATATCAAGAGGGGACTTTTGTGAGCCAGGGCACACATCCATCAGCGACTCAGGTATTCGTCTGACGAACCCTGTCCCATTAGCGACGATATCCGCGTTCGGGGAGATATGAAGGGGTTCGCAAAACGCATCCGCAACCATGATTTGAGGGTCATTGGGGGAGCAGCCATCCACAAGGATTCCGAATCCAAGTGGTGGAATCGTCAGATCTAAAGGATATGGATTAGGCACTTTCATTGACACATCCGCCTGCAGTCCCTGGTTGCCGTCCGGAAGGTCGGCGTCGTGTACTACAAGATGGGTGATGTTATATTTTGGAATTGCCGGAATATCCGTTGCTTCGCAGCGGCGGATGCTCTCATGTTAGCCGTATTGTTCTGAATCCGACTATGGTTTTACACAACTAACCTGAAACGGTCCTGGAGTAGATGATGGTTCGATTTCCGAGATCGATAATCCCAGAACGAACAGGAATATGTGCTATTCCCCGTATATTGACCGTCGTTAGTTGGCCTCTGAAATATGCTCCTGCGGCCGACCGAATAGGTTCCACCGCTGCTGGAATGAGATTCGCCACTTCTTTGATCTTATTAACCCGTTTATCACGGACATCTGCTTTCACGGGCGGAAGCACCGCAATCCCAACCACCGCATCGCCGAAATCCGGTAGAAAGACGTTGACTCTCGACTCTCCACTTTGGATTTCGCGAGCAATCCACGTCCCTATTCGTCCTAGGTTCCGGATGGCGAAACGCTCCACGCGGGAAGAATCGAACTGGACCATGAATTCCACGTTGGCGTGGACTCCATCCGGCGTGACCGAGTCGAAAGTGAGGGTCGTGGGCTCGAAAACGACGGCTTGCGACGCGTATTCTTCTATGATGACGGGGACCACGAAGCGGAATACCAGGATCGCGGCGGCGACGAGACAGAGGAGGAGAAGAGCAACCGCGCTTGGCCATCGCTTTCCTGGGTGCGTTGTTTCGTCCCGCGTGCTAGAGGAGAGTAGTGAGTGGGTTTCTGCCAAGCCACTGGCAGCGACTTCGCCATCTTCGTCGTCTTCATGGTTGCCAACCTGGACATCTTCGTTACGGGATAGAAGGGGCGTTCGCTCCGTTGCGTTCTTGTCGCCTTGCGAATCTCTCGAACGTAACGACCTGCTTGAGGGAGATCTAGAGGTGGAAGCTCCGGTGGTATCCGGCGCTGGGTCTGCCATTACGGGAAGCAGAGTGGAGGCTTCAATGGTAACGACTCGGTGGCATGGTGATTAGGAATCAGCGAGAGAGATGGACGACCCGGTCACCTAGAGATCAAGAAGAAGGGGCGAAGGGATTTATGAGCGTTACGAAGCAGCTTTCGGTGACATGTGAGCTTGAAACATGGATAGAGCTATGGTCAATGGAGCTGGCGCAGAGGGGGTTTGAGTTCCACCAGCCATCTGCCCATGGGGTCTGGGGAATATGCAGGCTTGGGGGAGGGGGAAGGGGAGGACAAGGTTGGCCTAGCGGATGACGATGATTGTCGCGGAGTGGGACTAATGCGGTTAGTCCAGGGTAGCGCAAATCTCACGTGACACCGAAACTCCTAGCAGGTGTCCCTTTTTTATTATTTTACACCTGCTCTGGGGGCAATATATTGATTGTTTTGAAATGATTGGATTATATGGTACGCAGTAGTAAATATGATAGGCTGAAACAGCAAAGTATGTGACGCTACGCTTCTTGCTAAGACATACCACAGTACCACTACCCCAAGTGATCTCCGCAATAGTGCGAAACGCTCGACCTTCCTTATCTCAGCTTGGGCTCAGACGTTACTCAAGCCATGACACTGGTTAAGCTAAACCGTAACCAGATTAAACCCATGTTTAGCGTTAAAACTAGTCACGTGAGTGCAACTGTCTTGTGTAACGTCTGAGAAACTGTTGCGAATTTCCTGTGGAGTCGACGTGATGAGAATTGCTAGAATTGACGAGATATTCGAATAACATCATATGGAGAAGTTGAGTGGGCTCCAAAAGTTGATGAAATATAGATAAGGGTTTGTTAAACCGTCCTATGGCTTTTAAATATCAAACTGCTAACTGTACATTCTGTAACTAGAGTTTTAAAACTGCTTGTTGCGTCATCACTTGACGGGATCAATCTCCAGGTCACCCTCCATGCGAGTGAAGCGGCGGCGAGGCCGCGCCCATCAGCATGAAATCCCCTCATACCAGAATCCGGCCTCTTTACAATCAGCTTCTATCCAGAAAACGATTGAAGAACGGATATCCACCATTGCAACGACGCCAGAGAAAGAGTTATGTTCGGTACTGCAAGAGTTAGTCAAGGCCTGTCTGATACGAAAGAATGCCACATACCAGCATGATCTTATCTTCCACGGTTTACAGCGACTCCTGGGTGGTCGGCTCCCACGTATCAACCAGGTTCGGGCTCTTCGACGAATTGTTTTTCGCCATGGGGATACTATTGTCTCTGCTAAGACTGGTTTTGGGAAGAGCATCATCTTCCATGCTATCCCAATCTTTATTAGAAGAATTGTCATCCAGTTGATTCCTTTAAGCAAGCTTGGAGAGGAGCAGAAGCGGTCGATTGAACAGTTACCAGAGGCCAGGCCTTGCCTTGTTACAGCGGAGACCAAGCACACGAATCCGAACCTGTACAAGGAGATTGCAGCTGGGTTATATACCCATATCTTGATGGGTCCTGAGCAAGCAGTTAGCGATGAGTTTCGTGATTTGCTGTTAAATCCTGATGTAAAGAATAAGATTGGCGTGGTTGCAATTGACGAGCTCCATGTTATGGAGCAATGTGGAATCGATCTTCCCACGAGCGCAGCAAAGGATTCCAATTCCAGCTGGGGTGATCATTCCTCAAGAAGCGCAGTGGGCTATTGCTCGTATGTATACCTGTGTGAAGAACTCAACGATACCTATACCAAATCAGGAGGCATTGTCAGCCCTCTTTGATATCGAAAACTGGGAATATCAGAATACCCTCCTCGATCCTTTCCTGGTATTCCTTGTCCAGATTGTTCCAGACGTATACTCGAAGCACGACGCGATACTAGAGGAACGAAAGTACAAGAGGAACATTAAGGCATTGGCCGGAAAGGCTACAGAGGCTGCTGCTCAAGACTTGAGGAGTAATCGTCAAGACTCGAGTATTGTACCTAATCCCACTTTATCTAAAGAGGAAAAGGTTGCTCAACATGTCCGCAGTCGTCAGCTGGCAGATGATAGGGATGGGCTCCGGGTTACCATGCATAACGAGCTACTTGCGCAGCAGCTTAATGAGTATCGGGAAACATTCAAACCCTGCCATTGGCCCTCGTTTTCATCACAGTCGGAGGCATCGGAAGGGTCGCAGGAATTAGGAAGCTCGTTTGTCGTGGGAGAGGAGTTATCGTTCGTATCACAAATTAGCGTTAAGTTAGATTCTGGTACAGATGATTCGACTATAATCCCCTCAGATATTAAAACTCCTATACCTGTTAACATTTGGCCGCGCAGCCAAACGGCCAAATGAGCTGCTCAAGATTCTTCTTCAGGTATGCGCACAAGAAG